ACTCAAAAGGGCAGGTGAGGGCATTTCTGGGGTTGACTGGATACTACCGTCGGTTCATCTGGGTGTACGCTAAGCTGGCGGAGCCGTTGAATCGGTTGTTGCGGAAGGGAGTAGTGTTCGTGATGGGCCACGAGCAGATAGAATCGATGAGGAACCTGCAGGAGGCGATCATGACGTCGCCAGTTCTCAAAGGTCCCGACTTCGAGCGTGATTGGATCATGCCATGCGACGCTTGTGACTATGCGGTTGGGTCTGTACTGGAACAGGAGGACGAGAACGGAGAGGTCAGGCCTGTATTCTTCTACAGCAAGACACTTCATGGCCCCGAGTTGAATTATTCCACGAGCGAGAAGGAGTGCCTGGCAATTGTGTTCTCGGTCAAGAAGTTCAGGCCATACATTTTGGGTCGATCGGTAGTTGTCTTTACGGACCACGCGCCGTTGAAGTGGTTGTTCTCCAAGACCGATTTGACTGGACGCCCAGCGAGATGGCAGATGACTTTGGCGGAATTCGACCTCACCATTCGGACCAAGCCTGGAATCAAGAATGGAAACGCGGATGGCATGAGTAGGCTGACGGTTAGAGAAGAGTTTGCGGGGGACGATATTGATGACGAGATGCCTGAGTGTCTGACTCTGCGAGCGGTTTCGATGGACAGCAAATGGGCAGAGTGCAAGTGGTACAGGAACACATTTACCTACTTGACCACTGGAACTCTGAGGCTGGAAGACTACAACGAGGCAAGAAGGGCCAAGAGGAGGGCATTTCGTTTTAGGGTTGACGCGCAGAAAGGGTTACTGTACCGGGATGCCGACAACGTTGAGAAGCAGTGCGTAGTGGAGTCTGAGGTGGAGGAAAAACTGTCGTGGGCACATGACGTTGGAGGCCATTATGGAGCGGAAGCTACGCTGGCGACAATTCGAGCTCAAGGGTGGTGGCCGACGATGAGGAAGGATGTGTTCGATTGGGTCAAGTCATGTCGTCGGTGTCAGCAGTTCGGACCCAGAGAGAAGCACAACGAGCTTCATCCATCGACGCCGGATTTTCCGTTCGAGATTCTATTTGTCGATCTGATCGAATATTTGCCCAGGACGACAAGAGGAATGACGTCGATTGTTGTGTTTACGGACTCGTTTACCAAGTGGACAGAGGCCTGTGCCATCCCGAACAAGAGTGCCGCAAGTGTCAAGGCAGCCCTTTTCTTGTCGATCATGTGTCGGTTTGGTCTTCCCGTGGTCATTCGAAGCGATGGAGGACCAGCGTTCAGGACGGAGTTCAAGGAGATGTGTGAGGCATGGGGCATCAAGCACTTGGTCGGGTCCACTAGACATCCGCAGAGCCAAGGTCAAGTTGAAGCCACCAACAAGTTGATCGAGGAGAGGTTGCGTAGGAGCGTGTCGGCAGGAGTCGAATGGGACGTTCTTTTACCCAAGGCAGTCTACGACATCAACCACCGCATCGTCGGCAGCACCAAGATCTCTCCCTCGGAAGCGCTGATGGGCTTCGTTGGCCGTTCTGCACTGCGCCAGTCTTTCAGCGATGATCGTCTGTTTACGACCACCGGTGAAATTGAACCTGTGCACGAGGAGCTGGAAGGAGCGATGGCCCGATTTGTTTGTCGTCGCGAGGGACTGCGAGAGTTGGCATACGAGAACAGGATGAATGCGAACGAGAAGGCGAAGCGTTATTATGATTGTCGTGTCAAGGTCATCAAGTTCGAGAAGGGCGAACGAGTATGGGTCTTTAATCTCGCGTTTGTGACGGGCTTTGGGAGGAAGCTTACCCCTCGTTGGTTGGGGCCTTTTGAGGTCGTTTGGGTCGGTCGAACGGGCGCATATGGGGTGAAGACGGGTCGTACTCACTACGGAACCAAGGAAGGAGTAGAGACACTGAGTGGTGATATGTTGAAGAAAGTAGTGGAAAGGAGAGTGAGGGAGGAGAGGAAGGAGTGAAGATGTGAATTGTCAGGGGACGGGCATCCCATCTGAGGGAGGTAGAAACTGTTACAAAAAGATGTGGTGGCTAGGCAGTGGCGGCGATGCCTTAGGTTAGCAGTCATATTCTTTAGTAGACATAGTATTAGTAGTGCGCCGAGCCCTCTTGTCTGCTCTTTGTCCTTTTACACATCACTTGGACGAGAGCAGTATTGACAAGAGTTTCGCTGGCACGCTGCAGGTAACAACCCCCTCTTTGATAATATGAATACAAGGTCCTTTTACACATCACTTGGACGAGAGCAGTATTGACAAGAGTTTCGCTGGCACGCTGCAGTGTATCGTTTTGTGTGATTCTTTTAGGACACTATTGTCACTTCCCCTCCCCCCAACCTACAACCCCTTCCCCCCCCCCCTCCGTACCAATTGAGGACCTAACAGCGGTCCTACAACTCTGGCCGTCGACCCTCTCCCCTGAGTAACATCATTTACAAACACTCATCTTAAGAATAAAATATATTAACACAAGGGCAATTCGCTAGTTTCCTATAAATGGACACCTCCCCTAAGATTTTTATTTGCTGTTCATCGAAAAAAGAACACATGTCACATAAAACAAATCCATTGGAAATACCAGAGATCGTCCGTATGTTTGGACGTTTTGTAGTAAAGTCCAGTGAAATAGCAGCCATGAAAGTCTCTGAAACCTTCCATAGCCAAATTTCAGCTACGACTTGGGAGACAATCGTCGTCGATCTTACGAACAAAGCTCTTTATAGGCACTCGCCTTGCTATACAGATATTGTTCACGGAGGTCCCAGATTGCTACCGTGGAAAAGCCTCAAGTCGTATGGATCTCATGTTCGTACGATAACAATGGCATCAGAATATTTCCATCGGCCTCCTCCTTCTTCATAGTAAGTACAACTGAAATTTTTTACAAATTTGACTAGAGCAATACTGAAGCCGATTGTTAATGATGCTGCTGCAATTCTTTGTACAGCCCTAGGCCTGCTTCAGTTACCGACCTCTTGACTACGTTAGGAGAATTACCGTTTCTAAAGTCCATGACATTGGATATTTCGAGCGTGGACACCACAGATTTACCTCAGCTTTTCGATATTTGTTCCCGTCTCAAGTCCTTGAGAATCCTCAGATGCACAATGCGTCGTCAGGGGATTGCTGAGAGTGAGAGACCAGATTTTATGGACATGTTGAACAGGAATTGGAAATCGCAAGCTTTAGCCCACAAAGCTATTTATAACTTAGAGAAACTGTCGGTTTGGTCGAATTGTGGAATTGGCCTTTCGGGATATATTTCTCGCAGCCCTCGCCTCAGAGTTTTGAGCATTTATCAAGGCTATGGCAGCGATATCTATGAAGAGGCGAGGTTGAAGGAGCTTATTGAATCTTTCAGTACAGAAGACAGTATGCCAAGTCTACAGCATCTCGATGTTTGCATTTATCAAGTGTACAGCGATACAATTTCGAAGGTCCTCAAGAGCGTGCGTTGCCTGCGAAGCTTTCAATGTCTTCAACATGACGCATTGTTGTCAATTCCCGATTTTTGGCCTCATTTCTCAACTGTCACAAAGATCGTTATACCGCCTGGCACTGGCACGCCAGAGTTCTGGCAGGAAATTATGTCATCATGTCCAGCTCTAGTGGAAGCCAGGGAGGTTGTACTTTTCGCGGAAGATATAATTGGAGGAAAAATGTGGGCATCCACTGGACTAGAGTTACTCGATTTAAACGTTTTCGTGAGATCTAAAGAATATGTAAGATCGAGAAGCGATGAAAACGCATTATTTCGAAGAATTGCTAAACTTGTGAAGCTGAATCACTTGTCACTTCACACAGGATGGCATGAGGAAATGACGCTTCGTGATGAGAGTTGGGAAGCTTTGTTGAGAATCCAGACGTTGACATCTGTAGAATTGGGACATGAACTTGCGGTCCCCGAGGATATGGCAAGATTTGGAAGAAGATTCTTAGAGAGAAACAAGTGCCTTTTGACGTGGAGTAGGGCCCAGATGTCTTTATCATCACAAGATGATGAAGGTTATGAACTTATCCTACAAGCATTATCCAATTCTCAGGCCGCGTTTCAAAATTGAGCCTATCACTCTGTTGCGCCATCAAAACACCCGCGGAGCCAGATGACAAAGTTCAGTCAAAGTCAGCCATAACTTGCCACAAGTAGCCACACCTAGTCATTATTTGAAATTGCAATGATAAATTTAGTATGCGTCTTTACTATAAAACCCACTCTTCTTTTTACTTTCAGTTTCTGGAGCACGTCCAAAATGCCTAACTTAGGTGACTTCATATGATATGGCCATGTTCGTTAGGACGCTGATTCAAACCGTGAACTAAAATAGGGTAACTGATGAATAGAATCCCCGAAAAGATCCTTCAAACCCATGCCTGCCGATGACTGTGCTGATGACCATACTCTAACCACTGAACGCCGTCACTATTGGATTGGAATGCAAAGTGTTCACCATCGTTTACAATGAATAAGCTAGTCATATTGCCAGTCACGCGTGTTAACAAGGAACCGTTTGATATTGACAACATTTTCTTTGAAACATTTTATTACCTTTAAGAACTGCACTGGTATTCTTGGTGACAGAAATATCTCTCATGGTTTTTGCTATCGTTGCGAGAGTGAAATTGACTGGATATGGCAGTTGCCCATCGGAATACAACACAGTGCGGCTCATACATTGCGCGACAACATGGCAGACTAAGGGCCCTATCGTGCAGTGCGACGTCACATCAAAGTTCTGCGTGCCTTATTGGTTTGCAACATCACCTCCCTGCACTGCTAAACCCGTCAATGTACTTACAACAATGGCTTGTGCACTGCCGTTACTCGTCGTCGTTGCTGGTTTCATTATGACCTGCTTCAAAATAAATAAAAAGAGGTAAACTCCGGCACAAGTCCGCGAGTGGATCTGTTATTACACTCTTATTTAATCTATTTTACTTCTTTTTCAAACATTTACACAATGCCACACTCATCAACAATGCATCCTCCACTCCCGTATGACAGACAACCAGATGGATACCAACATCGAACGCAACCACCACACCCTCCCTCCTGAGTTCCACTCTTCCTCGCCATCCAAATACCCCATCACTGGAGGAGAGAACACACCCACCAACAAGACAGGGTCCAACTCTCCATCGCCTTCATCAATACCTCTAGGAACCCGACCTCATCGTAAAGGGCCTACAAAGTACCCAAAGATTGAATTGGACCGACTGGACATTGAGAAGGCGGCTGTTATCACTTCACTTTCGGGAAAGTCGGATGTTACTCTTGCACCATCATTGTCAGCAACAATCACCACCGGCGCAACTGTTACCGATATTTCGGAGAAGGGCACTCAGGAGCAATCAGAGCAGTAAAAAACTAGACACTCCTCCAAGGCCGGTGTGTTGAGCAACCTTTTGAAGCTCCAGGGCATTGCTCGTCTAGAAAAGGTTCGCTCTCTCTCTGTAAATGGTTTACAGGCTGCAGATAAGATTGTCATGTCTGGGCCATGCATGCATGCTAAAGTGTACCACTTTTTTCCCGCATCAAAATAGCTACACCGTAGACCTAAAGTCAAGGCAACAAAGGAAAAAAGAAGCGTCGAACTATGTATAGTCGGTCAGTCAACACATCGACTGCATCGCTCATCACTAAATCCGTCTTTGGCACCTACCCTCCACTGCCCGCCACACCCTCTCAACACCAGCAAGGATCCACCTCGCTCTCTATCTTTAAACCGACCTATCGCATCAACACCTATGGCAACAACAGTGGCACTAACAACAACAGGCATTCGGCTCATTTCAACAATGACTTTGCCCAGTCTTTCTCTGTCATGAACCCGCCCTTTCAATCGCCCAACGTTTCACCTCGTGGCTCTTTTTCGGGAGGCGAGAACGCACCCAATGGAATCTATGTCACTCCCGGTGCCAGCGGTTCCACAAGCACTAATGTTGGACACTATGGAGCACGTCTTTCGAACGAGAAAAAGATGCAGATTACAATTGCAGTCGCCGACATTCTGGAGCGCAAGGACTTTATCCTTCGACTCGCAAAGTCGCTAATCAAATACGGAGCCCCTTCTCACCGACTGGAGGATGCAGTCGACCATGCTGCCAAGACACTCGAGATCAACCTGCAGTGCATCTATCTCCTCAACCTTATGATCGTCTCTTTCATTGACTCTGAAACACACACTTCTGAGACTTACTTGGTTAAGGTCCCTGCCGGTTTGGACATGTACAAGTGTGCATTGGTCCACCAGGTCCAAAAGATGGTCACCCATTCATCCATGCCTGTCGAGGAAGCTATCATGAAGCTGGATACCATCAACACCGAGAAGAACGCCAACGGTCGCTGGATCACTGTCCTGGCTTATGCCGTTGCTGGATTCTGCACAGCGCCCATGTTCTTCAAGGCCAACTGGATCGACGCCATTATCTCGTTCTTTATGGACGCTACAGTCGGTCTTTTGGTCTGGCTGTCAGAAAAGGTCCCTAGATACGCACACATTTGCAACATCACCATGTCTGCCTTAGTGGCCTTTGTCGCCGAAGCCCTTCGCCAACACAACGTCTGCACATCCGCAATCAAGTTTGCAGGCATTATCATCATCCTCCCAGGTTTCACCATCACCTGCTCCATCCTTGAACTCAGCTCGCGCCACATCATCTCGGGATCAGTCCGATTGTTTTATGCAGTCGTGTTTTCGCTCTTGCTCGGATACGGTTTGACGATCGGCGCATCCCTCTGGTCACTGTTTGACCACTATACCCGTGACGACGAATCCAAATTCTCGGCAGAATGCCCCAACGCCCCACTGATCCCGCTCTGGAACATCCTCTTTGTCCCATTCTTTGCCATCTCCCTCAATGTCTGGCTCAAGGCCCACCCACGCCAATGGCTCCTCGCTACCATCCTTTCCATTGTTGGATACGCTGTGTCCTACACCTCCTCCGTCTACGGTGGCGTCAAAACCGAAGTCTCCTCCGCTGTTGCTGCATTCGCGATCGGTCTCTGCGGAAACATCTACCAACGCCTCACTCGTCAATTGACCTTCCAGGCTGTTGTCTGTGCAGTGTTCTTTTTGGTGCCCGGGTCGATTGGTCTTGAGGGTGCGATGGCTTGGTTTACGGAGGATATGTCGGGTGGAATGAATTTCGCACTACAGATGGTTGTTACTGCGATCGCCATCAGTGTTGGGCTGTTTACATCAGCACTGGCTATTTATCCTATGGGCAAGACTCGGTCTGCTCAAATGACTTTTTAGAAGGGAGCAGTGCTGGCGATGGAGGAAGGTGTTGATTAATTTTTTACATAGTGGATTGACCAAACAGCACTTATTATTATGTCCTGCATTTCTTTCGGCATTTTATTATTTATCACCTAGGATGTTGTCACTTAAAATGTTGTCTTCTTTTTTTTTCCATTGCTGTGTCTAGTCCATGCTGGTGTATGTTTTTGATGATCTGAATGGAACTTGTTAGTGGCGAGATCATTGATTCTGTTAACGTCGACGTTCAATGGGCATAAGATTACAAGTTGAGCCTCATTTTTGCCACAAGTTGCACTTTTAGCCACATGTTAAGCCACATTCGAGCTTTCGACGAGGTAACTTACTATAAAACCACTTATCCCTTCACGGATCTGATGACATAAATCCCCAGCAATGTCGATCAAGCAAGACAGGTAAGAAAAATGATTTTCTTTGAAGACCATTACCTGTTATCATCGAGCTAACTCTTTTCCTCTAGGTCATTTGCAGAGATAGTGTTTTCTGCCTTCCAAAAATTACAAAATGGTATGGCCATCAAGTATTTTTATCAGTGCGGTGAAATTGAGATGGTAGATGCCTGCGTTTTGCCTGACGGGGAGCAGCGAGTGACTCTGAAACGAAGATATGCTGGTGCAATGGTACTTAGGCAAGGCGTCCTGGCAAACCATATCTGGGTATATTGGAGTCCCCGTTCAGACAAAAAGAGTGAGCAATCCATGATTCGTTATGACAGTGACCACTGGAACGATTGTTTCTACGTCGCCAACGCTGCAACGGGCCTGAGAACCCCTCCTGATATCGTGAACACTCCTCCCAAAAGAAAAGTTACCCGATAATAAAAAAAAATTTGTGTGGCTCGCGTTCGATTTTTTTGGAATTCTGGCAGTCGTTTTTTTTGGATGCGTCGCATGCACTCTACGCGAAGCACTCTCTACCCTGTTATTACACTATTCTCTCACACACTCTCTCTCTGTCTATTACTCTTGCTACCCTGTTATTACACCCTTATTTAATCTATTTGACGCCAAATCTCATACTCTTATGACACTCTTATTAACCTCTTATTTAATCTAGTTGACACCAATTCTCCCCCCTCTCTCTCTCTCTCTCTCTCTCTCTGTGTCTCTCTCACTCTCACTCTCTCCATGTACCCTGCATAACATCCCATCCAAACATGTCCCACTCGCAGGCCCCAGAGAACAACCTCGTGTTGTGTCGGCATCGATGACGCCAGTTCCTACAACGACGCAGCTGTTGCTCTGCCCGTCTGCAGTCGAACCTTTAAGCCAAATAAGAACCAGGACTCTAACTTGCGCCGTCATATCAAGAACGTCCACAACATGTCGCCAACGATGCACCCCCGCAAGTGCAAATGGGACTCGATACCTGGCGGCCGCATCAAGGATGACAAGGAGCGCAAGGAGCGCACTCGCAAGAGCAAACGTCTTTGGGCCCGCAAGACCCGTCTCCGTCGCAAGACCGAGGAGGCAGCCTTAGTGTTGTGCACGCTCAGTCAGGCGGTCTAAGACCTCCCTCCGCCGCCACTAATATTTACCCCCTAATAAAAAACCCCTCCCCCCACCGCCGCCACAGGCTGCCCCCCATGAAGTTGGTGTCAGAAAAATTATACTGATGTGGATGGTAGGGTAAGAGAGAAAGATGAGCAGAGGGGTCCTTTTATGTTGAAAGGGATCGAGGGAAGAAGACAAAGAGAGGGAAAAAGAAAGGCACATGGACAGAAATAAGAGAAGGCGAAAAATCTGAAAAGGGCGCTTTATCGTTCAGGGATTATTGAATAGAAGAAGTGAATTGGACACGAGTACTAGTTTCGTGGAGGTATGGAATAATATAGGACACGACAACTTGAGGTAGAAACGAGAGCATGAAGCGGAAAAAAAACAATGAAAAGGATTGCTATTGCTCATTATTACTAGTTTCGTGGAGCACATCAACGACGAATGAAACCTCTCATTGATCCGTCTTGCTTCGCCGAGGAACGAACCACCCTTGTTTTAATTTCCCTGCTAGCCACGTTGTGTTCCTGAGGTTATCTTATTAACGGTAAGTCTACGTGCAAATCCTTCCCCCCCCCCCAAGATTACATCTCCCTCCCCTTTTTTTTGTAATACTAACCCCACCCGTACCCTCTTTTCTGTGCTAAGCTTTCATTCCGTTTTTTTTTTAGTCATGGAACAAAGAGCAAGGGAAAGGAAAGGCATCATTTAGCCGCACTCATTCTTGTCCATGCTGACCGTTCAACTTGCGATTTGCTTGTGACTCGCGAGGCAGGGTGGGCTCGATGGCGATGCGTTGAGGGAGGATGAAGATGAGAGGGTGGTGTTGTGTCGAGTGTGTCCTTGACCAGTCCGGGGTTGCTTACAGTTGTATTCGACGAGAGAGGATGGGAGGAAAAGAAATGAAAAAACTGTTAGAAGAAAAGAGTAAAATCCGAAGGTTGAGAGACAAGGTAAACGGTAAAGGCAAAGGGGCAGGGAAAGAGGGGAAGAGAGCACATGATCAATTGGAACAGAGGGACTGGATACCATTGGCTGCTCTCTAAATGCATGGTTCAAAACAAGAGGACCAAAACGAAAGCAAGTGAGCGGGTCGATTATTCCTCCTTGTTCGCTCGGTTATCATTCACATCTTTGCAGTCACGACCGCCTTCCCTCTGCTACACAAAGACAGTCTAACAATAGCTCTATTGACTAGGGTTCGAACGAGGTCTCTATGATGCGTGACTGTAGAGAGCCACTCGAATGTGCTTTTATTATGAGGAACAAACGCAGAGTGATCGTAGAAAGGATAGTCGAGAAGGTAACGGCGAAGACTGGTAAGCGTTTAGCTCGTTGTCAATTCGTAGAAATGGTTTGAAAATGTGATGTCCCTGAATTCCGACAGATTAAAACTGAAGCCCAACGGCTGATACCAGTGCACGTTTATTTACAATGCCTGCGGTTACTCATTCGTTTGTTCGTTTGTTCACTCGCTCTGAACCACAACCTGTGTCTCTCTCACTTTTCCGGTGGATGAAAAATTGCCTTGTGGAACCATCCAACATTTCGAAAAGGTAAAGGCAAGTCCCCGGAAAAAGTGAGGGCAAAGGGGATATAGACCCAAAAGCACAAAAAAGATGTAAAGCATAGAGAGAGAGAGAGAGAACAAAAAGTTAAATGCGCAGTGCAAGGAACGAAGGGCGGGATACACAGACGAGGGGGTGGGTGGCGATGGTGACAATTGAGAAGACAGGATAATGACACAGGACAAAGAAAATGCTCCAAATAGATTGAGAACAATGTAACGATGATGGTAGCATAAAAAAACATGGCGGGAAAAAAACAATAAGCATTTGAGGGCATCGAGTAGAGAGATACTGGCAAGGATCTCTGAAGTCACGGGAGAAAACCACAAAGGTATATTGGATGCATGCCAGAAAACGACAGATCGTGACATGAGAAAAAAATTGGCGGGAAAAAAATCTACTAATACAAAATCGTCATCTCCATCACCTGACTTACTGTTTCGTAAATCATGTGATGTTCTTTCTTCAATGTGTGTGCTGTATGTGTGTGTGCTGTATGTGTGTGTGTGCTGTATGTGTGTGTGTGTGTGTGTGGTGCGTGTGTGTGTGTGGTGCGTGTCTGTGTGTGTGCGGTGAGTGTGTGTTTGTGTGCGGTGAGTGTGTGTGTGTGTGTGTGCGGTGAGTGTGTGTGTGTGCGGTGAGTGTGTGTGTGTGTGGCGTGTGTGTGCATGTGTGCGTTTTTTTTAGTTTAAAGTTAATTAAATTAAAAATGAGAGATGGATGGGGGCTGCAATCAGAGCCATACCGGTAAGCAAATCTGCCGGTAAGCATGTTAAAATGCGACTGCGGAATGAGAGCCATGCCGGTAAGAAGACCTGCCGGTAAGCAGTAAGCATGTTAAGATGCGAAAATGGAGAATGGAGAGAGTAGAGCCGATGGCTTTTCTTTCTCTTTCACGGACAAGCATATTTTCTTTCCTTCCTTTCTCTTTTTTTTTTTTTTTTTTTTTATCTGTCAGTACCCAGCATGCCTTCCACTCGCTCTCACCGTGTCACTCTTACCACCACTTCCACCCCCGATGTCTCTCCTTCTGCGACCTTTACAGGATACAGACGGGCCAAGGCGACCAACTTAACAAGGTCGCTCTACTGCTAGCGCTCCCTCCACTTCCTCCACTCTCCACTTCCTTTCCACCAAATGTACCACCACTATCACCGCCAACTCAATGCCATCACCCCTTACTCTTCCTCCTCATTCCTCCTCTTCTTCCTCCTCTTCTTCTTCCTCCTCTTCTTCTTTTCCCTCTTTCCCCTCTTTTACCTCCTCATCCTCCTCCATCAGTAGGTGTGCCAAGCATCGTGGACGTGGAAACGGCCAACAAAGGTCGACAAGTTGTTACTGTCCCTACTATAAAGGAAAACAAACGGTATTTTAGGGTAAACAGACCACAATTGCTCGGATTGCCGCCTCTTTGCAGCACAACTCCTAAGTTATAATGGTAACAACTGCGAAGCAAGCTTTGATGCCATTTCAGACGGGGATGCTTACATTGCAATTGCTGACGTGGTTCAATAGTTCGAGACTACAAGTAGAGCGTCTAATCGAATTTATTCGAATTTCCTATGTTTTGCTTAGGATTTGTGCGCATTCGAAACGGATTAAAAATTTCGATTCGAATGCGCACAAACCCAATGCAAACCATAGGGAATTCGAATAAATCGATTAGATTGGCTAACTACAAGTCAGACAACGATTGAGTGGGAGGGTGAGGGGAGTGAGGATGGGTCATCGATCAGGCGGCGGAGGCACTGGTACCGGGAGAATGCTTCCAGCCTGAGGCCTACCATTCCGACCCATTTAGGTAACATAAGCGACAACGACGACCTGCTGAAGGAGAAAAGCCGGTTGTCCCAGTCACGCATGATTGTAGCAGCCATGCATGGTTCCAACCCGACGCCAACCATTCCGACCTATTTAGGTAACATGGGCGAGCTATTGCCATGCATTGCATAATGCTCCTCAGTCCTCTGCTATGAGATGTAATGCTTGCATACAACTTGGCCACCGTTGTACAACTTATGCTGATTACCTTATGAGCGGGGAGGGCATGATCGTTGCAGAATTTCTTGCTTCTACTCCTTCCACGGTCCTTGCTGCTCCTGCTGCTCCTGTTGCCCCTGCTGCTTATGTTACCCCTGCTGCTCATGTTTCCTTTGTTCCTCATGTTGCTCCCGCTAATCTACGCGTTTTTGGGAATAGAATAGCTGCTGTTAAGGAGCAAAACGACACAGTGTACATGATCTAGGGATTGATGAGCGTGGTCGCCCTCATCGGGGTGCTTTACATTGGACGGAGGTAACCAGTTACGATAACACCTACAACTATTCTACAATCTTCTTTCTTTTTTTTTATTGATGCGCGATTTAATTATTTATTTGAATACGCAGGAGCGTGTCGGACGTACAGTCGCTAATCCACGCTTCTCTGTGTGCTGCCTATGAGTCAAAATGCCAGCCATCGAAGCTTCCCTTGCTGAATTACAAAGCCTTTTCAGAGGTATTTCGTGCAACCACCCGGACCTTCAACAGTGTCTTTGCCTTTACATCCTTTGATACCAGTACAAAGTACCGTGACATGCGACATGCGTTGGCCGCCTGGCAGAGGGAAAGCGAAAAGAAAAAATGGTATTGTGAGTGCGATAGAGGACTTTGGGAGGATGGAGATATGGCACGTACGTTGCAAGGGCGACGGTCGAATAGAGGAAGACCCAAGGAATAACACCTCGAGAGTGGAAGGCGGGTTTGAGCAAAGGAGGAAAACTGACAGGATTTGGCCCGCCAAGGCAACGAGTCGATTTGTCAAATAAGGTCTGAGTGAGGCGGACGGGAGGGTTGTACAGTACGCTCATGGCAAGACGGTGTTGCATTTGATGGAAAGAAAGGAAACTGCTGCATAAAATCTTTGACCGAGATCTCGACTTACAGAGGGCTCATCAGACCCGACAGGTCGCGTTGGGAATGCGGACGGCTGGCTCGGTGCTCGCCACTTCATGGCATTCATACGACCCAAGTTGTGTATCTATAGGCATTAGGGTTCCCAGGGGTCCCGTCTGACACCTCCTTCCCGTGGCTGTGGCTTGGATTAGTCAGGCCTGGCACGCCGGCACGATTTGTGGAAATCTGACGTTAAAAAAAAAAAAAAAAAAAAGGAAGGGAGGGCACAGCGAAAAAAAAAGTGAAGGCAGAAAAAAAAATGAAATAGAAAAGAGAGAGAGAAATGAGGAACTGACAAACACAAATAAACTTCGCAATATTCAATCACCACCACCTTTTTATCAATTCAAACTTGCTCCACACCTCCGCGAGCGAAGCCGCGGATACTATTCTAGTCAAAGACAAAATGGCGGAGGGATGAAAGAGAGTCGGTCGCAAGGGGGATAAAAAATGGCGGGAAATATAAAAATACATCTTAAAATATTGGAGGGGAAATAGAACAAGCAATGATCAAACTAAAAAACACCAGCAAATGGCAAAGGATGATTAAGGTGGGTGGCGAAGAAGTAGCAGCTGGGATGGATGGCAAGGGAGAGGGGGGTTGGAGAAGGTAGCAAAAGAGAACTGTGTTCTTTGGAGTGTTGGTCCACTGTCGCATAGTCTCGTCTTACCTACAGATCATGAATGTCGACAAGCTTGAGCATTTTCATTCAAGAACCATCAAGTGAAAAGTGAGCGGTGGTGGGTGCACTGCAATGTAAACCCAACAAAAAAAACAGTAAGAGCGCAATGAGAAAAAAGCAACAACAAATACACGTATTCACGCTAGTTGTTGTTGCTTTTTTCTGATGGCTATTCAGAGCTTCAATCCCTCAATGCTCTCAGCCCTGCCATTCTGACAGCAACAAATAACAAAGCGTTCACACGTGTGGGAAGAGATGAAATTTATGAGCAATTCAAATGTACTCATTTTTTATCCTTCTCTCACACTATGCCCTGTTCCTGACCTTGGGTGCACTGAGGAACTTTGTTCTCAAACAATTCAATTCGCTATTTTAAAAATATATAGTGCATGCCTTGTTGGCGAAGTTTTTACACACACAACCATCGTACAACAAACAAAAATAATCTTCCGCAACGTCGTCGTCTCGTCTTCCTGCTCTCAAACCCCCATACAAATGGAGTCCTTTTACACAAATGCTCTCCCCCAGGTGTGGACATATAACCATGCTCTTACGTCTTTTTACCTCTCTTGTCCGACAAACACAGAGTTGTTGTTGTACTGTGCGGGAAACGACACGGTGGAAAGGAAAAGCGAAGAGCACAAATTTACCCTTTTTTTCACATCTGTAAGCAGAACCAGCAGAACCGGCAGCAACAGCAATGTAATGGATGTTCAGTCATCGCTTGCAACAGCAAACAAGCGAGTAAAACAAGAGAGGTTGTCTAATGCATCAAGGCTCTATAGTTTTTATTCCCTTTGTGTTTCTTGTCTTTTGTTATGTTCTTCTAACCTGTTATATTTTTTTCCTGCTTGTTTCCAGTGGCAGAGTCTGGTGTAGTATGTCCCACAGACGCTACGAGAGACTAGGAAGCAAACAGTTGCCAAAAAATAAAATAGGATTAGCATAAACATTAGCAGAGTGATACAGGTTAAACATAATCGTTCAGGTGAAAAAGAAAGGACTTACAACTCTGAAGTACCATACACAGGCACAACCCCGCTGTCGTCGCGAATGATCTCGTTCGGTGAACCGTTCATGGCCAAGAGATTAACTTGTTATGCGACGTCGTCCTGATCTGGCTCGTCGAAGGACTCAACGATGTCGGGCATGTACAAATTCTCGTAGTCGTGAACAAAGTCGTAATCATCATGGGCATCATCTTGCATGTCGATATCTAATGCAGGATCGGAAGCCATCAAGGCCGTTTGAAGGGCAATCTCGTTGAGGTTTGGCTGGTCGAAGCTCATGATAGAGGAAGACATGTCCGCGTCGTCATTGTCGCCGTACCCATCATTATTGTTTTGACTGTAGACGCCGTAGACATTGCTGTTTAAGGATGGAGTTGAATATTCTTGCGGCTGAGCCATGTGAATGATGTTTCTTTGTGATTGTATAAAGTTGTGTGTAGGGAGGAAGGGAGTGAGTGATTGAGTGAGTGTTTCTGTGTGTATATATGTATGTGTGGTACGGGTGTATGTTTTATGTGTGAATGTGTGAAAGAAGATTAGAGAGAACTAAACAAAACAAGATTTGCGTAATGGAGAGGAGAGAATGTTCGTGATGTTAAACAAAGAAAAAAAAAAGTATTGCTGCGAAAAAGGGCTCGGCTTGCACGAAACCAAACAGAAAAGGGCTGAAGAAGAAGACGCAGACGGTGATGGTTGTGGGATGACGAGATAACAAATAAAAGAGGGCGGGTTGAAATTCAGGAACGAGGGATAGGGCACGAGAAAGTATTATTGTGAAGAGAACGAAGGAGTAGATGGAAAGAGGATGATGACGAGCAAAAATGTAAACGGCTGGGACGTCAGGTGGGACGCGATATAGGTACGAGGATGGAGGATGAGAAGCGCAAAAGGTTTTGATGAAGATGAAAAATAGAAAATGGAACGATATATATACTGATGGCGAAATGTGCAGGACAAATAGCTATAGAATTGTTTGCGTGAAAATAACGAGCGAGTTTGCCCCTGGGCGAATGTATCTTTTCGCCGAGGACTTGTCCGACGGCTTATAAACATTGTACGAGATGGGAAACCCACTTCATGTCCTTGCCGTAGTTTCACTTTGGGTTTTTGGGTTCATTGTACAGTACTTCAAGAGAGGGAAACCCACTTCATGTCTAACGTGACAATCTTTATTTTCTCCGCATTTGGATACACCAACCATTGTCACGTTAGACATGAAGTGGGTTTCCCATCTCGTACAATGTTTATAAGCCGTCGGACAAGTCCTCGGCGAAAAGATACATTATGGCAGCAAAACCTTCGATGGTTGAATCTAATTGGATGGTATTGCAGGGTGAAGGTTCGAGAGCAAATCGTATTGCAGGCAGTGCCATATACAGGCTGTGAAAGAGGCACAAAATCTTTGTTTTTTTGTGTGAACCTCTTGAAAGAGGAGTGAAATGCCCTCTTGGCAAAGAGGGACAAACCTTAAACGCAAGAGGGAGAGTCCCTCTTTGAGAAGAGGTACAGTCCCTCTTTGAATGAGGGACTGGCCAATAGGAAGGTGACACAGACCCCTATTAGGATCTTGCTGCCTTGTCCACAAGTGCAAGCCAATGCCACCATGCACAACTCAAATAAACCGTTGCCTCCTCCATCTTTTTACTTTTCTTTGCTTGCGTCCCTTCCTTCCTTCCTACTCCTCTCTGCCGCCTTACTTTCACAGCGCTTTTCTTTCTCCTCTTCCTACATCCATTAACTTTTCATCTTCGTCCGCTCCTCTACTCATTCCTTTCTTTGTTCTTTGTCCTATAAGGCCATTACCCATTACAAATATGGCCATCTTTGAATCCGAGGACGAGATGAACCCGTATGCGGACGCTGGCGACGAGTCCCCGTACAGCAGTGACTCCGATATCGATTTTGACCAAGAAGACATTGGCAGCCATCTTTGTATTAGTGGACACCAAAATAACGCTGCGACTTCTCAGCTCTCTGATACCAGCGCGCCCCTCAGGAACGGAGCTCGTTCATACGATGACAAATCGCCTTTCGTTGTTGATGACGACTTATGCGACGACAACACCACGCCAGTGCATTATCCCGTGAGTAGCATTCCTATCTGTTGTTTCTTGTTGGGACCAAATAGCATGATGTATCTAACAATAATAATACTGTTTACGTCGTTTCATGTATAGTCCGCAAAAAGGAACGATCGACTGGAAAAGCAACGACAGAATTCGAACATCTTCACTCTTGGAAAGCGAGCTATATCAACCCGGCCATCCTTGGATCTGGAGACCGCTCAGACTTCAACCTTTGCCGGTGCAGTTTTATCCTCTTCGCCAACACCAACGACCGAGCTTGTCGCTCCTCAGGGCTTCTCCACCCCCATAAGGCCCTCTCGCTCTGCAGTTCTCCCCAACATGCCGTCGAACACAGCTCAGTTGTCGATGGCTCGCGATATTCAATCAGCTCTTCCAACGTTAATTGCAGGATCGCCAACCCGACTCTCACGGTCAACATCCTATCCTGATCTGTCAGTGCTGGGATCTGGCACCAATGCTGTATCCGCCCATCACGCACCCTATCATGCACCCTATCACGCCCCTGCAACGCTTGGCCATACCTATCACTCCTCCTTGGCGCCCGCTCATCGTGATCAGCCCTCTCCTGCGCCCATCCAGCATCACCATGCCTCTCCGATTCCCGTGCACTCTTATTATGACTCTCCGGCGCCCCTCCATCATTATCAATCCTTACCTGGACCCGCCCACCCTTACCAAACCACCTCGGCGCCCTCGTATCCATACCAGGGGACTCCTGAACGTACTCAATCCTACCCAGCCTCTGTCGAATACTATACCCAGATACCACCCGTCAGCCCTTACGGTCAACCAGTTGCGTCTCGGCCTCCCTTCAATCACTACACTACGATGTCCGCATCCACCGTGTCAAGTATGAACCAATCTAGCTCGGCTTCCATTTCTTCCTTCCAAAACACCCACACCTCGTTCGATGACGACGCCTCGACGGTCGAGGACATCTTTGTGAGAGTGCAGTCCTACCAGAAAGACACCAACGATCGCAGGCGATTAGATGCAAGGGCTCGCCATGAACGGGAAGACGTCACATCGTCCCCACAGTGGCGTGGCTTGTATCTCAGTATCCCACTGGGCGAGCTCCCGAGTCCCGAGACTTGCAAGAGCTTGGCTCCTCCAAGACTGAAGATATTGGCGACAGTGCCCTTCACCCGCATTCTTTATAAACGTTCCAACACAACCGCCGACCCCACCCAGTCCAATGGCGCCTTTCTTCCGCCCAGTGCACTGCTTCCATCATTTGAAAACTCAAGTCGGTCATACGCCAGGAAACCGCCTACACTTCGCTCCAACAGTAGCAGTTTGTTCTGCTTCGAGAAGGTCGATAACTTCCATGTCTGCAGGTGCCCCTTGTTGTTAATGGGGTGGAAGGGGTCTGCAACGCCAAGCGTGCCACCGGTCAGGGAGGCTCCGGTCGCCGCTCCCATCTCCTTTCCAAGCACTCTGGGGTGATTGACGCCATCGAGTATTTCCAGCGCCAACAGAGACTAGCACAAGGCATGGATCCGGACCCCGCGTCTAGCACCCCACACAGATCAAAAAAAGCCAAAACCACTGACACTGCCAACAATGGCCCAGCAGCAGCAGCATGGAATCACCACCACCAACTTGATGTCGAGAATCTGCTTATGAGGCTTGTTGCCGTAGAGGGACTCTCATTCAGCACAGTCACCTCAAACACCCTCAAGAAGATTTGTCATCTCCTGAATCCGGCGTTTCGATTTCCGCACATCATAACCCTACAGGAAAGACTGCGCCTAGCCGTTGCCGAAAAAAAAGCAGAGAACGGTGAACTACATCCATTCCAATGTTGACCGTGGAGCCATCACTGCTGACGCTTGGACTTCATCCCACAACAAAAGGAAATACCTTGGGGTTACATTTCACTATATGACCCAGGATTATCAGCTATCCTCCGTTGTCATCGGCATGGAGAGGATTTTGGCACGCAAAGTGGATGCTCAAGTGTTGACAGACATCATTGGTAAGGCACATTTTCATTTTCGTCATCCATCCATCTATGTATCTATGTTTCGAATTATATTATATTTTTTCTAATATGAAATTTGTTATCGTAATTCCAGACAAAGTCCTAGCCGAGTGGTCCTTGGAGGGGAAGGTGATTGGCCTGACAAGTGACCAAGGAAGCAATATCAAAAAATGCTTTCGAGATCACGAAGAAAAGTCGGGCGCTCACTGGATTGCATGTACGGCGCACAAGTTGCAGGGCTGCATAAACAAAAGCATGGGATTCGACTGGTACCATTGTCAAGATAACCAAGAAGTGCGCATTAATTTCCAACTTCTTCAACAACAACTCCGTCGCCAGGGATATCATCAACAAGCTATGGCTGTCTCACCTCAATGTCGTTCGAGCCGCCAATACTCGCCTCCCACTCGATTCTTCTTCTGCTGGCGGCCATGCTCCTCCTCCTCCCACTACTGGCACGCAGGCTCATCCTCCTCCCATTACCGGCGCGCAGGCTCCTCCTCCTCCCACTACCGGCACGCAGGCTCATCCTCCTCCCACTACCGGCGCGCAGGCTCATCCTCCTCCCACTACCGGCATGCAGACTCCTCCTCCTCCTCCTCCTCCTCCTCCTCCTAGTACCGGCGATGGACCAGCATACATGGAAGAAGAGGTTTCGTTTAAAACCGCTAATGTGACGCGTTGGAACTCCAAACTGAACATGGTCGCCAGGGTCTTCGATGTCATTACTGTTTTGAAGCCCGCTGCCGAGGAGCTGCTGAAGCTAAAATCTACCAAGGAGGAGATGACAAAATACCAGGAGTTTAACAACAACTTGCTCTCGGAGGAGGAGGTCGATGTTTTACAAGAGATCGTCAAGCTTTTGCGTCCGGCTGCAAAATTGACACATTGGATAGGAGGATCTGGATATTCGACCATCTCGCAAGTGTATGCATTGGCACACAACATCCTTGGACCCTCCGACGTCTACAAGACGGGACCTGCCATCGCGCTCTACGAGGTCCTAGAGTCCTTTATAAAGTTGGCCTGGCCTGAGGACGACATTTCCGATGTCATGCTCTTGGCCATGTATTTCAACCCCGGCTGTTCAAAATTAAACATCTGGGGCTTGGAAAATACCCACCAAGCTGCCGAGCAAGCAGCCGAAAGAGCGGCCAAGCGAACCACCGAGGATGCCGCAGCTAGACGTCATGCTGGTCAAGATTCAGATCAAGAACGAGTTCAGCTTCCCCCTCAGATTCCATTAGAGAACAGACATTCTACGCCAAGACCAACAAATCGACTGAGAGCAGAGACCCTGATTTATCGAGCTGTTATTCAGATGCATGCGGACAAGGAGATTGCCAGGAAGCGGGGCATCACGAACACCACCAACAACAATAATCTCAGCTACGATGTCAACAACGCCATTTCGATGAAGTTCTGGAAAGTGGATGCGGATTGTGCCTTAATGGCATATAGGGCTCTGTGGTCTGATGAGGAGGTCGACCCAGCTTGGTCTGACGACCCAGCTGCATTTTGGAAGTCCAAGGAGAGTCTCCCAACTCTGGCCAGTTTGGCCACTCTTGCGCGAATGTTCTTGACGATTCAAGCAACATCGTCCGAGGCAGAACGCTTGTTCAGCAAGGCTGGACTTATCTATTCAGCGCGTAGATGCCGACTTTCCGATAGCAACTTTCGTAATGTTATATTTTTCAACAGCTTAGAAAAGACACTCTGTGAAGCCTATTTTGTTAGATAAAAATATTTTCTTATTGCTTTATTTACGAAGATGAATAGGGGTGGTGAAGGTAAGCTGAATGAGATTGTGATGGGATTATCACCAGACAAACAGATAAGGTAGGAATACACACAGATTGAACACGCTTGCACTGAAATTACTCTCCCTCACTTACTTTGCCAACCTTTCTCTGCCTCTGCCTTCTCAATTGTATCATCCTTTTCCATTTCTCTCACACACTCTGTTTTTTATGATGTCAATGGTCCTATCCACAAAAAACAGCCAAATCTTCGTTCGATGTAGAGACAACGGAAATTACTTGCAATACAGTATGTTAGCGAAAGTGCAAGGGACACTTTATTCGTCGCTCAATACAAAAAATGTAGTCATAGTGAATATGGGTTTAGGCCTCACGCTTAGCTTTGTTGAGATTGATAAACCTCGATGTGTTATGGATAGGTGTGAATCCTAGTAAAGGATCCACCTCCATTTTCTTTCTTTTCTCTTTTTGATATAGCGACGTATATAAGCCACCTGCTTGTCTCCATTCACGAAAGATACACGAACATAATGAAATCCTCCTTCTTTACTCGTTACACCTTATTCTTTACCTATCCTTCTCAGCTGGCGAGGTCAGGTCGTGGTGCTTCTTCAGGGGATGTTGAAGAGCAAAAGCTCTACGTCGAGCATTGCAAGAGTGATTACAGAGTCGCTTCAATCCGTCAACAGAAACGGAGACCTGCAGTAGCAATTGCCTCCAATCCTCAAAGAAAAGCGCTGTGAAAGTAAGGCGGCAGAGAGGAGTAGGAAGGAAGGAAGGGACGCAAGCAAAGAAAAGTAAAAAGATGGAGGAGGCAACGGTTTATTTGAGTTGTGCATGGTGGCATTGGCTTGCACTTGTGGACAAGGCAGCAAGATCCTAATAGGGGTCTGTGTCACCTTCCTATTGGCCAGTCCCTCATTCAAAGAGGGACTGTACCTCTTTCTCAAAGAGGGACTCTCCCTCTTGCGTTTAAGGTTTGTCCCTCTTTGCCAAGAGGGCATTTCACTCCCTCTTTCAAGAGGTTCACACAAAAAAACAAAAATTTTGTGCCTCTTTCACAGCCTGTATATGGCACTGATTGCAGGGTGAAGGTTCGAGAGCAGTTGCAGGGTGAAGGCTCGAGAGCAAACCAAGAACAAGGGAGAGAAAGTAAAGAGGGAAAGTAAAGAGAGGAAATTTTGATTGGCAACTGTGGATAGCCCCTTTTTTTCTTCTTGTGATGAGTGTCTCGGTTATCGCCTTGGGGCAACATACCAAAAAATAACACGTTGTCTTTTTCATTTTTTCTCTCTGCACCGTCATCGTCAGATAGAGAGGGGTAGGTAACGGACAGTAAGAAAAATTTTCTGCTTTGTTTTCTTTTTGTCTGTTTGCCTGGAATGCACATGCCTCTTGCCACATCTTAAAAAAATTGTACATTCAGTGAATACATCCCACCTTTCTTCAATCACGCTTTCATTCAACCCTCTTTTTTCCGTTTGGCCGGAAGGGGAGCAATTGACCTCGAACAAAAATCTGTTCATGGTCTCCATGCATATTCACATCCGACACTAACCACAAGCTCTACTTTTTTCTTTACTTTCTACTTGTGTATTTTTTTTCAAGCAGTTCGCACTTCGCAATCATTGCCTTTTGGCTAGTGATTCTAACCGGTTAATTTTTTTTGGCTGAGTTAAGTTATCTTAACCAACTAAGTTAAACGACTAATCAGCGTTTTGAGAGGGCGTATTCTTGAAAACCGAGAAGCAAAAGGGAGGATTTGCTTGGTTCGACTCATGTATGGTCTCGAAGTGTAGGACGAAATTGTCTTTTTAAGAAATAGGCAGTCCAATTTAGAAGATTTCAGTTGAAAGAAGATATCAAGTGCAGTCCCCCCATGTAGAGATCTATAAATCGGTTAACTCGGTTAAATCGGTTAACTCGGTGAGCTCGGTTAGCTCGGTTAACTGAATTAACTCGGTTAACTTGGTCACTCGGTTAACTAGTCTGCATCATTCTTCTTTTTTTGCATTCCTTTTAGCTTTCGCATGTCAAACTTGTCTACCACTATGATTATCGAGAACCTGGGTGTTTTTTTTTTAAAAAGGAGATACACATATGTTCAATGCTCTTTTTTCCTCATACCCTCAGCACTTCCTCCCTTTGTCCCTCAACTTTCTCTCTCATGTTTGATCCTCCTGGCCATTCTGACGGAGACCCTTCTACAGGCCGGCGGCATAACACCTTTACGGGCGAAATGCCACTTTTTGACGATTCAGAGTCTCTTTCTTTCCTGTTCGATGAGCCCAATCTGGTAGCTTCCTCCCCACGCTCCTCCATGCCATTTTCACAAAGTGATATGCAAAGTGTCACCACATCCATTGCTCCAAGCTCATCTGTGAGCCAGGCAAAAAGCGACGATCCCGATGACCCGCCGACTGTTCCAGGTTTGCCTTTTATCAGCTACATATGAGCGTACAGAATTGTGCCTAAGGATAATTTTAGTAAGACCTTCTCCTCCTTCTACCATAGGCGAGTGGGGGCCTTACTATGAGCCTCGTCGCGTGATGGAACACGGCAAACGTATCTTCAAGTTCTTCTGCGTTGAGCCCGGCCCCGGCTGTAAAAAGGGCCTTGCAAAGACTAGCTCCACGTCGTCCCTTAAATACCACTATGAAAATTTGCACCGTGCGGGGTTCATTGAAAAAAACAACAAAAGGACGGGACTACTCAGTCTACTCCGACCTTGGTGCAGACCCATCTCGACATGGCACCTATTCCTCAAGCCAAACGCGATAAGATTGTAACAGCGACCCTCGAATGGCTGATCGGAGATCTACTGCCTTTCTCTACGCTGGACTCGAAGTACTATAAAGCTATGGCCAGGGCATATATCCCAAACCTATCTCCCCATGTGCAGCCAACGTCACCCATTCATCCATGCCTGTCGAGGAAGCTATCATGAAGCTGGATACCATCAACACCGAGAAGAACGCCAACGGTCGCTGGATCACTGTCCTGGCTTATGCCGTTGCTGGATTCTGCACAGCGCCCATGTTCTTCAAGGCCAACTGGATCGACGCCATTATCTCGTTCTTTATGGACGCTACAGTCGGTCTTTTGGTCTGGCTGTCAGAAAAGGTCCCTAGATACGCACACATTTGCAACATCACCATGTCTGCCTTAGTGGCCTTTGTCGCCGAAGCCCTTCGCCAACACAACGTCTGCACATCCGCAATCAAGTTTGCAGGCATTATCATCATCCTCCCAGGTTTCACCATCACCTGCTCCATCCTTGAACTCAGCTCGCGCCACATCATCTCGGGATCAGTCCGATTGTTTTATGCAGTCGTGTTTTCGCTCTTGCTCGGATACGGTTTGACGATCGGCGCATCCCTCTGGTCACTGTTTGACCACTATACCCGTGACGACGAATCCAAATTCTCGGCAGAATGCCCCAACGCCCCACTGATCCCGCTCTGGAACATCCTCTTTGTCCCATTCTTTGCCATCTCCCTCAATGTCTGGCTCAAGGCCCACCCACGCCAATGGCTCCTCGCTACCATCCTTTCCATTGTTGGATACGCTGTGTCCTACACCTCCTCCGTCTACGGTGGCGTCAAAACCGAAGTCTCCTCCGCTGTTGCTGCATTCGCGATCGGTCTCTGCGGAAACATCTACCAACGCCTCACTCGTCAATTGACCTTCCAGGCTGTTGTCTGTGCAGTGTTCTTTTTGGTGCCCGGGTCGATTGGTCTTGAGGGTGCGATGGCTTGGTTTACGGAGGATATGTCGGGTGGAATGAATTTCGCACTACAGATGGTTGTTACTGCGATCGCCATCAGTGTTGGGCTGTTTACATCAGCACTGGCTATTTATCCTATGGGCAAGACTCGGTCTGCTCAAATGACTTTTTAGAAGGGAGCAGTGCTGGCGATGGAGGAAGGTGTTGATTAATTTTTTACATAGTGGATTGACCAAACAGCACTTATTATTATGTCCTGCATTTCTTTCGGCATTTTATTATTTATCACCTAGGATGTTGTCACTTAAAATGTTGTCTTCTTTTTTTTTCCATTGCTGTGTCTAGTCCATGCTGGTGTATGTTTTTGATGATCTGAATGGAACTTGTTAGTGGCGAGATCATTGATTCTGTTAACGTCGACGTTCAATGGGCATAAGATTACAAGTTGAGCCTCATTTTTGCCACAAGTTGCACTTTTAGCCACATGTTAAGCCACATTCGAGCTTTCGACGAGGTAACTTACTATAAAACCACTTATCCCTTCACGGATCTGATGACATAAATCCCCAGCAATGTCGATCAAGCAAGACAGGTAAGAAAAATGATTTTCTTTGAAGACCATTACCTGTTATCATCGAGCTAACTCTTTTCCTCTAGGTCATTTGCAGAGATAGTGTTTTCTGCCTTCCAAAAATTACAAAATGGTATGGCCATCAAGTATTTTTATCAGTGCGGTGAAATTGAGATGGTAGATGCCTGCGTTTTGCCTGACGGGGAGCAGCGAGTGACTCTGAAACGAAGATATGCTGGTGCAATGGTACTTAGGCAAGGCGTCCTGGCAAACCATATCTGGGTATATTGGAGTCCCCGTTCAGACAAAAAGAGTGAGCAATCCATGATTCGTTATGACAGTGACCACTGGAACGATTGTTTCTACGTCGCCAACGCTGCAACGGGCCTGAGAACCCCTCCTGATATCGTGAACACTCCTCCCAAAAGAAAAGTTACCCGATAATAAAAAAAAATTTGTGTGGCTCGCGTTCGATTTTTTTGGAATTCTGGCAGTCGTTTTTTTTGGATGCGTCGCATGCACTCTACGCGAAGCACTCTCTACCCTGTTATTACACTATTCTCTCACACACTCTCTCTCTGTCTATTACTCTTGCTACCCTGTTATTACACCCTTATTTAATCTAGTTGACACCAATTCTCCCCCCTCTCTCTCTTTCTCTCTCTCTCTCTCTCTCACTCTCTCTCCATCACTCTTGCTCACTCCATCTACCCTCCATAACATCCCATCCAATGTCCCACTCGCAGGCCCCACTGAACAGCCTCCTGTTGTGTCGGCATCGATGACGCCAGTTCCTACAACGACGCAGCTGTTGCTCTGCTCTGTCTGCAGTCAACCCTTTAAGCCAAGTAAGAACCAGAACACTAACTTGCGCCGTCATCTTAAGAACATCCACAACATGTCGCCAACGATGCACCCCCGCAAGTGCAAATGGGACTCGATACCTGACGGCCGCATCAAGGACGACAAGGACCGCAAGGAGCGCACTCGTCAGAGCAAACGTCTTTCGGCTCGCAAGACCCGTCTCCGTCACAAGGCCGAGGAGGCAGCCTTGGGGTTGTGCATGCTCAGTCAGGCGGTCTAAGGCAAAAGGCTGCCCCCCCCCTCCACTGCCACTAATTCCCCCCTCCACTGCCACTAATTTTTACCCCCCCCCAGTTGGCGTCAGAAAAATTATACTATATAATAAGGGCACAATTGTCAGAACATCGAAATTCTCACAGAGTGACAGCAGCGAGGATGCAGAGAGGTCCAGTTTCACAAACGCAAGACCTCAATGTAAAAAAAAAAAGTCGGTCAGTTCTCACAAATGCAAGAACGGCCATAACCACCAAAACCGCGCTCGGCTCTTAAGGTTACGCCAAAAGCAGCCACAATGAGCCACCAAGTAGCCACTCTTCCAGTTAAACTAAACTAAAAAGGAAAATAAAAAGAAACATGCACACTATCTCTCAGATCGAGCACGAAGGAAAAGAAAGAAAAGAAAGAAAACTAAACTAAACTAAACTAAGGGAGGGTTGGGAGGGCACAGACATGGCTCGTCTGCTCGGAAATAGTGCATCTTATTTGCCGGTGTGTTGAGCAACCTTTTGAGGCTCCAGGGCATTGCTCGTCTAGAAAAGGTTCGCTCTCTCTCTGTAAATGGTTTACAGGCTGCAGATAAGATTGTCATGTCTGGGCCATGCATGCATGCTAAAGTGTACCACTTTTTTCCCGCATCAAAATAGCTACACCGTAGACCTAAAGTCAAGGCAACAAAGGAAAAAAGAAGCGTCGAACTATGTATAGTCGGTCAGCCAACACATCGACTGCATCGCTCATCACTAAATCCGTCTTTGGCACCTACCCTCCACTGCCTGCCACACCCTCTCAACAGCAGCAAGGATCCACCTCGCTCTCCATCTTCAAACCGACCTATCGCATCAACACCAATGGCAACAACAGTGGCACCAACAACAACAGGCATTCGGCTCATTTCGACAATGTCTTTGCCCAGTCCTTCTCTGTCATGAATTCAGTATCAGGGGAGAAGGGTAAACGCTTTCTTTTATGGCTCTGCAAAAAAAGATAAATGTAAAACGGGGAACCATCCAAAGGGTGCGGCTACTTTTTTTTCTTTGCTTAGGTGGTAAAAGGCCTTGGGTGGAGAAAGAAAAGAAGAATCGATTTCGTTGACTGGTCTGCCACTTTTGTTTCTTAGTGAGCATGCCTTGCTTTTCACTGCAGACCAACTCCTGCGATAAAATAGGTTTCGAATCGGTTTTACTGATCGAATCATCACAACCTTGTTCGTTTCACTTATAGTGTTATGATCGTTCTCGACTTCAAAGTGCGTTCACAAAGGGAATCCAAGATGGTGAGCTGATGAGCATGATCATTTTCTTCGACTCTCTTGTCTTCGCCTCTCTTGTTGGTGCCCCATGCTCTCAGTTGCGTATGTAAATCCCCATTTTCTCGTTTGTTTGTTGTATTACATGCGATGGCCGAGAAAGAGAAAGGGAAAGCGAAAAGTAAAAGGGAAAGGGCATGAACAAGTGAGTCAGGGGTGCATGCACGGCAGAAGAGCAATGCTTGGGAAGGACGCGAAAAGCAACTTGAACCATGCGCCAACATGAACAAACTAACAAACAAACAAATAAACGGGAAAGAGAGAAAGCAATACTCGAGTCTCCCCTCCCCTTCCCGTCTTCTTTCTCTTTCTTTTTTTCTTTTTTCTCTTTCTCACACACTCAGACACGTTTGCTTCTTTGTCCTGCCCTGTTTGCTTCGTTGTTTTCTTTTCCTTTGTTACTTCCCTCGGCTCCACTTTTTCAAATTGCCATCGCTCTTCTCTTTCCTTCTCGGTGTTCATAGCATTGCAATCATCGCGCTCTTCTGCTCTTCTGGGTCCATCCTCTCGGAATCAGCTGTAAGGACACACACCTCTGTCTCACTGCAACAAAAACACTAACAAACCCAACAACACCAACAACAACTCCAAAAACAGAAAGCAACAAACACAATAAGCACACAGACACAAACACATACACTCACACACTTGCTACTCCCTCACCTCAACAACTGCTCCTCTCCTTACCAACCCAAAACCAAAAAACACCTACTCCCTAGACCAGTCAAACCAAATCTCAACAACACCGAAACAATCATAAAAGGCTCAACCTGCTCCAACAAAAGGACAGCTTAAACAGTACGTTCAAGAAAGTATCCGTCTTCGCCAGACAAATAGCAATTGCTCCTCATACGGGCCTTTACTCACCCCTTTCCTCTATTTCTCTTATAGACAGTCTATAGAACCCAACAGCCCATAGCCTGCGCCTAGCCAGCACCCGAACCAACACTAAAAATAGACCCCTACTCTATATTTGTGTAAATATATTGCACGGTCTCTCTTAGGACGGTAGTAAACAACCTCCGAAGGCAGAAAAATTAATCCATTTCGTTTTTTTATCTTGCTAATAGTCAAATTGCTCATATTTACACTAATAGCACTCTCACCATGTCCGACCATCCTCTCGACCAATTGGACCTCCATGTCCCTGGTAGCGACAGCGCCAACAGCACCGTACGCATCAAGAAGCGCAACAAGTTCCGCAAGTTCCAGGCCCGTCTCCCGTGGGCTTCCGGATCGCCACTCCTTGCCAAGGTCCAAAACATCCAGTACCTAGAGTACGAACTGCACAAGTTCCGGTTGCTGCGACTAAAAGAGGCCAAACTGCCGGTCTTCATCTCTCCTATGGCCAAGGCCAACCTTCAAGCCCGCGACGACGAACTCTTTCTCCTCATAGAGAAGGCCCAAGAGTTCCTGGACAGTGACCGACAGGTCATGTTGATCTTGGGTGATTCCGGAGCAGGCAAGTCGAGCTTCAACAAGCACCTCGAGTCCGAACTCCTGCGCACATACACCCACGGTGGCCCTATCCCATTGTTCATCAACCTGCCCGCCATCTACGAACCCGAACGCGACATGATCGAGAAGCAGCTGAGGTCTGACAACTTCAACGATGAACAGATCCGCGAGCTCAAACTGCACCGCCAGTTCATCCTCATCTGTGACGGTTATGACGAAAGTCAGCAACTGGTCAACCTACACAAGACCAACATGTTGAACCAGCCGGGGCAGTGGAACACCAAAATGATCGTCAGCTGCAGGACGCAGTATCTCGGTCAGGATTACCGAAGCTTATTCATGCCTCAGAGCTGTGGCAACTACACCCGTCCAGCTGTCGAACTCTTCCAAGAGGCTGTGATCGCGCCTTTCTCCAAGGAGCAGATCGAAGACTATGTCGAACAGTACGTCCCTCTCGAGCCCCGCACCTGGACCACCAAGGACTACATGGACAGGTTGACAACCATCCCGAACCTCATGGACCTAGTCAGGAACCCTTTCGTCCTAACCCTTGCCTTGGAGGCGCTGCCACTCGTCACCGAAGGCAAGCAGGATCTGTCGGTCATCGATATCACCCGAGTCCAGCTCTATGACACGTTTGTGAAGCATTGGCTGGACGTCAACAAGCGACGTCTCGAGAGCAACGCATTGTCACCTCTTGACCGCGATACATTCGATCTGCTGCTTAGCGCAGGGTTTACTTTCATGGGTATTGACTATTCTATTAGGCTGGCATCGGCGATCTTTGAGAAGCATGACGGAAAGCCGGTCGTTCGATATACCCACCTCAAGGACAAAAACACATGGCGCGTCGATTTCTTTGGTCCCGATCCAGAGGTGCGGCTCCTACGCGAGTCGTCCCCATTGATACGCTCTGGCAGCCTGTTCCGGTTCCTTCATCGATCCATGCTGGAATACTTCTACTCGCGCACCGTCTTTGATCCCAGCAGCCATGGCGACCACGACGAACTTGTTCCGCAGTCTGATATTGGTTCCGTGGATCCTGAGTTGCTCGACGTCGAAGGTACCTTATTCAAGCGCAGCCTCCTCCCCGAGCCATCGGTCATCCAGTTCCTGAGTGATCGCGTGAAGCAGGTCAGCTTGTTCAAGCGACATCTCCTGGCAGTTGTCGAGTTGTCCAAGTCGAACGCCGAAGCGAGCCAAGCTGCGGCCAACGCCATTACGATCCTGGTCCGAGCCGGTGTGCGACTCAATGGCGCCGATCTTCGAGGCATTCGGATTCCAGGAGCGGATCTTACCGGTGGGCAGTTTGACTCTGCACAACTACAGGATGCCGACTTGACAGGTGTCAATCTCTCCAAGGCATGGATTCGACAAGCGGATCTCAGCCGTGCAAGCATGGATGGAACTCGATTTGGAGAGCTGCCGTGTTTGGAGGAATTGAAGCCAGTCTGGTCGTGCGCTTTTTCGCCAGACGGCAAGTTTCTCGCGGTGGGTCTGTTTAACGGCGACATCAGCATCTACGATACTGCAACCTGGAAAAGGATTCAAGTGTTTCAAGGGCACCAATTTGCTATTGCAAGTCTCGATTACTCGCCGAACGGCCAACAGATTCTTTCTGGCAGCTACGACGAAACAGCACGGCTTTGGAACAGCGAGAATGGATCAACCGATATCGTTTTGGAGGGACACTCAGACAGGGTGACGGCGGTGGCGTTCTCACCAACAGGCCAGCAGGTTGCAACGGCCAGTGATGACAAGTTGGTTAGGCTATGGGACGCTCGGACCGGTGCTGCTGTTTTCGTCTTGACCGGCAACACTGGCGTCGTTTCCAGCATTGCCTATTCACTAGACGGAAACAGGATTGCCTCCACCGGCCGCGATGAGTTGATCCGAATATTCGACACACTCACTGGGCTGCTTGTGCTGGAGTCTTGCAAGGGCGGCGATTGGATTAAGTGTCTGGCATATTCACCTAACGGCCAGCGAATCGCTACAGGCTCCGAAAGAGGCCGATTGCAACTGTGGGAGGCAGCAGCGATCACCCTAGGGCCTGGACAGGAATGGACGGCACACACGGATGAAATTACCAGCATTGCCTTTTCACTCGACGACCGTTGGATTGCCTCATCCAGTTCTGACCATACAGTGAAGCTGTGGGACTCTCGCTCCGGCTTACTTATCTCATCATTTGTCAGTCATACAGGCTATGTCAACTGCGTTCGGATATCACCAAATGGCTCGTACATCGCCTCAGCTAGCTACGACCAGACTTTGCGGCTGTGGGAGGTGAACTCTTCAAAACTAGGACTCGACTCTTACGACTTACCAGACCAACAGTTATGTGCGACATACTCTCCGGACGGACGGCAGCTCATCACTGGCAGTCAGAGACCCATGCGCCAATTCAACGCGGATTCAGGAGACGTCGATTTTGTTTTTCCTGATCACCTGCACGACATAAAGTGCATTGCATTCTCCCCAGACGGTCTCCAGATAGCCATCGGCAGCAGGAATCAGGGAGTGACTCTATGGAGCGTTGAATCCCGTGCTGCTTTTGTTCTTCGTGGGCACATTTCTTTCGTGAATTCTGTGGCCTTCTCACCTTGCAGTCGCTGGCTTGCTTCAGGCGGTTGGAGCTCGAAGGTGCGGCTTTGGGATACTCGCTCAGGAGCAGCCGGTCGTGTTCTGAACGGCCATGAGGGAACTGTACAGAGTCTTGAGTTTTCTCCGGATGGTTGCTGGATTGTGTCTGTATGCCTAGAGGGAACGATCTCACTCTGGGAGACCGGCACTTGGGAGCTTAAGGCGAAAAGGACGATCGATATCGGTCGGTACAGATATAACGTTGTAGCTTATATACCCGGCTGTCTTCAGATCGCCTCCTGCCATGGAGATGGAACCATTCGATTGTGGGATGATGATCAGCAACTCCAAGGTTTCCGATATATCCTGAAGCAGGACCAGGAGAGCTACGAATTTGCGTTTTCATCCTGCGGCCAGTGGGTCGCAACAACTCACAGCACCAGTGTTCGACTCTGGAGGCTGCCATCTCTGGATCAGAATCAGCAGGCGTTGCCGTTGCAGGATCAGGACTGTGCGTCGGTCATCGATGGGTTTACAAGACCTGTTGGGGAAGTTGTTTGGAGACCCAACAAGTTGGAGTTTGCGACGGCAAGTTATGAAGGATCGATTCGCGTTTGGCGGGTGGTGGAGGACAAGGATGGGCCAGGAAGAGTTTCTGTTGAATTGGTGTGGTTTTCTGGGCCTGCTGTGCTAATCGCCTCTGGTGCCGTACTCAATGATGTTATTGGTCTCGGTGCGGTGAATCGTATGTTGCTCGAGCAGCGCTTTTTACACACAGCACAAAGAACTTCCAAAACGGTGTGAGCTTTTGATTTATTTCAATAAGCATAAAATTAATAAAAACATTCCTCGGCATCAGACTCTACCACGAGAGCCGGGACATCTCCATTTTCAGCTGTGGGACCACCACCCTGTCATTGCAGCGGTACAGAGCTGCTGACACGCAACCCGCTAGCTCACCCATCAACTCTTCCAGGCCAGAAGGTCTGTCTTCACCAAGAATGCTGATCTCGAGCTTGTTTTCGAACAAAATCAAGATTTTCCGGAGGAGCGCGTCGCAGGACTGACCAGTCTTGACCTTTTTTAGGATGTTCAACAGCACCTTCTTCTCCAAAACAGCGTCTTCTCCTTTTGCATTCACTTCCTTGGCGATACGGCTCAGAAGCGACGACACCAAAGAGGCATCTCCAGACACCGGATAGACCATAGACAGCGTAAAAATCGACGCTGATTGAGCAGACACCATATTACTGATAAAGTAAGAGGAGGCTCGACCCATTCGGTAGGAGTGCTCCGAACAGAGATTAGATCGGATTTGCCGAAGGAGGTCGATTTGGAACCGCGGTATTTGTTTGCCAGAGGCAACGTCCGACGCCAGGTCGAAAGAACGCCTATCAACAAAAATTCTGATCTTCTCGCTGCCAGCAATAGGAAAGGCGCTGCAACAAGAACCGGCAGTAAACGCGCGGTCAGAGGAACAATCCTTGTCCAATCGCCAAACCTCAATGACAAGGATGTTGAAGATCTTGCAACCAACAACAAGACGATGGTCATTCTTGTCGTGGTGAATCCGACATACGGTAGCATGGGGGTACAACCCGGAAGTTGAAGGCTGGGAAATGGAGGAGACGCTTTGGCTAATGGAAATAGGCTTTTCGGCGTGAACGTCAACATCAAGACCTCGGCCATACGATTCGGCAACCAAACAGAGTACTGCGTTCCTATTTAGCGGATTGTAGAGGACACAACCAGCAAACAAAACAGCGGTAGCATAATTCAGGAGTGGCTTTTTAAGCCAACAGCCAGAAATGATGTGGTCCCAATCTTCCGGAAGGCGCTGACATCTTGGAAACTCAATCCAACTTGACCGAGATAGCACTCCCTCATAAGGCGAATCGGCCAAAAGCGACAATAGACCCTCAGCAGGCTCGATTTGAGAAGGACGATTTCGTACGCCAAGGTCCTGAGGTGACAAATTCAAATTGATACCAAGGCTGATTGTGCCCTCTTCAGAGCGAGAAATCAACACCTCAGCAGATTTGTTCAAGCGCTTTGGTGCACTTGACAGCAAACCGGGAGAGGAAGGCCCTGTTTTAATTTTTACACTCTTATTTAATCTATTTGACACTTTTGTTAACACCACTCTTACACTCTATTTGATCTAGTTGACACCAATGCCACCAATTCTCCCCCCTCTCTGTCTCTCTCTCTCTCTCTCCATCACTCTTGCTCACTCCATCTACCCTCCATAACATCCCATCCAATGTCCCACTCGCAGGCCCCACTGAACAGCCTCCTGTTGTGTCGGCATCGATGACGCCAGTTCCTACAACGACGCAGCTGTTGCTCTGCCCTGTCTGCAGTCAACCCTTTAAGCCAAGTAAGAACCAGAACTCTAACTTGCGCCGTCATCTCAAGAACGTCCACAACATGTCGCCAACGATGCACCCCCGCAAGTGCAAATGGGACTCGATACCTGGCGGCCGCATCAAGGACGACAAGGACCGCAAGGAGCGCACTCGCAAGAGCAAACTTCTTTGGGCCCGCAAGACCCGTCTCCGTCACAAGGCCGAGGAGGCAGCCTTGGGGTTGTGCATGCTCAGTCAGGCGGTCTAAGGCAAAAGGCTGCCCCCCCCTCCACTGCCACTAATTCCCCCCTCCACTGCCACTAATTCCCCCCTCCACTGCCACTAATTCCCCCCTCCACTGCCACTAATTTTTACCCCCCCCCAGTTGGCGTCAGAAAAATTATACTAATAATAATAAGAGAATCTGATGCTGATTGCATTCTTTGTGTCGGTCAGCAAAGATATTATGTCCATGTGCCCCAGTTGTCAAAAAAACGTGCAAAAAGTGCAGGCTGGCTGTCATCAAAAAAACTACCAAAATCACGCTCGGCTCTTAAGGTTACGCCACAATGAGCCACCCCTTATTGTTAGCACTTGGGTTTTAATGAAGACACCATCTAATCTAAGAACAGCCCTCATTGATGATTGCCTCACAGCACTTGATAATACCGCCGCGTTTTGTGAACAAGGAATTCTTCGTCTGAATGGCTTTGGCAAGATGTTGCGCGTAAGAGGGGGCCTTTACGGAGTGGCGATTTCCTGCACAGACTACACCACTGGGAAGTTGCGAGGGCCAGTCGCGAGGGCGGATCCGATAGACTATATCATCATCGTCTTTACAGAAGCCGGATATGGTGTTTTGGAATAAACGAAGGTCTGGGATGCGGTTCTTGGGGACGTCGCATTTGGAGTCATAGAGACGATCGTCTGGATTGCAAGTCTTGGTGTCTTTCCAGCAGTGAAGAGCCAATGTAAAAGGACTTAACATCAAAAGTATGAGCAACGGAGGTTTCATTGTAGTGGAGTAAGGTTAAGAGTAAATGAGATAGAGACAGAGAGAAAGAGAGAGAGATAGAGAGAGAGAGAGAGAGAGAGAGGAGAGACACAGATTTTTGATCAGTGTCGGTACATGTGTAACGTGTATTTTTGTGGGAAGAGAACGTAGAAAAATTACACGGGAACAGAACGTAGAAAAATTACATGGGGACAGAACGTAGAAAAATTACATGGGGACAGAACATAGAAAAATTACATGGGGACAAAGCGTAGAAAAATTACATGGGGACAGAACGTAGAAAAATTACATGGGGACAGAACGTAGAAAAATTACATGGGGACAAAGCGTAGAAAAATTACATGGGGACAGAACGTAGAAAAAACGACCACATTTTTGGGCAAAAACGACCATTTTGCTAATAATAGAACACTCTCAAAATCCTTGCACGGCGTTAGTCATGCTTTTCCTGAACCAAGAAGTGACTTTTTTCTTCTTCTCCTTTCAAACAAACACTGTTCCCCCTCCCGCCTTCAATTCGCTTTCATGAAAAAGTGCGAGTACCGCTCTATCTGCGCCAAGGGCGGAGACATTGAGGAGCCAAACGACCACAACCGTGACTTTCATTACAATAACTCCTGTATCGCAAAGAACGAGAAGGGCAACTTCCTCAATTATTCCCTCGCTCGACTGGCGGTTGAGGAGGACGAGAAGGAGCGCTTCGTTTGTCCTGGCCGCAACTGCAACCAGCGATCCATTTCTCGCAAGAGTATGGCCAGGCATGTTGAGAAGTGTTTAAAAGTCAGCTGGATCTCTAGCTTGACAACAGCAGATCCACAAGTACCTTCCACGCCATCCTTGGACCCCCAAGCCGCATCCTCGTCTCCTCCAGATCCACAGGTCAACGAGCGCTCTTTCTCGTCTACTTATCCAAGCGCACATGTCAATCGTCGATCCAATGGTCTAAAGCGACCAGCTGTTGCCATGGAGAATGTGTCTTCGACAGCACCCCCGACTACGCACGCCGATGCAGATGCGCCCAAGATATCAATTGCAACGCACTCCCAAGGTGGATTCTGGGAAACCGCTGAGTGGTCATCATTCTCGAACTCGATGGAACTATTCAGATCATCTTCCCAATCAGCCATCCAAGAACTTTCAGCCCAGGTCACCAGTCTTACAGTGAATGCCAACAATTCTAACAAGACACTTCATTTGGCGGTCGACATGATGCAAGGCCTTCTGAAAAATCAAGCAGAGTCAACGAACAAAACACTTTCGAGCATCGGTCGCCTTCAGGTGGCATCCATTGCCACCCTCGGCAGGGTAGAGAAGAAGCTGGAAGCCGCATTGTTAGGAGTACGGGACACCGTCTCATCGCTACAGATCGATGTTGCCAAGTTGCGTAATGACGTCCTCGACAAGACAGAACGGATCATGACTGATCTCGAAGATCAAAGAGTGAGCACCCATGAAGTGGGACTTAAGCTGGACACGCTACCCCTTGGATGTTCGTCACTTGGTAAGTGATATATCTTGTTCCTATTACTCATTCAGTCCTGATCGCTAACTATTCGCAGAAAATGATGTTCTCCAATTTTTTTACACTTCACATCCTTTATCCAGACCCAAATATGAACATTGTGGACTACCTTGAGTACACTCGCAAGTTCACTGAGCGGCTGGACGAACTAGGCGAGGACTACTTAGAACAGGACCGAAAGAAAAGAAAGATCACGGGCAAGAGTAAGCAGGCACCATCAACTTTGAACAGTAACCATCTACCCGACAACATCGACCATATCCACAGGGCCAAGGCTGCAATGGCTGCGCGAGCCAATAAGGAGTTCATGGGGCCAAATGATCTCGAGTTGCCTGATGACGAGCAGACGTCCGAGTAGAAGAGGGAGATCTAAGAACAATAGCATGAAGTAATAAAGCGAATATTACGAACATTGCAATGGTGCCAAAGCTCAGTTAATCAAGAAACAAACGGCAAGATATCTTGCAGCCTGCCGACAAGGAGACCACACGCCCTGCAACATACATTCGCCAGCTTTTGCAAGTATTTGACCAAAAGGGCAAACTTGTGACAAACAACGACGAGGCAGAAACTCTCGTGACATGCCTTGCAGGATCCTATTCTTCGGAAATATCTAAAATCAACCTGCAAAAAAGCAATTGGATTAAATTAGTATCCCAGGCTGTAGACTGCGTGCGAAATAAAAGCAGCCAATATCAACTTGCCGCAAGTTTTGCCTGCAGCCACAATGAGCCACGAAGTAGCCACTCTTTCAGTTAAGTACCCTGAGAGATCTTTCTTGTCTCGGTTAAATACCATGCTTTTCTCTGGTTTCCCGACATCACCGTTCTCCAACAAGTCCAAAATGCCCGAATTGGAGAGACCCTTCTACCCCATGGTAACTGAGGAGTCCGTGGCTGATCGCCGTTCAAGGTTTAGCTGCCTTAAAAGATGTCTTCGTATCAGCGTAGCACTACTACTGCCTTTGACAATGATATCGCTCGCCATTTATGCTGGCTTTGCGTCATCAGAATTTACTGAATATGGCAGTTGTCCATCAGAGTTTAACACAGTCAATGCTGGACATTGCGCCAAGCGCTGGTCATTGTCTTTGAAAGGTCCTCTCGTGCAATGCGATGCTACATCAAAGTTCAATGTCCCATACTGGTACAGAGACTATCCTCTCTGCACCACTAAAGAGGTCAACTTACTTACAACACTGTCAGTTGTCTCATCGATACTATTCTTAACTGTAGTTTTGTACCGTGCACAGAGTTGATCAGACCAATTACACGCAATTACATCCTTCCCATTGATCACTTAATACATTCATACGCATTCTACTTTTTTATCTTAGTTGCATTTGACATAAAATTGCCATGCAAATAAACTTAAGTTGTGGCTCCTCGTGTGACCTTGTGGCTGACTGTGGAACTGTGGGGAGGAGTGATTAATATAAAAAAAGTGTATCCAAAATAGACGACTCTGTGCACTCGGCGAGCACTCGGTCTTTAATGCCCCGTATCGACGGTCGCTGAAATTCTCTTGCCACTAGACTTGCGAACACACGACACATTTTGCCCGTTCCTCTGCTTCGCCCAAAAATCGCCCATCAGTTGGGCGGCCCCCACCGTCAATCACTAAGGATTTTTTTAATAGCCAACTGACGCACATCGTCCATTCTGGGCTGCACGATCCTCAAAGGGGGAAGTGGGATGAATCTGGAGGCTCGGTCACTTACTTCAATCAAGTGTTCCCAATCGTCCATTATGTAAGAACACACAAGCTGTTGTGACTGTTCGACCATTGGAACGATCCAGAAAACCCAAAGCTCATCCGCAGTGTTTTCCTTGAGTGTGATCCTGGCACCTTGTTTATTTTTCAGGGTTATCCTTCTCGGCTTCCCTGGATCAAGGATTGCTTGTGCACCAATTAGGTCATCGGTGTGTTCAAAGAACGTGTGCCCCATGGAGTTTTGGAATATCTGGAATGCATCGTACAAGTCTTTTACTGCCTGGGCATGTGCAAGCCTGAAAAGATAAGAGGAGTCGAGTTAACTCAGGATTAAAGTTCTTTCATGATACAACACGATGTATTCATACCTGCGCGACATTGTTGGCTACTTGATTGAGTGATTGATTGACATCTTCGCCGATTTTTATATGGTATCCTGAGTGTGGATAGTGTCTTTTAGTGTGGCAGATGGAAGGTTTGACTTACGATTTAAGCTTCCGTGGCTTGGTCTGATAAATCGTCGTTGTGAGCCACAGCCAGTCCCCTTGAGATAAATAGCCACTGTTTTTTTTAACTCGATCATCATCCTTACATATTGACTGGGCTGCACGAAATTCAATGCAAGCGGATTTGATCGGAGATGATGGCCATGCCGTTAATGATTGTGATATGGCTCCACAAAAGTCGATCAGGGTCAGGCGCGTACCAACTGGTTATCGGATGAGCACGTTTACAAATGAGGCCAATCAAGACAAGGAGATTCCTGTGAAGCGCTGTGCCGTTTGTTGTAGACTGCTGTACAAAGAAGAGTACTGTGCACTTTGGAAGAAACATCAGACAAAAATCGTAGAGCAATTCGTCCAAGACCGAACTGCTGCGCTTGCCAAAGGCGCTAGTCGGGAGTCTATAGAGTCTATGACTTGGCCATTGTTGAATTACCGCGACCATAAAGGAAAACGAATACGTGAGCTCGATATAAAAGCGAATGGCAAACATGCAGGTGCCGTCGTTGTTTGTGCAAGACACAAGTCAGGAGGGAGTCAAGATTTGGCCAGCATCATTAGCTACGTAAGTTGATTACGGATTAGATAATGGTCTTGCTTCGTAACCTCGTTGCACTAAGATTATTGTCTTTGCAAATTTTAGATGAGATTCGTCAATGAGAAGTGGATGTATCCTGGAGATCAAGCTGCTGAGATCCGAGACCTTAATCCAATTGGTGAGGGATATCTCTGTCCGATATTGGTTTTCTGCGAGTTGACAAATTCGCGTAGCAAGCTGACACCTGCCTCCCGTGCTGGTTATCATTTTGTGTCTGGCCGCATTAGCCTGTGCAAGAGTAAACGGTATTTTGGATCTCATGCAGGAACTCGTGGACTGATTAAACTTTCGGACATGGATGTAAAGATGTCAATTGAAGATAAACAGAGGATATGCATTGCCTGGTACTGGATGAAGGAAAATCACCCACTGATAAAGGATTTGGATATCGAAGAGCCAAGCGATCTAACGAATGCTACTGAGACTCTCCTTGAAGAAGCCGAAATGACAGAGCAAGGTGTCGATATGACCCGGCTTGGCGCTTGTCATATGGGACCAGTTGGTACTGGAGGTCCCACAACAGCGGACGAGTCAAACAATTTAGGGAACTTGACTATTGGACTGTTAGGGAGGGACCAGAAAGTGGTCAAGTACTCGAACCCTTGCCTTCTAGGCTATTTATTCCCGACATTGTACCCTCGAGGTCAAGGTTTCTATTCACTCGATTATGACGGTGTTAAACGAGAAAATATCGATCAGATCGAAGTATACGATGGTAGGTACGTGAAGGTTGTGATTCAAAAAGCATGTTCTGTTGAGAAGAAAAGTGCGCTAACAAAAGTTTACCTTTCAAACATCCAGAAAGCATGGGTGACAATGGGACTTATCGAAACGACGAATTTGAAGGCGGTGGTGAAGAGCATGTCTTCTCATCTGAGGATGAGAGGAGTGAATCCAAATCTGATGATTGCACCGATGATACGCGAGACGATGATGATCTTGCTGACCAGGAGCAACTTGCAGACTCTGATTACGATGAAGAGGATACGGATATCGAGTCTGACATCAGTGACAGTGAAGGTACCTTACGAGTTTGATTAACGCTCGAGTAGCTAGAAGAATCGTTGACATGGCTAATTTTGAGTTCTTTCCGCAGAGGAGTTAGATGCTCAAAGCCAAGAAAATACGTCCAAGTATTCCAAGAGTGGCATCAAGAACTATGCCAAGTTCCGCCTATTGAGCGTTGATAGGCGCTGGGGCCGAAATATCAAGTTTATTTTAATGATGTTTGATTGGATTCAGAAATCATCCATATTTGCTTATCAGAGACGCCTGGCTCGATTTTTCACGGGCGGCAGATTGACTCGGGCTGAGGATGTGTTGGACCGTTCAGTCGGCTTTGAAGGTATGAGTGTGCAGATGATGAAAACCTTGAAGTTAGATTCGACAGATTTGATTGCTATTGCCAACTAACAATGAACGACAATGGTAAAAGGAAAAAAATATCGGGAATCTCGGACCGTTGCTATTCCCCCTTTTATCCGAACAGGCCTGAAGTACAAGAGCGCTCTGTTTCAGAAATTTTCCGCGCTTTTCGACGAGTTTGGTAGTCCTCAGTTGTTTGGAACCTTCTGTTGCGATGATAAGAGTGCTGGTCAGGTTGCTGTTGCTAGCCATTTTGGTGGTCCGGACGCCAACACGCATGATGATCCTGTTTTGTTCACAATGCACTGGAAGAGGCAGTGGTTGCGATTTTGGACATTTGTCACGAGCACTCGAAAGGGCCGGGAAGGCTGGGCTATGAGAAAAACTGGTGGTATCCGAGCATGGTGCTGGGTATTTGAACTTCAGGATCGTGGTACACCACACACGCACTTTTGTTTGTGGACCAAAAACAGCATCGAACAGATGATAAGCGATGATATTATTACTTGTTCTAAACAAGAAAAGCCGGAAGATCAGGCACTTGTTTTGAAACACCAGATTCACAAGTGTACTGCTTATTGCAACCCTGAAGGGAGAGATACGTGTCGAATGAAGTACCCGAGACCTCTCAGTAATCTTCCTGCACATGTAGACGAGGAAGGTCGTTACGTTTTGCCAAGAGCAGAAGGAGAGGAGCGCGTCAATGGATACAACATGGACCTTCTTCGTTTTGGTCGAGTGAACATGGACTTACAGTACAATGAAGGAGACAGAGCCAAGTACTACATGTGTAAGTATGTCACCGAGCAAGCTGGTCCCAAGCAAGTGACTATTGTCACTGATAAGGATAAAATTGATGCCTCAGCTGCGGGGATGTCTTCGAGCAACGAGGATCGGTCTTCGAGCAACGAGGATCGGTCTTCCAAGGAGTACATTACCCATTTTCATTACCGAAGTGTTGGTGTGGTCGAGGCTGTGATGGACATTTGCGGGTGGAAAATGCATGGTTGCTCGCGTGTAGATGAATTTTTGCCGACAGAGTTGCCGCAGAATCGCAGGCGCATTTTGAAAAGAGTGAAGGATCTGAGGAATTTGGTAAACGATACGGACATTTTTCTTGATGACAAATGGACCCAGTATTTGAAACGTCCCAGGAGCCAAGAAGGTAAGCATTGTTATTGTATACTAGTCTAGGTGTTTTTTTTTGTTAGAACTAATTTTTATTTTTTGTGCATGCTATAGGAGGACCGGATTTTGATGGCATGACTTATCGTGAGTTCTTCAAATTTTTCCGATTCGGGAAAAGGAAGGCTGGGCCTAATTACGTCGATGACAGAGGAAAAAATGTCTGTCGGAGGGCCCATGGTAAGGAGGCTATGATAAGGACAAGAGAAATTAGAGTTACCAAAGCAGAAGATGCCTTCATGCATTTACTGATGCTGAACCATCCTTGGAGGAGTGATGTCGACAGCTGGATTGGAGTTGGGAAAGATCATGAAACTTATCAGTCTTTGGCTCTGGAGGTCCTGGGACGTGACAGGATAGAAGAGCTAGCAGAGGACCTGTTGGTGGTGTTGGACCATGGCAATGTTTATGAAAACCCGGTTATCGAGCCTGCCGCTAACTTGCCAAAAGACATCGAATGGACGGAAGACCAGAGGAATGTTCTTGACATGGTGAGATGTCGTCTTCAATCTCGACAAGATTGTTTGATCTTGGTGACAGGAGCTGCGGGCACTGGGAAGTCTACGGTTCTTGAGGAGATTCACAGGATCGCCAAGAATGAACGATTTGAGCCATTACGTCTCGCTCCATCTGGTGTTGCGGCCGTGAACATCAAAGGCCAGACATTGCATCGTTTGTTTCGGCTAACAAAGTTAGGACGACAATTTCCAGAGGGGAACTCCTATGATGTGCGACTGCAACTGATGGACATTGCAGATCAAGGCTTAAGACCGATCTTCCTTATTGACGAAGTGTCCATGATATCAGGAGCTATTTTGAGTGTTCTCTCGAAAACTTTACAGGAAGCAGCAAATGTCGATTCAGGCGTGCCTTTTGGAGGCTTTCCGGTGATTTTGTTTGGTGACTTTGGTCAGCTGGGGCCAGTTAACAAATCATTGGCCTCCACAGACTGGGTCTGGAACTCGGAAGTTTATCAGAGCTTTGAACGTGTAGATCTCATTCAACCTTGCCGACAGTCTGGAGATGTAGAGTTCAAGTCAATGCTTGATGATATCAGACGCGGGGAAGTCACTGGTACCATGGCGTCTCTGTTTTTCGAGATCTGTAATCAGTCCGAGACGATTCCCGAAGATGCAATTCATCTGTATCCAAAAAGGAAGGAAGTGGAGGAGTTAAATTTGAAGAGATTGAAAAGTTTACCTGGAGAGGATTGATACAGTGTCGCCTCAGATAATGCCGGAAAAACGAAGGATTCGTCCAAACGAGAAGCTATCGAGGCGGGGACCGGGCTCATCTCTATATTGTGGCTGAAAGTAGGCGCAAGAGTCATGTGCACGTCTAATGTTGATGTCGCTGGTCGTATTGTTAATGGCACTACTGGAGAAGTGGTTCAATTCTATGGTCAACATGTAGTGCAGGTGAAAGAGGATAACACTGGGAGAATTTTCAATATTCAACAGGAGTGCCGACGAACAAGATTCAATGGCCAAGAGCGACGCCAGTTTCCCCTGATTCTTGCGTGGGGGCTAACGATCCACAAGAGTCAATCCTTGACTTTAAACAAAGTCGTCGTTAATCTACGCGATGTGTTTGCCTCTGGCCAGGCTTACGTAGCCATGAGCAGGGTTCGCACACGGAACGATCTATTTATCAACAATTGGTCAGCACGAGGGCTATTGAGCGTCAAACATGCCATCAAAACTCGTCTGACAAAGTTGTCTGAGGCTTCAAGAACACCAGAGGACGAGGAGATAGAGAAGCTAGAGCAGTGTCCTCAATCTCAACCAGAGATAGACGTAGCCGAACACAGGGTCTGAATGAGATGCAACTGCAAGGATAGGAGGATATTCTTAATTCTGTTTTATCATATCAAGTCGAGCAAGGGTACTATCTTCATGATGGTCAAGAGAAGAACGCGCCTTCTCCATCGTTGCCGTTGCCGCCAAACCCATCGGGGTCGAATCTAGAGTCCAACGAGGATCTGGGTATCATTGATGACGAGCGATTGGAAGGATGGAAGGTCAGAGACAACGCGCAATTAGATGATGTGCGGAACGATGTTGTTTCAGAAGAGGACGCTCGATTGAAAGGATGGGATGTCGGAACCAGCTCAAAGTTTGATGAAGCGAGGAACGAGGTTATTTCGGCAGACAAGACGACTCCCAAGAATGGTGCTTTTAGAGAGGACATGTTCAATTTCCGATCCAAAAAACGGACATATTCTGACAGTGACAGCAGTGAACCAAATGTTGCTGTGAACAACGCAAGTGTCAAGAAAACCAAAAAAAGAAAGCCGATCCCATCAAAAAAACGAGCTCGACGTGGATCTTCTGCTGTTGCCACAGACTCTGATGATGATTACGATGGAAATCAAAGAGGACTTGGCTCTGTTTCGGTGAAAAGAAGGGCTGCTGTTGAAGTCGCAGATGCAAATCCTAGAAAAAAGAAGAAAAGACTCTCCGAACAAGAATAAAAACACTGAAAAGGCTGTCCCTCACTGTGAATTCTCAATCTGTCATTAGGCAGCAATGCATGAGAAATTTTAAATGTGTTGCGCGGTGGCAAGGAATGAAGAAGTTTTTTTTTTTTTTTTTTTAATGACAGAGTAGAATTTATTTCAAGCACCACTAAGATAAAGCAATGCCTCGGCAGGTACTCCATAGTTAAAAGGACACGGGACTAGATCTACATGAGAGATGGGAGGATCTGGACTTCAACATGGACTTTCACATCATCCTCATAATCCAGATGGTAATCACGCTCACCTCCAAAGTACAAACTTTACTGAAATATCGAAAAGAGAACATATGAATCTATAAAAAAACAGAAGGACCCTATCGGCGGTGGTGGTTTGATTGAACGATGCTTTCAGCAAGGGCAAGGATAGTTCCAGCACCGGAAGTAGCCAACCCCAGAGTCTGGGGTACATATCGAAAGATATCCGAGATGTATTTGCATCCACTCCACATCTTTGCCCCCGCAGGGAGTGCTGTTCCGAGGAGGGACTTGAAGCCGATAGAGTGGCCCAAGAAGTATGTCAGTGCGAACTTGAAGACAAAGTAGGAGAGGCCTGATGTCGTGTGTTTTGAGAGGAGGCCTGTTAAGGATTGTTTGTTTGATGGCGAAGAGGCACTGGAGCGGGAGGTGTCGACGTTGAAGAGTTGGCTAAGGAGGGTTGGGAGGAGGAAGAATGTGCCGTAGTAGGAGAAGAAGGGTTGGAGGAAGTTGGGCCAGTTTGTGAGGAAGCCTAGGCATGATCCTCCCGATGTGTTCTAAAAGGAGGAAAGGAAAGCGCGATATTAGATGTTTTTCTCTTGTGCTCGCTCATTGACTTGGACGACGTGAGGGAGAAAGAAAGTCTGGGGGTAGGGGTTGTTTTACCTTGAAGTGAGCGTCGGCCTGGGAGAGGAAGACAACCAACTCCAACACCAGTGTCAACCAGACAAACCCGCGACTTGTCGCGCCCAGCTATGGATATATCAAAAACAAATATGAAATGTTAGCTGACAATGTCTTACAGGTATGCACGATTCTCAAGGAACAAAAAAAAATAAAGGTGTGAACTTACGTCCTGGAGCCTTCTCCACGGCTTGGAGAAATTTTCAACAACATGGTTCTTGACCGCACAGATAACTTGCGTGCCCCAGCCGCGGCCGTGATGGTGGTGGTGTCCGTGGTGGTGCTTGCTGTGGCGACGGTGACTTCCTTCTTCATCATCATCCTCGTCGTCGTCGTGATGGAGGCGACGGCTGCGAAGTAGGTGGGAGGAAGAGTCCTCGCCTTCGTGGTGTTGGAGGGATGAAGCATGTCCGCTATCATGACGCGAGTACGACGAGTGGTCTTTCGATCCGCGTTTTCCTCTACTGTTTAAGGAGGTTGAGTTGTAGCTCCTGCTACCGCCAGATGTGGTAGTTCTAGTAGACGTACTCTTGTCATGCGAAGAATTACCAGTGGTAAACTTTGCTTGCAGAGTCTCTTCCAACTGCTCGGCCAGATCCTTGGCCTCATGGAGTTCCTCCTGCATGTGCTCCATAAACCCACGAACCTGCCTCTCATCCAACTCCTCGTCCTCGGTATGCGAGTGAGAGTGTGAACCGCGGCGGGCTCCAACAGAAGAAGAGGAGCGGGACTCCTTGGTGACGACTGTACTGGTTGTCTTTTTGCGCGGGGAGACACGTCCTGAAGTGGAAGCAGAGTTTTCTTTGGTGGTGTAGGTTGTAGTGGTGGTAGTTGTGGTGTCGGGACTGTCGTCGCGGATTAGGGCGCGGAGGGATGGATCGTTCGAGGTTGCGATGTGGGCCCTTTGTTTTTTTTTGTTTGATTTTGGAAAGAAAAATAAAGGATGAGTTAATGCACTCCATGCAGTCGTTGTTGACCCCTCGTTAAATCTTGTCTTGTTGGTGCCTGTTTGGTTTGAAGGATGGACTTACTTGATGCGTTCGACAATGTCTTCTCGGACACCGTCTTCCGAGAGCCCCAAGCTCGAGGCAAGTTCTACCAAGTGTCATTCAAAAACGAGAGAGTGTATGATGAGTGTCTTTTTGTTTTTAAGATAGTCTTTTTGTGGTTGGATCGTGGGAAAGTATGGAGAAAGAGAGAGATGAAAGAAAGGATTACCTTTAAGATCGGCCTTGCGGCGTCGTGAGAGAGATACTACAGACATGATGTGATGTGAGAACGGTAATGCAAAAACAGTGAGGATGGGAGGGCGGGTGAAGGAAAAGTAAAGAAAGCACAAAAGAACAATGAAAATGAATAAACAAAAGTAGAAGAACGAAAAAGAGCTTTGTCGCGAAAAGGAGGGCAGATGATAAATTTTTTTTTTAGCCTTGTCGCGTCTAATTCGCAATGTTTCGGCGCGAGATCCAAGAGTGCTGACTCTGGAACAAATGAGAATCCCCCCTTTCACAAACAACCCTTGTGAACAGGGCATCTCCCCTTCTTGTCAGCTGTGAACGTCGTCATGATGTCGATGAAAAGCATAGAAGGAAATGTACAGTTTATTTACAAGCGTATGTATGATTCAATGCCTCTCGGTCTACTCCAGTATGCTCCTCATCTAAGGTGTGCAGGTGGTGGGTGGGTTGGCGATAGGGGCCTGGAAGGTCTGGTACCAGTTCCGGGGATCAGTATCCCCGAGGCACTCGGCAACAGTGACGAGCTTGTAACCAAGGCCCTTGATATAGGTAATCGACCAAGGGGTCAACTGTGTCACAGTGCGCTGATAGGTATCGTGCATCAACTGCATGTGGTTGGCGCCCTTGGGGTCGGCGTTGACGACATTGGTAACATTAGCTTGTTCCAGACGAGCGAGCTCGGCGTCAGAGAGCTTGTGGGGGGTGTCGTTATCATCGATATCGGCGTCTCCGGTGGCAATGTCCCAGGTGGTAATGACGTAGCCCAAGCCAGCCAACGTCGTCTGGACCTTGACATCGTTGGCGCTACCGTTAGCGAAGGTGCCGTCGCCATAAGGAGGGCGCATGTAGCGGGGGACGACTCCGATGAGCTCCAGGAGGGCCTGCTCGACACGGCGCATCTGAGTGGTGATCTGGGCGGTGGTCTGGGTGGTCAATGCGACGTGAGACCAGGTGTGGGAGGCGATCTGGTGGCCAGATTTGTAGGCACGACTGATGGCTGCGCGGACAGCAGGGTCATAGATGCATCCGTTGTTATTTCCGTTGACAAAAAAGGTGGCCTTGATTTGCTCACGGTCCAGGATGTCAAGGAGCTCGTTGGTGTAGGTTGAGGGGCCGTCGTCGTAGGAGATGGAGTAAGTACCAGGGACGATGCAGTTAGTGTAGACTTTGCCGGCAATAGTGGCAGGTGCGGGTGCGGGACCCGTCAGGGTGTAGTAGGGTAAGAGGGTTCCGTTGACCATGGTGCCGTTGTGCAATGGTTGAGGGGCCGGTGTGGGGCTAGGGGTAGGGGCACCAGAAGTTCTTGCTGGGGCGGTGGTGATGGGAGGAGCGTTGCCTCCCGTGGCGTTGCCCGAGATACCGTTTGCGTTGTTGTGGTTGCGGATTCCAAAGTAGACACCGGCGGCGGCTCCGGCAATGACGACGAGGGAGATGGCGCTGATAAGGACCTTGTTCTTGGTCTGCATTCCTTTCTTCTTTTCGAGAGACATGGTTGTTATGATGTGGTTAATTGGGATGGATAATTAGGGTGGGTGATGGTTGTTGTTGTTGCTATCCGATAGTTGATGTAGTTGTTGTAGGTGGTGAGAATAGTTTGTACTGTCGTATGTTGTTCTTGTTACTGTTGTTTTTGTTATTGCTGGGTATCGATGCTTTGCTAGAGTAGCTTGTTGAAGGAAAAATAATACCGGGGAATGCAAGCGATTATTTATACAAGTGCCAAAACGATGATGAATGTTTACCGAGAAACTTTGGTTGAGCGATGGTGGCCACCAAGATGCGACAAAAAAGGGACAATATTCTTTCCAAGTGCGATGCAGAGTCTCTTCCCCTGACGATAGACGCGCAGTTCCCTCCCCCCCTTCCCCTTGCTGTTAGTCTTACGGGTGTGGGCAGGCAGGATAGGGACCGAAGGAGTAAGAGGGTTGAGAGGAAATCTATTTTGGGGGCAGTGTGGCACGGCCTCTGTGTGGCACTGTCAGCAGAGGGAATGCGCCACAGGTTGTGACAAGGCCGACAAGGCGTACATTCTAGAACGTACAATGCAGCACATCTTCCTTGACGGAGTATTTACAACGGCGAAGTCTAGAGCTGAGGGTTGGAGCAGAAAAATGGTGTGATGTATATACATGTGTGTCTGTCATCACTTTATGCTCTTTTGGGCTGTGAGTAGTGTTTATCGCGGTTTAGCATCCCATGCTCATCTACTTTCATTCTCATCTAAGAGCATAATTATCCGGGTATGTAAAAGGTTGGAGTGCTGAAGTCCAGGTAACTGCCATCAAGTAGCCTCCTTCGTATTTCTGTTGGTTAAACACGATCGACATTCAAAGGCTCGAAAAGAAAGAGTCCAGACCTGATGGTCACCCACTTTCGGTGAATTTTCTTACGTTTATATATCCAAGGGCTATGTTCTGTTTTGGTCCCCAAAAGTACAACCTGTTGGTCGTTGTCTTTACAACGCTTACACAGTTGGTAGATCGCGTTGTGTTGGTGTGTGACCAGAGTGTATCAAAGTTGCACTTGCATGACACTGACAGCGAGATATCATGTATTGTGTATGCGTCCTTTCTCCATTTTCCACGGAATGTACAGCCCATGTAGCCTTTTTCTCTCCACCGTCTCAAACCTAGAGTATCCCGGGAAGTGAAAATGTGCAATTTCTTATTTCGCAGAGGGAGAATTACTCGACGTGGGCTGAGTGAGGGAAAGAGAGTTGACCCTTGATTTTGCGCGGATGAGCCAGCCACCTCTGCCGTCAGTCGGACTAGACGATACAAAAAGATCGTGCACTGGTGGCCTGGAGAGAGAAATACAATTCAACGCGCCTCTTCTCTAGCCATTCTCTCATCTTCTCTTGCTCGTTCTATTCCGTCTCTTCTATCTTACGTCTCACTCCCTCCTTCACCCTTTGCTTGCTTGGCAGCGTTTGTCTTCAGCCAAGGATGAAAAATCTAGATGCACAGCCATGAGGACGTTACTGCTTTCCCTTCTCCTGACGCGATTGCATAAACGGCATAGTGAAAAAGAAGGTCCGTCTTGTCGTGCGTCCTAGATGAAGATAGTTTCTATCTCGAGTGGATAACACGTTTTTTTTGCTGACAATAAACACTAGTTGTTGAGGTAAGTTTCTCGTTTCTCTTTGTATGAACTGGCCGTTTGATTTCCACGATCAATGTGCCATGGATCGACAGGAACAGCCACTGAGTGCTTGTCAGAGGGAATGATCTACAGCTTCAGCTAATGGTTCATAACTTCCTTTCGGTTACATGATGTGTTTGATCAAGGACTGGTTGTACGCTTTTTTTTCCTCAGAGTAATTTGGAGGTGGTCAAACCAGCATGACGGGAAACCATGAAGATAACTGATGACTGCCATCCTGGATTCCCTTGTCATGAAACGATCGCTGACCAACACTCCGATTAAAATGTATATTTCTGAGGAATGTTGTTCGCGTGGCATTATATTAAAATCTTGGATGACCGGGGATATGATGTCGAATCAAATCGATAGAGACGGTTCATAACTTGAGACATATTATTATGACCTCGACATGATTTCAGCTCAACCTCGGGAGGGTTCGCATACGACAGCAGACATGCAACCGTTTCCTTAGCCGCAACCGATCCTTTCTTATGGCCAATACTCGCTCACCGTTTGCTCCACTCTGACGCGAGAGTCACCTCCCAGTTCTCATTGGCATTTGCAATGGGTGCTCATTTACAACAGACCATTCACCATTGACGTCCAAGATGGATCCACTCTCCGTCATTATTGTCCTCTCCGTGAATTTTTAAATTTTTTGCCGTCGTTCCTTTTTTTTTCGATCATTACTACAAGGAAGGAAGAGGGAGGAAGAAGGGAGGGGGGAAAGGACAAAGAAAGAGCGAGACTTGTGTTGTTGAAAAATAAGAATGCGGCTCATGTTACTCGGGACGGTTTACTGATATTGGTACCTTCTCTTTCACCCTAAGAAGATCGATGATCAACAGGGGGTCGATCACTATCACCTTCTGCCCTGTGCCATGGTTTTTCTGAGGCGATCACTGTTGACTTTGATCAAAAAAACGGTCGACGTAGAAAAAAAGATGGTTGTCTCCCTTTCACTCCTTTATCTCGAATGGACACCCTGGTGAAGGCACTGGCATTAAAAAAAAAAGTAAAGGAGAATGTACTGAAGGAGGAAGGAATAGCGAAGAGGGAGAGAGAGAGAGAGAGAGAGAGAGAGAGAGAGAGAGAGAGAGAGAGAGAGAGAGAGAGAGAGAGAGAGAGAGAGAGAGAGAGAGAGAGAGAGAGAGAGAGAGAGAGAGAGAGAGGGGGGCAATTAACAGGGGAAGGAAGGCGGGAAGGAAGGAATGCACCAAATAAATGCATAAGACCTGAGCTCTCCCGTCTCCTCTTCCTCTTTCTCCTTCCCCCTCTCCTTCCTGTCTTTCTCCTCTCACCCTTTGCCATCGCTTACCACTTCACCCTCTCACTCTCTCGAACACGTACTCTCCTCCTTGTCCGTTCTCTACCTTTCTTATCACCACCACTCACAGTTTCAAAGAGAATGCATCGTCGCATGATCCCTACTCCCTTCTCAACTTCTCCTTCCACTTAATTCATCCTTTCTTGTCTGAACACACACACACATACACACACATACACCACCAACTGCTCCACCATGTTGAGAAAGACAGGGAAATCCATCTCCTCTAGTCATCCAAACATTGCCTCCAACAATGGTCCTTCAGGATCCTTCCCAAGCAGCCCTGCCATGCGTCGTCGTCGGAAAGAGTCCGAATGCATGGTAACGAATCAAGTCGACTTTTTGCACCTCAACGCTAAACGCGTTTAAAGTCATGTGGCAAACAACGATTGCTGACCTCCCGAATCGACTCTTCTCCCTCTTCTACTCCAACAGCTCAAACTAGAGCGAGTCCTGGGTTTGACATCAAACAAGCCCATGATCCTATCCGTCAACTCGACCCATGATCTTGTTGCTTATGCGGCTGGCTGTGTCGTTGTCCTCTACAACCATAAGCTCGACAAACAAGTCGGCCTGCTTTGCAGCGCGACGCTTAACAAAGCGGCCTCTTCCTCTTCGGGAGACGGAATAATGTCCGCGTCAGGACCAGGATCGTATCATTCTGGAATGCTCGGTCCGGGAGGAAGCGGAGTAGGCCCGTCGAGAGGCATTGCATCCCTTGGCGGTTCACCTAGGACTATGGCGGGGACTCAATGGATGAGCCATCCCATGGCAAGCGCCAATATCAATCCGCTGGCGGGTCTGGCGCCCATGTCCCTTGCTGAACCCTCCTCCAGCTTTGGTGCTTCCAACCCAAGTAGCAACAAGAATGTGAAACCCAAACCCATTTCCTGTCTCTCCTTCTCCCCAGACGGCCAGTTCCTGGCCATTGGCGAGGTACATCTCGCTCGCCACTCGCACTTGCATTTATTTCCAAGCCGACGCCCATTTTGTAGTTGACGACAAGGGCGATCGAATTGACAACTCTCTTTTAACCTGGCTCATGCTTAGACGGGACATCAACCGAGGACTCTTATCTGGGAAGTGGCATCTCAGTCGCTCGTGGGAGAACTGCAAGGCCACAAGTTCGGGGTCCAGGCTGTCCAGTTTTCTCCCAACTCAAAGTTTGTCGTTACTTTGGGCTTTCAGGTATTTGAACGTTGCCTCGCTTTTTTTTTTTTTTTTTTTGGGAGGGGCAGGATGACCAACAATGTCAAAATGTACAATAGGAATGAGACTCGACTAGGGTTGAAAGAACGAGATTCAACAACGCGCTCAAATGAAACTAGGTGCTCAATTGCATATCTCTGTTTTTCTTTTTTTAGCATGATGGATACATTCACGTCTGGAACTGGAGGACGAACACGCAAATCGCGAGCAATAAGGTGACCAGCAAGGTCAATGCTCTTGCCTTTTCAGCAGATGGATCTTATTTTGTCACAGCTGGTCTGAGGCACATCAAATTCTGGTATCTGAATGTTGGCGCCAACAAGCGAGCTGGATCCGTAAGCTTTCTTTGCTGGTTCTCGCGAGAGAATTGATCGTTCGAGTGACCATTCAGTAATTAATATATTTTCTTTCCTGAATCATAGTCGAGCACACGAGTTTTGGATGGACGCTCAGGAATACTCGGTGAACTTCGGGATAGCAGCTATGTCGATGTCGTCTGCAGTCAGGATGGGCGGTTTACTTATGCAATCACCTCCAACGGCATCCTCTGTGTGTTTTCAGAAGGACGAATCATGGAAAAGTGGATCGACCTCCACGTCCGAGGAGCATACTCTATCAACCTAGAAGAAAGATGCGTCATCTGCGCATGTACCGATGGATTCATCAGGTAATACTGCGGTTGCTGTTAAATATGAAATATCTTTGGTTTATAATATCGCGATATATAACGACTGCTGACCAACTTCGACCCCTCATTCTCATCCTGTAGACTGTTTGAACTTGAGACCCTACAATACATCGTAACACTTCCCAAACCTTCTCCGGTCGGCACATTTGGCTTTGAGACACATCAGGAACCTCAGGAAGAGCAAGCACAGCACGAGGTCATTGCGGACGTTCTGGCCTCTCAGTTTGACGCATCGTCGTCCAGCCTGATTTGCATTTATTCAGATCGCTCAATCATTGTCTGGAATCTCTCCGACCACAAAAATGCCGTTGTTTCTACCAGCCACCACTTTCACTCGGACTGTGTCTGGGGTGTTGAGGTAGCTATTCTTCACATCTAAAGACCTGACTAAGGAAACGCTGTTATTGCCTTTGTTAACAAAACTTAACAACGATGTAAACATTCCTTGTAGATGGTGCCTGAGCTGGCCACTGGCGAGCAGGGAGGAAATCTGTTTCCCCCAGAGACGTTTGCAACATATTCCGCAGATGGATCAATTATATTCTGGAACTTGAACGACGATGTGTCAACACTTCCACCTCCGTCAGGTACAAATCGGCTCTCAACAAGCGACACCACTGCTGACCCACCACTCGTCCACAAGGAGATCGTCCGCGTATTGTATGCGGACGAGAACTGTAGGTCGTGGATCCAGTCTCCTGACACACAGGACGCAATGGACCCAGGTTACAATATTGTTCCTTTAGAGTGTGGAGTGCGCACGGTAAAAATTAGTCCCGATGGCAAGTTTCTGGCATCCGGAGACAAAGGAGGCAATCTTAGGTGAGTTTTCGATTACATTCAAGGAAAAAGCTATGCGTTCCTCACAGTTGAAGTAATACTATATACTTCCCAACCTATAGAGTGCACTCATTATCAACACTCGAGAAGCTCACATATCAGGAAGCACACGATACAGAGATTTTGGCGATCGACTTCACCGACTCGGAGGCGCAAGATTCGGCTGTATTGGTCGCGACCGCTGGACGGGACCGACTCTTACATATTTTCGATGTCCAAAACGACTATGCGCTTGTGCAAACTCTCGACGACCACTCTTCGTCTATCACCTGCATCAAGTTTGCTGCTGACGGATCGCGGATGATGAGCTGTGGAGCCGACAAGAGTATCATTTTCCGAAATTGTCAGAAGGTAAATGATAGGTGTTTAACTGGCGACTGCAAAGAAGTCCAAAAATATGTTCTGGTCACTAATATAGAACTATTATTCGCACCTTCGTGCCACTTCTAGAACGAGGAGGGGATGACGTTCCAGCCATATCATCAGGCGCCAGGACGGGCATCATTCTACGACATGGCCCTGCATGGTCCCAGTCAAACAATGTCGGTGGTCTCGGGCGATAGACGGTTCAGCGTCTATGCATTGGAGTCTGGAAAGTCCATCCACACATTCAAGGCCGAGACGAAAGGCAACGATCTGACAGCAGGCATGGCGGAGGTTTGCAGTATGACTCATCTCAGCGTGGACCCCACTGGTACCATCGCAGCGGCGTCAGGAAGCGACAAGTCTATTCGGATCTACGACTTACTTCACGGAACATGCCTGGCCCACACGATTGCTCACTCTGAACTGGTGACAAGCGTCAAGTTTACGAATGGATTCACCCGGGTCATATCTACCAGCGCTGACGGATGTGTGCTAGTCTGGCGGCTTTCAAAGGACATCGTGCGGCGGATACAGACCAGGACTCTGGAGAACGTCACCCTGCCATCCTACCTCCAGGCCAAGGCAGCTGAAAAGGTGTCGATCCCGAGCTCAAGTTCGACGTTGGGAGTGAGCTCGAGGCCGTTGAAGATCAAGAAGTCGACGGATCGATTGACATATGCGAGCGATTATTCTAGTGCCTCTCGCAGAAACTCGACAACGTCTTTGATGAGCGACGACTTTGATATTCAGTCTGACGATTTGAATCCCTCCCAGCTACAGCAGCAGGGTTCAAGAAACATGCCAAAGGACTCGCGACTGGACGGTATCTCTCAAGACTTCACTCCAGTTTCTGTGGCCAAACCAACATCCGCCAGAACAGGAACGCGGACAAGGACATCAACAGCTTCCAGTGTGAGGACACCTCTGAATCGATCTCGCCAAAACTCAGCATCGCAGCCTGTCACACCAAGGTCCAATCTGTCCTCGAGTCGCGCAGCTGTCTTGCCCGAGCTTCCTCCTTGGAACAAGAACATTGTCAAGGAGAAGGTTGTTATTCCACCCTCTACTCTTTCTTCCCAGAAGCCAACAGTATCTACGTCGCCTCGCCAGCGTGTGACAATGGCCCTCGTCAAGGGCAAGTGGCTTCCTACGCCTACTAACCCACGACCACGAGCAATCTCCTTGGGGGTGCCTAACGAAAAGAGCCTCATTTCCTCGGACCCCAGCGCACAGGAGACCGCAGAGCAGCAGGAACGACACGCCCTGAGCGACCATACACCTCGCAGCCATGCCGGCGCCACCAATGTTGCCAGTGCGGATGATGACGAACTGAGCGAGGAGACAGAGCCAGGACTTGATGACGGACTTGGATTCGTTCCTCCAGGGTTTTGCGATAGCCCGGTCAAGGGTGTCCCGGATTCCGATACTCGTCCCGAAGTTGATCCTAAAAGGGCACCAACGAGTGGTTCAGCAGCGCGTCCTACATCTCGCACGACCGGCAGCATCGATTCGACAGGAGAACCCATGCACACGACTACATCTGGAGCCGAGACGGAGGACGAACTTGTCGAGCAGGAGACCGGAGGATCGGAAGAACGAGACGGGGATGACGAAGAAGCAGATGATGACGAAAGTGCTATCGATTCGGCCAGCGACCATGATGTGCTTTCGCCAATACAATCCAGATTCAGAAGTCCAGGCATGGACATCCCTGGGCCTGTAGAGGTGGCGGGCAGCTTTGAGGAGGGTGAGCGTCTAAGGTCACCCGTAAGTGGCTATAACAGCGCGACCGCTTCGCCTTTGAGTCGTCGCGCAAGTTTGAAACCCGCAGAACTAGGTCGACGAAGTCTGAGCGCCAAATTCTTGACGGCGCATGCGGCAACTATCATGCTTGGGCTCGTCCGGAGTTCGATGCAGGAACGCAACAGTAATACTGGTAACGACGGATTACACGGTGATCCCCTGGAACTTTCTTCAGCCGATACGACACCGACTATGGAGGAGGACAAGGAGATGGGTCTCGCAGATACTGAACGTGTTGAGCCAGTGGCAGCGGATGCAGACTCGAGGCCGTCAAGTTCATCCCACAGTGAACCGACAGAGGCGGATCAGGCTCAAAGTCGTGAGCACCAGCCAATGTCGTTCGAAGAGCGCCTGAACCCGGCCTCGCTCAATTCGCTGACCAAAGCCGTCATGAGGCGAAGAGCGCGAAGCTCAGCCATCGCCCCACCTGTTACTCAATCGCCCACGCAACCTCATATTCAGGACGGTGCTTTCGTAGAGGAACATTCAGGATCGAGCAATTCTTCAAGTGCCAGGACGCGGGGTTCAGCATCAGAAGAGTTGTCAAAGGAGGTCGAGCGGACAAGGAAGCGACTTCAGGAACTAGGTTACCTGAGCAGCCCCACTGCCACAACCACCGCTGGATCCCATATACCGCCGTCGTTGGACTCAGTTTTGGCAACCATATCCGCCGACGAGCTTGCGGGCGAGCAGATCTCAATGGATCAGGTCGAGCGTATCGACAGTAGGCCATTGTCAGGAGGAATGGACGTTGAAGCGCGTCCAATGTCTCCGTCTCCTATACAGCCATCATCCACAAAGAGTATCCTGACGTCGCCTGCACATGTCACTAGTCCTGTGATTAAACGCAATACAAGTCATGGTGGTATAATCGTGGCCCCACCACCTTTCCATGGCCAGACAGACGGCCAGGCCCGCGCACAAGCGTCGTTGGATATGGCACTTGCAGGAATCGTTCATAATGACCGAGTGCCTCCCCCTCCTCCTCCTACCACAAGTCAACATGGTTCGATCAAGTCCAAGAAGGCAGCGACAAAGGACAAGAACGGTAACGGCGGAGAAGACGATGAATCGCTGAAGGACGCTTTTGCGAGGATTTCGTTCTTGATCTCCCACAAAGCCAAGTCGGCGACGGTTCGTCTCAATGCTGGTGATGACGGTGGCGCGGAGCATTTGGCGGACACGCAAGCTTGGATGAAGGAGACGCGCGATGGGCTATTGAAATTGGTTGGAGAGGCTCAGGGTCACCTCTGGACACTGGAGCAGGCATTTGCAGGCAGTGACGATGTTGAATAAAATTTTAGTTCTGGTGGCGCCCAATTAATATTAACTGCGGCACACAACGTGTTGATTGTTTCATGATATGGATGGGTGCAGGTAATAAGAAAAGGCCAGTTGTGAGCATGCCACCATATGCAGACCTCTTGAAAATGTTGACTGGTCACCTTTATTTGGGATGAAGACTGATGCTTCCAGGAGCAATGCCTCCAATGGGTCCGATGGTATAGCCCGATGGCGAAGCCCAATGGCGCATATAAATACGAAGACCTCCCTCTTTATCCTATTTCACTCTCCCCAACGTCGCTATGAACGCCTGGCTGCCAACAAACCACCTACCATTAGTGTTAGATAATATCGGCCTTCCAGTATCCCTTGATCTTTTTTTTCAGTATCTCTTGATCCTTTTCCAACATCCCTTGACGTTGTCTCTTGATACCGTTTCTGGATATTGTCCCTTGAGATTGTTCTTGGTGTCGTACATTGTTGCCCATCGGTGGTGGTATCCATTAGTGTTGTCCCTTGCTATTATTCCTTAATCCATTCCTTGATCTTCTCTGTCCGTCCATTTCCCAGCTTACCTTTAATCTTTTTTTGACATCTCTTCTGTTCTCAGCTTTGCACGATGAAGAAAAGGTGCAGGTGAGCTCAAAGAATGAATGGGATGCAGGGGGGGGGGAATGCGACTTTTATCGTGGGGGAGGCGCACGAGCTTAATAGCAGGTTGCACTACCGCAACACTACGAGAACCACTCTACAATTTCATAGATTCGGCCCCGCTGCTTCAATGGAACGTTTGACATGAAGTTCTAGAATAAATCTCCTGCCTAGATCATTTGACGCTACCCTTTTAAAAAGGGGTGATGGCAAAAAAAAAATGAAAAAATGAAAAAATGAAAAAATGAAAAAATGAAAAAATGAAAAATGAAAAAAAAGACATGGTTTCGTATAAAAATGCCATATGTAAAAGTAAATTATACTGGGAGATTACAAGACACAGCAAGAATACAGCATCGAGCCAGAATTGCCCCCCGCGGAAGTAGAGTAGGTACAAGGGTATGTTCAAAAGTGCCTGGACAGGGTGGGGGTGGGGGGGGGGGGGGGGGGGTTCTGAGCTTTCTCCTATGCCTCCTCGTTTGTTTGGACTCGACAAAGATGTTTTTTTCCGTTTGTTGGTTGGCAAGCATTTCTGGAACCTTCTGCCAAGAGAATCGAAAAACAAGGAACATGGAATAGGGAGGGCTGAGGTGTGTATGCACGAAGTTAGTTCATACCATCATCTAACCGGTATAAAATGGCACAAAGTAACCATAAAAAAAATAACCTCACAGCATGCCATCATCATCTTTATTCAGTCATACAAAAAGTCCTCATTCTGTTCCCAAACGTGTTGTAATTCCCAGCCCAGCCCTTTTTGCTGCTAAATAAAATCTAGTTCACTCCTTTTGTATTCTGTGACATGAAAATTGGACAAACACTCTTGTTGCTCAAGTGGTAGAAGGACGGACAGGGAGAGAGGTAGTCTTTCCGAGATATAAATAGGGAAAAGAAAAGGTACGAAGAGGAAGGAGGTAGACAATTATCAGTGAGGGAGGTTGGGTTGGATTGTGAAAGCAAGTAAGTCGGAGTGTGCGATGCATGGGGATAGTAAGTTTGACGCCTATTTCCTACCTCGCATGGAAATAATGACCACCTTTACGGAGTAGAGTTTTCCAAAGGTCCTTTTTTCATGACCAGTATCATCTTTGCAACCATCCTCCTTTCTCAAAGCCCACCCTCCATCCCTCTCCCTACATGGAATACCGAAACGGCTTGCTACAATCGCTCATGGCCATACTCCGCAACATTCCGACAACGCGGAAGGGCCGCCGCTACTGCCTCGTCTTTCTCGTCGTCTCGATTGGCTTCGTCCTCATCCTCACACTCAACCACTCTTCAAAAGCACTCTCCCTCAGCTCCTCGGCCCTATTCTTTGGGCTCGATAGCAACTGGAAGCCGATCACGGCAGAGAACAATCGATGGAGAGGACAGACCGTCGCCAGAGAGTTCAAGCTCCCTGAAGCAACATGGACCTGCACGGACGATCACCTCAGCGAACAGGAAAAGGACACAAAGGCGAACAGACGGACTCGGCAATGTGTTATCCAGAATCTATGTGTGGATAGAAAAGGTACTGATCGCCGTTAGAACTGCAGACAATACGTACATCTTCAATTGGCACCGAGAGAGTAGGATGAAAGAACAGAAGTATTTTTTTGTGATACTGGTCGTTTCGTTTCTGATTCACATATAATTTTCTTTTCTAACGTTTTTTCTTTTTCTCGTTCATCTTTTTTCGATCTCAGGCGCATTCATTCGCAGTAACGGTCTCGGATCCCGCAAAAACATGCCTAAGGTCAACTTGTTGTCCTCGGCCGAAGAAGCAGACGCCTATTGGCAGCCAAGGCTACAGCGGTCATGGAGAAACGTCATCCAGGCCCATTTTATCAACGAGACCGTCTTTGTCCATGGATTGTACTCGCCCTTTCACTTTTCGCATTGGCTTTACAACGGGATGCTCCCTCTCTACAGGTAAGAACGTAGAAACACGACAGGATCAAGGAACAGCAGGCTACAGACAGAGGCAACCTTATGCAGCAAAAAATTCTAATCCGTTGTCTTTGTTCTCATATCTATCACAACATAGCACAATGAAGCGATTTGGAGGCACAAAGAATTCATGGACCTTCCGTGCTGCTCGGTACCAACAGGACAGCATCAACCGACAGGGCACCTGGGAGATGGGCCACTTTTTTCAAACCGGCAAGGAACTCGTTCTCTCCCAAGCCGAAATGTCCACGGCGTTTCAGACTCTCCCACCCTCGGACGCACCTATCTGTTTCCAAAGGGCTGTCATCGGATTGGGCTCCCAGTGTGCGCTGAGTTACTGCGAGATCAACATCCCTACAGAGATTTACAAGAAATTCCGGGAAGAGCTCGCGGAATATTACTGGTCGACTACGGAGGCTTGGTCAAGGCATCTGAGGAACGCGCAGGAGGCGATCAATAGCAGGTGGAGGCATCATGAGCAGGGACACGAAGCCCGCCAGGAGGTGGGAACAGAAAAGAAGAGACAGGAGGCGCCAGGAAGCAAAGCATCGAACTCGCCGCTGAAGTGCCTGGAGTCGGCCAGATACTACAACTTTGAGACTGCAGGACCCAACCACGGCCTTGAGCAGGGCGAGGCACAGAGCAGAATCGGACAGATAAACCCTGACGTTGCGGATCCTCCAGAGGGCTACCAGAACCTGCTTGTCGAGTCAGGTGCCGGAGTTGACTCGGGCAAAGCGAGTAAGCGAAAGCTGGTGGTCGGTATCATCCAGCGGGAGAGTTCCAGACGACTTGTCAACGACGACGAGCTGATTCAAGGTCTCGTCCAGGCGGGGTTCCGTGTCAAGTGGATGAGCTTTGATCATGGGTGCGGGATTGCGGAGACGGCCTACTTGCTTCGGGATATCCATGTTCTCATCACGCCTCATGGAAACGCCATCGGGACGTCGGTCTTCATGCCCAGCCACGACCCTGTGTCGACCATCATCAGCGTCGACCACTCGCGATTCAAGGAAGAATGGTTCATGTTTACTGCCACGGCACTCGGTCAACGATTTACTCAGACCTTTTGTGGGCCGAACAACTATGTGGACGACGTCTCGCGAGAGCATTGCCCGTATATCAAGGATCTCAAAGCCGGCCGCGATAACATGGTTGTTGTGCCCAACCTCATCTTGGGTCTACCGAATTCTATGGTCAAGACTGATGCGGAGAAAGCGTCCATGTCTGGCTTAGCCCTGAAAAGACTGCGAAACAAGAACCAGGACTATGTCAACAGCAACCCTGCGGCCCAGAAACTAGCCGAGGAGGAGATGGATGCCCTCATTGGTCCTGAAAGGCCCGATGCATTGATTCGAAAGTACGGCGAGGATATCTGGACATTCCTATGGTTTTTCTGGAAAGAAGCTCCTCGGTATGTAGATGTTATCCGGGTGGTCAAGTTTGTGGAGTCGCTGCAAGGGGATCTGGAACAGGAAAAACTCATTGAGACGACAAACACCCAACAGAACCTGCACTTGGACGACCCGCAGAGGTCATTTAGGCACTATTTGAACTATGTGCGAAAGGGTCAGGCCTGCGGATTGACGGGGTGCAGTGTTATCATGGAGAGGAACGTGGCAAACGAGACGACAGCTGCGTTCGGAAAGCACTCGATCGATGACATTTCTAAGTGGGGCCTGTCGACGAGTGAGAGCCAGGCGTTGAGGGAAGGGTTGACATCCGAGGTTTTGAAATCCATCTGGCAGATTGAACCCTAGAAAAAGAAAAGGCAACAGTGCCATATCGTTGGTGGGTTTTTGGACAACAACAAATAATAATAAAAATAAACACCACTTCTTACCGGCGGCGACATGTACAAAATGAGAGTGCGGAGCGTTTGTTTGTATGTTCAATTGACATCATGGCACTGCCAACTCTAAATCTTTCTACTCTCTTGGCAACAACATCAAGAATGGTCCGACTTGATTTTACATGGACGGGGGACACCTTTTCTCTTGCTTGGCCCTACACTTGGCAACCTCTGATCTGACTAAGGTTTACTTCTGCTTCTGCCAAGATAACAAAACCTTGCCCCTCTCCCTCTCTAAGTATTGCGGATTCCGCAATTGAAGAAACAAACGAGTATATAAAGGCGTAACCATCTCCTCTTTCCCTCTCATCATCAAACACATCCTCAAAGCAACAAAAGCAGCCAGTTCCAAGCCTACTCAAGCAACCCTCAGTCCTCTCTCACAACAACCCAAGAAACACTCAAGCCAACCATGTCTCTCTTCAAGCGCTCCAACAAGAACAAGACCGCCTCTGCTGCCTCGACCCCAGCTCAGACCCCTCGCACCTCGATTCAAACCATCCGTGATACCACCGGTACCAAGATGACCCCCGAGGAGGCCCTCTACAAGATCTCTCACAACATGATGTCCAATGCCTCGACCGGTCCCTTTATCCGCTAAAGGAATGACTCCTTGGATCGGCGACTCACCTAGCTGACACCACCATACCCTTCACTCACTCACTCGCATTTAAATCATTCACCCTGTACAATAAACAACTTATCTTTTAACCTTGTAACCATCATTTATTGTTGACGAATGTGTTGTAAGTCCTGACAGTTTTGTTCTCACAGTGTGCTTTTGAACACGGTAATTCTTATTTTTTTTGATCCCTCGTGTTAGCATTGCCATAAAGAAGAAGCCGATTGTCCTTTGTTAACCTAAGATGATTCCTCGTTCTTTCAAAAGAATATTTTCGCTTGCGGTCATGAATGGAGTTCCAAGGTCTCCAGTGTCTTTTTCGCCCCGCAGGCTACTTGTTCATGAACAAGACCCAAGGTAACGATAGTTACTGCGGCAAAAAGTAACGGGGGGGACTGATTCTGTCTGAGATTCATTCGAGACCACTATGGTTCATCAGCGAAAGAGAACTGACAGTTAGTCCTACGCACGACCTTTTGAAACGTTTTACACATTCCTTGCAAAAGTATAGAAGGTGGCAGGAGGTCCACTCTCTCTTCTTTTTTCTTCACTATCATCAAACAACCAACGCAAGTCAAGAAATACTTCAACGTCTTCAACAATAAACTCACCTACACCAACACTCTCTCACAAGCTAAAAAGATGTCCTTCTTCAAGCGATTCCACAAGAACAAGACCGCCTCGGCCATTTCACCCCTGCGAAAACCTCTCGCGCATTGATGACTATTGAGGATAGGACATAGATAGGTTTGCCCTAGAGGGAGAATTAGAGCCTTCCTTTTCTTTTTATTCGCGAATACAAGCTGGTTATCAAGTTGTCCATGGCCGATCGTTTGATCAAGAGCCTCCAAGAATGGTAGAGTTGATGCTCCACGGGCGACCATAACCAGTCCTACCCTGAGTACCAATCTAAGACTGGCGTCATCTTGCGCCTCCACCACAGCAAATAATGTGCGCCTCCAGGCACATCTGGCTGAATAAATACACAGCCATTATCATCCTCCCCTCAGTTTTTTCACGTACACACCACACCTTTTTCTTCCATATGCTCTTCGCTCCCACAGCTCATTCCCTCTCCCTCTCCATCTTTAATATCCCTCTCATCCTCGACCTCATCTGCGACAACCTCACAAAAGACGACCTCCTTCCTTGCCTCCAAGCCTCCCGCGACTGGCACGACCTCTTCAAGCCCCAGATTGTTCGATATGTCCGCTTTGCAGATCTAAAAAAACAACAAACATGGAACATCCTTGACCGCGCCGCTGGAATCCGATCCCTCACTATCGACATATCCGACGCTGGATGGTTCCTTAACAACCCTTATTCGCCTTGTGTCAACCTCCGGACTCTCCGCTGTGTCGACTTTGGATATCTCGAACCCGGTGACTACAACGACTACTACGACTATAATCTGGATGAAGTCGGCGACCGTAATCTGACAGGACGTCCAGTCGACTCAAACACCAACGCCCTGAATTTGGTCCAGTCGAATCTCAACCTGACCGCTCTCGAGGTGACACATGAACGGCAACACTATCGTGCCAATCATTTTACACCGGCCGTTTTCCTTTCTATTTCCAATCTTCAATCCCTCTTGCTCATCAAGATTGAGCTGGATGTTGTTCTCCCAGGGTCGTTCCTTTTTACCGTCTTGCAATATCTGCCGCAGCCCTTGGAGGACCTTTTGTTTTCAGTAAAGGGCTTGCATAAACTAACAGGAACCTCAACCGCCGCTCAACCCACTTCCCAGCAACACCACTTTCTTCGACGGGTCACCTTACATCCATGTTGTTACTGGGATGGCAACGAGGATGACCAAACAAGCGAGGGTATTCCTTTCAATGAAGCCATCATTTCACTGGTCCGGTGCTCGCCTCGTTTGGTGGACCTCAAGGTCTCGAACTATTGCGGGCATGTAGCAGTGTTACTACAGGCCCTCGCCGATCACTGCGCGGATGTAGAGACTATCGACTTTGAGGGACACAGTCACCCAGTCTTCAATGCCGTGACTCTGACAGGATCCCTTTTGCGCCTACGGGAGTTCCGACTAGCAGGATACTACACAGCCAACAACGAAGACGAACGACAACTGGTCCCAACCTTCCTCCGCCGGTCATCGTCAACACTCGAGGTGATCTCGATCGAACCAAGCTACAATTTATCCAATTTTGCTACCAACCCCTTCATGACCGCAGAATGGAACTTTTGGCCCGAATGCCCCCGTCTCCGAGAATACGCGTTTATACTCAAAACGAGCTATTTTCATCAAGTTGCGCCAGACTTCCACTCCATCGATGTCCTAGTCGAATTGCTCTCACGACCGACTATCGCCTGTATGGAGCTACAGAAGCTGAGGATCGGGATCACGGATTGCAGCGGATATGAGGAATGTGGTCGACACTCGTGTGGGGGTGTAGTTTTTCAGACTCGGGGCTGCTACGAGCATCAAGAACACTTTCTTCGGTTGATCCGGCCATTCCTCCGGTGCCTTCAGTCGTTTCGTCGTCTTCGTCAACACAACGTTTTGATTTGGTGGGACCTCTGCAGGTCAATATGCGGGTTGAACTTGGATGAGATACTTCTTCGCATCAATCGACCGCCGACTACGACAGTTGACGGTTGTGCAACAGGATTCATTAACGACGATACCGGCAGCGGCAGCGGCAGCAGAAGTGAGAGAGAGGCAACATCGCTACCACCAAAGGAGCCGGAGTTCACTAGGCAGGACCTGAGATGGCTGGGCTTCCATCGGCGTTGGCGTTCTGGCGAGGACAAGCAGCTAAACGTAGAGGCAGATGCACATGTAAAAAAGTTGCGGAGCGTCAAAGAGGATACCCAGGACGAGAACGCAGGAACGGCATGGGCACGCAGCTACAGACGTGTCGGTTGCAACTGGAAGGACTGGGAGAGCTTAGCAGGTCTCTATGGTTGTGTTCCCACAAGACATGGCAGGGCTCGCGACGTATATGTTGTGGACTGCGACCATGTACACTGTCCAAACGATATGCCCTATGGGATGGATGACGGTTTGGACAGGTTCTTGTCAGGGCATGATGTCAAAGTCGAACGGGGGCATCGCCGGCGGTCAATGCAGCGATGCAGGAGAAAAATAATAAATTAGCGTGTGCCAAGCACCCTTTTTTCCTTTTCGTTACCTCCGATTTGTTTTTGTTACCCTAAAAGGTATCCGTGCCATGAGTGTGTACCTTACCTTGTGGGGAGTTCATAAAGCATCCATGAATGCGCGCTTTATTTTTTTGTTATCTCCTTTAGGAAAGGATCGGTCATTCACCCTCACTTCATACTGCGGATGAATGGAGCAGCGTCGGAGAATATCTTTAATTGACATCATGGCCCTGTCAACTCTAAATCTTTTTACTCTCTTGGCAGCAACAACAACGATCCAGCTTGAATTTATATGGACGAGAGACACCCTTTCTCTTACTTGGCCCTGCACTTGGCGGCGTCTGATTTGGCTAAGGTTTACTTCTGCTTCTGCCAAGATAACAAAATCTTGCCCCTCTCCATCTCTAAGGATTGCGGATTCCGCAATTGAAGAAACAAACGAGTATATAAAGGCGCAACCATCTCCTCTTTCCCTCTCATCATCAAACACATCCTCAAAGCAACAAAAGCAACCAGTTCCAAGCCTACTCAAGCAACCCTCAGTCCTCTCTCACAACAACCCAAGAAACACTCAAGCCAACCATGTCTCTCTTCAAGCGCTCCAACAAGAACAAGACCGCCTCTGCTGCCTCGACCCCAGCTCAGACCCCTCGCACCTCGATTCAAACCATCCGTGATACCACCGGTACCAAGATGACCCCCGAGGAGGCCCTATACAAGATCTCTCACAACATGATGTCCAACGCCTCGACCGGTCCCTTCATCCGATAAGAGTTGACCCTCTTCTTTGGCTCAGTGACCCATGTAGCTGACACAAGCAATACCCTCATTCGCTCTCTTGTAATACCAACTCCACATTGTATAATAAACGTAATCACCAAACTCATTCATTGTATACATACCAAGTTGAACAAAAAAAAAGCGGGACAGGGCAACTTACATTGACTTTATTTCTAAAATGAATCAATCAAGGATTGGAAATGTCATGGCTCCACATCGATCACTCCCGCGCGAGGGCTGTTTGTTGTTTTTATCAAGACATAAACACGCTGTGCTTTTGCCATTGACAATCTTGTCTCGTCGTTTTTTCTTTGTTAGTCGCACCACTCATATGCCTTTTGCCCATACACCCTTTCTTTCGCTTTTGCCTTATGCGACAAAAAGCGGATGACAAAGAATCCAGATGACGCCAACATGTCATTTTTACATGATATCAATTTCCACCTTCGGTTTTTCTTCCAACATCGCCATGAAAACAAGGATGACAAACTATTCAATGAAGTCATTGACAGGTCCTTTTGCGACATGCAATGCCTTCTAATCCAGGAAACAGAACTCAATTGCTCAGTTGTATACTAACACCTTCATACGTTTTGGATTTCATGGTTACCAGATATGTCAATGACTGCGGCACGCCCATTTAAGCATGAATTACTGCAAATCCTTGTGTGCTCCTGGGTATCATGGCTGTTGTCGATGATAGACCAACCGTGCCTTGACCGATCCATTGGAGCAGATTTATTTGTTATTAGGAATCTTATGCGCAGTTTTACGCCCTGACATGTTGTTCCTCTCCACCCTGCTCTACCGCATGGAATTCTTCTCTACTTTCTTTGGTTGGTGACAGTCTTCTCTACTCTGACCTTTTTTTCGGTGGATGGATGGTGGGCTACGCCCAGGTATCACTGACCATGCGATTGAGGATTTACGTTTTCGGATATATAAAGGCGAGAGAGTAAGGGAAGAGAACTCACAAACCCGAAATCTTCTTCTCTGAAACTATCTCAAGACCCTTCTTCCTCTATCCTTCTGCCTCTTTCTTTCTCTTGGCCTCTCGCAACATCATGCTCCTCTTCAAGCGATTTAACAAGAAAAAATCAGAGTCTACCACATCTTCTCCTGCTCAGACCCCAGTTCAGACCCCATGCCAGACCCCGCGTACGTCGATCCAGACTCTCCGTGATTCCGGCATCCAATCGAACCCCGACCCCGACAAGATTATCCGCAAGACTACAAGGACCGCAATGACCAGCGCGGCCATTCCCATGTCCGTCCGCTAAAAACGCATATACCTTCTCCTCTGTGGCTGCCTGTCATCTCCTTCAGTCAAATATGGGGCATGATTTTTTTTTCTTGTATAGTATTGTCAGAATAAACTGCTAGATAAAGAAAAAAAAAAAGATCTACTTGGGGCAGGTGAACTCAAACGTCATAGAGGACTTCTCAACACTCCACCTCTTGGTCATTCCACCCTCAGTCGACGGGACACTGCTGGGGTCGAATGGCAAACAATAGTCGACCTTGCCCTTGTCGATTCCCGAAAATGCGTACACGACCGTGACAAAGATGCGCTTGGTTCCATCCGTTTCAAACTTGGCCCTAACTTCGGCACGTCCACAGGGGAAGGAGCTTTTGCCAGCAAAGCTCTTCCTCGTAATGGGACAGTTCTGGCCCGTGGTCTTGGCCTTGTTGAGATCAATGTCACAGGCGACATCGGACACCTTGTATTGGTTACTAAGGACGGTGGTGGCGGTGACGAGCTTTAGCTGGTTAGTCGAGCAAGCTTTTTTGAGACTGTCACTGAGGCTCTTGGATTCGATTCTGGGGCTGATGGTGATGTAGTCGGTGGGAGAAATTGGAGGTGTGAAGACAAAGACTTCTGCGCTGGCGTGTTGGGTCATGGTGGCCAGGCCAAGGACAATGGCTGAGAGGATGAAGGGCTTCATTTCTAGGTAGAGTGAAGGCGATCGTGGCAGCAAAGAACGACAAGGCGTGGTCAGCGGGCGTTTGAATCAGCCTATGTCCTCTTTTCACCCGTGGATGGGAGATATGCTTACTTGGAGAATTGAGCAGCTGGATGGATGGTTGGTGAAAGGTGATTGATGGGGAGAGAAAATGAAAACGGAAGCATAGCTTCTTTTTATCTTGTAGAGAGAATGGGTGAGTGAACCAGTGTAATCCAACACGCCCCTTCCTTTCCTCTCTTGTACGGAGTGACACCATACCAGTTGCATTCATGCTTTTATTTTGCGGTGTGAACACCACATAAACCCCATCCCCCTTCTTTACATGCGTCTGGAATTTTAGTGTGTTCATTCCCCATCGACGTTATTTCGCATCGCATGTATCCATTTCGTTGCATTCCAAGGCCAGCCCCCTTACAGCCGTCATGAAAGAGTGTGTCGTGCAAAGGACCGTAAAGAAGAGAGTCGTTGACATCCCTTGCTCTATGCAAGAACCTCCTCACTTATTTAGGTCAACACAAAAAAAATGCGCTAATGACTTTCTCAGGAGGCAGCCCATTGTCCATTGTGTGAACAGACCGTGCGCGGTCCTCCGCCCGCATAAATTACATCCCTCTCCCTTTAAAGCCACCGTCCATCTTGGATACTTGTTTTTCTTCGTGTAAGGTTCCATCTCATCACTTGTTCTCACTCCCACATCACCAAGAGGTGACTTAGGGTGCAATAGCATACAACATTCCTTTGAGTAAATCAAAAGAACCTTGCTGGCTGGATGCTACTCATCACCCTTCCCTCATTCGATTTTTTCGTAGGTAACCTTTTTTAGCACCCATAGGAGATACCATGGTTGATTCAAAAGAAGGATCCGTCCTTGCTATGAATCAAGTCCAAGCACTCCAACGTGTATTTTTTGAGAACCCACAATGCCGACGATGATAGGGTTCGAACTGATGGCTACTGCGGCAGAGTGCAAAACGGCATCCGGCACCTGGGGCATTGATCTGTCTGAGATTCATTCAAGACATTTACGGTTCATCAGTGAACTAGAACCGTCATGGGTCAGTTGTTCAATTGATCAACAGCTCCGCCCGCAGTTGCAATTGTATTTTAGAGCCGCAGTTTTCTTGGCAGCAAACACTTAAATAGGGAATCACAACTCTTTTTTTTTTTTTCTTTTCCACTATCACCATTCAAACAAACAACATTATTTCAAGACCATCAATAACAACCTCACGTACACTCACACACTTACCAAGCCAACAATGTCCTTCTTCAAGCGATCAAACAAGAACAAGTCCGCCTCGGCCGCTTCCTCCCCTGCCCAGACCCCTCGCGCATCCATGCAGAGCTCAAGATCGTCAGATGTCAAGTTGACCCATGAACAGGCCATCTACAAGATTGCCCATAACAAGCTGACCTTTGCCGCCGCCGGAATGTGTGTCCGTTAAGACACATAGTAGAGATCTAGTTCTTCTCTATCATATATATACCCCGGCATTGCATTTCATCCTCACCTTGTACAACATTAAAGCAACTTGTTTCTTTCACATTCTATGTCCCTTGTTAACTATCGTTTCAAAAAGTGCCACTTGGCACAGCCTTTACTTGCCTGCGGTGCCTCCCTTTGACCTCCCCTTCCACACCAACAGAGGGTCCGTTGACTATGACGATGTGCGCAGACCCTATTTTGCGTGGATGATAGTATAGACAGGTCCTTTTCTGGCCATGATGTCAAAGTCGAATCGAGGGGCATCGTTGAATTTTATTGCTCTGCTGTACGAGAAACGACACAAATTAGCATGTGCCAAGCACTTCTTTTCATTTGCTTCGCGAATGTTCTGGTAAAATATGAATGTGTCGCTTCTGATTGTTTTGTTACCCTAAAAAGTATCCGTGCCTTGAGTGTGTACCTTACCTTGTGGGGTGTTCATGAAACGCCCAAGAATACGCGTAGGTTCCTCGTCCCTCATTTGAGCCAAAGACGGATCGATATGTCGAATCACACATACACATGATATCTCCTTTAGGAAAGGATCAGTGAATGACGCCCATTCACCCACGTCGGAGAATATTTTTAAAATGTTTACTGCGACAGTTAGTTTATGTGTGTCCGCCGTCCAATTGACATCATGGCTCTAGCACTGCCAACCTTAAATCTTTGTCCTTGCTTGGCACTTCGATTTTACATCAACATGAGCTCCCTCTTTCTTGGCCACTTGGCGACGTCTAATCTGACTAAGGTTTACTTCTGCTTCTGCCAAGATGACAATAACCTTGCCCCTCTCCTTCTCTAAGTATTGCGGATTCCGCAATTGAAGAAACAAACGAGTATATAAAGGCGCAACCATCTCCTCTTTCCCTCTCATCATCAAACACATCCTCAAAGCAACAAAAGCAACCAGTTCCAAGCCTACTCAAGCAACCCTCAGTCCTCTCTCACAACAACCCAAGAAACACTCAAGCCAACCATGTCTCTCTTCAAGCGCTCCAACAAGAACAAGACCGCCTCTGCTGCCTCGACCCCAGCTCAGACTCCTCGCACCTCAATGCAAACTATCCGTGATACCACCGGTACCAAGATGACCCCCGAGGAGGCCCTGTACAAGATCTCTCACAACATGATGTCCAATGCCTCGACCGGTCCTTTCATCCGCTAAGAGTTGACCCCCCCCCCCCTTGTCTGGATCTACATGCCATCAAGCTGACACAAGCAATACCACCTCCATTCTTCTGTAACCATACCACTGTACAATAAACACAACATGATTTCTACAACATCGTTTCTTTTTTGGATGCTTTTTTTCTTTGAGAAACTACTAACCTTCGCGTTTGTTGAGACGCACAACACAAACACAATAACAGAAGAACTGTGAATACAAAAGGAAGGATGCAAGGGGGGAGGCGAGAAGACTAGTTAAGTAGCCTTGGGACAGGTGTACTTGACCAACGTAAAACGTCTGGGCAAACTGCCATCTCGTGACTAACCCCCTAACGAGTAGCACTATTAGCTGCAGCAGCAGCAACAACAGGAGGTCTTTTGGACGGCACAAAAGGCCTCACACCAGGTAACCTCCTCTGGCTGGTGGATAGTTCTCTTGACAAAAAACTGCACACTTGTAGAGATCGTAATAGTGCCATCCTCGTCTATTTGTCCACCGACACGATCGCACGACCACATTGCTGGAGTTTATAGACGCTCTGGAGTGGATGGTTTTGGTTCGTTCCACATGAACAAGAGTTGAAAGTAACTGTGCGATTTGTGAGAAAGTGAAGATGGTTGAAGATGAGAAGGTGATCTGCGAGAACAAAAAAATAAATAAAAATGGCTCCATACATCCATACACAGCAAAATAAAAAAGTCAAGGAACCTTAAAAGTGAGGATTCTTGGGTAACTATTCTTGTGCATAACTAACTAAGGCCACCAACCAAGAGAAAAAAAATATATCCTCGCTTGAAGATACCCCCTTCCTTACCCACGTCGATTCTCAGCGCATATTTTTAACCAGGTTACACTTGTCGGTCCCTTCATAGAAAAAAAAATATCCCCGAGGGAGAGACGACAAGGTATTCCTCCTGATGGAGCGTGTCCAACATCTTCTCTTCCATCACCGAATCCTCCATGGTTGGTTCCAGAACTCTTCTGTCCACAACAATACGCGACCTTAACCCCAACGTGTAGGTTTACGCAGGACCAGAAGTTGTTGTGAGTGTGTAGACCATTAGTATTTGGAGAGCGTTCCTATTTCGGTGCCTTTATTGTCATGCCCCCAAGTTCGTCGGAGAGGATCGGCGAGAACACTCGTCGATGATTCAATAAAAAGAGGTCCATGTACTTCTATGAAACAGCTCCAAGCACTCCTGCGCCTTTTTGCATGATCAAGACACAGGTAACCCTGGTAAATTTCTCTTGCATTGGCAGATCAGTCTCCTACTCCGCTGGAAACGAGCTTTTTGCTCCTTTGCCGCAGTGAATCCATTGATCCCATCCACAGACTCAGTTTTATTTCTTCAAACGCGTAGCAACCTTTTCTTTGACGACAAACATATAAATAGTTTGACCATTGTCCTGTATTTCTCCATTATCATCAAGCAAAGCAAAGAAAACCAAGCAATACATCAACAGCAACCCACGTTCACGCACACACACACACCCACACACAAGTCAAAGAAGATGGCTTTCTTCAAGCTATCCAACAAGAACAAGATCGCCTCGACCGTCTCTACTGCCGCCATAACCCCTCACGCTCCCAAGGAGAGCCCAAGAACTTCAGATGTCAAACTGACCCTGGAGCAGCAAGCCATCTACAAGATCGCCAACAACAAGCTTTCCCATGCTGCCGCTCTGGTCTGTGTCCGTTAAGACACGGGAGCCTCGGTATTGGTACTCTTCACCTTGTGCAACATTAAACATCTTGTACTTCGCGACTAGCCCTACCTTATTTTGTGCACTTCCCCTTGTCTTGTTACAAACTATATTTTCCATACCCTGTCCATCGTTTTGCCCTCCCTCTATGCCTTTCTTCCCTCCGCCGCGGACAACTACATTGTCGAATGTGTGGCATTCAAAGCAGATATTAACTTGGCATCAGAAAAATCTGGAGGGGTCTCTGACTACAACTGCCTCAGTTGAAGACGTATCTTTGCAGGATTGGAAATTGAATATTCCGCTCTATCGCCATATGCTCGAAGCGAGGTCGAAGAAAAGAACAGGTACGACCACGAGTCGTCAATGTATTCACGATTGAAGATCTGAGTTGGATGAGCCTCCCATGGTAGCTCTTTCTATGAGCAGTGCGTGTAATAATCACATCGTATGTTTGCCCAGACGCTGTCTAGAGCCAAAAGTGGCAAGCAGCCCCTTCCTGTGGATTTTGGGGGTCGTGCGCAACAAGTCTTCCTTTTGTGGGAAAAGGAACGAAAGAGACGTTGAGGGGTTTACTTCGCTGGTGAGCTGTGATTTGCTGGTGGTGGGCAGTGGATTGGGCGAGATAGGTGTAGTGGGGGAACATACATGTGGTTAACGAAATGAAAGTGGTTCGAGACACCGCAGCAAAGCGGCTGTCTAGAGAATGCGGTTCCTGACCTGTTCATACTCAATCCAGGGTCCGCTCTCCTACTTGTTTTGACTTTTCTCTTTTAACAACTGGTGGAGGGTTAATTGGCAGCAGGGTTGCCGTGGCTGGTGGTTTGTGACATGATCCCTTTTCTCGAAAAAAGGGGTGTATGTGTGAGAATGAATGAGTAATATGTGTCAACAAAGAGAGAAACAAGAAAAGAAGGCTAGTTCGTCCCAATGCAAAACACTTGTTGGTTACCCCAGAATTGCGCAATACCCGCGTTGCTGGTTATGGACATGGTTTGCTGTTTCCCCACAGTCTCTTTTGTTTTGCTCTCCCCCTTTCTCCCTGACCCTCTTCCTTGTGTTCGCCTTCCCTTTTTCAGGTTGCATCGTTATTTTTACTTTTTGTTCCCACAGTGCGAACAGGTACTCTTTTCATTCTTTTTCAAAGTCCACGGACACCCTCTCCCCAATGATTGATGCAATTCGCCCTTTCATTCCTTGCAGTAATATCATATTAGCCCAAAGTACCACCATCATTCTGGCCTTGGCCTCCTCTTCTCCTCTTCACTTCCCTTTCCCCACTTTCCTTCTTCTTCTTCACTCCCTTCTTCACTATCACCTTCTTCTCCTCGACTCATCCCACCAACCCTCTTCTTCTCATTACACCATCAACAAAAAAGAAAACTAAAAGAGTCATCATACATCACAATGGACACAACAACGACGACGTTACTACCACAAACGCAAAGACAGAGTCCTCTCGACATCCCAGAGATACTCATCCGCATAGGCCAATTCCTCCCTCTCTGGTCTGGAGAGGGCTTCCGTCTCGAGTTTGACCCATCACCCCTCCTCCGCTGTTGTCTTGTCTCACGCGCGTTCCGTCAAGCCTTCCTCCCCACCCTCTGGTACCTCTACGACGGCTACCGCATGCGCAACATCCCCTCCACTATTCTCAGTCGCTACTCGCCTTACTTCCGCATCATCACCAGTACTGGCCCTTTCAAGGGCCCCTTCCAGTGCAAGAACCTGACAGAGCTCAACACCGTCTATGGCCAGGAATGGTCCCGCGCTCTCTTGGTCTCCAATCCAAACCTGAAACGTCTCGTCTGGGGAGGCCCGTTCTCGAGGCGCATTGAGACTCTGGAACAACAACAGGAATGGCAGTTGGAACTCAAGGTCTTGATGGGGCTTGAGAACTTGGACGAGATTAGGATGTCGGGCTTCAGTCTAGGCGAGGGGATCTTTGTCAAGCTGTTGAGGAATAATGCGAGCAGTCTGTCGAACCTGGCCATGTCGACCGTCGCTGGAGTGACATCCATTGAGGGGTTGGAGTTGCCTCATCTGACAGAACTGCAGGTAACCTTTGGGTGTGCCGAGAGTCCTGCGCTCCTTGATGTCGTCAGATGCTGCCCCCGTTTGCAGAGACTGTCCCTTCTGGGTTCCAAGACGAGAGCGTCAGCCGCCTTTGTCCCGCCTCACCATCAACAGCAACATCAACAACAACAATTCCAGGCTGGACAGCAGGTTCAGGAACTGGGTAGCGAGGTCGTGCGTCTTGCTCAGAACATTACAGAGTGCTGTCCAGAGCTGAGTCACATCAAGTTCACAACCACCAGCACCACAGGAGGCGCCCAGACCAACGCTGTCTTCCGCAACCAGAGTTTCCTCCAAGGACCCGAACTCGCCTTGATTGCAAATGCTTGTGGTCGACTGGAGGGGTTCACTGCCGAATTGGCTACCCTAGACCAGGCATTGACCTCTGCCCTGATGGCCCACTCGAGCACACTCAAGTCGTTGTCGTTGACCTTTCACGAGACGGATTTGGAGACCAACACGAGGATTGTTGATCGCACAAGGGAGATGATCTCATTGCGATGTCTCAAGGCTACCTTGTCCAACCTGCAGGATCTTCATCTAGACTGGGCTGGTCGTCTCTCTGCCAACATTGTCCTACCTCCTGGAGCTACTACAGAAACAACAACAAGAGTATTCACCACTATTACAGCCCCAGTCCTTTCAACACCAGCTTCAGGCCCAGCTGCAACGGCCGCAACTCATCCACCATCAGGACCTATCGGAGTTGCTCCTCAGACCACACCAACTACCGCTGCTGCTGCAGGTCCTGCTGCGAACCTCGCAGTAAATGCAGAGGAGATGACGATGATGTACGCGGGAAGAAACGCCTTTGCAGTCCAGGAAGAGGTCGCTATGTTCTTGGAGGAGCCTTGGGCGAGTTTGGAACTGGAGACGCTTCGACTCCACGGCATGTTCAGATCGGCGCCTCCCACACCAACCTTGACCGCAGGACCTGCTGAGGATGAGGGTGAGGATGAGGGTGTGAGCATGACCATGGGAGACAAGGGCAAGGAGAAGACGACGAAGAAGAAGGCTAAGGTTGTTTGGAGACTGGCCAAGGGAGCTCACTCAGGAGCAACATCGTCGCCACATAACCACCACCTTCAATTGAACAGCGTCGCCAGCGAGGGAAGCAGCAAGGGTAGCAGCAGGAAGGCAGAGCAGCAGACTCGACTGTTGGAGAACGTGACGGGATTGACTCGCCTTCGACACCTCTGTTTCAACTACACCACCTACGAGCGCATCCCTCTCCTTTGAGCTGGGTGTCATTCATATTCAGCCAAGCCTGTCAACCAAGTTTCGACAAGCACCTTTTTGTTTCAACAACAACAAACACACAGTTCTACTCTTACAACTAAGCATTATACAAAAACCCTTTTCCCATCGTAATTTCAAACCAGCACTGGACAACAACAACAACATTGTTGGTTTTTCTACCTACTATTCACTAATAATAATAATAACCTCATACTTTGCATTCATTCAATATTTTGTTATGTCTTCGGCTAGCCTTATGACACCATCCAGTTCTGTTGTTTGTTTGTTGGGGGTCTGGTGGGTTGTATAGGATGAGGAGAATGGACAGGGAGGGAAGTGAAAATGATCGCAAGCGCTGTCTTGGGCTTTGCCTTTTGAGTAGCTTGAGCGGGGAACCCACGAGGGCAAGGTGAAAAGGACCTTCGATGGGAAAGAAAGGAAGCGAGGGCCCCACAGGGAGATGTGAGAGCAAAGGGTAAGGCGAACGAATACAAACAAAAAAGAACGAGCAACAGAACACAAAAGGAGGATAAAAGAAGGCAAAAGGACTAATAACAACCAAACTGCATGAATACAGTTCAACAAAGAATTGATATGGGACAGGCAGGCAGACAGGCACATGCAAACTCAACCAAAAACGACAACAAACGAGAAAGGAAAGTGCGCAACGGCCGGGCCACTTCATAAAGAAGGGCCAAAATTGCATTTTTATTAGCCTGGCACATCAGCCTCCCCTTTTCATAATCGACCATCCTCCTCTTTCATTCCTCACACTCCATCCCCCCCTCCATCTCCTTCCTTACTTTCTTCTTGTTACATCACCCAGCACACAAAGTCACCAGGACCAGCAACAAACAAGCAATGACACAGCAAGTCGACCCCAGAAACCCAGCCGTCCACGACCAGACTGCCGGTTTTGAGTTTCAGAGCCACAGTGGTGGCCCCGGCGGCAACAACACCATCTTCTCCTCCGCGCCCGACAACAGCAACAACAGCGGAGGCAACGGTGATGGGAGTCTAGGAGACCGCTGGCCATCGCTGTTGAAGGCCCGTCAGGTGGTGCTGGCGTTTATTCTCGAGACCGCGTCGCGGTCAAAACCTGCGCAGGAAAAGGTCCACATTGTCATCCTCCAGGCTTGGCATCTTTACTTGGCTTATGCTCGTGCCTACCCTCTCGCCACTGTAAGTTCTTTTTCTGTTCCTTTTGTATTAACCGTTTGTTCATATCTTTTTGCGAATATCCGTCCATCTCATCAATCGATCGATCACCTGGGGGGACACATACACCCACGCTCTCTCTCCTTCTCCATCTTTCCCCTCCACATACTAACTGCCCACGCGCCCATCGCTTTGCATAAACCTTCCCGTTATAATTAGGCCTTCCTCTCCTGTCTGGTAGTCCTCTCTGCAGTCCCCATTCTAATCTTTGCATCCATCACCGGCGCCTCCCTGGGCCTCCTGGTCGGAACCGCAGCCGTCATCGTCATCATCATCCAATCCATCGTCCTCAGCATCGCAGGGGCCATCCTCCTCTTTGTCCTAGGGTCCATTGTCATCCTGACGGTTTTCACGTTCTTCTGGTTGACTCTCGGGTACTTTACGTTCCAGTTTGTGGGGAATGTGTATGAGAGTTTTAAGGAGCAGCGGTTGAGGCATGCGCAGGAGGAGAGGAAGAAGGAGCAGAGGAAACGCGAGGAGGAGGATGTTCATGAGTGGGAGAGGGAGAATAGGGAGGATAAGGAGGATACCCCTTTCGCTGCTGCAGGAGCGACGCGTGAGAAGGAGTTGTGAAAGAAGGGAGAAAAGGATGAAGGAGGGGGATTAGTTAGGACGAACAGGGAGGGGGGCGAACAGGACGGAAGAGCGTGTGAAAATGCCAGAAACGACTTTTATTTATGACACATATGAAACCACCATACTTGTACAGACCATTCGCTTCTTTTTCCTTTTTCTCAGGAATAAAAGAAAGCGACAATCAACCAGATTCCCCCCTGAAGTCCTTCTCGTTGTTGCCATGCATAAAACGAAAATAGAAAGTGTGTATGCGAGAATGTTTAATAGTGCGTGCGTGCGTGCGTGTTATATGAAATGCAAGATGATAGGGGGAAAAACTGAATATTAGAACGTCTAAAGGCCGAGAAGCTTGAGGGCAAGGGCTTCTTGTTCTGCGAGGGTCTGGGGCTCGTCGACCTCGACAACCTTGCGCTTCTTCTTGGACTCTTCTGCGTCCGCCTTGTCCTGCCACCATCCACGCTTCTTGGGTGTCTCCTCCTCGTCATCATCGTCGTTATCACTGTTGTCGTCTCCAGAGTAGTTGTCCTCGTCCATAGAGAAGTCGTCGCCCTGGTCATCCGAGTCGTCAGGGTTACCGAGTGTCACCACCACCTCGTCATCATCATCGCCAGAGTCCTCATCCATCTAGTAATAAATTGAAAAAAGAAAAAAAATAAATGATTAGTACATGCACAAAGGGCAATGTTAACTATATCACACAAGGATCCAGAAAATGAAGAAAAAACGTACCATGTCTTCGCGTTCGCGCTGCTTCCGCTTGGCCTTCTTCTCGCGGAGCTTCTCCTTGGCGGTACTCTTATCGACGACATCGGCACGGTCCATGACCTTCTTCTCCTTCTCCAAGAACTCCTTCTGCTGGCTCAAAGCGTCACCCTTGGCGTGGAAGGAAGCCTCGTTCTCAAGCTCGTACAACTCATGAGCTCCACCATCCTCGTCAAACAGCAACCTATTACCCTGGCCCTGGTTCTTGGCCTTCTCCAACTTGGACATCTTCTGCTGTCTCTTCGAGGTCGGCAACACAGCGTCCTCAGGAATCTCGTCTCCGCCCAGATCGTGGTCAGCACGCTTGAGAGTGAAAATATCGTCGTCGTCGTTATCGTCGCCTCCGGCTCTGGCCTTGGCAACCTTGTTATCGTCGTCATGATCGACCAGTTTGGTATAATGGTCAGCCAGGACCGACTGGTTCTTGCGGTTGAACATCTTTTCGATCTTGGACTTGACCTGCTTCGATCCCGTCGCCTCAGCATCCTCCTCGTCCTCAGGAACGACCTCCTTCTTGCTCTTCTTCTTGGCGTCCAGAGCCTTGACCTTGCTCTTCTCCTCCTCCTCCTCCTCATCCGCACTCTCATCCTCATCATCGCTCGACTTCTTTTGGGTGCCCCGGATCGCGTTCTTGGCCTTGGACTTTTCAACAAACTTGATCTTGGGAGCTCCAGGAAGTCCGATGGACGCCGCAAACTCCTCAGCGGGCAGGGCATTGACGTCAAAGACAGTCTTATCCTTCTGCAGGTAGACCGACCGCATGTAAGAGATGAACGCCTTCTGTCCCAAGTACTTGATCTCGGGGTCGTTAAAGCAGAGACGCTGCATCTGCTTCTGGATAGGCTCCTTCTTGACATCCTTAGCATCCTGCTTCAGCTTGACCTCCTGGATGGGGACCTTGGCGCGCTCCAGTCCTTGAATCATACCAGCCTCCTCGCTGGGGCACAACATCAACATGGCCTGTCCACTGGCCTCATAACGAGCTGTACGGCCGACACGATGGATATAGGTCTCGGGGTCCTCGGGGCAGTCCAGCTGGATGACCCAGTTCACAGCAGCAAAATCCAGTCCACGAGCCGCAATATCCGTGCAGAACAGGAAGGCCGCCTTTTGGGCCGCGAATTTGGCGTATGTCTCGGCTCTCTTCTGCTGCTTCTGCTTTCCGTGCAAGTGCAACAGTGGTACTCCTGGGTGCATCTTGCAGAACGTCTCAAACACAAACCGGACCTAATTGAAAAGGACAAAAATGTTGGTTAGATATGGATGACCGTTACCCCCACGTACTGTAATTACAAAGTAGAATGACCGAATATACAAGAATAACGCCCATGATGTGTACCTGTTTACAACTTGAAAGGAAGACAATACCCTTGGAGGTCAAATGGGTCTTAATGAAGTTGAACATGACATCAAGCTTTTGTTGCAGGGGGACGACCATGTAATACTGGGAGAGGTTCTTGGGGGTAGAATGCTCAGACTTCTCATGGACAGCGACGTACTCGGGGTCCTTCAAACTCAAACGAGCCAGATCCTTGACGGACTTTGTCTGTGTGGCCGAGAACAGCATGGTTTGACGCTGAGGGGGCAAGTTCTCGACAATGGCGTTGATGCTCTTCTTGAATCCCATGTCCAGAATCCTGTCAGCCTCATCCAGGACCAAGAGCTGCAAGAGATCGCAGTTGAATCCTGCCGACTGATCCATGTGTTGCAAAAGACGACCAGGCGTGCAGACCAGGATGTTCATCTTGGAGATCAACTCACGCTCAATCTTCCAGTCCTTGCCTCCGATGATCAATCCTGCCGAGAATGAGTGCTCCCGACCAATCTTGCGGAGCACCTCAAAGATCTGCACTGCCAACTCGCGTGTAGGCGAAATAACCAATGCGCCCAATCCATCCTGAGGTCCCCACTTTTGGCGATACAACATCTCAATCATCTATTTTCATTGACATGAATGGAACTTCTGGTTAGTGAATGATTGAAGGTGGTTGATGGCGATCGAAATTCGGAAATGTAGAAAGTCACTTACAGGAACGAGGAAGGCGAGGGTCTTTCCGCTTCCAGTCTTGGCGGCACCGAGGATATCCTTGCCGCAGAGTCCCAGAGGCAAGGCCTTGCGCTGGATGTCAGTCATCTTGATAAAGTTGGCACGCTTCAAACCCATGAGAGTCTTTTGCGATATTGGGAGCTCGTCAAACTGCTGCATGGAGTCTGTTCCTGCGATCTGTGTGATTTCCCCGTGTGAAAATCGAGCCGTTTTGAAAGTTTGGTCAATGTCGTTGTTATCGTTGTCGTTGTGCGAAGGTGAAATGTCGAGTCCAGTGTAACCGAGGGACGAAAGAAATAGAATATCAATTGTCAGTGTGCTTTCTTGATAGAATCAAACAAAAGTACAGCAAACGAATGAAGCGTGACGAGTAGGCTTACAGGGTGCTTGCATTTGTCGTCGAGCTGCTTGAGCTCCTGTGCCTCGGAGAGACGCTTCTCCTTGCGGACCGAGTTGGTCGTGGAGTGGGAGTGCTTGGCTCCGCCCTTCTTGGAACTGGAAGGCATTGTGTTATTGTCGGTGTCGTCTGTTGGTGAGGTAAGGTGAGGAGTATGTGTCGGAAGTAAAGAAAAGGGCAAGCAACAGTAAATGAAAAAAAGTCTCCGCTGACAGCCGTGATGGACCAAAGAAAGTAATGGAGAAGGGAGGTGTGCCTGCGGGTGCTTTGACAATGTTGTCAATGGGGTGGAGAAGGCAGTCCCTTTTTTTCTTTTTTTTTTGAGGTATGTTGTTCTTTTTCTTGACTTTGTGGCTTTGTCAACCCATTGGTCCATGATGTTAATCATGCGATTTAATTTTGCTTCCTGACGATAATTGACCGACCTTTAATTGCCGTCTCAACCCCTGAAATATCAAATATCTTGGCCTTGGCTTCCATGTGAAGAAGAGACCTCGGTTCGCGAACCGAGCAAAAGATGCCTGCAAAAACAACATAAGCCCACAAAGGCTAAGCAGAGGTACTTTTGTTCTTCGTTATGTAACAACTGAACTGAAAACATGGAGATATGTTGTTCTCTTTGTTTCTCGTCCCCACTCTTCTGTTGCATCCATCCCAGCCAACGGGCATACAGAGTTGCACCCTTTTTGTTTACTTTCAGTGTGCCATGTGTTCTAGTAGTTCTTTTTCGCTTTTACAAACAGCAGTAAAAGCGCGAATGTTCTTACAAACAGCAACCCCAATTGACAACCCCACTTGCTTTCGTTCCTCTCATAACACACCCTTTTGCTAGCGTGGCCCTTTTCTGTGTTCATCTTGTAGTACCCTGGGGTTTCTCGCTAAACACCCAAATTATTCAGCCTCACCACCACTGCATAGCATTAACCATTGACACGCGTGTGCTGTTGTTGCTCAACTGAACAACGGCAGGCAAGCGAGGCAACCAAACAACAACAAATAAACAATCAAACTTGACCCCTCACTTACCCCCATCCTTCATCGTTCATCTTCACCCCTACCGATCTATGTAGATATGACTCTCTTCTCTTCGTCAATCCGTCTTTTTCACTCCTACTCGTCTCCTCCCTTCTCTTCGTTCTTTGTTCTCCCCTTCCCCCATCGAACTCTCCTTCCTCCTCTGCCTCCTTTTTCCAATTCGGCTATTTTACTAATCATTATCACACTAAGGCTACTGTATTCTTGAGGCGTGTGAGCACTTTCTGCATTAGAGTTCCTGCACTCTCCCTCCACACTTGCACCTCTCCTTCGGCTCTCCTTTCTTGTTCAGTTCTGCTGCTCGCCTTCTTTCTTTTCTTTTCTCCTCCACCTTCTCCTCCACTTTCTCCTCCACCTCTCACTCTTACTCTCCCCTCCTCTCGTTCAACCAACCAACCAACAACAACAATAACACTTTCAATGGAATCAGAACTTGCCCAGGCTGCCCGCCAGAAACGCCTCAAGGCAGGAACAGCCTGCACCAACTGTCGCCGCAAGAAGCTGCGTTGCACTGGAACTCCCGCCTGTGCCAGATGTGTCACCCACAACCTCGAGTGCGTCGTCGACGAGGCCCTCTTCCTCAAGACAAACACCCCCCAGTCCCTCTACGCCAAGTCAACCGCGTCCTCATCTCAAGGACCCATGGGCTTGTCCTCTTCCTCCTCTCATCACCATCATCACCAACAGCATCACCAGGGCCATCACAGTCTTCACAACAACCATAACAATCGCCACAACAGCAGTCATAACAGTCAACAACAACAGCATAAGTCAAAGAGCAACAGTAGTTATCATAATGGGGGCGGCTCGTATCATCATAGCGACGGACATATGTCCTCGTCGTCCGATATCGACGACTTTACAGAGAGGAAGACCTCGTTCGAGTCCCAGTCTGACCGCCGCACGTCTGCAAGTAGCGCAAACAGCTACTCGAGCATGAGTCCTAGCCCTTCCCCTGCCAATTACCCTTACAACATCAACCAGGATGACTTTTCAGGCAACAACTTCAACAACGATAAGTCTTCGTATCGATCAGGTTCAGGGCTCGACCACGCTTCTTCTTCCTCCCCTTTATCCTCCTCAATCAACAACCAGCAACACAACAGTAACAGTGGATACATCTCCCAGTCGTCGTCAGGGAACATTAACAATAAGCGGACGTCGAGGGATCAGGATACGACCAAGCCCAAGCAGAAGCGGCGGGACTCCCGTCCAAACCGAGACCGAGACAGCGACCCTCCATCTCCGCAACTTGCTCCACAAGACTCGGGACCTTCGACTTCCTCGTCGAGTGCGAGTAAGAGTAAGAATGGAGGGACGAGCGGAGAGGACTTCAAATCAGTCGTGAGCACAATGAGCCTGGATGGTCACGGTCAGCAGTACGTATCTATCCTCTCTTTCTCACTTCTCTGGCGCCCAGTTAGTCAAGGTGATTGAGTTGGTTGAGGCAATAATCAACCTTATTTCTCCCTCCTCCTGTCATTTTAACGTGACGATTTCTTTTTCCTCCCTTTCGTCCCTGATGTAGCTTCCACGGAAGTAGTTCAGGATTCTATGTGTGCCAACTCAGTTCCCGGTACCGCCAGGGTGTCTGTAAGTAACGACATCTACTGGTTATCTGTCAATCTCATATACTTTATGCGTTGACGCTAACAAAACAAAGCTATTTCTGGTCCCTGGGAACTGTAACTGTAAACAAAACAAAAAAACTAGACCCGCTGCCAATGGCCCATTTGAACGACAGTGATCTGTGGTCGCACTCCCTCCAGATGACAAGCGAACGGGAGCTGCCCTCAAAGGAAGAGATGGATGTCTTGCTCGACCTCTACTTCCGATACATGTACCCCTTCGCACCCATGTTCATCCGCAGGAACTTCATAGAGCAATGCCAAAAGCGACCCGACCTCTCCCAGATCTTGATCCTTAACGCCATCTTCTGTAACGCCTGCTGGTACTCGGATGACCCGCTTATCAAACAGGATTCGACAAAGTACTTTAACCGGGCCAAGATTATCCTTGACGAGACCTACCATGTCTCCAGGATCAGTACTGTTCAGGCGTTGCTTCTAATGTCTCACCACCAGTATGCTGTCGGCAACTACTCTGGAGGTTGGCTGTACACAGGCATGGCCACCCGTATCGCTCACGTATGTTTTTTCAGCTCTTTTACAAGTATTTTTGTTACCACTAGCTCCTTACCTTTTCCAAAACTAACTTTTTTACGACGTTGCAATACTCGATGGTGTTAATAGGATATCGGACTTCATCGCCAGGATTTCCAGGTGAACGAGCCTCTGGAAGCAGAGATTCGCAAGAGAGTATGGTGGGCGGTCTATATTGCGGACAGACTTGGAGGCGGTGTTCTTGGACGGCCACTGAACCTGCGGGACAAGGAATACAATGTACAGATGCCCTCGGATGACTGGATCAACGAAATCGGAGGCGACGATGAAGTCGAGTACCCATACGAGCCCGAACGCATTGTCTCCTGTCGATTGCTTTGGACTGTCAAGCTATTCATGCAGATGGGCAACGTTCTCAACACGATGCACTGTATCGAGGCTGAGATCAACGGCGCCTTCTTGGCGGACATCTCCAGGACACAACTTCCTCAGCTCCACAACAGTCTGACGTCTTGGTTCTTGTCGCTCCCGAACGAGCTCATGTACACGCCTTACACCATGTCGCCCAACTCGAACCACCCTCCTTCGCCACCTACAGCACTGATGCACATGTTCTACTACACGACCCTGACGATGCTCCACCGTCCATACCTTCGACCTGTCAACTCGGCTGCAATCGACTCCAACTTTTTGATCTCTTCTCGAAACATCTGTACAGCGGCTGCGACGAACGTCTGTCATATTGCCGACTCGTTGATGCTTCATGGCCAGCTGCGGGATACATGCTACTATGGAATGGCCTGTCTCTTGGCCGCAGGAACCGTCCATGTCCACAACGCCATCCAGCCTACTCCAACCAACCGTGAGACCACCCGCGCAGGACTGTCCAAGACTGTCAAGGCCGCTCACGAGTTGGTCAAGACTTTCCCAGTTGCCGAGTCCTTGATTGCAGTAGCACTAGACGTTTTCGCCAGTCAGACAACATCTGTCCCGACAGAGATGGCGGCCTCGTTCATTGACATTTCGACCTTTGTGGCACCCTTCCTTGACATGACACAGCTGCAGTTGTCATCCATCGGGAACATTTATGAGGCGGCTCGGTTGGCAAAGTTGGCCAAGGACGGACCCGGGCCGGCACCTTCGATCCAACTGCGTCATCCCTATGGAAACTTTTCGATGCCCCTACCCGAGCAAAGCAAGGACCAGACTTCGACCAACCTCAGCTCGATGTGGCAGAGTCAGATTGCAACTGCGGTTGCTATGGCGGCCATTGCGTTTGGTGGAACCGATCCTCAGCAGGAAGAACAGCAGTTCTTTGCTAACCCGTTGGAGTTGCCAGAGTCGTTGCGTTTGGCACCTATTGATGCTATGATGTTTGGTATTGATGGTAACGGGGCTGGACTGGATTTTGGCGTCGATCCTTTGGCACAGCTTGGTGGGCTTGGCACTGGTGCAGGTGTTGCGACCGCGGCTGGTACAGTGACTACTAGTACAACGACGGCTTCAGTTGGAGCGACGACTGCAACGACCACAGCCTCTGCAACTATCGCTGCTGCGATGGGTGGGTTCGGGATGCCTTTTCAGCATACAGAGTCACACCTGCTCCAATACCAGCACATGCAGCCTCAGTTGACCTTCCAGCAACAGCAACAGCAACAGCAGCAACTCCTCCAACAGCAACAACAACAACTCCAACAGCAACAGCAATTACAGCAACAGTTGCAACAGCAGCAACAGCAGCAGGCTCAGCAGGCTCAACAACAGGCACAGCAGAACCAACAGTTCCAACAACAGCTTCAGCAACAGCTTCAACAGCCCCAACAGCAGCAGCAACCAGTGGCGAAGTCCTCAGTCCCTGTCACTCAGCCTGACCCACCTTCTCCTCCGGCTCCTACACAAACTGCCCCTCCACTTGCTCAGTCACACTTAGCTGGCTTGTTTGGACAGTCGGGTGGAAGCACATTCAGCACTGCTCAGGCACTCAACTTTATGCAAGCAGCTCTTGCATCCTCCCTGCAAGTCACCTCCCCAACCCCTCTCCAGCCTACTACTACCACCACCCAGGCAACGCCCACACCTGCCGCGTCTGCAGTGCCCATGTCGGTCTCGCCCCAAATGGAAGACGACTCTGCAGACCCACCCTCCCCACCTGCCATCTTTTCTTCGGACGATATGGATATGGAAGCCTCCTCGCTCTCGAATGACACTCCTAGTCCTGCTCACTCTCGCCAAGAGAACCCCGCTCCCTCTGATTCTTCTGCAGGCGCCTCCAGCAACAGCAGCTCGGTTCTGGATATTGAAAAGAGCCTTGCCTTCTTTAACGAGGCCCTGATGCACAACATGGAATGTTAAAACGAGCGTCCGCTCGCTCCCCCATCGCATTTTTCCTTTTCTTCCTTACACCTTCTGTACTCTACGTATTCTCTATCTCTTCTCTCTTTTCTTGTGTACCAACAACCCACAATGATCCCAGATATCTTTACAAATAAAAAACATAAAGTCTATTTTCATGAAACAACATAACGTCTATTAAACACAATAACCCCCCCCCCCCTACACACCGCGGCTCCGAGCATTCTCAAGACCCTGTCGCAGCCGCTGCGTGTCCTTGGCCATCCGCTGCTGTCCAATAACACGGGGCATGACCTTGTTCAGCGCCCAGTCAGCCTCCTCCAACAGGTCTGCAGATCCGTCACGGATACAGGTGTCGATGTATTCTCCGAGAACATACTTGTTGATGAACAACAGGCGGCCAGTTTTGTCTGCCGCCATGGGCGAGGAGGAGGACGAGGTCTGGAAGGTCGAAGGGGATGAGGCCGTGGTGCTTGAGTTGTAGAGAAGGGACGGTGATGGTGACGACTCGGGGGAGGCATCGGGTATCGTTGGTTTTGCCGAGGATGACGGTTTGGTCTCGCCGGTCAAGTAATGCATGACAATCTGCGCATCCCGCATCCGATCCTTCGAGCCTGCTCCGAAACCAGACCGCTTCTCCAACTCCAACATTTGTGCCCGTTCCCGGATCTGCGCCAACACCAACAAGTTCAGCATCGACGCCGTTGTAGGCGAAAGATCCGCCCTCTCCACCAAGTGCTCCACAGGTCTCAACCATTTCTCGGATCGCCAGACAAGCTCCTTCTCCGACACTTCTACAATTCCACCCTTGTTATGGAGGAACTTGTTGTTGCCCTTAGCCTTTTGGGCCTTGGACTCAGCGACCAGCTTCTCGACCTTGGTTTGCTCAGCCTTGAGGTAACTCTTGAACACCTCCTGCCCCGCGGCATAGTCCCCACGCTTGTTGACAAAGTACCCCATCAAGAACTCCAAGAACGCCCCAGACCCATCAGAGTCCATCGCCATCTCATTCCTCCGCATCTCCTCCAATAAAAACCCGCCTTCCTCCTCCATACCCTCAACCATAAGACAAGTTCGGACCATGGGCGCATACCACTCTGCAGTCTTCTGGATCTCCCCCGACGCGGTGCACTGCGAAATGAGACTCCTTGCCGAGGTGGCATCCTGAACACGAACACAGCAATTCATCAGCCCCTCAAAAATCTCGGGCGTCATCGCAATAGCAGGTTCTTCTCTCAACATATCGTACCGGACATTGCGAAGAACATACCGCGCCATCTTCTCCTGTCCGTGCGAGGCGCCGATAACAGTCTGGTACAACATCGCATCCCTCTCGACTCCCTGAAGTGCCAAATCATCCCACCGCTCCCAGATCTCCTCGACTTGATCTCCGTGAGCCAATCCTGCCAACACATTGGCAATAGTGTCGCGGTCATGGTACTGCTGCACACTGACATCCTTGTTGTTGTTGTTATCGTCCTGGGTGGTAGCAGACAAAGCGTTCGATGACAGACACTTGCGCATCATGTCCTCGACCGTCTTGAGGGCATCCATCGAGACCGGGTAGAGCTGGTTCGAGTACATCCACTGGCCAGCAACAAACGGCGAATGTGAGTACATTCCAAAGCAAGACTCCAACAGCGGCAAGAAATCCCTGGGCGACTCGGCAGCGTACCCTGCCTGGCCCGTCATCTCCTCAAAGACCTTCATCACTCTCTGCGTAACCGATCCATCCTCACGAGACGCTCCAAACTCGCGTGTCCGTGCCATGGTCTCCATTAATGTCACATACGTGCTCTTCAGAGGCTGCAACCCTTGCTGCTTCATCTCCGCCAACAAGCTCACGGCATGGTCCTGAAGAGAGCACCTCTTGGGCAACAACAGGTTGAGTCGTGTCGAGATCCTCATCAGCTGGTCATAATCCTTCGCCGTCAAGTCGCCCTTAGGAATCGCCGCAAAGGCACCCTGACTCCGGGCCCAGAGGAACGTCGCCTCGCTGTATTGGTAACGGTTCAGCTGAGTTGGCGCCGCCATCCCGATAAGGACCTGATCCGGAAGCGTATTCGACTGTCGATCCTTGCACGTCCTCGAGATCGTCTTGACCAATCGATCCAACGCAACCGAGCTCGCCTCCAAATTCGACCGCTGCAAATCTGCCAACAATCCCACTCTGTTCTCCTCGGCCGTGGTATCCCGCTGTCCTTTGGTAGCCCACAACTTTTCGTCCGCAATGATCGCCTCATAGTTGCCGCGCTTGGCATGCTGACGCGCCAAGGCCGTGAAAGGTCGGATCGAGGGTAGAGTGTCGAGGGTTTTTGAGAGCGTGTTCATGATCTCCGCCGCCTGTCCTGTCAACCCACAGTTGGCCAATGCCTCTGCGACATTGGAGTAGAGACTTCCTCCAGATGTCTTTTCGATCGCTGGGAGCCTTGGCAACAAGTCGTTCAGCTTTGCCGCTGATCCCGCCTTGCCATATGCCTATCAATTCAGATTTTATGAATAAAAAACGTAGGTTAGCCTTTGAGTTGGTGCATAATATATGATTATTCCTGCATTACAAAACAGCGGCATGTAACATACCTGAAGGACATGACCCCAAAGATCCTCGTCCATCTGAACATCTTGAGATCTGGCCAACTGATCCGCCATCAAGAAGTTCATCACATCCACCTGTCTCTGCACTTCAGCTCCAGCTCCAGCTCCAGCGGCCGCAGAATGAATGCACTCAAACATACTCTTCCAAAGAACTTGATCCAAAGGAATATCCAGATCAGGTAACTCCCACTGATCCAACGACAGGACAGCCGGCAAACGACCATGACGGACCGCCTCAACCAGCATCCTTGCAGATTCCCAATCACCTGATCCACCGCCGGCGACTTGGAGGACTAACTGCAAAGTTTCCCGATCAGGCTGGACTTCGGTCTTGCCGAGCACGTTAGCTTCCCGACTCATGTCTGTCAAGATCCCGATCGCGCTATTCAATGGGTCCACCGAGCCACCTTCCGTCCCTTCTTGTCCTGCTGTTGTTGAGATAGATGCGAAAGCCTGAGGTCTCTCACCCAAGGTCTTGAGCAAGAAATGGTACAACTCCTTGGTCACTGGTACTGTTACTGCTTTTGAAGTTGATGTGGCCAGGGTGCAAGCCTCCTGAAAGCCCTTGTAGTCGTTCTTTGCCAACAATTGCTCCAGTTCCTGAACCGTTGCCGATCCTCCTGCCGTTGATGTTGATGTAGAGTACGACTTGGTGTTGTAAACTAAAAACGATAAAAAGAGATGGCCAATGTTATGTCAGTTTCCGCATGAACATAGCATCACGCACCCTGTCGAAGATAAATATGCCAATTGCAAATAAGAAACCATGATAAATCAACTGCGTTTGTAAAACTTTACAGCGTCGCGTCCAAAGGCTTCGTGTAGTATGTGCCATAGGCATTGCAAACTTGGTCTGACCAGCAGCAGTGGTGGCGGTAGGAAAGTAATGGGAAGCCAACTTTGCGACAGGCCTACTGCTATTGCGTGAGGAGAGTGCTGCCATAGCCTTGGAGGGCTGCAGCAGCAGCAACGCTGTTGGTGTGTGTGAAGAGGAGGCGGTTGTAGAAGTGGCAGAGGCGTGAAGTAGGGCTTTGCTCAGAGGCGCGCCTCCAGCTTTGGCCGTCCTGACGACGGAATGCATTATGTATGAATGAGGAGGGGAGGGTGATGTGCCGTGTCGCAGCTTCTTGTCGCGAGAACAAAGAGTAGGGAGGGTAAAGGGTAAAGTGTTGATCCTTGCTTAAAAGTGGGAACCCTGATCAGTCTACGCTCTTAGGAGACAAATGGCAGTGTCGGTGCTGTGAGGGTAGAGAATAATGGAGGAAGGGAAGGGCGACGACGGCAACCGGGTCAAGCGGAAGACAAAGAAGACAACTGATTGACTGAGGATCGAGGAGAGAAGAATGTCCAGGAACTATAGAAAAGTGAGAGAGAAAGAGAATGCAAGTAGTCTAGAAGGGTCAAGCGTGGGGGAAAGCGGCACGTTGCCAGTCATATTTGTTGTGGCTTAGATGCATCCAGTTCTTTCACCAGGTCGATCATCATCAGTCAGTCAGTATCAGTCAATCAGTCAATCAGTCAAGAGAACAGAAAATTTCCTTTTTAATAATAATAATAATAACAATAATTAATAGCATGGCATTAAAGATTCTAGGTGTTTGTCTAGAAGGCGGAAACAAGCTTGGCCTCGAGGCCATGTTTCCGTCCATAGTGCATCACTTGGTTGCGCTCAAGCAACCGCCGGATCGCCTGACCCAACATTACCATCCTCAGCTCTCCTTCCGTCTTGGCCAGCTCCGCCAGCCGTCCTACCGAAAGACCACTCGAAATCGATCCTCCAGAGCTAACAACCGCCGCCAACATCAGCTCTTCCTCAAAGTTGGTCACTCCGCGCATCTGGAGCGTGCGCAGCACCAAGTTGCCACGAAGGTTGCTCTCCAAAACCTCCATCCATGCAGCTGCGGCCTCCCATTGACCCTCGAGATCCTTGCCCATCCCCTGATACGCCAATGTCCAGAACGACCAGGGCAGACGGATCTTGAGCTCCTGGAGGGTTTGGTTGGTCGACAGACCTTGGCAGAGACTATTGAAGCAGACCAGCGCATAGTTGGTGTCCTGGGGTGAGGTTAGGACAAGGTCGTCGACCTGGAAGGAGACCAGCGTCTTGTTGACGTTGACAATCTCGGCAGCGATGCCGAATGAGATCTTGGACAGAGACAGGTGCGTCAAGGCGGGGTGGTTGCCGACCATCTGGAAGATCTCAGTGTCCATGCTTGCGGGGAGACTGTTGGTGTGCGTCTGCTGGCTCAACAACAGGCGGCGCAGAGGTGCACTAGATCCAGAGCGGTAGGCACACGACATCAAGGCGACAAGACCGGGCTTGGTGATCAGGTTGCCAGAGACGTTGATGTTGTGGAGGGCACCGATACCCTCAGGTTTGTCAATGTTCTGGGCCAAGAACAATGCTGAATCGTCGCAGAAGCCAGTGTTGGCCAACTGGAGAGCGATCAAGTTCTTTTGGCGGGTTCCGTGCGACGAAGGGGGCCAGATCGCCTTCAAAAGCGTGGTGCATCCGGCGGATCCAATGTTAGGGTTATCGCTCAGATCCAAGAAGCGGAAGTCCAGAGAGGTTGGCAAGACATGGGTGGACAACTCCTTGACACCCTCGCTGTCGAGTCGGTTGTGTGACAGATCGAGGCGGTTCAATCGGCGGAGGTTCTTGTGGGCGCTGCAGATGATCTTGAGACCGGACCCTGTCATGTGAGCGCGGGTCAACGACAGGACCTCCATGTCTGAGTTCTCTGTGATGAGCTTCTTCATGTTCGCGACAGCCTTGTCATTGTCGATCAGAACGCCCTCAAAGGTGAGGCACTTGGCGTGGTTGAGGAACCCAGGCAGCTTCTCGCGGAGAAGGAAAGGGAAACCTGTCAGCTTCAAGACCTCGATCGAGAAGCAAGCAAAGAGACGACGGATATGGAGGTAAATGTTGTCCTTGTCCATCAGCTCAGCCGACTCGCGGACCTGGTTGCCGTTGATCTCGACGATCGTCAAGTGGGCCTCAGCCAGGGTCTTGGTCAGGTTGAAGAACAGCTGTTGGCTGGTGGCAAAGACGGCCGCCGCCTTGCGATCGGGGTGGTCAAAGTAAGCAGGCGACAGGTGGAGGAGGACACTCCTCATGCGGCTTTGTCTCTTGACCATCTGAGTATAGACATCGACGGCAATCGAGTTCTGGATAAGTGCCTCGCTCTTCATGCCAGAACGATCCGGGAAGGCAATCAGGTCGTCCAGGCTCGCCTGCTCGTCGTTCCAGATATACCGTCCTGTTTGCATGCCTTTAAAGCAGTCGTCACAGACCCACATGTTCCTTCCGGTTCCTGGAGACACAATCCTCTGGAGTCCACACGACCAGTCCGAAGACGAGCTCGAGCCCGTGATGTCCTGCAGCAGCTTGCCGTAGCCCTCGAGGTGAAGGTGGTCGATCATAAACGTCTCGATCTGTACACTGGTGCCATCGACCGCGGTTCCGCTCTGGATCGAGTCTTTCAAGGCTGGTACGCGAGTCGCGGGTTTGACGACCTTGAGGAACTTTTCGGCGTGCTTGGCCAAATTCTTGCCCATCGTGACCTCCGTTGCACCAGAGACCAGCCAGGCCATGTTGGCCATGTGTTGGAGGGCGGTACCATGTTTCTTCATAATCTCCTCGGGGCGGTTGACGGCGTAGCCTTGATGGTCGGGGAAGTGGATCTGGTTGGTCTGGTCGCGAACACCCAGACCTTGACAGGGGGCCAGGATACGGAAGGGAGTGTAGGCACCGGACGAGTTTCCGGCGACGACTGGGGGAGCAACGATGTAGCAGCGGGGCATGTCCTCGAAGGGGAGGGAGGCCAATGCCTCGGCGGTCTGCAGGTCCATGATTGTTCTAGTCATAGGGGTAGCGACCTTTGTGCTGATGATACTCATCGGTCGTGCCTGTTGAACCTTCGAGCCGGCCTGTTAGACGAAAGAGAGAGAAAGAGGGGTGAGAGACTGCATGTGCGCCGATTCTTAACACCCAAAAAAAAAAGCGAATAGACCAATCGAAATGGACATTTCATATGTTGGTCGTGTGAGTGGGAAAAAAAAGAGACGGGCTCAGACTTTGGGAAGGAAGGATGAATAGCAAATGGCGAACAATGTTGTTATCAAGAGACGAACGGGAAGATGGAAAAAAAAAGCCATTAGTTCAACTTACCGATGAATTGGACGAGACACGCTGCAGCGGCTCATTAAGTCCGAACGAAGCCAAGGAAAGGCTGGAAAGGGAGGTGTGAAGGCTGAACTCGGCGGTATCGATGTTTTGGCCTGCAGAGTACATGCTGCTGCTCTGGAATGACCCGGGCACAGGACTCGAGTTGTAGCGGTGGGCGGGTGGTGCGGGGAACGAAGGGGAGGCTGACGGCATTGGGGACCCTTGCATCGAGAGCGAGGAGCGGTGTTCAGGGTGGAAGGGGATGGTGTGGTAGGATGGGTCGCCAGGAGGGGGGGCAGGCAAGCCTCCCTTGGGTGGAGGGGGAAGGTGTGTGGGGGCGTTCTTCTGTTGAGACTGCATGCGAGGAGGATATGAGGTTAACGGGTTAATGGGCTGTGAGAAGTAAGAGGAAGGCGCACTACCTGCAACGACAGCAGCCGAGGCAGCTCCGATCGACTGGGCCTGGTAGACCTGCTGGGATTGATATTGCTGATGATGTTGTTGTTGTTGCTGCTGTTGTGAGAGGTAAGGCGACGGGGTGGGGATGGATCCTGAGGGCATGTAGACGACGGGGGCAGGGGGAGGGCTTGGGTAAGGGTTGCCGTATTGTTGGTATGTGTGGTGTTGATGGCCGTGGTGTCCTGCGGCGGCGACTTTGGCGTCGTGGTACTGGTATGTTGGCGGTGCAGGTTCGTAGGATCGCTGCTCAGAGTGTAGGGTGTGGAATTGGTGTTGGCCTTTTGGAGGATCACGCTGTCAGATGGGATTGAATAGCGAGAATATATACGAGAGGGTAAGAAAAAGGGCTCTCTTTCTTTCTCATTCTCCCTCTCTCTCTCTCCATTCAGTCACTCATTCTACTCTTTAGTCTTTTTTTGAACTTTTGCTCACTGGGTAAAAGTGAAAAGTAAATCGCTCTCTTCATATCTCACACACACGTATCTTTGTTTGTTGTGCTGTACTCTTGCATCTCTTGTATTGCCACTAAAACCCCTAACCTTTCTTTTTTTTCAATCGTCATGAAAGAAAAAATAACACTACTCACATCGGGAGGCATATAGTAGCTCTGGGGACTTCGGATGCTGGGAGACGTCATATGTGATTCCGCATAAGCGGGCATCGCCATAGGGGTCTGGGCGCGTTTGTTCTGCTCGTATTGTATGTTGGAGTTCATTTTGAACTTTTGAGTGATCGACGACGACGAGGAGAAGGGGATATGCAGGGATGAGAGGAACGACGAAGAAGTGTGGAGTGGAGTGTGAAAAAACGTTCGATTCCGATGGTTGCCAAGTTTCTTAAAGAATTAAAGGTGGTAGTTGGTGGTGGTGTGGGGGACAGAAGGTGAACGAAAGAGGGGAAATGTCCGAGTGTTTTGATATCCTTCTTTTTGAGTGTTTTCAGGGTTGTAACGAAGGAATGGTAGGGAGGTATGTATGTATGTATCAAGGGAAGTATGAATGGGTATTATGAAGGGTTGTTGTAGTGGTATGAAGTATGTATATATATGTGTCAACGAAGGAAGTAGATGAAAGTGTGAGTGTGAGAGGATAGGAATATGAAAGGAAGGTGAGGGAGATAAACAAGGAGGAGTAGAAATGAAGGAGGAGAAGTAGTAGAAACGAAGGAAGAGGAGTGAGGATAAAAAGAAAAAAGAGAAGAGAAGAAAGAAAAAAAGAAAGAAAGCAAGTTCACAAAAACAGGTGGTTAAAATGAAAAGTTAAAGGCAAGAGAGATAAGTCAGAGGGTGGACTGAGGACCCTATGACTTAATAAAGAACAAGATAAACAAAAACGAACGACAATCGACAATCGACAACAACAAATGACACCGAAATCGACACCAGTCGGACAGTTCGGTCTTGGGTTTGTGCTACCCAAAAAGACCATGACCTAGAAGGGAGGGTGAAAAGAAGTCGAGATTGTGAGGGACAAAAGGAAGAAACAAGGGGAGTGGTTTTTTGGGTCGACGAATGGGCCTGGTCTGGTCTGTCTCTCTGTCTCTTTCACACATACATACAGATTTGTATCTCTCTCTCTCTCTCTCTCTCTCCTCTTGCCTGCCTGCGACTAATGCTTCTGCTGCTGTCTCGTCTGTCTTCTTCAACTTTAAAATCAATGCCATGAACAACTTGTTTCTTGCCTGCCTATCTCTTTCTTTTTTTTCATAAAAAAATGAGTGAGAGAATTAGGCAACCAACTAGCCATTCATGCATTAGAACGAAGAGGGGGATAAAGAAAAGTACAAAGACAGAGATGCTTATCCGCCCCGTATCTTCCGAGGGTACCATGGACAGCGGTACCTCTTTGCTATTCAGTACTATTCAATAGTGGTATATCAGCTTTTCCTCTACTTTCCGAGATGTAGAAGGTTTAAACCATGGGTATTGATCAATCATTATTTCGTTTTGGCATTCAACCGATCAGTTGCTCTCTCTCAACTATCAACGTCCATTGCCAACCTAGACGGGGCAACAAACCATTTTTTGTCGCCCATGAATGTTCATATCAATAGAGAAAACACAACAACAACAACAACAACAACAACAACAACAACAGTGGACAAAAAAGCACATGCGTCTGCAGAGAAAAAAAGTGAGTGTGAGTGTGGATGTGTTGATTGAGTGTCTGTTCGGCCTGTGGTACGGCATAGCAAACAAAAAACAGCAGCACAAAGTAGACATGAGATGAGAGAGGTATGTGTGCGGATGTACACAGCGGCAAGCAGAAGCACCCCCTGCACATTGTTGTTCGACAGACAACGACGACGCATCTAGTCATTTTGCTCATTGCGAGGGGGGACATTCGAATCCATAGACCGACGCCAAGCAAGAACACTGCGTGATTGTTTTTAGCAACAACTAGACAGCTCTTTCTATCGATTTGTGTAGAAAGCAAAGAGGGATGAGCCCTCTCTGGGTAGACAGGTAGGTGTTCCGGATAGGATACCTGTCGCTGTAAGGATCGATTTGGGTATTTGTCGGCAACGTACAAATCCCAGTCAAGAGGAAGCTCGGTTCTGGATGAACGAGAGCCAATCGAGCAGAAAAGACGGCGTCAGGTGCAAGGTCACTCCTGGTTGGTAAACCCTATGTATTTCTGTAAGTACGGACAGGCAGTTGAGAGCCTGCTATCTCTTATGCAGCCCTCCTTTTTCTGATGGATAAGAAGAAAAAAAGATGCCTCCTCTTCTTCCTTCGTTCTTGGTTCTTGAAAGACCCAGGTCACATGTCCCTGGCTACTTTAAGTGGATTATGTCTGTGTCCGTCCTCCCCACTTTCTCATTCATTCAATTCTTCAAACGAAAATTCTTGCGGTGAATGGTCCACCGGCTGACATAACCACCATCCGTTGCTATTGGACGCGACGCAGCTTTCTTCTTACTTTCGGCCATCCGTCGTATCGATGGCAACGTCGTTGTCCTTTCAATCGATCCGCTAGATCTCACCAATGGACCACGCACAAACACGACGACAACAACAACCAACACACGCACCCCCTTTTTTTCTTTCTTGTCTTTTGTCCTCCCAAATCACTTTGTCCAAGGGCTCCGTTATCCGTCTTGCCTTTTTGTAATGAAATTCTCCTTGGTTGGTTGGGAGACCAGGTATCCAAGTCCAAGTAGCATGAGTCTCCTTACCTTTGTTCAAGTCTAGATCGTGGATCCACGGATAAGGCCAAAAGGAAATGATGGGGCCCAAATGGATTGAGGTCACAGATAATGACTGAGGTAGGTGAGCCAAGAAAAAAAATGAACTGACCAGGCCTTCATTGCCCCCTACTTTTCATATCCCATCCTCTTTCGACGAATGACCGAGAAAGAACAGAGACGACAATACCAACAAACAATTTAGGCTGAACAGATGGTGGTCGAGGCTTCCAAAAGATCGGAGCCATCGATCATGAATAGACAAAGACGACACCCTTCACCCCCCTCCTCTCTCGCTCTGGTCCTTTTCATTATTCTCCTTGTTTTTGCTTTTCTCTTTTTTAATCTCCTTGGCAAGTGGACGCGTGTGCACCACTGTTTTCCTTTTTCTCTGTTTGTTTGGTTTGTTTGTCACCTTGACGAATGACCTCTGATCGCCTGAGATCATAGTTTTCTGTCCGTTCTTATCCCTGTCGTTATGTGTTTGTTTGTTTGTGCTCTGTTGTGCGCTTGTTTGTTTGCAACTGCTTTCCGTGCCGGAGAGATTGAAAAAACTGCTCCACAGATACATAACCAGATGATGTATGCAAATCGAGCAGAAAAGACACAAGCAGAAAAGCGAGAGCAAGGGTCGGTTGAGGGTGAAGGGGTAGGGGGGACATGGCGGGGCAAGGGCAGTGCAGAAACAAAAAAAGAATACCTTTTCTTCTCCTCTCTCTGTCCCCTTGTGTGCCGTATTTCCTTCGCGCCACTTTCAATCTGGGATTTTTTTTCATTCTTTTGGCGTTGGCCGTCCGTGTCTTGTTTTGCCTTTTGAGTGTGAGGATACATGGAAAAAGGTACTTCTCAGACTCAGATACTCACGTATGCCTCTCTTTTTTTGAAGCATCTCGAAAGTCAAGAGTGGTAAATAGCAAACAGGAATATTGTTGTTCTTGCCTTTGTTGTGTGCTCCAAAATAACAACAAGCTGTTGAATACTCGAGATATATCTGCCGCTTTGGGTCCGTGTTGTCAGTCCAGCCCAGCCTCTTCATCCCTCTCCCGCTCCCGCCCTCACCTCACCCTTCTTTCTCAAAGCCTTCTAATCGGCTCTAAGGTTTTCTTTGCACGATAGCTCGCTCGAGCACTAGCTTTTGTGTCCTTTACCCCTGTCAATAATATGTTCCATTCGCCCTTTTGCCTCTTTACTACGTCTCGTTTCTCCTTCATTTCCATTTTCATTTTCATTTTCATTCTTTCTTCTTCCATATGAAAGAAATGAATGAATGAATGAATGAATGAAAAGAAAAAAGGCTCTCGCCAAAGCAAGTGCTTTTCTTCTTCTTCACCAAACACCTACCGCTATGTTTTCATTGTTGAAAAGGTAATGAATGAAGATATAACGATTAGAGAAAGGAGCAGCTCACCCTCGAATCTTGAGGTTCTCCTTGTTTCTTCTTTCATTCTCTCCCTCCTACACGCTCTTCCTGTCTTGATGGTAATGTCGCACAGGAACACGCTCAACGAGGATAGCCACCCTTACACCAACTCAAAAAAATAATAAAGACTTTGCCGTTTTGGCCTTTTGTTCATTTTAGTGTTCCCTTTTCGCCTTTTTACCCTTCTTCTCTCGATCATTCAATTGTTCGCTCTCCCCCCCCCCTCTCCCTCTTTCGCGCGTGCATTCCCCCTACCTTGCCACGCTTTGACACCTCATCCCTAAAAACTGTGAGACCCAACTTCCCTGTAATGGCAGTTTTTGATTTCTAAAGGAGCATCTGTTTTCCAGAAACCTAAAGATGAGCTTTCGATCTTATTGTACTCGACAGCCCTCAAGTAACAGAAGCGCAGTGAACACTTATCGTTCTTGAAACATACGGTAAAACAGTGGTCCGAGTTTTGACCCTTCCCCGCCTCCCATCTTCCCTCATTGAAACTTTGCGAGTGCATCCCCTCTCTCTCCATCTCTGTTTGATTTTCTTTCCTGCATGTACCAATAGACAAGTAAAAAGGCTGCTTTATTCTTTTCTTTGGGTTTTGTTTTTTTGTTTGTTTTCTTTAGATCGTTGATGCAAGTGTGAACCATGTATGATGGACGGACGCGACATACGAACAGGCAGAGAGGTAAGACATTTATGACCTGTGTGCTTGCCTTACGCCACATCATTAGCAAAGCATATTTTGTTGAAGGATACCTGGGAGATTTACCCATTTTTGCTGCAATCTCCGAGGGAACGTGAGAGAAAAAGAGTGCAGAAAGAACTTGGCTATGACATGATATAAAAGCTATAATAGGCTATCACGACGCGCTTGTTGTTGTAGTGGATATTTTTTTTTTTTTTTTTTTTTTTTGGATTGCTATTTAGTTGGTGTACGTTGTGCTAGGATATGAGTGAATCGGTGTAAGTGTAGTAGTAAGTGGGAGGGCGAAGAGACGGCGGGCTTATTATTGAGACGATGATCCCTGCCGAGACGGCTGCCAGGACTCCTCTTGGACCAGTCGTTGCAATGCCTCCTCGAGCTGATCAGATTCCAGTGTCAGGACGACGGGCAGTAGATGGTCAAAGGAGGTGTCTCTTGGTTTCATTCTTGAGCGACATTACAGGTGAATTGACTTGTGGATATAAAATTTGTCCTCTTAGTGAATTGGCAGAGAGGGTCTTGGCGCGATTATGTGTGTGTGTGTGTCCTTTATTTGTTTGTGTGACCAGAGTGAATGTGGAAGTGTGATGATATCAAGGGTCCTTCCGTTGTAACTGCGCCAAACTTGATAATTGTCATAAACGTCAGAGGAGGATAAGAGAGGAGACGTCGCATGGCAAAGTCAGGGCACGGTGGCACGGTGGCTTGATTTTTAGAGGCAATTTGGCCAAGACAACTCTACAGGACGCCGCGTTTATGCCGTTCAGGGACTGTTATTGTAGGGGTGCCGTGAAATAGGGGTGAATGAATGAAGGATACAGGTGCGCCAACCATGCATATGTTTCCCCAGTCTGAGACTCAAATAGAAGAGCTGATACATATGTCCTCGAATCGCACGGGCAAGACAGGTTAACCAGCCATGGACGGAGATGCAAAGGAGGAGGAACAACATCGTCCACTGAAATAAAAAGAAAACACAAAATGACTCCGAGTACCAAAAAAGCTCTCGATGGACCGAAGATCCATTTACGAACACTCGAAACAAATATCTGTCCCTTTCCTTCCTTGTCGCTCTTTGCAACACGATAATATGGGGACAACAATACCCGCCATAGCCAATAAACTGACTTGCGCCTTTTTTTTTGTTTTCGTACTTTCGTTTCGTTCTTCTCCAGTCTCTTTTCAATCTGAAGCTGTATTCATCACCCAGACTGTAACCACTCTTTTCCATCACTTCCCTCGTTAACTCTCACAAGTGCAACTCAAGATCATGGTCGCTGCCGTCATCCTAGTCGTTCTCAGCATGATAAAGTCCTCTAGAATTTCAGCAACACCACTCAGCGAAAGACTGTTTCTAATGTACTATACAGCTTATACTCTGAAACCGGCGAACCACTCAAATGCAGAGTATACCCTTCTTTTACTCCCCCAAACGACCCAGTTCCCTCCTCCTCCACCACTCACCAACACACTTCAATGCACTCTGGGTGACCGAACCAACGGAGTGGTCACTCAGTGCCAATGCTCTGAGACGAACGATTGGTACGTCCATTGGACCTGCTCAGACCAGGCGATATATCAGTGGACCCGTCCGTGGCACCTTTGCTCTTGCGGTCTTTTGCCCTGGTCAGACTTACTTTGTGGACAGTGGATATTATGGCGGCTAGCACAATACGGCATGCAACATGTTATTAAAGAGTAAAATATCATGTTATCCGTACCATTCATAACACAGAGAAAACGTTCCTTTGTGTGATGAAGATGAAGGTGTTTTTTTATTGTACAATGTAGAGTTGGTGTTACAGGAGAGGGAATAAGGGTATTGCTTGTGCCAGCGAGATAGCGTGCAGCTCCAGAGAAGGGGGGGGTCAACTCTTAGCGGATGAAAGGACCGGTCGAGGCGTTGGACATCATGTTGTGGCTGATCTTGTAGAGGGCCTTTTCGGGGGTCATCTTAGTACCGGTGGTATCAGGGATGGTTTGCATCGAGGTGCGAGGGGTCTGAGCTGGGGTCGAGGCAGCAGAAGAGGTCTTGTTCTTGTTGGAGCGCTTGAAGAAAGACATGACTGGCTTGAGTGTTTCTTGGGTTGTTGTGAGAGAGGACTGAGGCTTGGAATTGGTTGCTGTTGTTGCTTTGAGGATGTGTTTGATGATGAGAGGGAAAGAGGAGATGGTCGTGCCTTTATATACTCGTTTGTCTCTTCAATTGCGGAATCCGCAATACTTAGAGAAGGAGAGGGGCAAGGTTTTTGTCATCTTGGCAGAAGCAGAAGTAAACCATAGTCGGATTAGACATAAGGGTCTCTTGTCGCTATAAAATCGAAGTGCCAAGCAAGAAACAAAGTTTTAAGGTTGGCAGTGCTAGAGCCATGATGTCAATTGGAGAGTGGACACACGCACTAAAAATATTCTCTGACGGCTCCATTCATCCGCAAAATGAAGTGAGGGAGATGAGCGCCATCCACCGATCCTTTCCTAGAGGGGATAGCTTATCCTTGTGTCCCTGTTCAACTCAGAGCCCACATCAAAGATATATCGAACAAACATCACCCACGCGATGAAGAAAAGGTCACGGTTGATTCGAGTTTTACTTTGCGCACAAGTAAAAAAATGGACTAGAATCTACCACGATTGGCCTTCCTGCTTCCCCATCGCCCTTCTCTCTCCACAATCATCCCACCACTAAAAGACTCAAACTCACGACTGTACACGACATGGTCACTATCGAGCGCCTCGTATCCGTCAATGGCAGCGTCAAGAAAATCAGTTCGAGATCTGCAGTTACAATATCCAACACGGTCCCCATTCCGCACGCGATCACACCAATGATGAGGGCACGACCCAACAAGGTACATCCAGTCCTCCCAGACACGACCCACATGTCGGCGAAATGGATCTGCAAGTCGTGCGTATGAAGTGTTGGGTTCGACCTCCGAGTTCTTGAGGGCAATCGATGCTAGCTGTTGGACGTTCGATTCGGCTTCCAATTCCGCTTGTGTGGGCCATGACAGACCGAGCCAGCTGAGATCTGCTGTGGTGATGGGGCCCCACCATCCTTTGCTCGTCCTTGTAAGGTCCTCTCTCCGCTTGAAGTTGATGCCCCTGGCGTCATCCTCATCAAACTCTGTCTCATAGAACAATTGAAGGACAACGTCCAGAGTCATGTCGCGGATGGAAGAGCACGCACACCACTCAATCTCCAGCGCACGGAGCTGCTTGAGGTCCTTGAGTCGGCCATAGAGTTCTCGAACCTGCAGGATGAATGCCAGTCGATGTTCCCACTCCTTCCTCTGTGTTGCTTGCTTCAACTCTCGGTCGCGGATATCGTCTTCGGGTGTCTTCGCAGAAACATCGCGTGTGATCGGATTCCAGTCGTCATCAAACTCCACAGCACTCCATTCACCCTCAGCTTGAAAAACAATTCCAGTGTGGTAACCATCAGGGCACTCTTGCCAGAGCGGCTCCACCACAGACAACCGTAACTTTTCCAGCCGACTGAACACGGTCGAGTAGTCCTCCTCAACGGCGTCTGGGATGGTGCGAGAATGAGCAGGGGCATTCCAGCAGTAGTCCGACATCGAGAATCCTTTTTCCTGGTAAAGGACCAACTCCTTGAGCTGAGTGCAACAAGTCCAACTGGCCTTGGTCCCAATGTGAAAAGGGTTCGCAATGTCCATGATTGGCAGCCAACTACCGCGATCGAGCCAAGCAATCTCCAGAGTATCCGTTGACCGAGACACTAATTCTGCAATCGCATGATGAGTCGACGGTGACCACTCGCCTTCGATCCTAAACTCCTTCAGTTTGGCGAAACGAGATCCTGGCGATAATGAACTCGTTGTTGTTGTTGTCGTCTCGATGATATCGTCGTCTTGTGCAACAGCCTCCACGATCGAAAGGTCGATTGTCTCCATATCAGGGCAAGAGGTGACCAAGAGCTGCAATACTTCCTGCAACATTCCATAGTGGTCCCGCAGAACAAGATCCCGAAGCCGAGGAGCCCTTTTGATCAGAGTTGCCGCTTCTGGGTCATAGTAGTTGGCATGGATAGGTTGCCGTGCGGGAGAGAATGGTGAAGGAATGAACACCTCTTCCTGCCAATGGGAAGTCACTCGTTTCTGAGGTCCACTGAGGCAGAGTCGTTCCAGGGTCGGGAGTAGAGTTGTCGTGAGCTTGGGCTCGTGGGTTGTGCCGGAACCACTCTCATCCCAGGAGGAATATAAGCTCCGGTAGCGGAACTCCAAGTCCCGGATACTGACAGGGAGGTTGTTGTAGAGGGTGTATCGGAATGGCAAAGAGATGGATTGGAGGCTGATGTGGATCCGGGTAAGGGACGTGTGTGTCGCCAGTGACTTGAAAACCGGTTCTGTGAAGTGGTCGTCTTTGTACCTCCACTCATTGTGTTCGACGAACAGAGTGCGGAGCTTGGGGTTGGTCTCGACTAGCAAGAGCGCATTCCTGGTCTGGTCGACTATCGACGGCGATAGCCCCCAGAAATTCATATCCTTAGGCTGATAGTCATAGTCGATACAGTGGAGCTCGATGAGGTTGGTGCAGGGTGAAGAGGGGTTGTTCAAGAACCAGCCAGCATCGGATATGTCGATGGAGAGGGTCTGTATCCGGGCTGCGCTGTCGAGTAAAGCCCACGTCTGGTGCTTCTTGAGGTTGACGAATTCGACACGACGGAGAACCTGAGGCTGGAAGAGGTCAAACCAGTCGCGGGAGACTTGGAGGCAGGGGAAGAGGTCGTCTTTTGTGAGGTTGTCGCAGATGAGGTCGAGGATGAGAGGGATGTCAAAGATGGAGATGGAGATGGCATGTTTGATTGGAATGAATTGCATGGAAAAAGGGGGAAGTGTCAAGAAGTGAGGAAACGTGTGAGAAAGAAAAATAAAAAGAGTGCAGACCGTGTTGCTTTTATTTCTGCCCTTGGAGGCGAGGCGTTGGAGGCGTACGTTGATGCTGTTGTTGTCATGGTGGCGCAGACAAGCAAAAGTTTGATAGAGCCTTGGGAATGCATGCGGGACAGGTCAACTATTTGGTTGCTGGCCGTTGTTAACGTCCATCGCCTCCAACGACGCGACTACAAGAGCTCATACAAGTGATTGCGGAGTTTCGACTATGAGCGAAACAGGAAAAAGTGTATCGGTTTCGGTGCTGCGATCGATCAATTGATAATAGTTCCTGACACGACGCGTCCTTCTTTCCTGCAGAAGTAGGTAAAGGCACTTTGAGGATCGCTGTTCTCGTCCCAGTCTTCTACTTTGTTTTACGGAGAGGCACCCTCTTTGAGCACAATCCAAGATGCAAAATAAAAATTACTACATTGATCTGACTGGCATGTTCACCGGTTTTTCATAAAAAGTGAATCGTTGGAAGCAGAGGGAGCCTGTGTCTCCAGCTTTTGCTGGAGGAACACGTTCCCACATCACACATGCTCCTCTACTGTAGAAATGGATGGTTGTATGGTTTGTGATTTGACAATTAGCCCTCCCCTTCTGTTGCAATGCAAAGAGTGAAAAGACGAAAGATATTTTCAAAGCGACAAAGTATTCCGCTCTTATTTTCCTTTCTCCATCTTCAACTCGTATATCTTGCACGCCTTCGCTCCTCCAATCTTCCAGAAGTATCAGCCCTATATCGTTCAAGTCTCGATTAGTCGGTTTCCTGGCCACAAGAGCCATTGCCATTGTCCTGTCTGCGGTCATGGTACAAGCCCAACCCGACTCGCGACAACCACGACCAACATCTTTACCTCCATCGAACCCTGCTCATCGTTTGGTTGTCTGAATAAAATACTCAACACCGTCTATACGTGACCACGCTATATTGTTGCTACTTACCTCACAGTTGTGCCTCGACAATGACTTCTCTGCCCGTTCTTTGAAGAGCCGGCAGCGACATATTTTCGTCCCGAGTGTCAATTGAGATGAACCATTAGAATTAAAAAGGGCCCCATCCCTCATAGCGTTATCGCAGGTCTTCCTCTCCAAGAAAGAAGGCTCGCCTTTATCGGATAAAGGGACCTTTAGAAGCATTAACCATCATGTTACGTATACTCCTATCGTAAGCTTCCTCGGGGGTCATATTGGTACCGGCATCACGGAGGGTATGCATCGAGACACGATGAGTCTGGGCTGGGGTCGAGACAGCAGAGGAAGTCTTGTTCTTGTTGGAGCGCTTGAAGAGAGACATGGTTGGCTTGAGTGTTTCTTGGGTTGTAGAGAGGTCGGAGATTGCTAGTGTAGGCTTGAGGCTGGTTGCTTTTGCTGCTTTGAGGATGTGTTTGAGTGATGAGGAAAACATAGAGTGTTGACCATGGCTTCTATATCTGTCCTTTTGACGATAGAGTTGAAAACAGTGGTGAGGGCGATGGGACGGTATTGGTCAGCTGGACTGTGTACTCAACGTTTGTCATAGATGGCGCCGCCAAAGGCCAACCAAGGACCGAGGGAATAAAAATCAATGACAGGCAGAAAGAAAAAAATCGACTACAGCCGCCCCCTGTCACGATAAACAAATGCGTGCAGACACTAGCTATGCTATACAAACACAACGTAATGAAATGGCACCAATTTTATTTTTTCTTGCGTTCCAAGCGCGTCGCTTGCTGACTCAGACACTCGCCCTGACGGCCACCCTTCTTCACCCTTGCCCGTCTCCCCCAGAACCCATTGGCGCCCTCAAATGTTTTTGTCATCACCTCGAACTGTGTCCTCGACACGATAGGGTCCTCCATGTAATCGCACTCGGAGTTATCATCGCCATCTCTGCCAGCAACGACATCCCAATCTCTCCAGCCATGTCCGACGCGCCGATGGATAGGGTGTTCTGGATGATCAAACTCATGAGGCGGGTGCTCACGAGACGAATTTTCTGCTGCGTTGAACTCATATTCGCGGCGGGTCCAAAACACGGATCCCAAGCCTAGCCATGCCAAATCCTCATACTTCACCTTCCTCGGTCCAGTCGCTTCCGCCACGATATCTACCTCGGCTGTTGATATGTCCTCGCGCTCATCCTCGCGCTCATCCTCACCTTCATCCCAACTCTCACCGCTCCTCTCGTCCTCGTCCTCGGCCTCCAGTATGTCCTTGTTGATCATGTCCAATAGATCCTCCAATGCCACAGTCGTCACAGCTTCGGACAAATCCCATTTCAGCTTGATGACTGACAGCTTTGGAAGAGACTTGAGCCTCCAAAAGAGCTGTCCAATTTCACAAGCAAACTTCTGTCGCATTCGCTCAGTCTCGACTGGAGTCAGCGGGATCGGCTCCTCGTTTTCCTGGGCGAGCGCGATCTCGACGTTGGCAGACACTGGTGATGGTGCATCTCTGACCAACAAGTCGAGTGACTCCAGCTCTGTGCACTGCCATTCGGAAGGCCGGACAAGATCCTCAAGTAGAGCTCTGGGGAGACACTCTGGAGGCCTAACATCGACTTCGCCGTCGCAGTTGAGACAGCAAATAATAGTGTGGTACTGCCTCATCCTGACCCTGAACTTTCTCAACCGACTACAGTCGCTCCATGCACAAGAATCCAACAAGTCCGCATTGGTGACGTGTTGCAAAGACCACGGATATTGGATCGAGTTCCATTGATAGTCATTCATCTCGAACTTGATGACCTCAAGAGTTGAAGCCGAGCGGAGGATCCAGTCGGCCAGATTCTGGTACTCGTCCTGCGTTCGGTTTTGGTTCCAGATATGCATTCGAAACTCTCGGAGCTTTGCGAGGCGACCCCTCAAGGGAGAACTTCCAGGGACTGCTGTTGTTGTTGCCTCTGGAGGGTCGAGTGGAAGTGGCACATAGTCGCACCCATGAAGGTTGACAATCTCCAGGTCAGGACAGGAATCCGTCAGCGCCTGTAGCACGACTTGAGGGTCACCCTTGTAATCTCCAATGGTGAACTCTTGAAGCAGCGGACACTTGGCCACAAGGGGGACGACAACCGATTCAGGAAGGTAGCCTCTGTCGAAGAAAAGAGATGACCAAAACATCGACGATCCTTGTTCCTCAAAGGGGTACCAGCTGGTCGAATGGAGACACAGTTTCCGGAGTGACGTCGAAGGCCAGTCAAGCAATGGCAGCTCCTGCACGATCGACGGCGAGACGTTGCATCTCCATCCAGAACACTCTAGATCTCGAAGAGTGGATGGAAGGTGTTGTACGAGCGTGTGCAAGAACGCGATCTCATACTCGACTATCCTGACCTTGATCTGCGTCAGCGATGAGTGGAACAAGAGTGACTCTAGTATGGATAGCGTGAAATGCTTTGTTGAAACTGCTTCTCTACGGTGCTGGAAATGCAGCATTTCCAACTGGGGATTTTTGCAGACAAGTGCCATCGGGTTTGTGGTGTTCGGGAAGTCAGAAAATTCAGATTCGGGAGAGGAATCGAAATCATAGGAGTCGAGGCAGTAGAGTCGTCGCAGGTTGGTACAGACCACGCGTCTGTCGAGAAACAATACGCCGTCAGAAAGGTTGATCTCGAGCGAACGGATGACGGCGGCACGATCGAGGATGGATTGGACTTTGGCTTGGCCGTCGCTCACGTAGTCGACCTTGACGAAACGGCTGATCAGGGGAAGAAAGAGGTCATGCCAGGATCGTGACACCTGGAGACAGGCGGCTACTTGGTTCCTGGAGAGATTATCGCATATAGAGTCGAGGAGCGCAGGGATGTCAAAGATGGAGATATGGTTTATGTTGTTAGACATGGTGAGGATGCAGATGGGAAAGTGAAAGAAGTGTTGATGGGAGGGAGAGGAGAGTGTTGATAGGAAGAAGAGAGGAGAGTACGTGAATCGCATTGGCTTGTTTTTATTCTAGAATATTTTGCGTTTGTACGACCGCTGTGAACAGCTCTGCCTCCGGTGGCGTACGAACTCGATTTTTTTTTAAGGTTCGCGGAAACTTTGTGAGGCGAAGTCGGAAAGTACTCGAAGAATCGACATCACCACGCTCGGTCGGGTTTTGTTATAACAAGAATGCTGTGCTCTGGCGTCGATATAAACGAACAGCACTGCCAGGGACACGCGTAGCTCGAATAAAGGCCTGCTGCAACAGAGGGAGCGATCAACGTGTTCATTTTTCGTTCATGGTGGCATCCTAGAATCACGTTTAACAAGTTGTATTTGTTGGTGCAACATCCATTGTGTTGTATTAAAGGTCGATTGTCACACCCTAACCTGTTTGTGTGTACGCCAGAATCGAGTACGACACACAGCTCTCCTCCTCTTCTCCCCTGCTGGGGATGAAGACGAGGCCGAAATACAGGTGACTGCTTCTCGTTGTCCTTGTAGGAGCGTTGAAACATTTCTCTCTCCTCTCCTTTTTTCCTCCTCCCTCTGTTATTTCGCTTACATCGGCTTTACCACCCTTGGAAAACAACACCATGTACATCAAGCAAGAACTCCAACACGACGACGACATCAATCACGAAGTCGTTATTTTTTTATTTCGCTTGAATTAAGGAATGGCTACAGCAGCAAGTCTTCTTTCAGTTAGACTGACAACAAAAAGGAAAGGGTGAGTAGAATGATCGAGGGAAACGAGACAGTTGCGCGCAGGCTATGCAGTACAACCTGGTGCAGAAAGGCTCCATTGGTCACGTTCGGCATCAGGCCCTGCGAGATCTTGAGAAGCGCTTCCTCAGGGGGTCATTCGCCTTGCTTCGGGTAGCAGCGGCAGCGTCGCGAGTGGTCAGAGTTGCCTCTGAGGATCGAGATGCGATGATTTGATCCAGTGACGTTTACGACTCAGCTGGCCTTAGTAGTGGATTGATTGGGTGTGTTTTAGCGTTGCTAAATTCTGTTGGCACGCGTTTTTTTTTTTTTTTTTTTTTTTTTTTAGAATTTGACATATCCAAAGGTGTCCTCCTCCCCTGTCGTTGAAAAAGCTGAAAAAGAAGAACGACGCATGGAGAACCGCCAAGCGTGCACAACGAAAGTTAGTGTCGTTTTTTAGCACCACAGCCCTAGCCTATTCGCAACGCCCCCTCAAACCAACATTACCTTCCATTCAAGGATGCCCACAAGCCCAATTGTAAAGAAAAAGAAGGTCCATGCGCCATGAAATGATGGATCGAAGAAACCTATGACTCCATATGCATTATCCATCCCCTGCAAAAGCGACAACAAAAGTCATTCATGTGATGATACTGTACTAGATATGCAAAAACAAAAGACGCTCTATTAAATGCGTATGCGTCTATATGCTTAGTTATAATATATCTGCTGGTGGCTCTGAGACGACTGCTGAGGCTGGTACTGCTGCTGGTGGTTCTGAGATGGTTGTTGAGAGTACTGCTGAGAAGCACTTCCACTGCTTCCCCCCATCATTTGTGGCTGTGACGACAATGGGGACGTTCCTGATGATCCGGACTGGTCAGCCGTCGAGTAGAACCCTAATCCAGTACCTCCCGAAAACGCGTTGCTCCCGACCGAGTACACAGGCAAAGTTTGCTGAGGTGTCGAATGGCTCTGCAGGGGCAAGAACGGTCGGTCCTGCCCTTGCCCTTGAGATGCAAAGGCGGACACAGACGTCGTCGGGGTCGACAATGACGGGGTGTTGTACTCGAAATGGTAAATCGGCTGTTGAGGCGCAGTGGCAGAGGTGATGTGACTGGTTGAATTACCATTCACATTGCCCACCATAGACATTCCTGTAAAGGATCCAGATTCTGCTCCTGAGGCAACAACAGATCCTATTCCAGTACCACCGCCACCTCCCATCATTAATGAAGTGTAATCTCCCGTCTCTGACATCGAGTATCCAGACGACATATTGACGGCCATGGCGTTCGACGCAGGCGCTGGACCAGCGCTGCCAGAGTAGGAATCCATAGCTCCTCCTGGAAACGATGAGCCGGCATAGTTTCCAGAGTTGGACTGTTGTTGAGGTTGTTGTTGTTGGTGTTGGTGTTGCTGTTGCTGAGGTGGGTAAGGCTGAGGTTGAGGTTGTTGGACACCTAAACCAGTATTGGCGCGCATTTGTTGTCGTTTCCTGATGATCGTTGGAAGGTCGTGAGATTTGGGGTTTCCTGACCGCTGTTGATACAACTGCTGCATCTGCTGTTGCTGTTGCTGAAGTGGTGCCGGCTCCACGGATGGTGCCGCCGAATAAGCATCTGGACGGGTCCCAGTCGCAGAAAGGAGCCGCTCCTGATTCATAACCAAATTTTGCGTTGCAGCCGCAGCATCCGGCGACGTGGCAAGTCCGCTGGACATGTTCAGTGCAGCCTGTACACCCAGACACTCCTCGATCAGCTTTTGTTGGATCGCATGCTGATGTTCCTGAAGCGAATCGAGTTCGACGGTAAGGTACGAGTAAAAGTGCTTGTGCTCCAGATTGTCAAACCGATGCAAAAGTTTCGCAACTCTCGACACCTGGACAGCGCACTGACCCTTGAGGCGCGCCGAGAAAACAGGGATCGAATCCTTGGCCTTGCCCTTCTGGTTCCGCTTGTCCTTGCTGGTCGTGGCAACCTCCTTCTCCACGATGATCTTGTGATAGATCCGAAGGCACCATCCCAGTGCAGCGCCAGTGCAGGACAAGTGCGCCCGCTCTGGATATCTGTGCAACAGGATCTCCGCGTAATGAACGATCCGGTCTGCTTCCTGCGCACACTGGCTTATATTGTCCAAGAGGTCCTGGCGGCGCTTATAGCGCTGTCGTTGTTGCTGGATGGTTTGTTGAAGCTGCGTGTCCTGGGTGGAAGCGGTCCCCTCCTTGATGACGGAGACTGGTTGGAGCAGATGGGTCCCAGCCGCCAGCATGTTTGGATAGAGCAACAGGACGTTGAGCATGCTGTACACCAGTTGCAGTCCCAAGGCTCGCCCGTTGACTCGAGGCTCGACGTAATCCAGATTGCTGAGTTGTGGTCTCAATCGCATCGGCAATTCGTCCTTCCACATCTTCAGAGATAGCAACAGCTCAGCTTCTGAGAACTCGTTGATAAGGACATCCTGAAAGGTGGGTCCGAAAGCAATCGCCTTGCCATCCGTGTCCGTCTCGGCGCCTTCCGCCCCGATCAACTGGTCCATCTTTTTGAGTCCTGACTGGAAGAATGCATGGATTTTTCGGCCAATCCTCCAGAGATGAATCTCCTTCAGCATGAACCATCTTGTCCACAGACCGTCGTCGGTATCGAGTTCCGTGAGTGCTGGGAAAGGCGTCTCCAAGAAATCGTCATCCAACTGACTCAAGTGACCCCTGACAACCGTCTGCACAGTGTCGAACATGTACATTCCCCAGAACAACCAGTATCGGGTCTGTAACACAATGGGTTTCGGCATCCATCTCGACGCGTCCACATGGAGCCCCAAGAACGCGCACTCGCTCACAAGTTTCAGCAGCTCGGCTCGGAGTAATGCCTTGGGGTAAACATAGCAGAGCAGCAGTGCTGCTTGAAGATACACTGTGGAGTACGTGCTCCGAATGTCATCCAGGTAAGACATCAATCCTACGAAAAAGAAGAAAAGTACGTTTTGTAAATAATTGGACCGTTGCTTTCGATCACACCTCAGCACATAACCATTATCCGATTAACATACCAAAGGCGCGCCTAAAGTATCTTGTGCACTGTGCATTGTTGGAAACAGGATCGGTCATCCTCGCAACTGGAATCCCCATATTTTCAATCTCAGGATCAAGACGAAGCGCGATTCCTGCAATGACATTGAGCAGCATCCTGGAAGTCTGGTTGGATCGGGTCTGCTTGGCACGCTCAACAACTAGCCGTGTCATGAAAGGAGGGAACAAGTGTGCGTTCTACGGCCCCCATGTTTGAAAGACAATGTAGTTGTGTGCGTTAGTTGACCATTCTTTCACACATGCATAATTAAACAGGCAAAGAAAGAGGCTTAGGTCGATACATACCTGGAAATAGACCTCGATAGACCGTTCAATCTTGGCGACAGAGGGCAATATCAAGAGTTCCTGGTTTGTTGGGGTTGCTGGTTCGATATAGTTGCGCACCCAAGCAGGATCTTTGGACTGAATGACCATGTCATCGTCCCACGAGTTTCCCTCGGGTTTGAGGTTGACCGATCCCGTCTTGCCCCAAAACAAACAAGAGTCATACAGCTTGAGGTCGTTCATAGCTTCCTCCAACTGTGACACGCCTCGATAAGGCGGCAGAGCCCGAATCGAAGGCTGGACACGGGTGTTACTGTTGGCGTTTTTCCGGATCGAGTTTAAATCAAAAATCTTGTTTCCCGACGATGCCGACTTTGAGTTTGATGGCGACTGGGTGTTATCTTCCTGATTGTGACCGAGTTGTTCAGAGGAGGTGCCTTGTTTTTCCTGGGTGTTCCCGGTGTCCTCTGCCGGGGCTGGGCTCACTTCTGGAGAATATTTCTGGTAGAGTTTGGATAATGACAAAGCAAAAACGTTAATCAACAAGAGTACATATCGTTACTGCCTCGCTCCTTGTCTTTCTTGCCTGCTTTGTTCGTATGTATTATTATGCAAGTATCGTGAACCAATCGATGCTTGTCTGTTCAGCCAATATCCTACAGGTTTTTTGTCGTTTGTCCGTTACGCCGCCAACTTTCTACAATCGAATGCCCTTGCGTTTATGCAAGTGATCCTGATTGTTCCTTTGCAATAATTCGTTGCCACGCCTGTCAACAAACAATAATCTGAAACTTACCAACATGGCAGGCGGGAAGTAAGGAAAGCTGGGAATATTTGGGGATGGACGAAGGAGAGGGGTATCAATGCTCGCAGACTGAGGTAGGAGATTGGAGATTGGAGTGTCAGGATAGGAAAGGGGTTGACCGCGTTGCTCCTGCTGCTGTTGGTGTAGTTGCTGTTGTTGCGTCACCTCCTGGTGCCGTGACAGATGAAATTGAGACGAATCGATGACAGCCCGTGGTGAGCCCGTGGTCGGAGCCGTAACATGATCAGGTACACCTTTTGGCACGGCTAACATGCCTGCTGACAGTGACCTTTGAGACTGTTGCGTTGGATGAGGCTCGATGGGCGGTGACCGTAACGGGTACTGGGATTGGTACCCTGGTAATTGCTGATGTGCCTGTTGCTGTCCTTGTGGCTGTGGTAATTGCTGGTAGGGTTCCTGTTGGCTGCCAAGAGACTGTGGTCTTAATTGGCTTCCCTGTTGAGAGTCCAATTGGGGAGCGTTCAATAGTCCTGAGGGCTGGTCGCGGTATGGCTGTTGCTGGGATGGGTATGACTGCTGGTTCTGGTAATGGCGCAATGGGGAGGTGAGTGGCTGTATTGCCTGCGTCTGGGATTGATGCAGCCCTTGTTGTTGTTGTTGTTGTTGCTGTTGTTGGTGCTGTTGCTGTAGGGGCGAACGTTGTGTGTGAGGCCCCAGATCAAGACGTTGTACTTGTTGCTGCCCATAATGAAACGGATGTTGCTCCTGCCTAAATTGCTGTGGCTGTTGCCCCTGTCTAAACTGCTGCGGCTGCGGCTGTTGTTGCTGATGCTGTTGCGATGGATGTTGATGCTGTTGCTGGAGAACCGATCTGAGGGCCATGGTCTGACTCCATTGGTACTCTTCCACTTGATCCAGATATTGCGCCTGGATCTCCTCCTCCGAGAACTCTCTGGCACGCTTGTGAAGTTGGTGATCCTGTTGATGTGTATCCAGAAGGAACGAATAGTCGCTGCTTGCAGCGCTGTCAAAGGTCATTGGCAGACCATTGTTATTATTGCCGCTGTTACTGTTACTGCCTGGAAAGCCATTATGGGTTAGCCCTGTGACTCCTCCAGCCGACGACGAGGCGTAAGATGTTGGGAAGAGTGAGGTTGCCAATGAATCGGCAACGCCTGCTTCTTCTGTCGTGAGCATGATGGGTGGGAAATAGACGATTGGTATCTCTGGTCTTGTAAGGAGAGCTCCGGATCTTTTCCGGGATTGGAGCCAATGGAGGGATGCTAGGTACAGAATCATAAAAAAAAAGTTCAATGGGATATTAGTGGGTGCCGCCAGAAGGTTCAATTGAAGGCGGTGCTGTTGTGGAGTAATTGATGCTGAAAAATACCTGCTGGTTGGTTAGTCTGACTGACAGAGGTGCAGGATACTTAAGGTCAGTTCTAGTGAAAGAGAAACAACGACGCCAGTTGATGTTAGTCAACTTTCTTTCCATGCAAGAGAGAGTGAAAGAGATGCAACTTTGTCTGCAATGGGGCGGAGCAAGACCACGTTTTGAACGTATGGAACACAAAGAAGGGCTCTGTCCATGCCACGCTTCTCTTTGTTTTGTGGATGTTTTTCCGTTGGGTTGCTTGTTGATGGGGAGGATCAACTTTGCTGCGAAGGTAGGTGTGATGACAGATGTTGGTTTCATTTGGTGGCGGTGATATGTGTGTGTGTGTGTGTATGTGTATGTGTGCAAGCTACCTTTTTGGCGGAGAGGAGCAAGCGCAAACCCTGAACAGGAGAAGTTGTGCGTGGGGAGAGGAGGAGGAGAAGGAGGAGGAGGGGGAAGGCTGTCTATCAATGAGAAGATGGAGGGTTTGTTTGTTGTTTGTTGTTATTGTTGCCTCTTTTTGCAAGGTTGAGTTGACGAGAGCAAGTGGGAGAGCGAAGGGGGAAAGGGGAGAAGGGAGGGAGAGGGAGAGAGATAAAGTTGGACAGGACGACGAGAAGAGAAGAGATAGAGAGAGATAGAGAGAGAGAGTGTGTGTGTGGCTCAGCGAAGAAGACACAACGACAATGCACTTACGAATCGGGCAGATTGAAGTGTTCCAGGCCAAGGAACAGAAAAAGGCAAAAGAAGGGCAAACGACAGCTCCTTCTTTCTTCCCCTGGTCGCTTGGTGCTGGGCTGGGTAAAATTAAAAAAAAGGCTCAAAGGACGGTAAGCAGCTGGTCAACGTCTTCTGCTCTTCTTTGTTTCTTCATTTCACAACTCATATCGGACATTATTATTGTAGTGTGTGCCCAAGAGAGGGGTTGGGAAAAGAAGAGCAAAGAACGGCCACCACTTTTATTACTTCTGATGTACTGGTACTGTACAACGAACGACATGTAAACTACCATCCACCAGGGAACAATCAAACGATCTCTCGTAAGAAATATCACGCCCATGCGGCACGTGCAAGTTTATCACGCAAAATAGAACCTCATGTCCTCCCGTCTGCACACTAACCTTCTTCCTTACTTTCTTTCCTTCTTCCTCAACGTCAACGGCAGGCTCATCCTCTCACATCACTCTCCTCTCCCATGCCAACCATGGCATCAGCACTCTACCGATTCCTTCTTCAAGACGGACTCACCTCACCCGTTTCCTCATTCGCAACCCTCAACCAGATCTACTTTGCCCTCGCAACGACCTCCGTCCTCGCCGCCGCTACTCTACCCTTTTTACGCGCTTCCGTCCTCTCCTACGGCAAACTGGATTCTACCCCCTCTGCCTCATCCACAAAATCAACCACGAAGAACCCTTCAACCCCTCACGGCAATTGGATCAAGACCATCAAGAGTTTACAAGTCCCAAAAGTCTGGTTCTCTCACTTCTATGTTTATGCTACCTTCTGGATGCTCTACTGCACCTTTGATCTCTGGGTTTACTCCTCCCCGGCCGTCGTCTTCCCCCCAACCTCAATCTCATATTCAACAAAAACTACAGTTATCCGAAGCATGCCTGCCATCCTGACCTCCACGCGCCACTATTGGAGTCTCTTGACCTTGCTCAACTACCTCGGGATCATGCCAGCGCACATCCCTCCCTTCGCTTCGGCACACCACTCAGCAACGACAACAAACGAACCATTCATCGTTCAAGCATGGACCCCTCCACCTCACGTCTTGCTCACCATGGCCTGTTATTTCCTTCAAGTCATCCGTCGCTGGTACGAGTCCTGGTTTGTCGAGCGACCTTCCGTCGCGGCTAAGATTCATGTCACACACTACATTGTCGGGATTACTTTCTACTCTGCGATGGCTCCCTCTACATGGATCGACGCTTACGAGGCTTGGATCGAACAGGGTGCAGCAACTGGCCCAGCAGGGAGCATCACAGCAACATCGGCAGTGCCTCCACAAGATTCGATGCTCTTTGGACTCAATGGGCAGTGTCTTCTCGGATTGATGGTGTTCGTCTGGGCAAGCTGGCACCAATATAACTGCCACGTCATCCTCGCCAATCTTCGCCCTAAACCTGTGAGGAAAGAAGACAACCCCAAGAGTCAGGATTACAAGATTCCCTTTGGAGACTGGTTCCAATATATGGTGGCACCCCATTACTCGGCCGAGATGTTGATCTACCTGAGTTTGTACCTCATGGCATCATCGTCGCCCTTGACCGCCAACTCTTCGACAGCGCCGACATTGTTGTGTGCCTGGGGATGGGTGGTTGTTAACTTGGGCATTGTTGCAAGGGAGACAGATCAGTGGTACAGAACCCGCTTTGGAGACCGGTATGCTGCCATTGGATCTCCTGTTGGCGCAGCAAAGGCCTCTCGATCAGGACGAGGTGCAAGGCGATACATCCTGATTCCCTTTGTCTACTGATCTCTACGGATCGACTGATCTCTAATAAACATGTACAGAACAGTATCAATCACAAAGATAAGATAACAATTGCGGATCAAATTCTATCAGTCTCACGTCTATATATGGTCAACGCGAAGTACGCGTTGTGGCGTCAAAAGAACCATGGTGTGTTGTCTTTGCTTGGCAAACACATCTCGATTGAGCACAAGTGCTCTTCCTCTTAACCCAACTCGAGCCGGTCCTTGAGTATAGTTTAGCAAAGTCGATCGAAAAAAACGCCTTTCGTCGTCAAGACTTCATGCCCTTTTCTTGCCCAACACGTACCCCTCGGTACGATCGCTTCATGTCGAAGGGACTTGACAGGTTCTATCTCTCCGACTGTTTTCTGGATTACCAGAAATATCTCCAAAGAACAGGAACCGACGCGTCCTCTACTAATACTAGTGTGTCCATTCCTACTTGGCTGCCACCCCCGAACAATATGGAATTTTCTGTGATTCCTTTGATGCCGATGTCGCAATTGAAAGAGCTATCCATCGATGTAGGCTCCAGAAGACGACGACCACCACTTCTCCCTCTTTCATCTTACGTTCCAGAACTGTACCGCCCTCTTCTCCCAAGTGTGTTGGATGTTGCAACTGAGCCCCGCGTCTGGTTAAGCTGCCTGTGAGGTCGTTGCCGACAATGAGCGCTCAGAAGGTCCTGTCCATGGCCAGGATCATAGCAATGATGTCGACATTGAAGGCGCTAGACCTGGGGATCTTCCTTAACGACATCTCAGAACTCCATGGAATGGTTCCGCATCTGGGCAGACTTTTTTTTTTTTTTTTTTTTTTTTGCAGAAAACCTCCGTCGTCGTTGCTAAAAGGTTTGCGTTCTCTGTGGGCTACATGGCAACTTGGAAGTAAACGAGGGTGATGGGTATGTTTGTGGTGTGTGCTGAGTTGATTGTGGATCCGCCTGAGAGACAAGATGTGTTGCCTGCGTTGACCGAGTTGGAGTTGTCGGATACAACCTTTTCCGACGCTATCATCCCCAGTGAACAAACGACATTCAGGAAGTTCTGGAACACTGCCCTAATCTCGACAAGATCTCCTTCGATCGCCTCGACTATTGGGTCGACGAGCATGAGCTGGTGAGTGTTCGCCCAAAGTGTTGTTCCAGCTGAAGAGGGTCACTCATGACACAAGCATTTCACCCAGGAATGACTTTTTGTACAGCCTGATGGCGAATATGCCCCCGGGTCAGGTGGAAGAGGTCGAGTGCAAGAGGTATTGTCGTGAGCCGGATATCACTGGACCGCCACCAGTCTTCCTCCAACACTCAACCTCTCTCCGACCGATCTTATTCGACAACTGTGGCGTGCTCCAAAGGTCGGTCCGTTGGATTGGTGCTTGCAGAATGCGTTGGTCTGGAGGAGCTGTAGCTTTGTCCAAAGGGGATAGGCCAGGCCTCGCTCATGTATTTGGAGGATGCCGTCGCCTCTATGCCTTGGGCGTGCTCCTGGCTTCAACATCTCTCATTCGCCATCCAAGGGGCTTTATTCCTAGAGATCTCGAATACTGGAGATCAGGACAGGTGCCCGGCTGCAACTGGATACCGGATCCCATAGCTGTTTGGGAGGTGACGGTCCAGTTCGCATTAATGGGGCGCCTCTATCAGCAGATTGGTTCGTTGACAGAACTCAGGCGGTTGAATTTGAGGTCGCTCGCCGCATTTGGAGTCAGGACCAAGGTCGATGATCAAGACTACCGGTACAACCTGTTTTCGGGCTTGATGAGCTTGGCAGATGATGAGATGGGTCGGCAGGGCTGCTTGGGGCTGCTTGGTGGACTGAGTAAAGCTGCAAGAGCTTCGTGAGTCTATTCAGGCGGCCGTTGGGGAGGGTATGTGGGGGCGGTTGGGTGGGCAGAAGTGAGATGGATACACGGCTAACTAGCCGAATCTGCGAGCCAGCGAGTTTTATGGTAAGAGGGACGAGGTAGGGGAACGCTTTCCTACGGGATCACCGTCGACGATGGAATCTGGACTTTTGTGGCTACTAGACCTTTTCACGTAGGAAAAATTTGTCCCAGATAATAGATATCATTGGTTTTGATTGAAAAGAAATGTCTTCGAACAGTTCCACGCACGAGGAGTATTAATTTCGTTCGCATTTTACAACGCGGTAAAAAAAACCATACCAACTGCACCAGGGCCAATACTTCGTGTTTTGTCCTGCTCACATCATGTTCCATGTTAAAGTTGTCTTGTAACCCCAGATCTAAATCCCGTCCTTTAGCACAATTGCTCGTGGTCGCTGATTGTTTGTTTGTTGTGTTTATTGCTTCGGTCTCGTCCCGGATCGATAACATCCAGGGTTCCACGTGAAGCACCGCTTTTCTAGTACTTGTACTTTGTCGAGTAATCCTTGGGCGAAACAACAAGACCACGTCCCTTTCTCGCACCACGAAAGACCGTCTCGACAATATCGATCAACTCCTGTTTACTATCCAGCGACCAATTGATCTTGTTGTTGTTTCCTGTCCCGAGATCGACCATGATATGTTTGTTGCGGAAGAAGAACATGGTCGTGCAGGGGTCGTACAGCTCGTACATCTTGTTGAAATCGGGCACTTCGGTGATATCGACCAGGTAAATGACGGCAAAGTTCTTGATCTTTTCGGCGACAGAGTAGAGGAGTTCGTCCATTTGCATGCAGGTCGGGTCCCAGTCGGTTCCGAACCGGAGGATGACGACACGGTCTTCTTCGGAGAGGATTGCTTGGTCAACTTGCCAGCCGTTTGTCAAATGTGGCAGGAAATAGGACTATTTTGATTGAAGGGAATGAAGAAGGTGAGGGTTAATGACATTGAATGTTAGGATATGACACAAAAGCAAAGACACTTGACATTCAACAGTGTCGTTCAAAATGGTGGCGTATTTTTCCTGGAAAGAAAAAGGGAAGATGGTTGAAGAACATTAAGACGAGGTGAGATTCCTTACGCACCATGGTCGAGCTTTATATGAAGTGGGGAAGCTTTTCTTAGAAGGATGTGAAGTTGTCGGTTGGTTGGTGAGAGCGTTGTTGAAGCTGTTCGTTGTTGAGGAGGTGGTTGTTTAAGTAATGGAAGAAAGTGAAGCAGATGCGTTGTTTGAGGCGAAGTGGTTAAGAAAAAAAAAAAAAAGAGCCACGCTCTAAAGCTTTGCTTCAGAGGGCCAGGTCAATAGGGTGGCTTAGTAGGTAATTTCAGCAATCGATCTATTTGATTGATTCCCCACAGATTGGGCAGACAGACAGACAGAGAGAGAGAGGCCACTTTGTCGGCGTTCGACTCTGGTTGCTCTTGAGACTTTCGCCCAGGGTAAGTCAATAGTTTAACAACAGCCATCATTTGTTTATTTCTCGTTCTCTTCGAGACGCATCATCCCCGGCTTCTCATCATCATCTCCCTCTCTGGTACCCGGCAACCCCTTTCTCCTCCCCTCTTACTTGCTGTCTTTCACTGCTGCTGCCTTATTGTAACGAATCGACTCACTTGTCCATCATCCCACCCCCTTGACCACATTCCCCCTGACATTCAGTCTATGACCTTATTCTCACCTCTTTCACCCTTTCACCGATACGATACCAATTTTATAGCCTCACAAGACACTTCCGCCATCTCTTCTCCTCTCTCTTCTCTCCACTCTCTCCATCTTCTCATCCTCCTTCTGTAACTGTAACACATCACCAACAGTACAAAGCCAAAACAACAACAACAACAACAACAACAACAACAACAACAGCAAGGACCACACAGCTACATACAACTATCTCCGGACAACAGCCCCGATACGACCATGAACAGGAACGCCAACGGGAACGGACTCCCGTTCCACGCCTCTGGCCAAAGGCAACAAGGATTCGGAGCAATTGCTGCCAAAACACGTCGTATCAGCACCAAGAACCTGGCCCTCCTAGCCGGTGTCTGCATCGTTTCTCTCCTCACGCTGGCCCGCCTCTTTGGTCCCAGTCCCGACGTACCTTCGCCCATCGTCAATCAATCAGAACATGAAGCCAAGAACGACTTGGAGCGGGAACTGTTGGTCAAGCAGATCCTCGAGACCCGCAAGTCCGCCTACAGCTTTGACGACTTTACGGAGGAAGGACTGGTTATGGAGACGAACCAACACCTCTTGCCAGCGACTGCGATCTTGTTGGGTTGGAAGCGTCTGGATGGGCTCAAGTTGATTGTCAATTACCTGGCACGGTACCCTTACATCAAGGAGATCATCATCTGGAACAACAACCAGGCAACCAAGTTGAACAAGAAGGACTTTGAGTTTGATGACAGCTACGGACCTGTACCCGAGTTGCAGGTCTACAACAGTCACGAGAACTTGCACGACTTTGCAAAGTACATGTCGTGCTCCCTCGCCAAGTACCAACACTGCTACTTCCAGGATGATGACTGGCTCAACACCCATATGGACGCCCTCTACACCAACTTTTTGACGAGCCCCAGTCTCATTCACACCAACACTCTGCCCTTGATCCATATGGAGCATCGCCGCTGGACCTTTACCAACGCCGGTACGTTGCTCTTGGACTGGGGTCTTTTTGCCACGACGCCATGAAACAACAAATCCAAAAGCCCAGTTTTTTCAAAAAATGGGATTCCTAGTGTGTCAACTCAATCTAACTCATGGAACCTTTTGTCGCCTTCTCTCTTAATAAATAGAGTACAAGTTGCATACAGGATTTGCATGGATGGGTACAGGATCGTACTTACCAAGGGAGAAGGCACAGAGGCTACTGGAGCAAGGAGGAAACAGCAACCTGGCCAAGGATCGTCTGAAGGTCATCGACATGTACTTTTCGCTCTGGACCAACCAATACCCTTACCAGTTGGTCAACTATCTAATGCCATTGGACCAGAAGAACGGATGGAGTACGGATGGCGCAGTTGATCATTGGACTGTCGTCTATAGGAACATGGTAAGCTGAGCAAGAACACTAGCTAACTTGTCGTGACTGTTGAACGCGCAAGGTGTCCAATAGTCAACCACTTCCCCACGGATCAACTTTATTTCAATTTGCTAATCCTTGGGCGTGTATATTGTTTCTGCTTTGGTTGGATCTAGATGGATGCGGCAACCCGACTGTACTCTGCCCTGGTTGCCAACCCCGAAGTCTCGGAGAAGGATTATTTCCCTCGCGAGGAAGAACTGCCCCTCATGGCCGATCGTCACGCAAGGTCCGTCCTACAATCATCGGAAAATACTAGGCATTATGACTGGACAACATTTAGCAGTTTACGTGTATGTTGCTGATCCTAATATTTATCGTGCTATTGATAGATCGCCATGCTTCAACGACAAGTGTCTGTTTAAGACCAGTCTGGACCCTTTCCCTCTGCCACAGGATGTTGTCTTCAACAATGACTTGGAGTCGATCGAGGACCAAAATGCAAAGTTCAGGGCATTGGAGTATCCTTCAAACGAGTTTTTTGCCTCATACTCTTATATCCATGCAGTCGACAACGATCCACAGACATGCTGGAACAGCTTCAAAGGTACATTTTGTGTTCCTTTTTGTGATTTGCTCAATTGATCCCAGGAATGCAATTGAGAAAACTATCATTGCTTCCCACAACATACCCCAAAGAAAATGACCCTGTGTTTGCTTACGTTTTTTTTTTTTTTTTTTTATCTTTTTCACTACCTTGGATCATTGTGATGGGCAGTTCCGCAAGTCGGAGATTCGTTTGGACTCCAGTTTATTGCTGCACGACAGGTGAAGAAGATGAGTGTGACCTCATCCAAGTCTCTTGCGAGTCTCGAAGGCAAGTTCTCGGTCATGGCGTCGGACATAAAGGGCGAAGAATGGATCAAGTGTCGCCACACCGCGCGGTTCCCTCACGCATATACCATGACCCTTGACATCTCCTGCCCTACATCAGGAACCATTATCCCTGGAGGAGTGGTTTCGAATGTCAAGATTGTGTTTGAGCAGGCGCTTGACAAGGCGCTGGAGGTCTGTGGTATGGAGGTTGGAGGTATGGTCCTCTAGAATGTGGGTTCTTTTTTTATAGACGCAGTATAGGTTTATTTCCTCGTAATACACACATTTTTTTTTTTATCTATCAATAGTGGCAGGATCTCTGTTTCTTTACCGGGAGGTTTTTTTCGTATATTGTTCTGCGCCTGCACTGCTGAACAACAGTGGGGGGGGTTTTTTCTTGAAAGTATGCATACATGGATATATGTGGCCATGTCAAGTTCATCGTGGCGGATTCGAGCAATCTTATTCGACCGTTTCCGTTTCGTCGCCCTGACAGAACATGAAAATCCTTCCTTCCTAGGAGGAAAAAAAAAAAAGAAACCACAAACATGTCCACAAAAAATGGTATTGATGATGTAAATGCGCGCCTTGTTTCCGTGCATGCATTGTAATCGTGCTGAGCCACATCTCCGAGCAAAGTTTTGATCGACGACGTTTCCTTCAGCCCATAAAAAACCTTCCCTGCTTGAAGGAAGTAAAAAAAAAATAGAAGCGACCACCAAAAGGCGTGTATGTGTGTGTATGGGACTTGAGAGGTTCAGGTTCGCATCATGATCATTGGGTCAAGCAAAGACCAGAATCTCGACCCCTTTTTTTTTTGCGTGTGTATGAATCGGCAAGAGTTGGAATGTGGTTATCTCATGAGTGTGATGGGAAGAAACGTGTTGTGGAGAATCGATTTCGATTGGGGATTTGAGGTGAGGTTGGTAGCAGGACATGTACGGGAAGAGGAAGGGAGGGAAAGAGAAAGGAAGTGTAAGGGGGAAGAGGAAGAAGGAGGGAGTGCAAGATTGGACAGCAGCAAGAGCATGAAGCAAAGTATGCCAATTGAATATATTAGGTTTGTTGATCCGTTAAAGTCGCAATTGCAAGTGAGTGAAAACAAAGGGCGACTAAAGGACGCAAAGAAGCAAAGATCATTAAGGACGAAGGAGAGGGGGAGGGGGGTGGAGAAAGGAAGGAGAGAGGAGAAGGAGGGAAAGGACATGCATATGACATCGGGTAGTGTTGCGTCCTGTTGTGGCAGACGATCTGCGCGTTCGTGCGTTTATTTTTATTTTTATTTTATTTTTATTTTTCTTGGACCATGACGAAAATACATTTTCGGGGAGACCCATTTGCAACACGGACCATGGGTTTAAGATCTTGCTTGACCTTCGGACGGACGGACAAATGAGGGGAAGCTACGGTTTCTTGAGCCGAGTGAACATAATACGATGAACATCCAATGCCGTGCCCATGGGAGGTAACAAGTGAAGAGAGGCGAAAGGAAGGCAAGGAATGACGAATAATGGCGAAACAAGCTCTGTTCTAGATATTTGTGAACATGAACAATGATTTTGATAGTTGTGTCAATGAAGTAGAAAAAAGATGGTGACCGTGGAAGGGTCTTTGGTTCCAATATGACCCCACCCGGCGCCTGGGATAGGTTATTGCAGTGAGTGATTGATTGATTGATTGACTGATATGACCGTCTCACGAACCACAAAAGTATCAAAGCGATCGTCCCAGCTTTCTCTTTCTTTTTCATCAGCCCCGTTGTAACATCTTCTCCTTCCTTATCTAGTCGTAAGATTGTATTCCTATTCACGACTTTAAAATAACATCTCTCGTTGTGTTTGTGTTGTGTGCTGGTCTATTCATATCTCGCTCACTCCTCATTTGTTCATCACAGGACTGAATTGAAAAAGTCCTACTGTACACTTGTATTTTTGTAACATCCGTGCTTAGATTACTTACTTACTTGCCGTCCCTAGCGTTTTTCCCTCAGAGTGCTTTGCCTAAAAGAGAATAGGCCTCGTCTCGACCCGCCTCGCCTGCCTTCATCTCACTCACCTGTCATTGTCATACCTTCACTGCACTGTTTGTTATTTAACGTCGCTCCCTCTTCCCTTATCGCTCCTTTTCTCCCTTCCTTTTCTCTTTATTCCCTTTTCTTCCTTACACTCAACCCCCGCATTCCTTCATTCACTCAACTATTTTTCTTTTCTTTGTTTCATTCATTCATTCATTCTTCACGACACCCTCATCGACGCACACACACACTCTCTCTCTCATTCAAGCTCATTCATTCGCTCTTCTTTCATTCTCGCCTTGCACACTCTCTTCCTTCACACTTACTGTCTACCTTCTGTAACGCATACCCCTACACCCTCAATTAATACTAAAAACAAGCCATGTCCTCTTCTGCCCTCACCCCTAAAGGCTACACCTTCTGTTACTACGTCTCTGGTCACGGTATGTGTCCTTTTCTCCTATTTTACTTGCAGCAGCCGCACAGCCCATGTGCCTGAGTGCAGCAGCACCACCACCTCCAACCGACCAGTCATCGTTGACATTCAACTGCAGAGACAAAACCTGACAACTAAGATTCGTCCTCTTATTCTTTTCGCTTCTTACCCCTGCCTTGCCTTCATTCATTCATTACAACTTTTCATGTCACAGGATTCGGCCATGCCACTCGAGTCAACCAGATCATCACAGAGCTGCTAAAGTCAACAACGACGTCAAGTTGTTCCTCCTCTTCAAGTAGTACAGGAACAACAGCAGCAAGCCTTGCTCCACCAACGGCCATCGCCACCAAGAACACGGAAGGTGCTTCTTCTTCAACAAACAACAACACCCCTACCTCGACTAGCAGACATACAATTTATATTGTGTCGGATGCACCCGAGTTTATCTTCCAGGACGTGACAGCCCTGGGAGCCAAGTACCGTAATGCCAAGGTCGATGCAGGCGTCGTCCAACCACTGGTGAGTCTTTTCTTTGATGCCGCTGTTGCTGTGTGTGTTGTTTCGCCTCAAGGGAGAGAGAAAGAGAGGTGAAAAAAGAATGTATATGGCTAATTGTTCTGTTGTACAAGCTCCGTGTGGGTGTGTGGTTATTATGATTATTATGAGTGTGCATGTCTTGTTTGATTTCATTTCCCAGCAGACGATGCCATGCCTTTGTTCCCCATAAGGGACATATTTGCATTTGGCATGGATATAATAGATAAAAGGAAGGGAAAAAAAAAGAAAAAAAGAGACCCGTTTCATTGGATCAATGCAACTCATTCCGTGTTGATTCTATTTGTGTTCACTTGCACCTTAAAATGATAACTATCACCCATTGAACAAAGACAAAGACATTTCTGGTGGTTCCACTTGTCGACCCTTCATTGCTAGATTACGTATTAACATCGCCCATAACCAACATTCATCTCCTTCCTTTACTTAGGCATACTCGGTCGATAGACAAAAGACCATCGAAGGTGTCAAATCCTTCCTCGCCCGTCGTGAGGAGATCCTCCAGGCCGAAGTATCCTGGCTGGCCCAGGTCGGAGCTGACTGTGTCCTCGCCGACGCACCCTTCCTGCCCTGGTAAGCTAAGCACTGAAGATTTTTTTTTTCTTTTTCCCAATTTTCCTCCGAATCAAAAACGATACTTTGGTGGAGGTATATCGAAGAAAAACCGATGAAAGTCTAAGAGAGATGAAAGGAGCATGGATAGAGGAATACGAAGCCTTCATGCGGAACAGGGGTTTACTTTCGTAAGATTACACCACAGTGAGAGCAAACGGGCCCAACAAAACACAAAATTATATGATGTGCTCTGCTGTTGATGGCCTATGGGCTTATAGCCCATGGCTCTCTTGCCATGCTCTCGTCACTCTTATTATGCCATGTTTTGAGCAAGAGCATCTCGCAAAAAATGGAGGGAAATGGGTCTAATAACATACGCTGCACACCTAGACAATGCATGCTTGATCTTCCCTCACTTTCATTTGTGCCTTATCCATCAGCTCTCCCCTTTGCTATGCACACACAAAATAAGAGAGCATGCCTGAAATGCGATCGCTTATTGCTGAGCATTACTTATTTTGCGACTCATCTCCTAGAAGACTGTGAACCTAACCATAAAACCCTCGTTTTTTCTGTGAATAGTGCGGCAGCTAGTGCTTACGGAATCCCTGCTTGCTTGATCACCAACTTCACATTTGACGAGGTCTACCGATTCTTGCGGGAGGGAGATACACTGGACAAGGATGTCATGGCAGTCGCCGATGCAGCATTGGAGGATTACAAGAATGCTTCACTCCTCTTGCGTTTGCCTGGATCGATCGATATTCCTTCGTTCGAGGATGAGATTTTGGCAATGGAGACTTCTCGGTCTAATGGTAGCCCCTCTATTTCGGATATGGATGATACGGAAGAGGACCATCGTATCCTGCCACTCTCGACAATTCAGAAGCAGGAACATGATCTTCAACAACAGCAGCAGCACCGACAACTCCACGCGCATAGCAAAGCCAAGGAGGATGGTAACAGGGCAGCGCCTCTGGCCATGGATGTGGATGAGTACTACCGACGAAACAGCATTATCCGCCAGCACTCAAATGATACCATCATGGGCGATACTACTCCGTCAGGAATCATGTCCCCCGCCACAAGCAACGGAACCACAGTCTCGTCGCCCAGTCCTTCGATCATTGGTCGCTTCCGCTCATCGTCGATTGCAGCCGGTAGTGACTCGTCTCTGTCAATGGCAGCCGCATCTCCCATGGCCTCTAAGTTGCGTTCGTTGACGCGCAAGGTGGTCGATGTGCCATTGGTGGTCAGGATGGCTGTCAATACTCGCGAGGATGTCTTGAGATCCTTGGGAGTCGACGAGCTGACCATTGCGACCAAGAAGATGGTCCTGGTTTCGTTTGGCGGTCAGAGGTTGAAGCAAGGATGGGGTAACCCGCTCCCTGAGGGATGGATTGGAGTCATCTGTGGACTGCCCGTTGAGCATGAGTTGCCTGAGGGGTTCTATAGGAGTCCTCATGGTGTCTACGTTCCTGATCTCACCCGCGCCGCCGATATTGTCATTGGCAAGCTGGTATGTTCTCCTTTTTTTCTGGATACTGTTGTTTCCTTGTGCTCGCGGAACTGTTTTTGCACCCTTTTTTTTGTGTTTTATTCCGTTGCATACTAACAACTCTGTATTACTTCTATTTTTTCATTCTCTGTCTTTACAGGGCTACGGAACGTGCTCGGAGTGCATTGCGCATGATACGCCCCTGATCTACGTCTCTCGTCCCCAGTTTATCGAGGAACACGGATTGATTAAGATGATGATCAACCACGGCCTGCCTGTCGAGATGACCGCTGAGGAGTTTGAGAACGGACATTGGCAGCGGTCGATCCTTGAAGCTGACCGACAGGCGCGAGATGAGAAAGAGGGAAGACGCTTGCATATGGAGAGCTGTAGCGAGGATTCGCACGATGACGAGGAGGAGAAGAAGCAGGATGATAAGCAGACGACTCGTAGGGACGTGGTTTCGCTGGCGGAATCCGTCAACAGGGGAGAATTGGCCAAGGCAGGGCCCATCTCGCTCGGTCGGAGGACACGGCGGTCGTCTTCTGTCACTTCCTTGTCGGCTTTCAGGGTCAAGGGACCCAAGATGGCGCGACTTTCTCCTGTGGGTGACGATGATGATCAGTCTTCTACTCTCGAGGGCAAGGACCAGGAGGAGAAGCCATTGCCACTGATTGAGGCTGAACTGGAGAAGGTGTATGTGCCTGCGGTCTGGTTCGAGAGGAGGATACCTCATAACGGTGGCGAGGTGTGTGCGCGCCTAGTTGAGGAGTTTATGGCTCGCCTTGAGGAGGACGATGAATGAAACATGTTTTGTGGCGGGACATTACCTTAGAAGACCAATTACCCTTTAGAAAACCACAATAGAATAATAACCATTGTACAACAGAACTTTTTTTTTCATGAATCGTTTTAAATTGTTTCATTTTATTTTGCTGCAGTTGTTTTCAGACTCTGTTTTTTTTCGCTGTTGCCAAACGCTTCCGTCTGCATCGGTCTTCAAACTCTTGACCTTCAACATCGACAATACTCCTATCTTGCCCATGAAGCAGTTCCAATTGTTTCAATTGATCCATTTCGCCCTCTGAGAGCTCTTCCCAGTTCAACATCCTGTAGACTGTAGTGCTCCTGCAGATTATCAGTGGGATGTACTGTACTGGGGGACAGGAGATACTCTTTTTGCCAAATAAACAACTCCCTTTATCACTTATTACTCTGACCATTTCCACTGACGCTTGTTAGGTCTACCTTTCTTTTTCTTTCTGTTTCCAACAACTGGCGACGATCGTTTGCGTAATAAGGGTAAGCGTATTATCATCTTTCTTTACCTCTACTTTAAATGCTCATACTTCTTGTTTGGGTTCATAGGCGCAACCCGCCTTACACTTGAACGCTCTCGCGAAATCAGGCGAGTTCTGAGCAACACCATTGATGCGACATTGAGGAGGCGAATGGTTGTTGTAATTGACGAGGTCTACAAATGACTCTGGTGTCACCACAGGCGGCCATAGGAGATGAAGAAGAGTTGCTCCGGGGTCATCTCGTTCGATAACCTTAATAGAAAGTGTCACACACACACACATGGACATGGCACCGAAGACAATGAGAGGCAACTTCCTTATGCTTTGTATACCAGTCAAGCAGAAACAGAAGTCAATTAAAAAAGTGTTTATTGGAGAATGACTTTTTTTGCCAATTAATACATTAATAGTGGGCGCGGCTTGGGATTCTTGACCGGAGACTTGGAGACGGACACTTGCTGGGCCGACCGGGTGAGAGAGAGAGGAGGTAATGCCACGTTCCACCCTTGGCTGCCGGGGCACCGCGTCCGCGCCAGGTTGTCAGGCTTATACGAGAGCCGATTTTGCTCCGGAGCGCGCACCTTTAACATTTTGTTCGTCTCATGTGACATCCACCACCTACTAGATTCTTGCCACCATCCTGGCACGATTCCAGTTCCCCTACTGTACCTCCCTCTGCCCTTGTCTCCTATCCATTTCTCCTTGGCGTATGGGCTACACTCCTACACTCCTAGAACCATTCTTCAACGTCAACCGCCTTGCCCTTTTTTTCGTTATTGCCCATTTGCCTCTGCCGTTCGTTTTGCCATTTGCCATTCCTGTGTCCATTCCTACCACCCTCCTGTTCACTTCCGTCACCCTCTTATTAGGCAAATGGCGAAACGAATGGTAAATGCAAATGAGCAATGAAGAAGAAAAATGCAAAGAAGGACAGAATATAGGTTCTAGGCAAGCCCAGACCAAACGGATTAGAAGTACAAGTACGTACCTTGGAACTGTGTGGCCGGTGGGACAAGTCTAGTGGGGGCGTCACGAACGAACAAAATGCAAGGCGGGCTCAACGGAGGGGCAAAACGGACTCTCGCTTGTACCTGATAACCTAGGGCAAACACGACACCAGACAACCTGGGGGCGAAACGTGGCACCTTGGTTGATCTCAACTCTGAGGATGCCCGAAAATACAAAGAGAGGCGCTGCTGCGTCTTAGTATTGAGAATGGGGATGGGGATGGGAGAATGGGGTTGGGGATGGTTTACAAGAAGACGGCATGGCCATAGCGGCCATGAAAAGAAAGCTACTTCATCACCCCGTCCTTTGCCACCACTCGATTCCTTTCTCTGTCGCTCCCATGCCCACTCTTCCCTCATCTCGTTGCTGTGCCCCTTTTTAATCCTCCACGCCCTCCGTTCGACTTTACTTTCCGTTTGTTTCTCACCATCAGGACGACCCTCTGACCCTATTCTGTATTGTTGATGGAGAGGCTACCTGGAACAAGATGAGGGTGGACGAGGGAACAAGAGGAACGAGGGAACAAGAGGAACGAAGGAACAAGAGGAACGAGGGCATGTTTTGTTTAGTAAAGACTTGAGTTATCGACTGAAGAACTAAGCTGCTATCGGCTACAACTATTTATCTCCTCCGGCATCAAACTCCCTGTCTGAAAAAAAAAATGGTTATGTAAATCCCTTCCCCTCCCCACATCCATGCCACCACTCCATAGACCCGAGCCCTTTTACTGTCGATATCTCGTCAGAGTCCAAATGTCAAGAAACTCTAGCGCTGCAATTCTTATGACGAATTTGCTTTTACAAGCTATCCTGGAAGTGATTAGGCGCGATAATACAATGGTCCATGCTTCGTCCAATCTTATTCGATTCTAGTGTCGCATAATAATTGCGATATGATGGACGGACATGACGTTGGGATCCGATCCGACTAGACTCGAAATGGATGCATTGTCGCGGAAGGTGGAACAACGAAAACGAGAACCGTAGTCAGGGTGGGCAGGAAGGTTGACATCCTAAAGGACATGCAGTTGATTATTGCCGGGGAGAATGAATGTGGATCCGTATCCGTATCCAGGATCGAAAAAAAGCCTTGTGGTGCAAGGTGCAGTTCTCTCAATGGTAGGTAGTTTCAGGCATTGTATGGGTGAGCAATGGTTGATTGTGGTTGCGGATCAAGTCAAATGCGATTTGTTAAGGCAAAAATAGGTTCTCTCTAGTTAGGTTTTGGCTGTAGCGATTGTAAGTGGCTCCAATGCCAAATGGATGGCTCCTCTTTATTGCATTTGTTTTTCCATCGGCGAAAATGGGGTTTTGGATTTGAGCACTTGCTTGAGTGAATTTACGAAGACGAAAAGTGAAAGGAAAAGGGAAGGGAACGGGGAATGGATAACGGGAGAAAGAAGAGAGAAGAGAGAAGAGAGAAGATAGAAGAAAGGGAAAAAAAAAAGAGAGCTCGGTCCTCAAAGGTATGCGTTTTCTATTTTCCGAGCCAATGCGATTGCATGGTTTGTTTATCAGTGGGGTTGGAAGGAGCGGGAGTGCATGTGTTATTAATACAATTGGACAGTTATGGTTTCTTGGAATTGAGTGACAGAGAAGTGAATTCGAATTAGAAAGAGATTTAGCAAGGAGGATGAGTGAAGGAGATGAAGAAAAAAGAGACTTGGCGAGAAGGTCTTCTACAACAGAGGAAGAAAGGATCCCATGGTTGGTGGCAACAAATAAGAGAGACGAGGGGCATTATCGTAGTTGGTTGTTCGTTGCATATGTCGTCACTTTCGGCTGGACCATGACTTCATACACTCAGTAATGCTTCTTTCCTTGTCCCCCCTTTCTTTCTTTCTTTTTTCATTCATTCATTCATTCTTCTTTCTCTTCTCTTCTCTTTTCCTTCGTCTTCTTCTTCTTCCCATCCGCCCCTCCTCTGTCTTCTCTCCTTCGCATTTGCCTTCACATTCCTTCCTTCCTTCTTTCTTCACTTTCTTTTTTTAGCCAATCCACTTCCTCCTCTCCGTTTCATTCAAAACACACACCACCATATTACTTGTCACCCAATGTCCTCTCCCATTCTCTCTACACATTCTGGACACCACAGGATCTTCATCGGCCCCGTCGTCCAAGGACGCATCAATAACAACAACAACACCGACGTAACAGCGACGAGTACACCCTCTAGCCACAGCCACTACAAACATCATAATCATACCCAGCCGAAACCCGTTCAGGCACCCAAACCCTGGTGGGAACAAGGATCTTCCTTCCTTCGATCCCACATCTCCCTTCACAACGTCTCCACTTCTGCTACGACAGCAACACCTCCTCTGACAAACAGCAGCAGGACAACACCAGCAACAACCCCTTCTCCGCAACAGCACCCTGCATCCTCCACCTCGCAACATCAGACCAATATACCCCAGCTCTCATACACCTTCAGCGACGACGACGAAGGGTCGAGCTGCAGCAGTAGCGAGGTTAGCGATGAGGAGATCAATGCTTACGACAGTGAAGACGAACGACGAGACTATACTCAAGATCATGATGTCAACGGTGATGATGAGGACGAGGACAACAGCCAAGACGACGACAACGGGATCAGCAACAAACCGGTCGGTGCCAACAACCATCCGTTTCACACTTCATCATCCTCCGAATCATTCTCCGCTCCTGTCGCTGCTGGGCACAGCAGCAGCAGCAGGCGCAACCAGTACCAAGAACGACATGGACAACAATCCTCAGAGGAATCTGGCCAACTACTAAACGTCGATTCAAACGGCAACCCCATCAAGAACAAGGACAAGGGAAAGGCCAAGGATGCAGATGTACTGGCGCAACAGGCACAGGACGACGCATGCATGTCAAAACCAAAGTCCGTGAAACGGTGGAGGACTGGAGGCAAGAAGCGCACAAAGAGTATGAGGGACGAGGGAGAACCGAATCGACTCAAAAAGATTCTTCGATCCCGTCGAGCCCGTCGACAGAACGACGAACCAGATCTTGGCTGGGAAAGCGACGGATCAAGGTAAGGCTAAAACGAGGGGTAAAAATCGAAAGGGTTGAGGGGATGGTGCAGTGGGGAAAACATATCAATAGGTCGCTTTGACCACCCCTGAACATCTGAACGGCAGCTGACAGTAAAAGTTAGGAGGAAGAGAGGTACAAAAACAGGAAAAGAATGAATATTAGCAAGCCGCAAATATCAAATGTACTTACAACCCCTCGTACAATTATGAACCCCACAAAATGTAGAGCGTCAAGACCTCGCCTTGGCCGACAGATGACTTCAGGGGCAATGCTTGCTAACCACCGCCATGACCGTCAGGAACATCACTCTGTTCTTGTGAGCTCACCCATGTCCTCCGAGGTCAACCTACCTGCCACCAATGGCCCTATCTATGTGAGCTCGCCCGTGTCCTCAGCATTGGACGTCAGCAACCCCGACAACCTGGAGCGTCCTGACCCAACACCCATTCAAAATCTCGGAAGCGCTGCGGGAATCGAGACAGATCTACTTGCTCCAGGTTGGAAATCACATTCTAACAGCTCGCTCTCTTCTTCAGGAACGCCCAGGAACAGCAACATACAGCGTGGTGCCACTTGGGCTACGGCACGAGAATATGGCTCCAGCTACGGACAAGGCTCGCTCCATGATAAGGTCATTGAGGAGGAAAACGAATCAGACGAGTACGATGAGGAGAACGACCATTACTTCCTGGCCAAGACGACAAGTAGGACGACTGATTGGGAGGGTGCAGAGGAGGAAGGCGTACCTAATCAAGGAACCAGTAACGCTGCTCCAAATGTCACGAATCCGACGGCAAAAGACGAGACTGCTGCGGATACGACCTCCAAGGAACCCATGTCAGCGACCATCAGCAAAGCAGGCACTCTTTTGAGCCGGACATTGCTGAGGAGAGCTCCTACAGGATTGAAGATGCGGGAAGGAGAAGCTGACAAGTCAAAAGTGGCTCAGCCAGTGGAATCGGTCTGCTCCATTGACAAGGATTGTCAGACCACGGCCGCGGAACCCAGCAAGAAGAAGCACGTCCGCTTCCTCACCAAGGTCCAGAACCCAATCTCATCCAGCCGTCAACCAACAATGCTCTCGACAAACCCAATGGTCAAGCAGGATCGCATGTTGGTCAGGAAGGAGGTGACGGAGCGCCCAGGACCACATGTCTTCAACTCTGTTACTGCACGACGTTTCGAGCTCCAGAGTGAAGGATGGAAAGAGTGGTGGTGTGTCATGAAAGGGCCCCCTGTAGGACCCAATCCTTCCGTCAACAAGATTCGCAGGAAGTCGAAGCGTGCCAAGCGTATCGAAAAGGGCCGACTGGAGTTCTTTTACAACCATGTAAGCATGACGATATTTTATTACAGAGTGGACTATTTGAGCGAATGGACTAGGTTGTGAAATGAACATGCACTGACCATGCATTGACTTCCTGGCTTATCTAAATAGAAAAAAATCAAGGGAGCCGTCATTCTATCGTCTCACACGACGGTGTCGGTCTATTCGTCGCTCGATTACTCAATTGCAGTGACCCAGAACTACCCAGAGGCCGTGGGTCTTACTGTTTACATCCTACGCCCTCGCACCATCTCGCTGGCTTGTGCCTGGTACATGGAGATCTACACCCTGCTGAACGGCAAAGCACCCATCCCACCTTTCATCGAGATTTCAGTTCCAGATTTCGACGTCAAGATTCGAGTCCCGATCCCGGAAGATTCAGAGACTGAGACTGAGTCTGACACCGACAGCGATTCCCAGAACCAAGAAAACGACGACGAGGACAACAACGATATTGGCGTCAATGGACGCGCCAACACTGTGAACAACACGAACTTGAGCAGCACATTGCCTCCTCAAGACACGCCTTTGCAGAGTTTCAGGACAGCGAGGACCAGTCTTCCTGAACGATTGGCGTCCAAGACGTTCTATTTGAAAAACGATGACGCGCGGCCAACATTGGTGGCGCCCGACGAGGTGACTCCGCGACTTTTGCGATCTCATGTACTGGCGCTGCTTAAAGATGTTCCAGACTGGAGCGAGGTCGTCAAGATGTGGCGGGATCCTTCGCAGTTCGGCGATGTAGCTCTCTGTTGGAAACGGTATGATCGAATTGAATGGATCTACTGGAGCGAGCGTATCCCTGGCGAGACAGATAACTTGCACTTGAAGAAGGAGCACATTGGATTCGCGGATGGATCGGACTGGGTTGGACGGATGGACGAAACTGTTGTTGGCCCGCAAGTCCTGGATAAGGTAAGGCTTCATAACATATACTTTACTACCAATTTTTCTCTTTTGTTGAATGCATGCATGCTAATTTTTCTTTTGTATATGTGTAATAGACTCACTTGCTGGAATTGAGGCCAATCACCCACTACCCAACAAAGGCCAAGGATTCGAGTGGCAAGGAGTTGCATGAACCCGACCCTATCGAGGGTTATTTGGTCCGCGTCAGCACATTTTCAGGAAACCCGATCCGCCGCTTCAGGCGCCTGTACTTGACCACTCACGACCACATGCTTATTTACACCATCCCTTCGCAGTCTCACAGTCCGACGATGCAGCACGCAGGAGCAATTGACCCCACGGCCCTGATGTTCAGCATCAGCCCTCACCACTCGGCCAACCCTGACCACAAGGACATGGCACAAAGTCGATCAGTCCGCCGCTTGAAGGCGCAAGTGAGATCGGCACGTGGATACATCGACATGACCAGGATTGCGGATATCCGAGTATTGACGAACCAGGAGTGGGAGACGGTGCGACATCTGCCCTACGACAAGAAGGACAAGGAGAATCTCACCAAACGTGAGCGACTTGGAAAGGCGATGCAGAAGGTGGCGGTGGCCGCTCGTGAGGCCAAGGCTCGTGCGGAGGAGGCGAGAGCGGCAGATGGCACTGAAGTTCAGGAGCAACCGCAGATCGTGATGCAGGAGCCGGACCATTACTTTTTCAACACTGCAGGAATCCCAGATGCATCAGAGGGCTCATCCACTGGAGCCCAGCATAACTCAAGAAGCTCCGGACAGCAACAACAACCAGTGACAGACCTCGACTCCAGCGAGCCTTTGAATGCGTCGCTCTCCAAGAGAACAGAAGGACTTGGTATCGGACACAACAAAGGATCGTCTTCATCACCGACTTTTAAAAACTCGATCGTCAGGTCGACAACCTTCATGGCCGACCTTCTCCTCCATAACGATGCTGGCGTGGTGGATCAGGCGGACGAGGACAGCAACGTGATCGAAATCGAGATGATGGAAGGACCCTGTGTTCGGTTCCGAGCCTTCAACTCCGATGCCGCTCATCTCTGGCGCGATCAATTGGAAAAGCTGTCAGAGTACTGGAGACTGAGAAAACATTTGGATGTCAGAGAACATATGGCCGTCGCCCAGGCCAACTACCAGCTGGCCTCAAGTTTGGACGATGATGAGATCCAGGTCGGCGAGACGATCCAAGATTGGGACAACGATCGAGCTGTGGTATCGCCCTCAATCTGGAACTGGTGTGTTGTCAACGGCTGCCGGAGTGTGACCAGGTCTGGATACTTGTACTATAAGCCTAAACTCCATAGCACCTTCCGCAAGATCTTTATGGTCCTGACCGAGGGCATGGTGATGATGTTCCACCCGCACCGGCGATCCAAGGCATCTGGACAGTTAGTCCCGACGACGGCCTGCAAGCTGCTGTCGGTTCACACCTTGACGGACATCTACATCTACTCTGGACACTTTTCGGGCGAGGACACCCGCCACGGCACCAACGATGAGTCAGAGCGGCTCCCACGATTTTACCCAGACGGATTGATTGTTGACGACCCGGATGAGGACTGCACGTTTTCGATCTGGAGAGGCAAGCGGAGAAAGATGTTTAGTCGCCGCAGCGCCGCTCTGACGACCATGTCTTCCAAGGCCATGACGGGATCCTCGCGCGTCTTTGGCAAGGAAGGATTGCTGTCGAGCATTGTCAAACAAGGGGTTGTCTATGGATCGTCCCCTCAAAGCTGTGCTGTCCTCCGTGCGCGGTCGAGGCCGGATCTGGAGCAGTGGGTGTCTGCGATCAACACGGAGATTGAGCGGGTTGTCCGGGCTGAGCGTCGACGTGTCCGTGGCAAGGGACATCACCATCAGCATTAGGGTTCATTGCACTTTTGTGCTGTTCGTTTGAGTGGCATTAAAGCAGTTGGTCAGCAAGGAGAGAGAAGGAGAGAGATCCCAAAATGCTATCATTGCTAGTTTATTTGAATATATTTGCCAACGAACGATTGTCGAAAGCTGATTGCTTAACCTTTGCCTGCGATCATGCCAAAGTCTTTCTTTTTTTTGAGATATTTATTTAGTGAACCCCCCCCCCCCCCTTGACAGAGCGCGTTGTTAATATTTCAGAGTACCTACTTGTTATTGTTGTTTGGGGGGGGGGGGGGAAGCGAGAAGGATGAAGGAAGCACTGAGCTCATCATTGAAGTTGGCGCTTTTCCTTCTCAACTACGATCTCGGCGCGGGTCGGCCACTGGAGTCCAAGCCAGGCCAGGTCATCCAGTGTCATTGGTCCATACCACCCTTGGTCAGTTCTTGCCACGGTACTCAAGAAACCACTATGCGTACATGCATCCCTCTCCGCCCCTTCCTCCTTGTCCTCTGTCTTTTTCAACAACTCGAGAACGACTTCCTGCGTCATCGACTTGACAACTATACACAAATCGCTCCAATCCAAGTCCACCTTCTTCAACGACCTCACAGCTTTCAATCGTCCAAACAGTTCCCGCATCCTGCGGATAAACAACACTCGGTGGTGGTGGTAAGGTCTCATAATCGCCTCGCTGTACTTGTGAGAAGGTTGTTCAAGGTAGTCGTCGAGGGTGGGGGTTTGGTTCCAGTAACGAGAATAGTCGAGAAAGATATGACTGCAGTTGTAGCAGTCCGAGTCGCCGAGGGATGTTAGGCGGAGGTGGGTCAGGGATTTGAAGGCGGTGTTGATGCTGTTGTTGTCGGCGAGGGCGGCGGGGTTGTTGATGAGGTCGTCGTCGTCAGAATCAGAGTCGGAGTTGGTAGGGGAGTGAGGAGGTGGAGATGGGGGTATGGGGGATTTGTCGAGGAAGGAAAAGTCCATCCTGGAAATCGGCTCGATAGCCAACTCCTTCAGTTCCTTACAATCCGCCCAACTCAACCCATCGCCCCTCCGCCCAGCCCGGAAGGGGATCGGGTAGCTCCAACCCCCATCGTCCGACTGCACAAAAACCCTCTCCAACGTCTCTGTCGACCTCACTAGCAGGCCCGAGACATCTTCATATCCTCTATCCGACCACATGTTGTTCGAAAACCCCGTCGCCATAAACTCTCTCAATTTCTCAAACACCCCCTTCAACGGCGTTCGGTCCCGAATGACTGTCCCCGTATCATCATTATTGAACGGGATATCTCGCGGGAGATGCATGGTCGGGTGGTGTGAAAAGTTTGTTCCGCCGAGGTGGATGGTGTCCAGGTCTGGGCAGGATTCGACGAGGGATTGGAGGAGGGTGTTAGGGTATCCATGGTATCCTGCGATGGCGAGTTTGGAGAGGTGTGGGGATTGTTTGGTGAGGGGGATGATGAGCCAGTCTGGGTAGCTGTAGCGGAATTCTGAAAAGTCGTCTTTGAGGAACCTTGTCTGGTCCCAATACGAGGATCTGGAGTCGCTGCTGCTGCTCTTTCGAGGAATATCGCTCAGCAGACACAACCGCTTCAATGACAAAAGCGGTGCCGGGTCAATCACCTGCGGAGGAGGCGGCGTAGAAATCTGCGAAGGACGACAGACCAACTCAAAATCCTCAATACCTTCTGGAAGATGCTGTAACAGCCGCATCCGGAACTCTTCATCGACCGCATAGTCCAGATGGATCTTGATCCGTCTCAACGACTTGTGGTTCGAAATTGCCTCTAGGACCTCTGTCGAGAAATGGTCCGTCCTGTAGAATTGTCGTGCATGGTGGATGTATAGGAATTGCAGTTTTGGCGAATGTTGGATAAGTCGGAGGGCGTTTGAGGCTTGGGGAACGATTGAGGGGCGGTCGGGAGCGTGGTAAAAGTAACCCTCGTCGCCCTTACCGGGTCGGGGTTGGTATCCAAAATCGAGACACGACAGTTCTTGCAGGTTGATACACCGTCCTGCTGTTGCACCACCCAGTGCCATCGTAGACCCTGATGGACCCGGAATAACCGAATCCTCCTTGGGCAAGAACCAACCCCCGTCCGAGATATCGACCTGAAGGGACCGAATCTGAGCAGCACGGTCGAGGACCTGACGGATAAGGTGTGGTGGGGTTTCGCGCGGGTTGGTGTCGAGGCGTACGAAGCGGTGGAGTTGAGGTTGGAGGGCGTCGTGCCAATGGTGAGAGACTTGGATGCAGGCGAAGAGATCTTTGCGTGTTAGGTCTTTGCAGATTAGGTCGGAAATCAGCGGGATCTCTAACGCCGACGCGCGCTTTTCGTGAGGTGTTGGCGACATATTTTTTTTTCCCTTGGCTGGGACGGTGACGACGCGTGAGGAGGAAAGACCGGCTGAGGAGATGAGGAGAGACAAAAGAAGAGGTGATGGATACTTGGTCAATTGCTTGGAATGAAGAAAGGAAAAGAAAAGGGAAAATGAATTCTGAGGCTCACATTTTTATGTTTGTGAGACAGGTAACAAACATATGAAAGGGAGACCTTTGTTCCATGGACGTACAGACGAAGATTCGACTTCCGTCGAGTAGTTGCTAGAACAATCCATTAATCCATTCTTCCCCTTTTTCTTGCACTGCACCCGTGCAAATAAACAATCGCGCTTCAGCCTAGAAACCCAAACCTGTCAAAATAGGGTGCAGTGACGCGACTGCTAAACCCATGTCTGGACTCCGTGCTGCGGTATGAGTCAAAAAGACTAACCGGAGCCATGTGCAGGAATGTGGCAACCCGCCATATCTTGAACAAGGTTGTCCATAGCGGTGGGAGCCCCTCGTCGCGTCGTCCCAGCTCTTCCAAAGGCGGGCAATGCGAGCGTTGTAGATGGCGCCCGTGCTCCAAGGGTCTCTCTTGCCATTGTCATCTTGGTAGTCATGACAGACTGCAGGTAGTGGGGCCTTGTTCCCGTATTGTCGTGCTGCTGCCTCGATGAGGTGTAAAGGCACAATGGAGGTCTCGATGTAGGGTTGAGAGCACCAAGGAAGACAAAGTCAGGCTAGATCCTCTCTGGTTACCTATCCCCACCACCACCCCTTCGACGTCCACTCGTATCCACTGTTGCTTCTGTTGTCCTTGAACTCGGTCTCCCGGAATAACTACATGGCATACTCCAACGACATGTTAGAGATACTCGGACACAAATCACTCAATCTCCAACGCCCGCAGTTGCTTGAGATCCTTGAGACGACCATAAAGTCCACGCTCTCAGCCTGTTGTCTTTGGTGCTCTTGCGGACCTCAGTCTTAGCGAAAGCCTCCAGAGGTTTCCAACTCTCGTCATCCTTCTCGCCATCCTTCTCGTCGAGCTCCACGTCATAGAATTCGCAGTGGTAAACGATGAGAGAGACAGAAAGTTCTGGTGTTGACTTCCTTGTTTGTTCAGCTCGTTTTGCGCACAGCCCAATTGTCAAAAAAAATGGAGGGATCATCTCTTCTGCCATTGTCTGTCCAAAAGAGAGGGATAAAGCGAGGAGAAGGTACACAGCCAACAAACGGAGCATGAAGTCGACGATAACAACAACGGCGATCATGGATGCATCATTGTGTCCAAATGTGTGCAACCCTTCATACATGGGCTGTATGAGTTTAATCGTATTTCGCCCAATTGGCGGGAGACAAAAGCGCGCAATTGATACAACCGGAATGATGCACAGCAAGCCTATAACACAGCCAGCAGGCATTGAGGTAACAACAGCTCTTATGTCCAACAAGGACGAGGACACCATCGTTGTCTCTCTCTCTCTCTCTATCCCTTGTCCATGAGGAAAAGCGCCTTCTCCCTCCCCTTCTCTCGATTTTGGGCAGTGCCGACATCACTCCTGATACTACTCCTGCTGCCTGCCTGTCTCCCTTCCTCCTTGTCTTTCCTTCATGCGGGCCCCTTTGCCTGATATGTAGGTGCCTTCGCGAGTAAGGTCCTTGTATATGTTCCATGGCGTCTCTTTTTCTTTTTTCTTTTTCCTCACTTTTCGTCTCTTCACCGTTTCTTTTTCTTCACTTTCTCCAACAATCGCCTTTTTTCAGCTCCTTTTTCACTCAACATCCTCCCGTTCCTTCGACCCCTTCTTTCTCCCCATACCCCTTTCCCCTAGTCTCTCATAACGATCGTGTCCAAAGTCCAAACACAAATGCAAAATGTGGCACCCCTCTCTTCTTCTCAGTATAACTCTCGCCCTTCTTTCACTCTATCCTTCTTCCACGGCCTTCACCCATGCCCAACAACAATACACGCCAACCACCTACTATGGCTCGCAATCAGCATTCGCCGAGGGTAAAGCCATCTACATCCACGGTGGAAGGGCCGTCTTGACTGACGCCAACCCACCCTCCAACCAAACTTTTCTGCTCGACCTCTCAACTCCTTGGTCCATCGAGAGCCCTGTCTTTCGCCAGCTAGCATCTGGGTTTCCATCCGAGGGGGCCACAAGCGCACTCTACAACAACAAAAATACTTGGTACCTCTCTAACGACCAGAATGTCGCCCTCTATGACGTCCAGAAGAACACCTGGGGCCCTACCCTGCGATACAACAGCAGTAACCCGGACTTTAACATGGTCGCCGTCGCGGATCCGATCAACAACTCTGTCTATGTCGTCAATGGATGGCAGGCTGACTCCAAATTGTCCAACCCAGTCAGTACGATGCGTTATGATGAGGTGACGGGCCAGATCTTTCCTGCTGGGAACAGTGTCCCCGTGAGTGGTGGTTATGCCGCGGTCTGGAGCACGAAACGAAGCTCGATCCTTGTCCATGGTGGATATAACAAGGCCCGGACTATTATGCAACGCGTCCTGTACGAGTACATCCCCATCACGGAGCAGTACATCCCCATCACTGACAAAGGCGACGTCCCACCTCCTCGGTATGGGCACTGTATGGTGGAGGCGTACGGCGGCAGCAAGATTATTCTCTTTGGAGGAGTCACCAACCAGAATCCGACGAGTGCCGATATTTTCATCTTTGACGTGGCGACTTTGACGTGGACACAGGGCCAGACAGGAGACTCGACCGTTGGGCGAGCGTACGCCGCCTGTGCTGTCACCAACGACATGTTTGTTGCCTGGGGTGGAGCCACGCAGTTGGACAACGTCTTTAGTGTCGTCAAGACCCCGACGATTGTGTACAACTTGAAGACGAATGGGAACGGTGCCTGGCAAAAGAACTTTTCGCCCGACAGCGATGTCGCGTCGTCACACGTTGGATCTATTGTCGGAGGGGTCCTTGGTGGATTGGCGCTGATTTCAGGGATGGTGCTCGGGTTCGTTGTCTACCGTCGCAGGAAACGCGCAGGGGCTGAGAAAAATTCTTTGCCGAGGGGAGGAGGTTCTGAATCCAACTCGGACTACTCAATTACGCTCAAGCACGAGGGAGGAGAGGGCACTCAACGCGCATCCTATGTGGTCCATGCACCCGTCGCTACCGATATCTCACCCATGGCCCCCACCGGATACGAATCGTCAGCCTACACAGCCATCGGCTACGCTCAACCTAGCAATCAACCCCAGCCCCAGGTCTACAATCCTGTCGGTGCCGCTCCTGTCGTCGATGGTTCAATGTACTACACAGGATACACCCCTCCAACACAGCAAATCTACAACCCCGCGGCGAGTGCTCAAGGATACCCAGTTATCTACCAGCCCCCTCTTGTGGCCCAACCTTATCTCGCCGCAGACTCACCACAATTCCAGCACCAACAGACAGCATACCAATTGCCACCGCACAACCACGATCCTTCTGCCAGTTACGCCGGCTACAGCCCACCCGTCGTTGCCTCTGCTGTTCCATCACCGAAGATGGCATGGACCAACTCGCCTACAGTCACCGCTGCTTCTGCAACGGATGCCAGTGGCGGGGGTGGTGGTGGCGATGGTGGTAATGAACCCAGAGTGACTGTAGGAGGTAACGGACAATCGTACAGCAAGGATGAGGTTACCCGTCGCAACCCGCAGGGGACGGAATGATGATTATCATAGCCTTAATATCAACAAGCGCCATTTTTAAACATGCACAAACAAACAACAAACAAACCAACCTCCCAATGCCCACTTTTTACCGCCACACAAAAATGAGTGCTTCATCTTTTTCTTTATTGGATTTTTTTGTTTGTGGCACCCCATGATGAGAGCAGCTTACTAGTTTAATAGTGTAGCTCCGACGGGGGAGCGAAGGAGGGAAAAGATGGTGCGTGAAAGAGGAAGGAGTGAAAAATTGTATGTTTGTAGGGGTACAACAAGGCATAGCACCGCATAGCACGGGTCCCCACTCAAAATCGGCATCTCTCTTCTGTTTTGTTTTTTCTTTAGCTCCACTTTGTACCGTTGAGGAAAAGGCCTTCGAGATAAACAATCGAGAGAGAGAGCAAGAATCAGGTGTGTGTGTGCAACCGATTGTTACCCAATTCTTGAGCGAGAGTTTTCTTTCTTCTTCACTTCCTTTCCTTTTTGTTCGATTGCTTCTTCCTTCTTTTTCCTCTTCTTTCCTTTTGCCTCTCCATTGACTCACGACTTTCCTTTCACATCATATTTCCTCCACTCTTTTCTCTCCTCTTCTTTCCTCCGACTCCAATTCTCCTTCACCTTGTTGTTTTGACACCTCTTACTGCCCTCGTTTCTCTCCTTGTCCCCCTCCTACTCATCCACCCTCCTCTCTCGCTTTCCCCTGCCTCTCCCTGCCCTGTCCCTCTCAAACTCGACCAATAATGCAGTTATCACCCTCCCTCAGCACAGCTGTGCTGTTACTGCTACGGCTACCCCTGTTCCTCACGACGACCACCACTACCATCACTCACATCCAAGCCCAAGAAATACCACCAACAACAGGACCAGCACCAACGCCAACGCCACCGCCACCAAATGGACCCTACAATCCCACACCCCTCTATAGCGTCCATTCTGTATTCGTCGAGGGAACAGCCCTCTATGTCCACGGCGGGTTGCCCAGCGTCACTGGTGTATCATCAGGACAAACATTCTCCCTAGACCTCTCCGTCACCTGGAAGACCAGTCAACCGGCCTTCAAACAGCTTTCTACTGGGGTTCCCTCTTCTTCCATCACCAGCGCCCTTTTGCAGGACAAGGATTCATGGATAGTGATCAATGGCAAACAGTTTATCTTTTACTCTATCGGGAAGGACCATTGGAATAGCCCTGTCACATTAACCGAGTTGAACCCCACGCCAGGGTTCCCGGCGGTGACGGATATGTCGTCGGGTCTGGTCTACTTTGTGAACGGGTTCGTTGTGCAGGGTGCGAGCGCCGCCGCTGTCGGGACGATACCGATGATGATGATGCTGAAGAAGTCCACTGTTGGATATGAGTTTTCGTCTATGGGCACTTCGACCGAGTTTTCGATAGTTGAAAGTGGGTATGCGAGCTGTTGGAGCACCCTCCGAAAGTCGATCCTTCTTCATGGTGGACTGGCCGGGTCGCCCATCGCCATCTACCAAAAAACGCTGTACGAGTTCAACACGACAAAGTCTACGTTTGCGACGATTAATGACAACGGCGCGATACCCACGGCGCGGTCTGGACACTGCATGGTGGAGGCGTACGATGGGACCAAGATTGTACTGTTTGGAGGGGTGGACCAGACAAGCGCAGGATTGTCGGATATCTATATTTTAGATGTCGCGACGTTAAAGTGGACGACGGGAAAAACGGGCGGAGCTGGAGTCGGGAGGGCGTATGCTGCCTGTGCGGTGACGAACGACAGGTTTGTTGCCTGGGGTGGAGCTACGAGGATCAATGGGGACTTTGTAGCCGTGGCGGCGACCAACGCGACGGTCGTTTACGACTTTATTCAGGACAAATGGATAACGACATTTTCGCCTGTCAGGACCAACGTTACTTCACCAGACCCAGACCCAGACGCCTCGACTCCATCGACTCCTCCCGCTGGTGAGTCGTCGTCGTCTTCGAAGGGTGCTCTCATTGGAGGGATTATTGGAGGAGTTGTTGTGCTTGCTGCAATTGCAGTGTTCATTTTTTTTTGTCGGCGTCGTTCAGATCGCAAGAAGGAAAAGAAGATGTCCTTCTCAACCTTTGCTGCCATGCCTGTTGTGACCGCCGAGACCGGCTCTTCCTCGGACAACTCCTTCCCAGACCAGCAGCAGCAGCAACGGAGCAAAGCGAGGGAGACTGAGAAGGCCGACGATGATGAACAGGATGAAAGCGGGAAAGAGAAGAAGCCTCAAGATGACGGTAACGATGGGATTACCTACGTCGTCGGAGCACGCGCCATGCCTGCGTCCCCTACTGAATCGTCTTTCCGCAATTCCAGCATCATTCCTCAAAATCGCAACTATCAGCCACTCCAACAGCTATCACCGACTCAACAGCCACTTCAACCACTTCAACCACTGTCGCCAATTCAGGAACAACAACAAGCCTATCATGCTGTCAACGGGATCCCGTTCCCACCTCCTCCAGCTACCGCTGCGAATGTCTCCACTGGATACACTGTCCCTGTCCTCAAGTTTTTCAACCCTACCACCAACACTCCCACCAGCCCTACCACCACGTCTCTCTCTACCAATACCCCCATCCCTATCCCTTCATCCCCTGTCGCATCCGTCATCCCTCTTCCCCCTCCTTCAATACCCCAACGTCCTCAATCACTTCTCCCTGGTGGATTCATTGCTCCGCGTGTTGTTCACTCACCTACCTCCTCTCAACCAAAAGAGCCTTCCTATACCACTCTCGTCCCTTACTTCTCCCCTGTCGCCTCCGTCTCCTCTTTTCCTACTACCTCCCAGCATTCTCAATCAACCATTCCCGTCAACAACAGTAACAACCGAGCCTACACCAACGATCAATACCATGACCAACAAGGAAAAGAGGAACTGCAACGAGAACAACAACAAAGACCACCACCCACTGTTGAGTACGGCGCCAACTCTTCGCCTGCCCTGTCCTATTTGGCTACCAGCTCACAATGGACAGGCTCCCAAGGATCCACGCTGGTCGCTCCTGGTGTTGCTCTTGGTGCTGGTAACAATCCTTATTCCACCTTCACTCCATCGCCATTGGCAGGTGCTCCTACCGGCCCTGCTGCTGCTGGCAGTAGTGACTTTGCTGCTTTCACACCTTCGCCGTTATCGTCGTACTCTGACAACACTGAGGCCAGGAATTCGCTACCATATGTCCCTATTGTCGGCAGTGGCAATAGAGATGGAAATTGGCAAAAAATTGCTGATGAGTTGGGGCCTCCGATTACCCCTCCTCGCAACCCTCACGGCATCCAATAATACCCAACAAGAGGTGAGGTTTTCTTCTACTTTGCGCCACTCCTTTTTTTCATCACTCGTAATAAAAGCATTAGTTAAGCATTATTCAGGTACAAAAAAAGGAGGTGTGTGTGAGCGCCCCCTCTCCATCCCATAGAAGGTTTTATGCACAGCCCAAGTGAAAAACAACAAAAAAAAACCCCCCCAATCAACAAAAAAGCAAGGCATTTTTTTTCTCTTGGTTGGAAGAAAAAAGATGCAAGCAGGAACGATTTACTTGCTCGTTTTTTTTGGTAGTGGAATGAATGAAGTTCGATGCATCCCTAGGGCAAAGATGGAGTCGTCCGGTCGGGAAAAAAAAAATGCCATGAATCGAAGCAATTCTAGACGTACTGCAAGGGAAAAAAAAAAAAGAGAGTGGAGCACTCTGTTAGAAATGGGAACGTCAATTGCTCTTGTTAGTTTTGGAGCACACAGGCCAGGTACGCACGCACTTCAAGGCTGAGGCATTGACCTATTAGGGTAGCAAGCAAGCAAAGAGGGAAATGCAAGGTTAAGTGTGTAGAAGGAAAGTACATGCAGGGCAAGACGAAGGCGAGAGGGAGGTGAAGACATTTTCTCTTTTCAAGCGCCAAAAAACAAAAGAAGAGGGAAGGAAGCATGATAAAACCCTTTTCAGTCCTCGTCTTTTTGGCCAATGGTCAACTGGGGTCTGGGTTTGCATTGCGAGGATATGGACTTTTTTGCCAAGCAAAAACATCAATGAAAGGGAGATCACTGCTGCCCTTGAACCTTCTTTACACCCTTCACGCCCTCATCTATCGCTTGACCGATTCTTCCGCATTTCGTCTCCCTTCGATCGCAAAAAAAGAAGATAAACGTATGTGAAAGAGAGAAGCAAGAGAGAGAGGATGGCTCTCATGATAGAATTTCTATCTTGTGTTCACCACGAGAGGCACAATAAAAAAGCAACGGACGGATGGACAGACCGACAACAAAAAGCCAACAGCCAACAAAATGGCCAAACAAACAAACAATATGTAGCCGCTGCTGTTGTGAGTGACAAAGAAGAAATAAGGTCTGCAAGTTACTTTGGCGGCGTGTCGGAACCAATTGACATGCACATGCCCCATCCTCCTCATTCCTCTCCGTTGCTGGCGAGAGAAAGAGGGATTGATATTGATGCTCTTATTTCTTCCAGTCTTTCTGTCTGCACACATTGTTTAATTTGCTTTTGTGAGTGTTGTTCGTGCTCCGTTTGAGCGTCATCTTCCATCTCGGTTCTTTTTTTTTTTCTCTTCTCCCTTCTCTCTTCCTCTTTTCTTCTCTCTTTTTTTCTTTTCCTCTTCACGCTTCCACTCGTCCCCTACTTCCTTTCTCCTTCTTCGCGTCCCTTTCTTCCTTGTTACCCGTTTTCATGTTCCTTCTTTTCTTTCTTTTTTTTTGTACATAATATACCCTCGTGCACGCGAACATCCACACCAACCATGCGACCACACCTCTCGCTCAGCGCCACCCTCATCCTCTTCGTCCTCTCCTCCTCGCCCTCATTCACCAATGCCCAATCCGCGATAACTACCCTCTACGGAGGCCAATCCGTCTTCATCGAGGGCAAGGGCCTCTACATACACGGCGGAACCGTCAGCGACACATCCAACACGGTCAAGAACTCCAGCTCTGGACAGACCTTTGTCATCGACCTCAACAACACCTGGTCCATCAAGAACCCCAATATCCGCCCCCTACCTACCTTGTACCCCTCTGGCGGAACTGGAACTGCATTGTTCAACAACAAGAATTCCTGGTTCTTGAAGGGTACCAATGCAGTCCATATCTTTGACATGGAATCCGAGACCTGGGCTCTGGAGAAGGTTGATAATAACATTAACCCTTATCCGTCGCTGGCTGCTGTCGCGGTGCCGATGGACAATGATTATGTCTATCTTATCAATGGGTACAAGGACGCGAACGCGACGAACAGCACTGCGGTCATGATGCGGTATAACGTCCAGGCCGATTTGGTCGAGCCCATGCATCTCGCTATGCCCGTCGCGACCGACCATGTCAGTATCTGGAGCACGCTGAAGGGGTCTGCATTCATTTATGGAGGTGCTGACTATGTCGACCAGTCGCTCGTCGAGTTCTTCCCGGGCAACCCTAAAGACATCACGTCTGTCAAGCGCGCCATCATTGGTGACATTCCTGCAGGGCGGTTCGGACACTGCATGGTCGAGGCTTATGGGGGTGCCCAGATTTATGTCTTTGGAGGCAATACCATTCAAGGGACCACCTCAGATATCTACAGGATCGATGCGCACACGATGAGATGGACCCGACTCGGGGCAGGACCGACATACACCGCCAGGGCGTTTGCAGCCTGTGCCGTCACCAATGACATGTTTGTTGCCTGGGGAGGAGCCACATGGGACCCGACCAACAAGCGGTACACGGTTGTCGCGACACCCATGGTCGTTTACAACATGAGGACAGGAGAATGGCCCTCGACCTTTGACCCAACCCCTGCAGCCAACTCGACTCCACCAACAGACATTCCCCCCTCTCACGAAGGCGACCCGGCACCACGCCTGATCCCCTTGGGCGGCATTCTCGCAGGAGTCGCAGGGATTCTGTTGTTGGCCGGCGTTGGTGTTGGAGTCTGCTACTGTCGTCAGAAGCGACAGACCCGTCGTGGATTGCCGTTCATGAAGGTCGGTGGTCATGAAGGCGGTGATGATGACGATGGTAAAGACTTTAAAGGAGGCAAGAATGAATTCTCGTCTTCGTCTCCTCCATCTTCCTACAAGATGAACCACCTCCAAGGCAACGACAACGGCAACACCGGTGATTTGGACCAGCAACAGCAATACCACCAGCAACATCCATACCAGGAACAACAACACCACTACCAGCAGGAGCCCCTTCTGGACCCCTTTGCCGATTCCACGCATGGTCACGGCCATTTCGATCTGAGCAAAGGAGGCGGGTATGAAGCGTCGCCCTCTGTAGGATACCAACAACCAGGCGGGAACCCGTTCGCATCGGTGCACGATGCGTCGGTGAAGGTGGATGTGGAGGATTATTCTAGACCTGGACTTGGAGCTGGTGGACGAGTTCCTGGTTATGGAGGCAGGTATACTGATGGTGCTTCTGGAGGACGGAGCCCTTACTCGCAATAGACAGCGCGTACACACTTGGTCGTCCTCTAGTTTTCATAAACCCTTTTGTTTTCATTCGTCTTACAGAAGGGAAGTGCTGACATGGAGAGAGGACAATGTGATGTCACGAAGTGGGTTAGAGTGAATGGGTAGTTGATCTCTTTGACGTGAAAAAGCGAGCGATGAGAAGATGACTATGTTGAGTGAGATGTCGATGATGAGTGAAGAGAAGAAAAAGAGAAAAGGGGAAGAAACAGCCAAAGAGAACATAATAAATGTTCTTTGGTCGGGGATATCACGAACACGAACGCGACAGCCTGAACGATGAATCTTGAGGTGAGCGATCCAACATATCATACGCATGAGCGCGTTCGTCTATCCCTCGCCGAGTCCAACGTGCATGCCGTTTCTCGTTTGTCCGCAGCAAGTCTTGTTCAATTGTGATCTTACCTTAATAGCTTTGAAAGAGCGGGATGGACAACAAGGACAGAAGTCAAAGACAGCGTTTTTAGTTCCACTTCCTCTCTTGCTTGCCAAGAACGAGGGATAAAGTCGATGCTCCTTTCGCCTCTCTCACGGCGTGATTTCTGTCCCGCCCCTGGTATATCCATCTCCTAATTGCATCAGTGGGGTCGTGTGAAAAGTGCTTCCCTCAGAAGATATGTCATTCACCACTTTCCACGGCGTCTGTTTGTGTACTATCCCACCTTCTCCCTCTTCTACTCCTGTGCAATTGAATTGCCTTCCCGTTCTGGACTCGATACGATATTTTTTCTGTTTCTTGGCGAAACCTAAATCGATGCGTTGCCAAGAATGCATTCTTGGCTTCTATTTCCCTCTTGTGCTCTCTACCTCACACACTTAGACAAAAGGAGTCGTCGACAACAAACACACTAGGAGAAAAATATATATAGAGCGCACTCGCCCTTCTTTCTTTCCCATTCTTCATCCCTTCTTCTCTCTCACTCAACTAATTCGACTAAAAATGGCCGTCCACTGCAACAACAGCAACTCGAGCAGTCAGTACCCATCCGTCTGCTGTGTCTACAACTCAGAGTCCCAGCCTCTGCTCGGTCACCACACCGGTCATCATGCTTCTGGTAGTTCTCAGCATCAGCATCAGGCCCCATCACCGCCAGCGTATTATGTCGATATGAGCGGCGATAACAAGGGTGGTCACTGCACCTCTTCACATGCCCCCCTCCAGCAACAATGTAAGTGAGCGACATCCTTGCTTAATATTTACACAAACACTTTTCCTTCCTCTTTCTCTCGTATCTAATCATCTCATTCCTTTTTTCGTCCAACATAGGCCACTGCCAGCAACACTACCACAACCACCACAACAGCGACAACCAAAGCGACTGCTCCAGGAGCCCCAGACAGAGGGACACCCGATGCACTGGCATCCTCGTCGGCTTGTTCATTGTCTTTTTCATCATGTTTGCCTCATCCATTAACCCTGGCCCATTTCGACGCTCTGGACCCTGGAACGCCGCTTCAGGAAGCACCACTGCCAACCCCAACGGACTGGATTTGCTCTCAAATGACAGTAACAACCTCAACTTTGACCGGTGCCGCGATAACGCCATCGACTGGGACGGACCCTCGACCTTCACGACTGAGGTCAAGAACTTCCGACTCAAGATTGGACAGGGAAATATCTTTTCGCGTGTCAATATCTCGACTGGTCCTGTTGCGGTCCCTACGCTTCATATCCTTGGTGAGGTCACGCCTTATGAGGATGACGTGAAGAACAACAAGCCTGCTGCTTCTCACGGAGAGAAGATCGATATTGATTACTTGGGACTCCATGTAGAGATCGTCGAGTTGGACAACCAGTTCGATGCCCAGGTTTGGTACCATAACCGGGAAGTCGTCGACCCCCGCGACGGACAACACTACCGCGCCTGTGCTAGACTCTACTTTGAAGTCATCCTCCCCGAGTCCTTCACCTCCTATGGCTCCATCACCATCGACGGCCCTGTCGTCGTCATCAACGCTCAGGATCTGGAAAATGTCAAATTTGACCGTCTCCATTTCGGCTCCACTGTTGGCGAGATCTCGACCCGCGGCCGTATCCAGTCCGATATCTTTGACGCCAAATCCAACACTGGCCGCGTTCGCGCAGACGCAATCCAGGTCGCTACTGCCGGCAAGCCCCTCGACATCCAAGTCTCTTCGGTCACCGGCAGCATTCAATTGACTGCCGAGACCACCGATGTCGATGCTTCACAAGAGAACCCCCACAAGGTCCACGTCTCTACCAACACCGGCCGCACCCAACTCACCGTCCAACCTTCCACCTCCTCCTCCTCCACCATCGGCACCAAACACGGAAACCTGGACATCTCAACCACCGCCGTCACAGGATCGATCGACACCACCACCATCCTCGCCTCTCAGGACCAGATCCTCACCCTGACCTCAAAGACCAACACCGGCTCTATCCGCAACCACATCTCGGACGCCTTCTTGGGACACTTCGCGCTCTCGACAAAGTGGGGCTCTACCCGTGTGGAGCCAGCCAAGGACTCCAAGAGCACGATTACCTACGATAAGTTGAATGCTCGTGAGAAGATTGGCACCAAGTCGCTGGAGGGTACTGAGGGTGTTGCGGGATTGATCGAGATTCGCACCGTTACTGGCAGCACTGCCCTCGAGTTCACCAACTAATCGAGAGGAAAACGCGCTCTATCTTGTAATGACCTTTACAAAAACAGCAGCAGCAACACTTAATGTATTACCACCACCCTTCTCCTTCACCTAAAACCATGTACATAATGATATCACAATAAAACAAAGAAATAACATAATGAAAAAGCGCGTTCGACAATGTATGCTTGTCCATGTGCGCGTGGCATGAAAAGTCGATAAATGAAAGAATGTCAATAAAGTAATGAAGGAATGTCAACAAAGTATCCCGTCACCATTGGGCGCCAAGAGCAATGTTCGGCCTTGTCGTACTCTTTCCGCCCCCACCTGCTTGTGAACAGACTTTGTTATTCTTCTGCTCTCATTGAGTATTGATTGCCGCGCCACCAGTCTCACGACATATAAACAGCACGCTCATCCTCCTCTCACTACCTTTTCAGCACCCCTCTCAGCCCTTCCCTCATACACCTCTCTTCCTTGTCTTTCTTCATGTCCACACTCTCCAACAACACACCCCAAATATCCATCTTCGACATCCCTCATATCCTCGATCTCATCTGCGAAGACCTCACTAAAGATCAACTCCTCACCTGCCTCGACGTCTCCCGCACCTGGCGCACAAACTTTACCCTACAAGCCCTCCGCTACGTCCGCTTCTCTAACCTCAACAGCCGCCAGACATGGACCGTCCTTCACAGCGCTGGACTCATCCGGTCACTTACCATTGATATCGCTGACGCGGGCTGGTTCTTGGATAACGCCTTTGGATCTTCTTATTACACCAACCTACAGGAACTCCACTGTGTCGACTTTAACTACCTTCAAAAACCCAGGCGGACAAGGCATTACCATATGCGACCGTCGATTGTTGACCAATCCCAGAATGCGCTGCAGTTAATCGAGTCCTGCCCCAATTTACACTCCCTCGCGGTCGACCACCTCTCGCGCCAGTACCGGACTGACCATTTCACAGAGGATATATTCAAGTCTATCTACACCCACACCTCGCTTACCACGATCAAGATTCATCTGGAGAATGTGCCCCTCGAGTTCTCAACCGTCCTCATCAAGAGTCTTCCCGCAAACCTCAAGGACTTTGAGCTGTCTGTTTTGTGCTGGCTCCCCAGGGCTAGACAGTTCGGCCGGTTCCCTGCTCCGAGACAGTTTTATCCTGAGGACGGGTATCCATGGCAGCAGCAAGAGCAGGGCTCTATGGAATCGTCGACATTCTCGGGAGCTCGAACTTTGCCGCTGGAACGACTTGCTCTCGGTGGATTGCATGAGAGGCGAAGACCAGGATGGGCGGTATTGTTGGCAAAACATACTGAGCCGGCGGTCGTCATTGATAATGTCGTTCTGAACCCCGGACGCAACACGAGTTATTATTCCAATGTCGGGTCGTATATCGGGAACGAGATAGTCGAGTCGATTGTGGGGCGGTCGACAGGGCTGCGACATTTGGTCCTGAAGGAGTACAGTGGATCATGGATCGATCTCCTCCAGTTTTTACTCGACAACTGCCCAGAACTGGAAACCTTCGATGTCTCAGAAGACAGCTACCACTTCTACAACAACTCTACCTCCAACGGTACTCAGCTGAGGGGGTCCTTTGCTGCGCTGAAAGAGTTCCGTATGTCAGCCGCAATATCGAACCAGGTGTACATATCGGTGGCAAAGATGGTCCTCCGTTCAGCAGCTACCCTCGAAGTCGTCCGGATCGATCGTAATACCTGGGATTCGACAGGAGAAGGCGCCCACCCCTTTCATATTGGCACCGCGATGAGCTGGACTCAGTGTACACGACTCAAAGAGCTAGGGATCTACCGAGACAGAGGGTCACAACATATGACGGACCACCCCTGGAACGTATCCCCTTCATTCTCGATCTGGGAACCCATCAAGGATTACTCGACCGTGTTTGGACAATTGGAGAAGCTGCAACTGTCGGTGAAGGAATCTCTGTGGCGGGAGTGTCCCGATCGAAACTACCATTGGGATGAGTACGATTACCACCACCACCACCACCACCACCACCACCACGACTTCTATAGCATGGATCTCGACGAGAAGGATGACGAGGACTGGAAACCTCTGAAGGCTGTCGCCCAGACTAAGGAGGAGCGGACGCAAGAGCGCCAAAGACAACAGGTTGAGAGGAACCACCAACGGCCGTTTATTCTTTTGGCGCGGGAAGTCTTCGGTCGTCTTAAGGATCTTCAGCAACTGCGGGAGCTAGAGATCCACTGGGATGTGTGTTCGAGTATCTCTGAGATGTCGTTGGAGCATGCTTTGGAACTATTCCGTGAGACCGAGGTCAATGGCAGCAACAGCAATGGTGGATACGAACGGACATCGAAGGGCTGGTGGAAGGAAGTGACCCACGAAGACCTCATCTGGCTCTGTCTCCCTTGGCTTTCCCAACCCCACCTCCAGTCTTCCACTGTGCCTTCACACCTCATCAAAGCAGCAGCACGACAATATGAAAACAAGACCCGACTCCCCGCAGGTCCTCACGACATCCCTGACTGCATCAACGAACGATCCCCCTGGTCCACAGGTGATATCTACAACGCCCGTGTAGGCCGCCAGTGGAAGGACTGGGACGATATCAACCAGGCCTGTCACCCATACGCAGAAGCTTGTCCGGGTTGCTCAAGATCGACCTTATCCTGTTTTTGGTACGGGGATACGTACACCAGTGTGGGTGTAAACCATGTGTTTCACAGTCGGGATTTTGAGATATTTGTGGAGGGGCTGGCAGGGAAGGAGGAGTCTGCTTGGGGGAGGAAGATGGCAACCAGGGGGGAGAATGGGCGGTATCGACAAAAGGTTGTTGGTAAGATGAACCAGAGGAAATGAATAAACCGTGTGTTGTACTTCCTGATATCAATCAACGATAACCATATCAGTCTCACTGATTGACGAGTTGAACGCGTTAGTCTTGATGGGTGTCTGGGGGTGAAGTAAATGATGATCGTCCGTGTGTCAGTTGCTATCCTTTTTTTCATCTCCGAGAGCACTCGCTCAAACGGACTTGACAAGAAACAAAAAGCGAAATCCAAAATGCGTAAAATGCAGATTGCACAAACCAGCTCACAACGGATTCCGCCACATTTCCATCCCTCGACGCCACCAACATAGAAAAGAGGCAAAGAACAATGACAGCAAAAAAAAAATTAACGCTCTTTCATTTCAGTTTTGTTTTATTTCCAATAAAACACCAACCACTCCTTCAACAAACGCTAGCACCCTCATCACAAACACTCTCTCGTCCCAACAACCGCTCCCCAATCCTCGCTCGCATCCTCTGAAACGTCGCACTCGGAACCGCCATCGAAGACGACAAGGATTTAGAAACCTTGCCGACGCGGCCCTTGGCCTTGTCGTCGCACTGCATCACATGGCCCGCAAAGGCTCTGAGCGAGTCCTGATCGGTGACTTGGAAGTCGCTGTTGCATGCCGTGCACATGAGCGCGATCCGAGTTGATTGAGGTGGGGAGAGGATTAGGTCTCGAGCGGTTTTTGTTGCATTGCCGGCTAAGAACATGATGTCCTCGTACGACGTACGTGTTGGGTGCCTGTCGCTGGTAGTGGTGTTGTGAGAATGTTGGTAATCCTGGGAAGAACGATCTTGCTCGGCGGCAGTTGTGAGAGATAAATGTGGTGGAGATCGAATCGATGTGGGCGTAGTTGGCGTGGTTGGACATGTCAAGATGGTTGACTGGGAAAATACAGAGCCTATTGGTGAAGTCGGACTAGGCAAAGCTGACACCGCTCTAGTTGCAGTGGAAGCGATGTCTTGCAGTGGCAGCCTGGCAAGTCGGATCAATTCGATCGTCTTGTCGAGTCGGACCGAATGCGGTGCATGGTCGGACACAAACTTGACGCCCTTCTCAATCAATCGGCTCCGCTCCTGAGGCTTACTCGGGTCCCTGATCATCGATGGAAAGGACATTTTCCTATCGATACTGTCGTTGCCTGTAGTACAACTAGCGCGTGTGGGTTTCTTCAGGATGGAGGCGATCGATGGGAGGGTGCTGTTTCCTGACGGACGGCGGTTCGGAATGGTGGGTCCTGCGGATGATCGAGTAGGGCTGGTTGATCCTGAAGCAGTCGAGGTTGCTGAAGAAATCTTGGTTGGCATATGAATCGGTGACGCGCGAGAGCCAGAGTTTACTCGAGGGTCATGCCCATCAGCAAAATGAGTCAGGTGCCTCCTACTCGCCTGTAGAACAGTCGTCTCTGTTGCTGTTGTAGAAGGACTGAGGGGCGAGGTAGGTGACGACAAAGACTCTGCGGTCTCCAAGACTTGCTCACTCGGAATGGTTGTCAGACAAGGCTTCCACCTCTCGGCAACTCTTCCTCCTTTGGCTTGTGGAGGAAGCTCCCCCTGAGGCTGATGGTCCAGAAGGTCGTCGGTTATTGTATATTTTTCAGGTTTGATGCAGCGAGCATCCTCAAAGAACTGTTTCCCGTTCCTGCGCCGCATGTGCTGTTCCTGCTCCTGATGTGGTTCTTTTTCTAGAGCTGCCTCTTCCTTAATGGAAGTCAATTTTCTCAGACTACTTCTCTTCAGAGTACTTCCTCCGTCTAAACATATTGTCGCTAGGTTGTTGACTTGGTCGTCCTGGGGTGTCGTGGTTGCAGATGGAGAATGACTCGAGAGGTGTCCCTTCCTTGTGATGTGTTGATCTTGTTGGTGTCGAGGGGTGCGAGCCCACTGGTGTAACTTCAGGAACTCGGATATGTTTGTGTCCTGGGGTTGTCGCTCATTAGAGCGGCTGACAGGATTGGAGGGCGGAAACTGCTTGGTACGAAGAGAACGACACTTTGGCCTTGAGACAGGAACCGCATTGGACCCGAGGCATAAATGTTCGTCCTGGCCTCTGCTGGGATGCGCGTGGACAATGACCGAATCTGGCTGGATTTCGGGCGATCGCAACCTAATGGACGCAAATGGTGTGGATGCCGACGGGGTCGTTGTAGTCGTTAAGCCGGTATGGAGAGTTGTCATCGGTCGCAGTGAGGTGGTGCTAGACGAAGCTTGTTGGAGAACTGCCGTGTCCTGGTATGGTGTCGAGTCTTCAGGTAAGTCGGCATAAAAGCTGCAATACCGGCTCATCTCCTGCACTTGAGAACTAACCTCAGCAGTGGATGGGTTATCCAGAGTAGCCATCACCTCCTCCCTGTCGTTGATCGACTTCCTGGTAACAAAGTCCTTTTCCTGTAAAAAGTGCTCCGAAATCGGCGACCGAATGACCTTGACCTGCCCAGAAGGATGGCGAGAAAGCGGTATCCCTTGATCTCCATTCAACAACTTCCCTCCTTCCTCGTCCTTGCTGTAGGAGTCGATCTCATAGACTGTTGGGAACTTGAGCCGTGGATTGGTTTGCTTGGGTTGGAGGAGCTTGATTCGAATGCCGGCTGAAGAGGGGAAGGTGTCGACTGCAGGGTCTTCTTTGTCGAAGTGGGTTGTGGTTCCTGAGGCGCCGAGGTGATTGTGGTGAGAATCGCCAGAGAACTGGTGCGGAGTGTCAGCTGGAACGTCATTCGTCTCCAAAGTTGCATCTTCTTTCCACAAGGGTTCCCCTGCTCTGGCAATGGTATCCCACCCGGTCGCCAGTCCCTGAGACCAAATAGCATCCCAGTCGATCTGCATGAGTACATACCAGAAACCGTCCTCGCTGCTCTGGTTCGGGTGTCGAATGGGCGGCGTTGACGGACAACAATCCTGCTGAATGTAATGATGCTGAGTGACCTTACTGCTCTGACTCAACGGCGTTGCAAGCCTTGCTGTCGGTCTCCTACTGCCGCTCATTTCATAGTGCTCCAGCACCTGATCCAATAAAAGGCTTTTATGCCATTCATTGACCGCTTGACGCAGCATCTCAGCCCGGATCCGATGCCATTTCCGAACGCCGTCGACGTTATGTACCCGGTGTCCGCATCCTGACGGCAGAGATGATCCGTCAGCGACGTCGAGTGCTGGTGTATGTGCCTCGATCAGAGTATTCGGTGGAGTGTGCGAAGGGAGTGGCGAATCCAGGCGGCTCTTCCACGCCTGAGGGTGTTCCTTCAAATCGTAAGTCGTAGAGGGTGTGCTGGACCCAATACAATCGTCGTTGTGGTGGTCATGATCAACCCAGGTACGATCGTACATCATAATAAAGAGACCGTTAGGGCCGTGCAGCTTGGTGAGAGTGCAGACATAATGTCGGCTCTTGCTGCAGACCAGGGTATCTCGATGTGGTTTTGGGTGTTCGTATCGAAGAAAGGGTTGGTGCAACGTATCGCTAGTCTGTCTACCAGAAGGGCGACTGGATATCACTGAAGGGATATGATAGATAGATAGGTGGATAGATAGATAGATAGTTAGACAGATAGGAGAAACACAAAAAAGTAAAAGGGGTTAGAGGAGCATTCGAATTGTCGCCTTTCTGTCTGTTCACAAGGTCGCTATGTGTGGTGTAACGGTACCTGGGGGGCAGATGTTGATCTTGGACACTGTGGAGCCAATGCCAACAGCTTCGGATCTGATGGTGATGTCGTGGGTTGTTGTCATGACGGTAACAGATAGAAGGAAGGTGTTTGGTGAAGGAAAAGAATGAAAAAGAGGCAAAGGACAATCAAAATCGCACTAGCATTTTTAAATAAGGGTGTGGACCTCGCGTCAACTGTGGATACTCCTCCACACCTGTCTTTGTTCATAGCAAGGGGGCGAAACGACAAAAGGAGCTTTTATTAAACGGGTTGGGGTAATGTACAAAGTAAGAGAGGGGAATACTAAAGATAATGGAATAATAAACAATGAGAACTTTAGGCAGCAGTGGTGGTTTTGGGGGTAGATCCATGCATCTGTAAGAGATGGTTCTTGAGTCCATTGATGTTGGTGTATCCCTTCCCGCATCCTGGCACGAGGCACTTGTAGGGCTTCTCCATAACAACGTCCGCTGACGGCGCGGGTTCCTTGGGGAGAATAGGCGAATGTGGAATGTCCATGAATGCAGGGGACCGTAAGACCGATAGTGAGGAAACCGACGATGTCCTTGCTCCTGATTGCTGTGGGTGATCGTTCCTGATGTGGTTGTTCAGAGTTACCACACTTGCGTATGCCTTTTGGCAACTGTCAGAGGTGCACGCAAATTTCTTGTTGGCGGGTCGGTTTCCTTGCGTTTTTGTCGACTTTGTTGGAGTAGAGGGGGTAGATGTCGGCCCAGGAGTAAGGGGCATGGTTGTCGGTACAAGGGTAGCTGCAGGTGCCGTGTTGAGATGGGCGGGGTTCATCGTTTGACTGACTTCTGCAGGCGAGCTAAGGGGCAGTTGGGAGATCGACGAGGGCTCGTGGGCATGGACACCAACATTGATATGAGTCCCAAAGTGCATCCTGTTGTGGAGTTTGTTGACCAGCTGGTTCGCTATGATCAGATCCTTGGATGTGAACAGTCTAAACCCAGAACTGTGACCACTAATGCCTTCCTGCTGCAAATCCAGACCGAAAGCAGAGTCCAGCCCCAGAGGGTCACTGTCATATCCAAGGCTGCTCAGATGGTTGTGAAGGAGATGGTCATCTATGAGTAGGGCGTTGGTGTCAATAGGTGACTGAGTTCCCGACGACAGATCCGCCATTTCAATGTCAAAGTCTGACTGGTTGTCCTGCGGTATCACCATGGCATCGGATCCACACAGGGTGTCGTGGCTACGCATTGTTATGGCTCGGTGTCCGTGGCTCTGCGCCATATGGTTGTTAAGGCCAGCGAGGTGGTGGAAGGCTTGGTCGCACCCGAGCTCAGGACAGTGATATGTGTTGCGGTGAAAGTGGGGCGAAGATGCACCGGAGGACGTCTGTGATGAGGTGGCAGAGCTATCCAGGGAAGGGGATCCATGGGGGATGTTGAGAGAGCTGTGCGAGAGATGGGAAAGTCCCTGCTTCTGTTGTTGGCGCATTTGTTGATGTGTCTGGAACGCCTGCTGTTGCTGCAATTGATGCTGCGGGAGATGCTGTTGTTGGGTCTGCTGCTGCAGGTGCACGAGATCTTCTTTTGATTGATGCAGCTGTAATTGAATTTCGGCTGGTGTGGGAGGATTGGAGATTGCCATGTTATTGGCGGGGTCGAATGATGCGGCGGGCATTGAAATGCGGAGCCTAGGCGACGATGCCAAAGGCGTGCTGGCTGGTGGCGGTGGGGTGTTGAACGCACCCTTTGAACCAGGCGACAAAGATGGTTGAGCCGACCGGGCCGACTTACTACTTGTCTCCGGTCCATCGTCAAAGGCCGACAACTGGGTAGTGGTTCCTGACATCCCGGAGTGTGCTGCAGAGTTTTTGGCGTGGGTGACATGATACTGGAGACCATTGACGTTTTTGTAACGCTTGCGGGTTTCGCATCCTGGCATCGCACACCGAAAGGGCTTCTCGACGGTCGTTCCTGTATGTGTCGCCTTGAAGTGGTAGTAGAGGAGTGATGGGGACGAACTCTCAAACAAACAGTCGGGGATGGCGCATCCGTACGGCTTCTCGTCTTCTGCGAAGTAATCCATCAAGTCACCTCGGCTGCCCCTGCCGCCTTTTCCTGGCCGCCCTGTCAATTCCTCGTCCAGATACCCGTCCACGTTGTAGTCATCGTCCAGGTAAAACTCTTGAAGGAGTAGATCGTCCGCATTGAACTGTGCCAATTCTGGATCCAGGTCGCCCTTGTGTGAGTCCAGGAGTGCTTCCAGTCGCCGTGTCTCTGCGATGAATGCTGCCTGGTCGCTGGCAGTTAGTTGGCTCCGCCTTTTGGTGGCTCGCTTCATGTGGTTAAGGCTCCTCTGGATCTTGCGCCAACGGTTCCGACAATGCAGGCCCGGTCTCCCTGGGAAAGCAAGGGCGATCTTTTGCCATTGACTCCCGAATTCCTCGAACCGCTGCAACAACAGAATGTCATCCTCGGGTGCCCACGCTGCTCTGTCGATAAGTGGGTCCAGTCCCTCTCGCCATCTCTTCGCACATTGATCGTCTGTTCGTCCTGGAATACGCTCGGCGATCTTGCTCCATTGCCCTTTGAACAGCTCGACGCCCGTCTTGAGGAGATGGTCCTCTTCTTCTGTCCATGGACCCTTCTTGAGCTTTGGGTCCAGCGAATGGAACCAGCGTTTCCTGCAATTCTTGTTGGTCCGCCCTGGCACGCATGCAGCGATCTTGGACCACTTTTCCGTCTTGTCGCCATAAATTTGAACGGCGGCGCGGAGCTGTTGGTCCTCCTCGGGGGTCCAGACGATTCGTTCTCCTCGATCTCGCTTCCTGGGCGCCGCAGGGTCATCCATGTTCAATAGTTCCTCCAGCTTTGACTCTTCTGTTCCTGTGAGATCCAGCGATGGCATGTCTTCGGGCAACGTAGCATTGAACACAGCAGCCGGCACCTATTAGATTGAATGTCAAATTGGTTAGGTTGACTTGTCCTTGGTTATCCTCCAGCGTACCTCGTCCTTCTTCATTGCACTTTTATTTACTCTATTCCCCTTCTGCTCTTTGTCATCTTGCCTGCCTTGTTGTCTTTTATGAAAGCGGGCAAGGTCAATTACACTTTGCACCTTTTATTCTTTCCGTCTTGTCCTTGTCATCCTTGCATTCCTCCTTTGTCCATATATTTTTATCCGCCGTTGTTGGTTGTGCTTCGATATCGCCAGGTCTTATTATTTTTTCTTCTTCTTCTCCGCTCCTTTTGTGTCTTGTGCATCTTTCTTTTCTCAGCCAGGCTACGACAGTCTGCTTGCTTTTTACTAAAACTGACCAATTATCAGCACCAAAAGAATAACTGCTGGCGAGAGTCCAAAACAAAAATAACAACAGCAACAAACACTCAAGACCGTTCTCGCCCCCACTCCTTGTTTGTGCGTTTAGTTGTTGCTGTTGTTGTTGTCTCTGTGAGTGCTGACTTGACTTGACTTGACTGCGTCGTCTGTCACCTTCGGTTGCGAGTGAATGAAAGAGTGACTTACAGGGGCGTCCCTGGAAGGGCCATCGTGCGGAGGAGAGTAGAATGTGAACTAGGTAAGATACGGGAAACAGGAGCGTTGGGTGTGTAATGGTGTTTGTCAGTCCGCTTGGTCGTTGGGTACGGGTGAAGGACCGTTGGAGACAGAGCAATTCTGCGCTAGACTCTGTTTGGTCGGAAAGGAAAGGGTTCACACTTTTCTTTTTTTCTTATTGGCTGCTTTGCTTGCCAGTTTCGCCATTTGTTCATGGACAAAAGAATTGCAACTTACATCGAGTTGAGAGGAGGCTTGGTAGGCAAAGTGGGAGTATGGTTCAAGGTCTGAAGGGGATCCGTAGGTGTCGCTCTATTGTCGATGGAAGAAGAAGGAACAGGATCGAAGTGAAAGAGATAGGTATGAGTTGTTGCTATTGCTGTTGGAGATCCATGAACTGACTGATGTTGCTATGGTGCTATTATGTACCATGTTCATGGTCATGGAGGGACGGGAGAGGATCCTGCTGGACCCAGAGAGAGAGGAGTGAGGTTGTTGGGAAGGACAGGACAGAAAAGGGCAAAGGAGGATGTCGGAGAGAGTGAGTAAGAGAGTGGGCGAATGCAAGGAGGAGGAGGAGGAGAAGGAGGAAGAGGAAGGACGGTGGTTGAGGAGGGTCGAGGAAGGTGGAGATGCGGGCGGGAAGGAAGAGAGGCAGGAGAGGAAGGAGAGGAAGGAGTAAGAAGGTGAGAGAGGGGACGGAGAAAGGGATAAAGGGAAAGAGGGGAGAATTAAAGAGACAAAGACGAGTGTTCACAGCCTACATGAGGTACACGAGGACACATAAAAGAGAGAAGAACGAATAGGAGGACTGTGTGAACAACAGCAGGACAATTGAACAAGTGGGCGTTGCAGGACATGAGGGAGTCAGCTCCTGCACAATTAGGTGCTCGCCTTGGTTGCCAACTCGCTTTGTTCGTTCATAATAACTATGAGTGCCCCAGTATTGTTGTTGTTGTAGACAGGAGATCTACTACACCATCATGGATCTATATTCAATGTGCAAAAAGCCCTGGGGATGGTCCGTCTGTGGGGCAAATTATGGGGCAATTAAAAGGACAAAAAGTTCACAGTCTCGATGGTTGCCTGCCAGACGCCAGATCAATAGGATCAACAATCAGAAATGAAAAGGTGAGCACACAATGCAAGAGAAATATCAACGCTAATTGGATCTCGCATGTCGCATGAGTCGCTTATTACACCCATCGATTCATGGTTTGTTCCTTCTACTCTCCTCAGCATGTCCATTGTTCACACCATTGTGCAATTGAAAGCGTTGTGGTGGCAAGAGAAAACAAGAAAGACAAGACAATCTCAAGTAGACAAAACAAGGAATAACGGACATATATAATTGCGCGGGCAAACGTATCCATGAATGAAAAAAAAGAAGGTTAACGCGTATCCCCACACCATCCTACGATTTACCCATAGAGTGGATGAAAAATGTGACTAAGAACACCTTCCTTGTCTTAGTCCCAGTCCCGGTTCCAGGCTCCTCCTCCTTGCGTTCATATTTGTTTGTTACAGTGCATGGGTTGATTCCTTCTGACACCCTCTTTCTGCTCTTCCTCCTGTTCTGTCTCATGCTGTGAACTTTCTATTGTCATCGTCATCATCAAGGGACTTCTACTCATTCATAACTCGCTCTCCCTCTGACTTTCTGTCTGTGACACTTTTCAATATGTTTGTCGGACCCTCGGACCCCAAGGTACGCCGCAATTGTGTTCTCCTATCTTACCTCACCAAGCCAATTGACACATCTCCCACGCCCAGCTACTTCGCACGCAGGAAAGTTCCTTCGTTCGGCGACCCTGTCTCTCCCACTTTCGGTGCTGTCACTTCTATTCACTGACATAAAACATAAAACATAATCATCGCCTAGGATCCAGAGCGAGGAAGAAGAGGAGAAAAGGAGAGGAGGGAGAAAGAGACACCATAAAAAAAAGGGAGCCACTCACTCATGATCCTGGTTACAGTAATTGCCGTGAAGCGGGTTAGTGGACTTGTGGGTCATGGCCATGACCACGACCATGGGCTGCACCGTCCATTGGATCCCGCAGGCACCCTGCCTGCCCTTGAAAAAAAAAACAAAAGAGAATTACCTCCCAACGCAACTCGCCTCTCCTGGCAAACAAAAGAAGAAAAAAAGAGTCGCGTCTCTCCTCAATCCCTCTCTGTCTTTCTTTCTCTCGTTCTTTTTCTTTCGCGTCTCCTACTCATCCTTCTCCTGCCGCTCCTACATTCATACACACAAAGATACATACTCCCTCTACTCCTACCCCCCTTTCCTTCGTCCCTTTCACCGAATGGTCCCTTCCACCGAATGACCGGCTCCTTCTTCGTCTCCTTTCAGCCTCTCCCAACCCTCCATCCCCTTTCCCCAAACCCAAAAAAATGTACCTGTTCGCCTGTCCCTCTGCCCTTGTTTGCGTCTTTGTTGTGTGTTCGCTTTTTAACCATTGGTCCCGGAGCACGCTTCTTTTATCGAACCCCTTGTTTTTATCTACCCACCCATGTACATAAAAAGTCATCCCCTCGTTCTTTCTTTTCTTTGCTTTTTTTACCACTCATAATTTTTCATCCTTCTTTTCTTCATTCTTCATCAACTCTAATCATAGCTCAACCTTCGCTTCGTATCACCTTCGAACCCATCTGGACCAAATCTTTCCGCGTTACATCGAATAGCATCCACATCCAAACGATCTTTCTTCCTTCAGTAACGACGCGAAGCAACCACACATTCTCCACAAAATGATGACCAGACCCGCTCTCAAGCCTGTTGGCACACCTACTCCCTCCGGAACGACTGGTACTCCAAGCACAGGCACAGGCATAGGCGCAACAGGTCTTCAAAGGACGACACCCTCGGTCAGCAGATTGGCCGGTCAATTCAACCCAGTCAGTATCTCGACACAGAAAACGGCCGCCACGACCAACCGAAGTGTAGCAAGCCCTACCTCAACCATCGCAGCAGCCAAGGCAGCCCTCTTTGAGCGTTCGCAGGCAGCGTCTCCCACCACACCAACTGCAAACCCTCTCCGAACATCCATCAGCAGCGTGAGCAGCATCAGCAGCATGGGAAGCAGCAACAGTATCAGCGGCATGTCATCCCCTACAACCCCCGTCGCCTCTTCTCCATTTCGCAAACCGTCCATTAGCAGTATCAACGCCGTCCGGGATGCGCCCTCGCCTACTTCTCAACAGATCCCTTCGCCCACCTTTCTCCGAAAGACCCCCATCGGAAGCATCTTCAACAGAGATGCCACGAGCACAACAACAACAAAGTCGCCTACCGTTGCTTCTCCTACTACTGCTTCTTTCCCAAAAGCCGCAAGCCCTCCTTCGACCATCTCGATTAGAACAATGGCTGCCCCCCCTGCTCCCTCGATCGAGGCAAACAAACCAGCTCCACTAGTAGAGACACCTCCTACCTCTGCAACAACGACATCTGTCGCGACCCCTGTCACCCCCTCGACCCCTATAACTCTAGCGGGCCTTGCGTCTCCTACTACCCCCAACATTTCTGAGAAGCAAGAGGCCCTTATCGACAGCCTAATGATTGCTGAGGCCCCTTCGTCCCCTGTCCCTGCCAAGACACCTGAGCCCAAGGCGGTGAAAATCGAGTTACCTATTGTCGAGGCAGCACCCATTGTCGAGGCACCTGCTCCAAAGGTTGCACCCATTGCCAAGCCTGCACCCATTGTCGAGGCGCCCGTTGTCGAGGCACCCGTTGTCGAGGCACCGACCATTGTCGATGCATTTGTTGCAGAAGTTACACCCATTGTCGAAACAGCTCCAATTGCTGAAGCACCACGTGCAGAACCTCCACTGACTGACGCGCCTGCATTTGATCCCATCACTATGGAGGCGCCTGTAGCAGTGCAAGAAACCGTTAAGGCGCCCGTTGAGGAGTTTGAGGTTGTTGAGCCCGTTGTGGTTGAAGCTGCCCCCATCGATCCAAATGCTATTGTCGAGGCCGCTCCAGTCGAGGTCGAAGTCGCTGCTGCACCCATCCAGGAACCAGTTCTTATCGAGGAAGCTGCTGCTCCTATTCACGAGGCCATTGTTGTGGCTGAATTTGCAGTTGAGAAAACGATTGTTGAGCAGGAGGCGGTTGTCGAGGCTGCTACGGTTCAGGAGGTTGCCATCGTTGCTATTGCTGAAAAGGAGGTCGTCATCGAAGCTGTTGATGAGAAGGGAGTCAAGTCAGAACCTGAGGAGTTGGCTCCAGTCGAGGAACTTGTTGTCGCGCCTGCCCCAGTCGAGGAGGAAACGAAGCTCACACCCGTCCCTTCCGAGAAGGTCATTATTGTCCCAGAGTCCGCACCTGTCGAAGAAGTCGTCCAGGCCGCGCCCATCAAAGAGCCTGTTGTCAAGACTGCGCCCATCGAGGAACCTATTGCCGAGGCTATATCCATTCAGGAAACTATTGTTGAGGCAGAGCCCATTGAACAACCCATTTCCGCCGCCGAGTCGACACCCGTCGAGGAAGAGGCCAAGGTTGAGGCTGAGGCTGAGGCAGTGGGACAGCCCCTTGTCAATGAAACAAAAGACGCCGCTGAGGAACCAATGAACGATTTCAAGGCCATTGCAGAGTCGATCAGCGATCAAGTTGTGTTCAGTAAAACCAAAGAGGAGATGCTCCAGTCGGCTCCTGTCGAGCCAGTCTTGAGCCCTATCCATTCAAGCACTGAGTTGCGTGCCAACTCACCCAGTCGAAAGCCTGGCCATTCTATGCAGAAGGTAAGAAAACTCTTTTATTATTTTGCGTGCGTTGACCAGATAACTTTTCTCGGTTGGATTGAGGACGGATAGACTTCTTTTCACTAATAACTCCACCCACTTCCTCTTCACCTCGCCTTTGCTAACCCCTTTCTTTTAGTTTCATTGGAAGCACGGAGGAGAGATTGTCAAGGTCACTGGCACTTTTGATAACTGGCAAGGTAAGCGAAGACATTTCTTAGTTCAAGGTGGAGATGAAGCGGTGGGGCAACGTTTGTTCACCTTGATAAGAGATATACGCTTTGAAGTGTGGAAGGTGTGAGGAATAGGGGGCTGATAAAAAAAGAAAAAGAGGGTCTTTTGTTGTTTTTGTTCATCCCCCAAAGAAAAAAAACCACCATCGATAAGTTATTTCTTCCCATGTCGTGTGGTTACGGCCAATGCACGAAGAACAGTAAGAAAAAAGATACATGCTAACAGTCTTTATGTTTTTGCGCGGAAAAATAGAATCCATTGTGCTCAAGAAGGTTCCTTCAACACGGGATGAGTTCTTCGCGATTGTTGAGCTGGACAGGACGCAGCATATCGTAAGTGGAAAGGACAGCATCCTATCAAAATATTTTCCTTTGTATGCCACATCAATGCACGCGTGTTTGTTTGTTACAAGAAAGAAGCATACAACTAACACATTTTTTCTCGTGTCGATGCGCGATGTGCCATGTGCCAATAGCAATTCAAATTTGTAGTGGATGGCGTATGGAGGTGCTCGACTGAGTTTGAGACCGAGTACGACTACAATGGCAACTTAAACAACATCCTGCGCGTGCTGCATCAATAAGGACACAGGAGTAGAAGGAAAGAAAAACAACAAAACACAAGGCAATGGAGTGCATGACTGCATGGACATGCACGTATAACTATATCAAAGTAATACGCGCTTTAGTTAGCGTAAAGTATTCAAAAATAAGTACAAATATACTCAATTGATACCCTTCTCAAAGGTTGAACAAAGGGTTGACAAAGGCTGAACGAACGTATCGTTTGCATTCAAGTGAGTGTACCCAATCTTTCTTTTGCGTCACGTGCGATCTCTATTTGACCGTTCCTCTAATTGCATAAGCCCTCGTCCTTGACTAAAGAGAGGAAGGATTGACGACATCGACTCTCTTCTCTTTTCTTTTCCCAACAAAAGTCCTCTCTGCCAAGTCCTCGACCTCCCTTCATCGTTCTCAACAACCGCCAGACTCTTGCCTTCAACATCACTGCCGGTCCAAGAGCCTTCTTGTTTTTGTTCATCGTGTCTCTGGATCATCAGCTCAGGACCAAAGCGTTTTTATTTTCACAGGAACATAAGTGACAACGACCCAACCAGCCAACCAATTGGCCAGCCAACCAACGGTCGTATCCAAGTCTACTGCAAAGAAAGCACTTTCAGGAACCTACAATCGAAAAGCAAGGCTTTTCCCATTCAACAGCGCTCTCACTCGTTCTTCCAGGGATCCTTGAACGACACAACCATCAGCAACACACCAACAATAAGTTGATGGCTCATTCCAACAAAAGCAAAAACAACAACAACACCAACGCCATGTACGAACAACAGTCAGCCCCGGCCTCTGCGCCCAACTCTTCTTCAGCCGCCACCGCCACCACCACCAGCTCTGCAGCCCTCACCCAGCAGCAACAACAGCAGTTAGTCTTTGCGCAGGAGTTCTGGGAGGAGCAAATCCTGGCAGCGGAACAGTTCGATTCAGACTTCAAGAACCATCCCTTGCCGTTGGCCCGTATCAAGAAGGTGATGAAGTCCGATCCCGAGGTCAAGGTAAGACACTCCTCTCATCTTCTTCCAGTTTCCCTTCTTTCAGCTCCGGTTCCCCCAGTCTTTCTCAGCAACAGCATTGAAAAGTGCTTTTTTGCAGGTCCTTTATCCTTGTTTTCTTTCCCTCCAATCATGCCTGCGACGGAGTTTCCTTTATCCCCCTTTTTTTTGCAGGTTTTCTTATTTGCAAAAGACGACAGTCAATTGCTTTTGACTCACTTTCCTGGTTATTTTTTCCGCTCAACCAATTGACCTTGTTCTTGTTTCTTTATGCCCATCTGTTCAATAGATGATCTCGGCAGAGGCACCGATCCTGTTCTCCAAGGCCTGTGAGACGTTCATCTGTGAGATCACCCGCCGGGCCTGGTTACATGCCGAGGAGAACAAGAGACGGACACTTCAGAGGAGCGACGTCGCCAATGCCGTCTCTCGTTCGGACCAGTTTGACTTTTTGATCGATATTGTCCCCCGGGAGGAACCTCCCAAGGTCACCAAACGCTCTTCTACCCGCGAGGATCCTGCTCCCAGTGTAAGTGTTTGATCTGCACGTTTTGCCGAGGCACAAAAGGGAAAACAAATGAACGCCACAAGCAAGCGGGAAGAAAGAAAAAAGGAGAAGCTAACAGATCAATTGAAAACTCTTCACAAATTAGGCGGAAGCTTACGATGAGCAACAGCAACAAGGATACGAGGAGTACTACCCACAGGGAGCAGGAGGATTAGCTGCATACGCGCACGCAATCGAGGCGCCTTCGTTCTACCAGTCGGTGTCCCCGGAACAGTTTCAGCAGTACATGCAATATCAACAGCAGGCTCAATCCTACCAGCCTTCCCAGCAACAAGCAGGACAGACACAGCAGGCACAGTCATCACAACAACAGCAGAGTTCCCGAGGTGGACACGAGCCAACGTCTCGTCAAAGTTAGGCGCACGTTTTCTCATCAGCAGCAACCACATATACATCTCACAGCACTCATACAAGCACATGCACCCAACGACAACAACAACAACACATAGCACAATACATTTCACTTTTTTCATCTACAGTTCTCGTTTGAAAGTTCCTTTCGATCCAGTCTCCCGCAACTGTTATTTTTTCTTTTTTAGCTTCGGGATCGGGACAATAATGATTTCTTTACCACTTTCCCATCATCTCTTTTCCTTCCCTTTCCCCTTTCCCTTCCCCTTCCCATTCCCATCCTTCTTCATCGATCTGCATAATCTCAACATACAGACACGTTCGTTACCAATCATCCTATCGCATGGTTGCTAAATCGTAAATTATGGTATTGTCAAAAAATGAGTACAAGCCTTAAAAGAAAAAACTAAAGAACTAAAACACTAACAAAAAAACTCCTCTTTTCTTTTAGGGCAGTAGGTGTTACCCCCTTCCCCTCGCTTCTAAGTAAAGATCTCCATTGGAGTAACGGTAGACTCGACAGCATTCCCCATAAGGTTCTCCTGACACAAGAACTTTGTCGGAAACTCGACCAAATGTCCCGTCACCTTCTGCAACTTGGCCGTCACATTCTCAACAGTCGCGCCTTCCATGGCCACATGTCCCGTCATAACCTTCTTGGGGTTGGGGACGAAGGCCTTGTACTGGTCCCAGTTCTCGATATTGTTGTCGGGGACGCAGTGGAAGACTTCTCGGAAGATTTCTGTATTGGTTTTCGCGACCCGGGTCCACCAGCCGTCATAAAAGTCGTCGGAGAGGGGATCCATGACGACCTGGTCGGCGGTTAGGGGGACTTCCTTGGCCTTGGCCTGTTCCTGCGGTTGGGATGCAGCAGCGAGGCCAGAGTGCCATTGGATATGGGCGCGGGTTTCGTCCTCGTTGGGCGTGGTCACCTGGATGTGGCCATAGTTGTTCTTGTGCATCTTGGCCCACTTCTTCTTCCACTTCTTCTTCCTATCCTCCTCTCCTTCCTCCTGGTGGATCTCCTGATTCAACTGCTGTTGCTGTTCAAGTTCCTGCTGCTCTTGCTGCTGCTGGAGAAGGAGCTGCTGTTGCTCTTCTTCAGCAGCGCGGATCAACTCACGACGGACTTCGGCGGGGTCTTTGCTGGGTGCGTCCAAATCGACGGGGAGGACACTTCCGCTGGTGACAGTGTCGTGCTCAACGTGAGGCAAGAGTCCCAAATGCTCCTTGAACAGATCAGTGCGAAGCCCGTGCGCAATCTTGCCTGCTTGGTACTGTTGTTTACATGTGATTTGTCAAAAGCAAAACAATGAATAAGTTCTTCTGTCCATCCTTTCCGTAGAAAACAAATGCGCGTAGGTAATGAAAGGGTAACTTACCTCGACGCCGTTCATCTTGGAGGTGACAGTCTCAGAGTCCTCGATAATGATGGCAATCTCTGAATCTCTGTAGCCGACCTGCGAACGATCGTTGATGTTGGCTAAAAACGATAAAAATGAGCGAAAGACCATTCGTTAGCGAAAAGTGCCTTGTAATAATAATAACCTCGCAACACCACACCATAGCAAAGCCAATAAAACATACCTGAACCAATGATAATAATGCGGTCGTCGACTATCATAAGCTTGCTGTGAATATACAACTGCTCAGTCACAAAGTCATCGACCTCATTGTCCTCGACCATGGTCTCGCCTTCAGAGTTGGTGCTTGACGTCTCACCACCAGCCTCAGCCGACTCCTGAGGGTTGGGCTCCACAAGCGCCTCAGCCTCATTACGTGACTGGACAAATTCGCGATCAACACCATCCTCCTGTACAATTCCACCATTGGTCTCGGGGTGGTAAATCAACGGGTTGCGAGTAATAATGTGGTGCTTGGGCTCTAGATCACCCTGGGTCTTGGTGCCCTTGATATTGTTGGCTGTGTTTCTGAACATGACGCCCATACCCTCCGCAACGTGGGGCTCAGACTGCTCGGTGCCGCCGCCCTGGTAATGGCGCTTCTTGGCATCGACCTCAGCCCTGTCGGTGTCCGCATGGATGGTGTTGAAGACCTTGTGGTCCGCCAGTGTTCTCTCGGTAACGGCAGGGATATATCCATGCTCCTTCTTGGCAACACTCATCGCACGCTTGGTAATACTCTCGTCCCAAGTGCACCCCAGATCGGCAGCCCTGCGCTGGTGCAAGATGGCCTTGATACGGGCAGCCTCCTTGCTGTGAGGGAGAGGGTCCAACAAGAACTTGGAAGCCAGCGATTTCGATCGACGAATCTCGCCACCAAGTTGCTGAGCATCTGCACCGGGGACAGACAACATGTAAGATTGGGTCTGCTCCTGTGCCTGTTCCTGTTGCTCTTGTACCTGCTGCTCCTGTTGTTCCCGCTGTTGCTGCTCCTGGTGCTGCTGGATAACCTCCTCAGGAGTTCCTTTGAGATTTCCCTCAGCCTCAGCTTCCTTGACAGCTTCAACAATAGCATCGAACTTTCCATGCTTGATACGATCGAAACTGCGAAGACCAAAGAATCCAATGTACTGCTCGGGGTTGATTCCGAAAGACTCCAGACGCTCAAGGACAGAGTTTCCTCCGCGGGAGATCGAGACATACTGGAAGTGCATGACCTTTCTCAGTGTACCGGCCTCGCTCGACATGATGTCGGCCTCGAAGGCAGGCATCAACGGCATCACGACAATGACGCGGAACTTTTGGCCCTCCTGATGTGCACGCACAATACGGTTGACCAATGCCAGACCGATCGTGTTCTTGAGGTCAGGGTTACCATTCTCAGCCGCCAACGTCACTATTGGTAGACATAAGAAAAGAAGAATGATTAACATTGCGGAAAAAAAAAATGCCACCGCAACTGCCACATACCAACCATCAATAGACCAGCGCCAACTTACCAAAGAACTGGTTCTCGATATAAATGAAATGCTGCGAAGTCTCAATACTCGACAAGTAAGCATTCAAGATCGAGTGCTCCAGATCAACACCCTGGGACCAATTAGTACTGCTTCTCAAAATCTGAATCTTCTGGGACCCCGTCCATCCAGTCTCATTACGGGTGCTGACGAATTCACCCTTGGGAGTCAGGAACTTCATATGGGACTTCTTCATACCCTTCTCACGCTTGACAAAGTTCCACCGTTGGACGAAATGGCGTGCGATGTCGCGAGCGGGCTGACCTGCAACTCCGATCGACACGTCGTGCCAGGGCATACGACCTAGCAACTTGCGCTCAATCAGGTCATTGTTGTAGTCCTTGACTATTGGAGTCGTCAGAAGAAAGAAAGAAAAGCTTAGAAAGAGGGTTTCAGGAAACACACGTTGCTTCAGAGACACTCTTTACGTTGTTTGGCTTACCATTGGTGAAATCCTTGATGCGAGGATTAGAATAGTCCTGACCAGGCCAGATGGTGCCGTTTCCAGAGGGGTGGTAATCCGAGAGCTGATGGGTTCTGCTGTCGTATCTTCCAAAGCACAGATCCAATCCTCCAATGAACGCCAGTCGGCAATCAACCACACAAATTTTCTATGGAGAGGATGAAAAGTAGCGTAGTGTCAACACAATATGCAAATAGCACCACGTTGAATTCAGTTCGCTACATCTACAACTTACCTCGTGATGAGCCCAGAACTGAGTTGCTGTGACACTTATATGATCAGGGTGGCGTTGGACTATCATTGATCAAATGTGAAAGAAACCAGAATAAGGTCAGTTAGTTTCAGATCCATGTCACTTTTCATGTTCCACTGCTGATCAGGGCATGGACATAAAGAGCCACAAGCTGAAGCTTACCTTGAATGTTGGGGTGAAGGTCCTGGAGCCAGGTCTTGGTGTGGGCAGAGTCCATGGTCAGTGCAAGCGTGATCTCCTTGTAGACTACAACATAGATCTTTACTCCATCCTGTGCCTTCTTCTTGAGCAATCTGTCCAATCTGAACTCTTCGTTCTTCTCTGGTGGGCGACGAAGGTACTATATCAAGAAAAGGTATGCAGTGTTAGCAAAAAAACGTTTGTAAGTGTCGCAAGCAAAAAAAAAAAAAAGAAAGAAAAAAAAACAAGCAAGCAGAGTAACTTACCAGCTCGGGTGAGAGCCACCAATCGGCAATATAAATCTCGTTCTTGGCGGCCAGGATGGCGTCTGACACTGCATGGAAGTAATCCTTGCCGTCGACATAGTAACGGACCTTGGCGTCTTCCCTCTCGGGCGCAAAACTCCCAAATCGATGCCCCTTGACCCAGGGACTGTGGGTCTGCATCTTTTGGAAGAACTCGAACCACTCAACCATCTCGCGATTCCGGTCGCCCTTGATCTCGATCTTGCGGTGACTATTTCCAATCTCGATGTGGTGCTGGTTCAGACCGAGTACATGCTCCTTGGCAATGACATAAAAGTTTTGGTCGAAAATGAAAACATCCGAACATTCGTCCGAGCTAATCGAAGGGCCAAAGGACAGGTACGAGTCGCGCAGGATCGCCCAGGACTTATCGTAATCGTTGAAGCCAAAGTTGAGACCACAGAACGTCCTCGAGGTGTCCAAGACTTTGGTTTCGACATAGCCCTCTTTGCCCTTCCATCCCATGTCCTTGGTCAGCGACAAGACCGAAATTTCGAGGAACTCGTACAGATCGTAGGCGACAGTGCCGTTCAATACTTGTAGGACTTGCAGGAAGTAAGTCTGCAGGGCCTTGCGACGCGCGAGGTTGGCCTCCTTTATACCCGCCTCATTGTCATCATCAGCCATATGGAGACCAGCTTTGGCTATTGACAGTGCCCAGGAAACCTACAGCAGAATGACAAAAGGTGAGAAACAGCCAATGCATTATGTTATACCATTGAGCCGTTGACGATCGAGTGGCTTCGTCTTTTGTTACCTGGTTGGGGAACTTCGGCAAGCCGGGGTACCGCTTTGCACTGAGCTTAAGGTGCAACTTGTAAAACTCGTAGAGGGAACGACGGATGACCCATTTGATGTCGCCATACTGTAGTTCGATACGGAAAACAACTTGTCGGCTAATGTTTGGGTTTATCTCCGAGTCAACAATACCGAGCTATGACAGAGCAACAGTTGAAGAAAAATAAGGTCTTATGAGAAAAATGACATCAAAGAGACAAAGGGAGGTTTGGCTATTTGCAGTTTTGCATAATCGTGTCCGTCTGTCTGCATATGTGCTGTTTACCTTGAGGAGCTGGAAGAGAATAGGAGGCTAGAAAGAAGACGAAAGTAAAATAAAGGGATCAAGTGGTTAGTTCAATGGGCGCAAGTTGAGGAGGTTGTGTTGGACTCTTGGTCCATGTCAAAGAAACAACATGAAAATATGCACACGACTCAAATTCAGAAGAATGTATCGCTCGTTTGCAAGGGGATCAGCAGAAGCAAGCTAAAGGGGAGCGGTATGTGTGTGTGAAAGAACAAGAGATGTGGTCCAACACCATTCATGCACAGAGAAAGGAGAAAAGGTCCAGCTGACAGAACCGCACTAACGGCTCACACACCCACTTTCCGTTCAACCCACCCCTTCTTGGCTTTTTCCTCCGCACTTTTTCCCTTCTTCCCAGCATCCACAAAGCACAGACTTTGATAGTATAGCACAGACTTTGATAGTATACCAAAGGAGGGGAGAGGTGTTGTGTTCAAACTTACAGGACGGCGACCTTTCTCATCTGTCCTCAGCAAGAATGCGGGGGCGGCTGCACCGGTTACCCCCAGAGATTCGATTGTAAAGTCGATGGTCTCGAGGTTGTTGGCACGGGAAGCACTTGCAAATGCACCAGCAGCATGACCGATTGTTGTCAGTTCCTTTGGGGGCACGACTAGGTACACAATTGAGCAACAACGAAGAAAAAGTATTAATAAGGAATAATGCAGACTAAAAATCAGAAAGACAAGTTATATGAAAGAAAGTAAAATATAGTTCATGCTTCCTACCTTCGATGTCTGGCTGAGTGGGGGCTGCGGTGCTGCTCTCAGACTCATCATATTGATGACGATGGAGGTGTTTGGGCAAGAAGGTCGAGTACCAGTGCTCGCGTTGCTCCTCAGGCTGTTGTTGTTGTTGTTGTTGTTGTTGTTGCTTTTGTTGTTCCTGGTCCTGTCCTCCTCCTCCAGTTGCCTGGGGCGTCTGATCGGCAGGAACACCAGGCTGGACAAAGGTGCCCTGTTTCTGTGCCTGACGCACCCGGTCGACGACACTGGCCAGGCCCTGTGATTTTTGAGTTTGGCCAGGTTCCAAACTGGAGAGTGCGGTGTTGTTCAGAGTATTGATATCGCCTCCATTAGTAGCTGGATCCTGTTGTCTTTGCCGCTGCTGGGCATCCAGCTCTGCAAGGTTCTCGCTCTCGTTCTTGCGGTGCTCAGCCAGAATGAGGCCGGCGAGATTCAGAGGGCGAGTGGAATCGGTCGAGGGAGCTCTCGAGTGGTTACTCATGACTTTCCCTGATTTCTTTTTTTCGGCAGTAGAGGAGGGAAGGGGTATCGCGCAAGTGTGAAAATGGGTATAGAGAAGATGCGAGGATGAGAGGTGGTTGGTGATGGATGGAAGAAACTCAATGATGATTTGAAGAGGGAAAGAGAATAAGAGAAAAGAACAGCCCAATAAACGCTCAGCGAAGCGCCTTTAAAAATAAAGGGATGTTTTTGAGAGCAACAAGGATTGTCAAGGAAGGAAAGGTACTGTACCTCTTCAATGAGAACAGTGGGCTTGGGTCACACTCATACTCAGGGAGGCAGGGCAGGAACGGAGAAAGATTCCTCCACGACTCAGTCTGCCCACTTGTCCTTTTCCTTTCAACCCGCACTCGCCCATTCTTCACTTGTAAGCAACTTTAGAGCACTCATGTAAATAGCAGGTTTCTTCGTCACCCCACCTCATGCTCCGCCTTTTAACCCTCTCTCCCTCCGTCGTCATAGTCATGTCCGCCTAGTTCCTGGCAAAATGCTCAAATTGGGCGCATCCGACGTATTCTCATTCCTCACCACTCGACCCACACAGCCTACCCATGGTTCAATGAAATAAACCCAGGCAAAGGTGGTAACAACAGTGGTACTGGTACGGTTACGGAACAAAGTTTTTCTATTGTCCTTTCCTTTGCCTTTTTGTTGTTGTCAGATGGACAATTAGTCCTGAAAGTAGAAAGCAACAGCTACGCGCTCAACACTTTGTGCTTACCTTATTGCATAACCAGAGTTTTTGCCCTTTCTGTTATTTTTTATTATGTACACATTCCTTTTCGCTCCTTGCAATGGCCTGTTCATCCGACAACAAGCGCAATTTTGTCCAGCTGGGGGTTTTTGTTGGCGTAAAAAAAGCGAAAATCAAAAAACGTGGCCTTCACTCTCAATGCATGCTTTACCTTTGCAATAATGTTGACCCGGATGAACGAGGCGAGCAAGCATACACAAGAAAGCTCAAAAGCGCGTCTTTTCACATATTCAACCCAATTGCTTTGTTATCCAACAGCATATAAAACAAGTTTACTCTTTCCCTCCCTAATACTATAATATCTAGTATAGCAAAGACCTCTACTGACCGTTCTAGGGATAGCAAAACGCTCTTTGTTGTATGGCGATGGCGTCGATAAAAACGCATAATCAATTACTCGTCCTCTCGTAAAACCATGCATGCTCGTTCTCACCCTAGAGAAGAAACACTTATTCCTCCTTGGGGCGAAGTCCAAGAACACGCATGTGCTCCAAGTGTGATGAGAATGCCTGCCAGAAAGTATCCTATTGTTGTTCATAGTCAGTCATGAAGTGCACAGGGTGTTAGTTTTTCCTTGCTCACGACGATCAACTCCTTGTCAATCATAATCCATGCCTGTGTACGCAAGTGTTCTGGCTATTACCTTGACGAGGTAGGGAACCTTGTACTCAGTACAGGAGTCACGAATGATAGACAAGATCTCGGGGTAGTAGTGCTGCGAGACGTTGGGGAACAGATGGTGGACAGCCTGGTAGTTCAAGCTTCCCGTGATGCTGGTCCAAATGTACGAGTCGTGGGCGTAATCCTGAGTGGTCTCGACCTGCATGGCAGCCCAGTCCTTCTGGACAATTCCGTTCTCATCGGGCAAGGGCCACTCAACCTCCTCAACAACGTGGTTGGCCTGGAAGGTCAGTGCAAGCCAGTAGGAAGAGATCATGTCGGCGATGATGAAGAGGATCAAAACTTTCTTGACAGGGAGGACCTGAAGAGGCACGTAGATGCGGTACCAGAAGAAGAAGATCTTGCCTCCCCAGAACATGACGGTGTGCCAGAGCGAGATGGGGTTGACACGGATGGCATCGTTGGCGCCGACAAAGTAGAGGATGTTGATATCCTGAATACGGACCTTGAAGGACAAAAATCCGTAGAGGAAAGGCACAAACATTTGCTGGTTGATGTGATTCCAGAACCACTTTTGGCTGGGCTTGATGCGACGGATATCGTGCTCTGCGGTCGAAACATCAGGGTCAGCTCCTGCAATGTTGGTGTAAGGGTGGTGTCCAAGCATGTGCTGGTACATCCAGACCAAGTATGAAGCGCCGTTGAAAAAGTCGTGAGTCGCACCCAAAATCTTCCAAACAGTAGGGTTGTGAGTCGCTAGAAAGGAAAATAAAAAATAGGAAAGTGAAAAGATTCGTCACGATTATTGTTGATACGTCCAGAAAGGCATCGCCAAAGGAATAAACATTAGCTGCGCATGAATATATATGGACATACTGGAGAAGTGAGAGGCATCGTGGAGAGGGTTGAGTCCGACTTGGGCACAAGCGAAGCCCAAGATGACAGCAAAGATGACCTGGAGCCATGTGCGCTCAACCACAAAGGGAACAAAGAACTGTGCGTAGTAGGAGAGAAAAAGCGCCGCAAAGATAAGAAAGTAACGGCCCCAGATCTCGGGTCTATTCTATTCTCAGGAGAAGCAGAGAAAAATATTGGAGGAGCGCGTTGTATCAGTGCCATTGTCCCGTTCTTCCTTACTCTTTCATCCCTGTAACGCGTTCTATGAACCCTTTGCTTTACCTTGGAGTCCTTGCCAGAGTCCTTGAAGTAGCCCTCGACTCTGGACTTGACGACCTTATGGAAACCACTGGGCTCGGGGAAGATTGGCAACTCGTTGGAGACCAGCTTGCCAACGTGGTACTTCCTATTGCGCGTTTTTAAAGAACGTTGCTCCTGTTAGCCAAACGTGCATGTGATTCAGCACCACATATAGTGATTTTCCTTGTCCTTGCGGTCAAAGCAGAGCAACAAAAAGTCGCATGTTTTCGTTGTTATTGTAGTTGTTCCCGTACTTCATGATAGCATCCCCGGTGCCGAACGCGTGGTACATGTCAAACACCTGCAAAGTGAATGAATAAAAACAGTTACGGTATGGAGCAAGGAGTGTAGCGGGAGGAAGAGTTAGTTTGGTTTTTTGTGTGCATGAGAGCTGAAACCTTTTGATTGGGTCCCCTATGAGATGTTCCTTTGCGCAATTGCATGGATCGGGACCAGGCATGAAAAAAAAAAAACTACACGACGTAAAAAGATAAACAACAGACCCACAGCAAAGCCAACTCATAAATAATCACATCAGATACGTACTGGGGTGACGTCTCTGCCTGCCCCAAGCAAGAGCGTGTCCACACCACCAGGATGGCGGCTCAAGAACTTGGTAACATCATAGACCTAAATGGTAACAAAGTAGAAAGGAGGTATAAGTTAGGAGCCAGACCTGATTTAACGTAGTGTGTCTGCGGGTTGTAAGACTCCTCAAAAGAGGTCAAAGTGCGTCCAATTGCGCGGGCGGTCGGGTGTGGAAGTCGGCTACTTTGGTGTGTGCGAATTGGTGAAAACAAAAACCACAAAGTCCGATACCGCCGGTACTTTTTATTTGTACGGGGATGTAGGGGGTGGCAAGATACCGGTCGAAAAAGGTCCGGATCTGGCAAGAAGTGTGAGAAGGAATCTTGAGAAAGACCGAAGAGTCCAATTGACTACTTACGTTGCCGCGAACAGCGACATAGAGGTCTCCTGCAATATTGTGCTTTGCCAATTCCTCCCTAATAGACACAGTTCACGATATAATGAGCACAATGGTTACAAAAGGGAAAAACAGTGGTCAGTCAAAGATGCGCAATTTTTTTATTTTTTTTTTCAGGCACCAGAAAGAGTCGACTATCCTTGCGAATGATATTTCTTCTTTCTGCTTTTTTCGTTGCTGTTGATGAGAAAGGGAAGGAGTATTTTTCATACCAGGTGAATTCCTTTTCCGCGCCCATGGTGTTGTTTTTGTAGATGAGATGTGTTTAGGATGAGGAGCGTGGATGTTTGTTTGAACTGATTCGGAAGAGAGAGAGTTGAGGAGAAGAGAGGGACCGAAACCGTATCGTCGTTAAAAAAGATTGCTCAGCAGAGATAAACAGGCACGACAGGGCAAAGAAACTGCTTGACCTTACTCTCTTTCCCCAACGATAGCGCTGGCTGCACGTGATCTTATCGAACAAACGCCACTAACTCGGAAATTCAGGGCTGAGAGGGATGCAAAGAGCACCTGGGGGGGGGGGGGGATACCCGACCTGGCGCATAGCCGAGGTTGATCAGCTCTCAATTAGTAGATCTATTGTGACAGGAATCATGGAGTGATGAAACTGATAGGCATTGATTAAACACCATCAGCCAGAAGCGAAATGCAGGATACTTTTCAAGCTACTACAAACAGTCTGTTCAAAAGCTTATAAAAGAATACAGGTGATGGCGACAAGGAGAAGATGCAGATAAGACAAGAGCAAGCGGTTGAAGGTATCAAAAACATAGCCGGAGGCATATCATTGCAAGTTCGATAGTGGACGCGACCGAGAATCTTTTGTGAATAAAAAAAATATTTAAAAAAAGAAAAAAAAGTGACCGAGTGACGTCACAACTTTTTAGGCCGAAGGCGGCTTTAAAGACATTCCGGCCGGAAATTAGTTTCCTACCTTACAACACCCCTCACTCCACTCTACATTTATACACAATGGCCTCCGGTTTCGGTTACAGCGGCGGTAAGGGCGACCAAATTGCTGCCGCATGGCTCCATCGGATCGGATGCTATAAGCTATCGAAAGGAAACGAAAACTGATGATCACAATGAAACCCTGACTGATCTGTTTACTCACCCGCGCTGTCTATTCTCTTTCTCTTTATTCATCACGCTTGGAAACTACGGCTATTCGACGACTTGCTTGGACTCCGGATCTCACCACCCCTATGAACCTATGCAACGCCTCTTTTCACACCTCACCACTCTGATCTGACACGGCATGACTCACGGACGACCTTTGACAAACCACCATAACCTCGATTGACATCTCACACACTTCGGAACAACTTTTACGTTCGGATTTTTTCATTACTGATCTTCCGGCACACCATCAACCACAGGACGCAGCAGATGCCACCCTTTCTGGCAAGAGTTCCACAAGTGCTATGCTCTTGCTGACAAGCCCGAGGAGTGCGTTCTCCAGCGCGACGACTACCTCGAGTGCCTTCACCACAGCAAGGAGGTACGATATCAGTTTCTCTAGAAGGATCAGTTTCTCTAGAAGGATCAGTTTCTCTAGAAGGATCAGTTGCCCAATACCCCTGGATCATTTCTATATTAACTCCGGACGTGTGACACCGTCTTCATTGATCACTACGTGTACTACGGCTGAACGGACGCTAACAATTGACCCATCCGACATTTGGACGTGTAGATCCTCCGCACAAAGACCATTCAGGATGAGGCACACAAGCAGAAGGAGAAGCGCGCCAAGGAGGCCGCTGCCTCCAAGAAGAAGGCCGACTCTGCCGCCGCCAGCAACGTGCCAAGGCTGAACGTTGTCGAGGATAAGGCAAAGGCTACAGCATAAAGAGAGGCTCCCCACCCAATGTTTACCTTTGCATATCATCAACAACCCCATACAACAACCAGGAATAGAAATCGGGATCGGACGACGACACGATGAAGCAAGCCAACAATATTCAATCAGGAGCACATACACCGAGCGATGGAGAAAAAGCAACACTATACACATTTTTTTTTCGACCGGCGGTCTGGAGAACGATCCTTATTTGAAAGGAACATACCCGGACCGAACGAAAATAAAATAACAAAAAATGATATACACCCCATTTAAAAGGATGCTGGTTGATGGGAACTGATGCCAGGTGTGTGGTGGTACTGTTGGTCAAAGAATGTAAGCGGGTGTCTATATAGGAACGTATGCCCCGTCCCTTAAAGAACTGCATACCATGCTAATGACACATGAGGTCATATTTGTAACAGTCTAAGTCCAGGAACAACAAACATGCACAGTCGAAATTCCAGAATACCCTGGTTCCGCAAAAAAAAAACGACATCCACTAGCGCTGCTGACAGAGAGAATACACAAGCAGCACGAACAACGGTTGGCCTGTTGATGTGACCGATACTTCTTGCAAATGTTATCTACCCTCACCTCCTTTTTTCAAAGTGAATTCGTATAGACATGCATACTTTGCCATTGCCCAATGGCTACAACCGCATTCGATTGGCCACGATCCATAAAAATTCCTATGCACTTTGGCGCAAAAAAGAAATAAACGGCCATTAATGGATGATCAATGCTATCCTCACGGCACGCACTCTTTGTTGTTCTTCCCGAGGGATTGGAGCGAAAAGTATATGTTTCCTTTCCATTCTATGGCATTCGCCTTTGGGGCACGTCCAAAAGTTTGATCCGATAACTTGCATTTTGCACGAGGTCAGGTTCCATGAACATGGCAAGGGTGCTATGATCTAATAAAGAAGGGAAAGAAAAGAGAAAAAAAACGAGGGTTCCATCGATGGAGCAAATATGGAGCATGATTTTTCTTCTACCAAAAGAAGGGTTACCGTCATGTTTGTTGTCATGTTGTTTTTATGCGTTCATCATGGCGGTGTCTAGGTGTGTGCGTGTGATGGGCGATTCCAGTTTGTCAATGAAAATTTTCTTCTCCTCAGCTGTCTGCGATCTTTGCCTTCTCAACCAGTCCAGCGTTGCTGTTGTTTGTTGTGTTATCGCCAACCGCACTAATGACATCGCAACCACTCACTTTCTTTCTTTCTTCCTTCTTCCTTCATTCTTCGTCCTCTCTTACAGACTCCCATTCTCTCTCCACTCCCTCCTCTCTTTGCGCAACCCTCTTCGTTTTCTTCCCCACCCCATTATCAGGATTAACGCTCTAACGAACCAGCCCTAGCAAAACGTTCCAACCGTTTTCAAGATCTTCATTCTCCCACGCCCACGCGTTCTCTCTTTCTCTCTTCCTTTCTCTCTCTCCTCTTTTCTGGTATCTTTCTTGTCGGCACCGATCGGATATCTTTTCAACGTCATCTTTGAACACCATTTGCACGGGCCTCACACCTTCTTATTTTTCCGACCTGCATCTACACCTTTAACTTTCTACCCCACATATCCCTCCAACCCCTTATTCAACCTTCACCTACCCTTCCCCGCCACCCTTCCCTACCACTCTTCATCCCACATCCCCTCTCCATACACCCAGCTCTATCTTTCTCTCCCAACTGAGGACCACCGCACCTACACACCCTCCCCGGGCACGAAAAAAAAAGAGCAGGAGAATGGGAAACGTCTACTCAATCACCCTCTGCGACCGCGACCTCCACCACGTCCCCGACGATATCTACAAGCACCACAAACATGTCGCCAAACTGCTGCTTCGTCGCAACAATATCCAGGAGATCCCACCAGAGATCAAAGTCTTGACCAATTTGGTTGAGCTCAGTCTTCGGGATAACCTCTTGACCACAGTTCCCATCGAGGTAGGGCACCTCTTCGTTACTTTTGGTACTTTCGGAGGAGCAAGTGAATAATGAAGATCTGCATTATCGAAACACGGATATTATTAGCCGTTGTGTTTGCGCGTGTGATGGCGCAACCTTTTGTTTGGTGTATGCACACGGGTTTGAAACACGCATTTTTTTTTCGATTACTGCTATAAATGGGGCAAGCAAGGGTAATGCGCCCTCTCCCAGAGAATCGTAACGGAAGAAAAAAGAAAAAAGAGAAGACTTGTCTAATGAGCAACAATAGAAAAAAAAACGACGATGTGACGAAGAGAGATCCAGTCGAGAATGAAATTAACCAGCCTGGAGAGAACAAGAAAAAGAAATATTTCCAATAACTGACATTGACACACATTCCACCTTGGCCCTGCCTATCCCTCCGTTCGCTCGCTTGTTACATTAGATCACAAACTTGCGGTTGCTTCAGAAATTGTCGCTAGCAAGCAACCGGCTGCAGGAACCGCCAGAGTCCATAGCGGCGTTCTCGCAACTCACCTGGCTGTCCCTTGCCAGTAACACGTACGAATAACAGATGGGAGACAGACCACATTTCTACAACCAAAGAGAAGGGGATATCACTAGCAGTAGATGGATGAACATTATCATTACCATCCTTTCTCTTCTTGTTGTTGCTGTCATGGTCGAAATTTCGAGAGACAAAGAAAAAAGAGGGCAAGCCGGCTGACCTTTTCTTCTGTTGCATCATTGGAATCCCTACGCTAGTTTGACGACGCTACCAGACTCGTTTGCGCAACTTCAAAAGCTTACATCCTTGGACCTACAGCGGAATCGATTCGTCACCATCCCAGACTGCGTCTTTGCAATGAGGTCGCTCACCATCCTGCTACTCCAAAAAAACCGCATCACTACCATATCTCCCAAGATCGGCTACTGCACCCAGCTAGTTTCGCTAAACCTATCTTATAACCGGATTCAGCACCTGCCCGTCGAGATGAAGGAGTGTCGGAACCTACAGCATCTTTTACTCAGCGTCAACTCTATTCAGGCATTACCTTCGGTGCTCTGTGAATCCTGGATTAACCTCCTCAACCTGGACCTGCACACCAACGACCTCAAAGCACTACCCGCTCAGCTCGGCGGTCTTAAGACTCTTAGACGACTTAATGTAGCTATTAACAAGATTGAGGAGATCCCGCCATCGATCGGACAGCTGCTGCTCCTGGAATGGCTTAATCTGAACGACAACAAGCTGGTCACCCTCCCCTCGACGATGGATCAGATGCAGAAACTGGTCAAGATGGGCATTGTACAGAACAAGTTACAGACACTCCCGGAGGCGTTGGCACGGTTAACCCTCCTTTACAAACTGGATTGCAGGAGGAACGAGATTGAATACCTTCCGAGCGCGTTCAAGGACATGCAAGGGATCCACAGTTTACTTCTCGAAGAGAATCCTTTGAGTTATCGGTACGGTGTCTCCAACTACTCTCGCCAGCCCCCGACTTTACTTGAGCTCGCTGCAAGGGCCGTCTTAGACAGATACAACCCACAGGACACCGATTTCTCGGCCACATCCGGGCACAGTGCAACGTCTTCTCCAGGATCCTCATCTTCGCCTTCACCTTCAATCACCTCTAATGGCGCAACGGCCGATCATGCGGGCATTGGGATCTCGAACCTGATTCCAACGATGATGGATCTGGGCCTGACTAAGGCATCAACTCTTCCTCCTCCAGCTGGATCGCATGCTCCTTCAACCCCACAAAAGAGTCGCTACAACTTTTTCAGTCGTGCATGCGCCACTGTCCACCCACTCCATTCATCAAAACTCTCACGTGCCACAACTGTCGCCAGTCATCATTCCGGCGACTCTTCTTCCTCCTCTTCTTCCTCGACATCACCTTCCTCCACATCCTTAGTATCCTCTCTCACCGGTTCGTCATTGACCCCAGGATCTCTCCCAGTCGAAAACAACAGTACTAACAGCAACGGACGTCTAAGGAGGCTCAAGTCTTCGCCTCGCGGTCTCAAACCTCCCTCTATTTTCAGCAGGTCTCGCACTCACAACGAGAAAGCCCGCATCCATGGCCTGTCCCGGTCAAATTCAGTTGCTGGTTCATCAGTGGCATCAACAGTGGCGCGAGTAAGAACTCTCACCAAGATCGAGCGACTCCTTGACCCAGAAGTATCGCTCCTCCCTTTGCCATTAATTGACCTCCTCTCGCTGCCAACAACCTCATGCGATTACTGCGGTCGACGCATGTGTACCTCTGGATGGGTCGACTTTTTGGAGCCCGCCAAACTAGGAAACTCTCGTATGATCATCCCGGTCCGCCATCGAATGTGTTCCCTGCAGTGCGTCCGTCATCAACACCGAGATAGCTTTGGAGGCGAGCTGACAGATCTGTTTGAATCGACGGATTTCCATGTTGGACCCAATGGCGAGATGATTGGGTCGAGGCCAATTGTGCCGGGCGAGTTGGACGAGTACATGATTGAGGCTGTTCAGGAGGCTGCTGAGGCTGCAGGAATTTCGATCACGCACTTGTTGGAGCAGCACCAGGTACAGCAGCAGGAACTGGCGCAAGCACAGCAGCAAAATGGGGGACAGGTTGTGGTTTCGGAAGAAGCACAGGGCACGCAGGATCAACCCATTGAAGGCATGCTACCACCCATGCCCGGAGCCATCCCCGGTGTGCATGGCAGTATCTCGATCCAAGCCCTGAACCAGATGAGTCTTGACGATGGCAGCCAACATCAACAGGCACCAGCCGGATCAAGAGCGTCATCCATGCTCCGTCAAACAACAGCGCGCCTCCGTCGTTCGCTCTCTCAATCTACAACACCGATCGAGATCCAAGTAGATGCACAGGGCCAGCTCCGACGTGTCGTCTACCGTCAACAGAGGAGTACAAGCCATCGTCGTCGACTGTTGGAGACATTCCGGTCATTGAGTCAGGTTGGACAAGCTAATGGTCTTGGAGGCACTGGGGGTGGTGGTGGGCTTGGAGGACTTGGTGTTTTGGCAGCTGCTGGACTGGGCAACCATACCGCTAATAATGCCTTTGGAACTGCAGCTGCCAATGGTGGTGGTGGTAACAATGTAGGAGGTGGTGGCGATGCTGGTGGAGCTACACGGGGAGGTAACTCTAACCGTGCAGCAGGAGAAGTTATGAACGTTACGACCTTTGCCGTAGAACTAGAGCGATTTTGAACCAACAAAAAAAAAGTACCATTGCAAGTATACGACGAACGAGAAAAGTTGCCACCAATTTTTTTGTGAGGATGTGACTGGCGAAATGAAACCTCAAAACAACATAAAAGTGTTCTAAGCAGGCGCGCCACCACCTTTTTTTTAATTGAGCATCACACTTCCCAGAAGAACGACATGGCAGAGGAACAGCAACACATCACCAACAGTGGCAAGGGGAGCTCAGAAGCGAACAACAACGAGAGCAAAGGCAACAAGAAGTACACCTCACCATTCTCACAATTCAACATCTCATCCACCGATGTCCTCGACACAATCGAAAAGGCCCGCTGCCCAGACTGTAACAGGAACGTCCGTTACTTCTGCAACCGCTGCCTCAAACTCGTCAATTGCCCCGAGGGTGCAGTTCCCCAATTAAAGCTGCCCATCAAATTGGATGTGATCAAGCATGAGCAGGAACGGGACGGCAAATCGACGGCACTTCATGCTAAAATCTTGGCCTCTGATGATGTCGAGGTCTATAGTTGGAAGGATATGCCCAAATATGAGAATGTCGATCGCCTCTTGTTGCTATTCCCAAGTCCAGTAAGTGAACGTGAACTTGGAAAGTCTAGATATACGCTTACTTGGGATGCTCGAACCAGAATAACGGGAAGAAGTGGCCACTATTGCTAATTATTTACATGTATATGATCGATTGCAACTTGTTGTAGGGAGCAAAGCAACTCTCGGAGATTGATCCGGAGTCGTTTGACAAGCTGGTGGTGATTGACGGGACATGGGAGCAAGCCAACAAGATGTCCAAGAGCGACAGCCCACTCCTCCGCATGAAGCGAGGTACAGTACAACTTAATTTCGCACGCACACACGTCGACTCTTCTTCGTCTACAGTGGCTCATTGTACTACCAATGACTTTCACTTCTTTTTCTTCTTCTCCCACAACTCTAACTCACTTTTTTTTTAAAAAATGTTTGACCAATGTAGTGACCATCGCGCCGCACGAGACCTTGTTCTGGAGACATCAAAGGAAGGCGAGTGACCACTTGGCGACGATTGAGGCGATTTATTTCTTTTTGAGAGAGTACCATGAGACATATCTCACTGCCGTATCATCAGCGCCTTCTTTAACACCAACAACAACAACAGGAGCAGCAGCAGGAGCAGTAGCAGGAGCAGCGCTCTCTGAATCAGGGGAAGAGCCATCCGACGATTCCACTAGCAACCACAACACGACAGCCCACGCAGAGACAACACCATCATCATCAACAACAATGACAAGTGCAACGGCCTCTTCGACTTTAAAACAACAACCGACTGAATCATCATCACGTCCAAGTACAGCAACAAAAGTGATCACGCCGCACAAAGAATGGATCGACTCTCATCAACTGGGACCATACACCAACCAATTCGACGACATGTTGTGGTTTTACAAGTACTTTTATGAGCTCATCCAAAAGACATATCGGGAACGGACTGATGGGCGCGAGTTTACGCTCAAGCATACCAAAGGGTATATCCAATACGACCCTGTGGATGAGCGAAAGCAGTAGTGAACGTTAGCGTCATCTACTTCAAATGCAGACATCCATACACCTTTTTAAGATGCAAAAGAGGCTAATACATTAAATTTGGAACATTGCCATGCATTACATTGCATAGCTTGGCTTGGCTTTGTTTGTGTTTGTGTGTGTGTGTGTGTGTGTGTGTGTGTGTGTGTGTTTTATGGGGGAGTCCATGTTCGGGGTAGCAAAGAGAAAAGAAAGTCAGTCAGGGTCCGGGACTTATGGGGTTAGGGCGTTCCGAATTGAAATGGTTCGCAAACAGAACGCTAATGCTAATTTATGGAAAAGGGGCGGGGGACATGAAAAAAAGAAGTTCGGGAAAGAAGGAAAAGACGATAGACGACAATTACAGAAACAGGGACGATGGGAGGAATAATAAATGAGGAGATCGCAAACGGCGAAGGATCAGGGTCAAGAACTGGGAAAAAAGGGAGGAAAGACAGGGTGCTAAGGATGACTCGAAACCTCTCTTCAGCCCTCTCCATCCATCTCTATCCTTTCGGCCTTGTGACTCCGGGCTAAAAAAGAATTTTTGTGTCTGCGCCAGACATAATAATAAAGACTCCTTGCCGCCAATATTTTTACCTTCTCACTTCTTTCTTTTCAACTCTTCTTATTATTACTCTTCCTCTTCCTCACACTTCGCTCACCCTTTCTTTACACTTCACTCTCCTCCTCTAACACAGATACCCCTTCTCCCACCCTCTTGGCGATGGTCTCAGACTCCAGTCAACACCTCTCTGTCAGACTGGGTCTGATGGGCCTCAAAACCACTGACAATGACGAAACATGCAGCATCGCCAGCGACATCAGCAACGCCGACACCGACAGAATCGTCCGCTCAACATTTCCCTCCCCCTCGCCACCAAACTCGCCCTCCCCCACCACCTTCTCTGACGTAGATAATAACAACGACAACAACACCAGTAGCAACAGCAGGGGCAACAGTTACAGCAATCATATAGAAAACAATAATACCAACAACGAAGACGAGACAGTAACAGAGGAGGAAGTGTACTCACTCCTGACTCACCCGGCAATCGTCTTTGCATCGGAGCGCCTTTCCGACAGTGACTATGTGTCTCGCTTCCACACGGTCAAGGTCTTTGACTTTGACCAGACCTTGTTCCAATCGCCCCTGCCCAATCCTGCGCTTTGGGATCCATCTTTCATTGGGATTTTGACCTCTTGGGCGTATTGTGGAGCCGGTTGGTGGCACAATCCCGGAACTCTCGACATGGGTTCGGAGATCGAGGCCTCGCTCTGGAGCGGCTGGTGGAACGAAGCCATCGTAAGTTATTTTGCTATTCCTTTGTTATACCTACGCCTCCAGCCTACAGGGATAACCTTTGCTTTTGTTATGAAGTTGGGCGTGGTGTTGTTGTTTTCATGACGGCGACTAATACAAGAACAAGAGAAAAAATACGACAGCGACAAACCGGATCTTAATGGGTGCGATCGGGATGGTATCAGGAGAAGAAGTGGAATACCTCTTGGACATGCTGTCTGTGCAGCATCTTTCCGACAGGTCGATAAAAAGGGAAAGAAGCGGCGTTCATGAATAAGACATAGTTAACATGAGACCTGAACGACCATAGCAAAACAACGATAACAGCAAACCAGTGATAATACTAACTTTTGTTGCTATATTTTTTTTTCTCATCCACCGCCCGCCCGACCCTTTTCGCCACAACTTGTTTTGCAACCTCAATTTTTTGTCAATGTTCATTAGGTTGAGAAGGTTAGGGAGTCTTCGGAGGACCCAGGATGCCTGACTATTTTGCTCACAGGGAGGAACGGACCTACTTTTGGACAAAAGTTGGTTAGCATGATTCAAAGCAAAGGACTCGACTTTGACCTCATTGTCACCAAACCTACAACAGTCGCCCTCCTCGACCCCTCGCGTTCATCTGTTTCCAGAAAAGTCGACAAGAAGGCTCCAGCCAGCAGCAAACCGGTGGAAAAGTATCTCAAGGTCCACACTTTCAACACCAAGCACGATTTCCTCTACAACGTCCTCTACGAATACCCAGTCATCCGAACCATGCACCTCTGGGACGACCGCCCCTGCCAGATTGCAAAGTTCCGTCAGGCAGGACAGGAATGGCTCGACAAAAAAATGCTGGACCATTTCGAAATCACCGTTGTCCAGGAGCCGATGGTCTATTTGGACCCACAACGAGAGATTGATCTGGTGTTGGCAATGGTGGAGGCCAACAACCGTCAGGTCGACATTGAAGAGCAAGGAGGACCGTTCTTGGTGCCAGGAGTGGGTGCGGTGCCAAGGACTAGACCAGAATTGAGGGACCGCAAGATTTGGGACCCCTACGAGACGTACGTCCCCCAGAAGCGACACCGGATTGAGGTGACCCGGATGGCGCGATACACGGGGGTCATGTTTTCCGAGGCCGTACAGAGAATCATGCGGGATAAATTAGGTGGCTCACATCCACAGGACCGACAGTATCAACAGCAACAGCATTGCCACGACCATCATTACCACGGCAACGACGTGCATGACACTAACCCATGGGTGGATCGACCATTGGTGCTGAGAGATCAAGATTTGGGCAAGTGGGTCGTACCCGATGACCTGCACGTTACATTGTGTCTCGGAACAGGCACACCAGAGTTCTTGGAGTCGATCGGTGGCCTCGGAGCAACTGTTTTGGTCGAAGCGGAAAGCGTTGGTGAGCTCGAGAGTCGGATATGGGCTCTCAAGGTCAAGGAAATGAAAATGGGCGTATTGCCTGATGGTGGTGAAGGTGGTGGAGATGGTGAACAAGAAGGACAGGATGACGATACTCGGGAGGTCAGGATCGTAGCACCCAATGGATACCTTTATTCCAGTCTGGATGCCCTTCGAGCGGCGTATATTTCCAGGCCGTCAACCGTCACCTCGCTCTCGTCCTCGTCCTCGCCCATGTCAACTCCAACCACAAGGACGCCGTCTATTCAGGAGCAGGAAGCATCACAGTCGTCGAGTCATGGCGTTGAAGATATTCCCTTGGACCTGGTCGACCTCGACCGTCTGGGACATGTTGTGCTGAAGAATGGCGAATCTACACCACACATCACAATGGCCTATGATCGACTCAACGGAACACGGGCGATGGATTCTGGCAAGATTACGCAATGGGAGCCCCTTACCGATGCAGACGGACAACCATACCCTTACCGCCTGGTCTTTGTCGGAACGGTGGCTGAAAAGAAGCTTTTGGGGATGAAAGCCCGCAAGGCGGCGGTAGTGACCAAGGCCGAGGTCAGTCTAGGCAACCTTATCAAGAGCTTGACGGGCGATAAGACGATCACGGGCAAGGAGTTGGGGGAGTTGGTACAGGCGGTCAAGGAGGAGATGGAGAAACTGTCTGTCGAGAACCGGTTGGCGAACGAGGAGCGGATCATGACGATCGTGCATGATGTTTGTGACCGATATGAGACCAAGAAGTTGCTGCCCCATCATAATATCGCCTCTGCTTCCACCATGTCCATGCCAACTATCGCTATCCAAGAATGAGGAGGTCCGAATTCCCTCTCGGTTTTTGTCTACCCACCTCCCGTTGTACCATTAGAATAAATGACCTGTATACAATTGAATCGTCATTGTCTCCTGCTTATGTCCACTGCTGCCCCGATTAAGGGATCATTACTTTTTGATTGTTCAGTACGAATTGGAAGTAGCTATTGACGTTCTTAATGTCGTTTTGGTTTCGGCCAATGCAAGCATGTCTGAGAGGAACATTGGACGTTGTTGATGGTGTCAGGTAATGTTAATTTTTTTTTGCTGTTTTATTAATAGAAATGCAAAATGCTAGAAATGCAAAAAGAGGAGTGGGTGCGCGTGGTGTGAATGGCGTGTGTGTGTAGAGTGTAAGTGTAAGTGTCTATTAAAATGAGTGTGTATGCTTAAGCAATAGCCAAGATGTTCTTGTTGATACGGAAGCGAATGACCAACACAAAGAAGGCCGCAATAACAGGCGACATACCCGCAAAGATAATCGCACCAATGTACTTCCCACCCTGGGCATGCATAATCGCCGTCGCAATGGGGGCCCCCAAAAGGTTACCGACCACGTTACCGAAATACAAGATCCCCAATGCCGCCGAGAGGCGTTCAATACCAACCACCTGAGCAACAACAACAGGAAAGATTGAGATGAATCCACCACCAAAGAGTCCATAGACGACCATGAAACCCGTAAGGATCTCGATGTTGGATGCGACGGACCAGATGGCGAGACAGGATGCGCCGGCGAGGAAGCAGCAGGTGAAGAGAGTGTTTGTTCTGCCGAGCTTGTCGGCGGCGACGCCGAGGATGATGCGGGAAGCGGCATTGATGCCGGAAAAGATTGAGATGAGGTTGGCGGATGTTGCGGGGGTTTGACCGAGTTCGACGTTGGAGTATGTTGGGATCAAGAAGACTGGGACCATGTAACCTATTTTTGAGGGATTAGGAAGGAGAGAGGAGGAGGAAAGATGGTCAATTAACTGGAATAACCAAGAGTCAAGGGTTGGATCTACAGACTTGCAAAAATAGGTGGGAGGGACTTACCAAAGGTAACGATAAAGGCGGTGGCCATGAGGTACATGAATCCTGGAACACGCATGATCGACATATCAAAGATAGGGCCCTTCTTAGCAACCTGGACTCGAGGACGGATAAACGCAAACACGGCCGACATGCACCCCAAGACCGCAAAACCAATAATCCTCTGGCACCAACGAATGCCAACCTGGGCAATCAAGTATCTCGTCAAGGGCGCCAACGAAAGGCCACCAACACCCGAGCCAGCAACCGCAATACCGTTGGCCAGCCCACGACGCTTCTCAAAGTACTGGGCCGTGACAGAGATGGAGGAGAAGAAGACCAGACCACCGCCGACTCCAAAGAGGAAGCCCTGGGTGAGATAGAGGTGCCAGAGTTGGGTGAAGAAACTGGCAAGGATCAAGCCGAGAGAACAGAGGAGGATACCGATGGCGACGACGGCCTTGAGGCCCAAGAGACGAGTCAAGGGTGCGACAAATGGGCCGGGGATAAACATGGCCGCAGTTCCAATACTGCCAACCCACGAGATATCTGTTGGCAACGCACCTGGAAACGTACCGTCTTGGAGGAAGTAGGCTTGGTAGACACCGAAGGTGATATTGGGTGCGAATGCCCAAAAGTTGACAACGAACGAAGCAAGGACGACCAACCAGCCGAAGCCACCCTCTGGGTAGTTGACTATCCGACCGTCGATGATCGATGCATTATCCGAGTTGTCGAGCACACCATCCTCCAAGTTCTCCTCCGTTTTGTGGGTAATAGCCGAACTCTCGATCTTGGACCCTCTACCACCGTTCTTGACAGACTTGCCGTCGTGCTCTTCATACTCATCCTCACCAACGTGAGTGACGTTGCTGCGGGTAGCATTGCTAAGCGTATCGTCAAGCTCCTGCTTCTCGGAAATCACCGAGGGCGCTCTTGTGGATCGAGGACGTGCAGGGTGATGAGGGTGATGATGAGGGGTTTCAAGGTCTGCAGGGAGGGTGAGGCTGGTAGAGGAAGGGTTCTCGAAAGTCATGGCTAGCGTCGAGACTGGAATGTATGCCGAGAGCCGGCTATTATCCTCGGTAACGATCGCCTCTCCCGAGGGCGTTGTTGTTGGTGAACTCATGTTTGGATATTACTTCTGGTTTGTTAGATTTTGGGATACAGGAAGGGAAAAGGGGGTGGGTGTGGAAGGAAGCGCTTTTTCCGGGAGGAGAGGGATGATCGATGGAGTGTTTAAGAGGGTGTGTGTGAGAGTGTGTGAATGAAATGAAATGCAAAGGGATACTGCACAGAATTAAAATGGTATGAGAAATGAAGGACTGCAAGTAAGGTATAAAAGATACAACACAAAAGGCAAGGGGAATGCAAAGAAGTGAAGGGGAGGTGAAGAAGGAGTGCTGTTGAGAATAAAGATGAAGATGAAGATACGAAAGAAGAAAAAGAAATGAAAAAAGAAGAGGAAGAAAGGATGAAAACCTCTCACTTTATAAGTATTTCCTTGAGAAATATTGCCGTTGTTGTTCTTTGAACTGAGCCAGATAAGGGGGAAATGAGAAGGGGGATTCTGGTGTGGGTTAACAAAAGAGAAAAGTGGAGTGATCGCTGTGTTGGAAAAATAAACATTAGTGAGCTGAACAACGACACGAGTGAGAGCGGGATAAAAAGGATAATAGGGATAAAGGAATAAGAGTGCCACGCAAACGATCGAAGCGAACAATTTGACGCAGAGGAGAGACCGACCCACAGGGCTGACGAGTGTACAAAGAAAAAGTGCACCAAAGAGAAGGTTGGGAATCAGACATCATGTCCTAAAATGAGGGCGTTCGTCGTTTCTTCCTTGACTGAGGTAAAATAAAGCTCACTGGCTGGCTGGCATTAGACCAACTATCAAGTCAAGTCAACCTTAATGGGTTTAATGGGTTTATTGCTTCTTCTGCTTCAGGGTATGAGCACACACACAACCGCACACATCATCTTTTTTCTTACCCTCGGTTCAAGAAGGAAAGGTAATTTGTCATCCTTGTCAACACAAACGGCCATTTTATCTCAGTTTCTTCTCTGTCTTCGTTGTCCTTGAATGAAAAAGAAGATCAGCCAAATTGGTCATAGGTGGCTGTGGTTCTGCTCTTACAGTATTCTAGAAAACAACATGCTACTTTTCTGAACGCCTGCTCTTGGTGTGGTTGGGCAATAGGATAATGCACATAGGGGTAGATTATGTACATATAAGTGCTGTTACTTATATTGTATTACATGCAAGGTGCATCAAACCACTCAATGGAGGAGATTTTTTAGGAGCCACAAAGACGTTTTGATACTTTGAGTGAGTTAGAGTAGCGTGGGCGTTCGGATAAAAGAGCGCGGAAGAGTTTTAGCCGTGACGACAATGGGGAAGAAGAAACAGGAGGAGAGTGGAAGACGAGGGATAGAAGAAAAAAAGCGATGAGATTTGAACAATTGATTCACAAAGGTGGTCCACTGGCTGCAGACAGGGGAAGAAGAGCACAGAGGTGGACGAAGAGTTTGATTTTACGCCCACACAGAGCTGAGATGCGAAGTCAGTGAGTGGTCGACTGAGATGCGAAGTCAGTGAGTCGAGCGGGCAAGAAGAAAAAATAATTAAGAAAAGGAATCCTCGGGTTTGATGTGTGAACCTTATCCGATACAAGCCTAAACATAAACAACAACAGCGACCAACGCAACTCCATTCGCTCCTCGCTTTGTTTTTTTCAGACGAGAGAAAGAGGGCGCTTTTTCCTCAACATAATCATCAGCAGGGTACACCAGTGTCCAAGGTGAGCAAAAGGAGGGGGGAGGGGGGAGGGGGGAGGGGTAAAGGAATACCCGGGAAAGGAAAGACAGTCTCATATGTTTTCTTGGATACGTTATTTAGCCATCGTATTCTGTATACATTTTTGTTGCCTGGGCCTTGATTCAATCAACACACACACACAACACAGGCCATGTACGCTGACGACAATGACAAAAAAACTAACAACGCAAAGCGATGCTTCTTCACACTCCTTTTGAGGGATAGGGTTTTCTATCCACCTTTTTTGCTTTGAAACCAAACCAGTCCTGCCTCATCCTTTCTTCCTTCCTTCTGTTTTCTCTTCCCGCCAGCTCTCAACCCACCATCGATCCACTTCCCGTACATCTGTCCATCTGGCCATCTCTCCACTTTGAAACTTCTTAATTGATTTAGGAATATCACCCATGTACAGGCTTTTCAATGTCCTGGCAGAATAATAGCCCATTAAAAAAATAGGTTGCATGAAAGGGATTACTGGAGAGGAGTCGACGGAGGTCTGCCTGCTTGTGAGCAGATCGCTCTGTGGACATTGGACAAAGAAGGGATAAATCCGTGGCCGGTCACCCAGCGCAGCAGCCACCCCAAGAGTCATTTTTGATTGATACCCTCTTCTGTCCTTGTTTGATGTTCTTGTTGCAGATCGTCCTTTGAACTTGGGCTGCATAGGGGAGCTTTGTAGAGACGGGTGGCCCATAAAAGTACACCTTCAGCGCGGTTCCTTGCGGCCCGGTTTGCGTAGTGGATAATAGATGGCAAGGAGGACTTCGAGCTAACCCGCGAGCCATTTAAAAAATAGAGAATGTGTTTTGGCTATACTCTGATGCATGCGCAAAAAACTGCGATGAAGAACGCGAAACGCGTCGTCATGGAGGATGGTAGGGAGTTATATCTGGCGAACCTGTTTTGTACAAGCGCATAGTCTTCGTTATCGTACGTAGCTGGCAGGGGACATCGGATGGATTCATATTTGGAGTGTCCTCAGCCCACGATAGCTAGGCAAGATAGTTTGGCGGCGTCTTTTTTTTTAGAAAAATGCTCACGCCGTTGTTGTACGTCTTAGTCGTCTTGTTTTTCACTGGTTCACAATAGTCACCAACCCCCCTTTCTATACTTCATTCTTTCGTTTTCGGGAGATCCATCCATCGATGGAACGATCAAGAGGAAGGACGCGTCAAAGCAACTACGCACAACGCCGTAACAGCATCAACACCAACAGGCAAAGTAGGGGGGATTCTCAAGTCTTCTGTAAACAGGACTGTGATGCCTATATTCCTATTGGCGTGCCTGAGGATCAGTGGCCGCATCCAAAACAAGAAGACATTCAAAAAACTTTGTCAGAGACAAGCACTGCATGATGTGGGTGATCTAGTCTCACATTTCATATTTTTCGATCACTCATGTCTGGGGGAAGGAGGAAAGCTGGAAAGCTCAATGTTCACGACATGGCAACAAGAAGAGCTCAACGCTTTATCTATCATTTCGACCCTTTAATCGGCAATCAACAGGAAACATGCATGAGCCAGGCTGAAAGACTTGTCGGAATGTGACATGAGAGGGCACTGCAATTGGATTAAGAATGTGTTGCTGAAAAATCGAGAGGAGCGACCACAGATGAGAGAAAGGACACGCCGCATTTTTCAGTGCTCACTTCTAATTGATATATGTTGTTGGACACTCAACCTCTCTTCTCTTGATTTTAAGATGTGCTCCTGAGCCTTCTTTCTACTTCACACCTCGGTAACCTAGCTGACGGGAATGCCAAGCTAACAAACAAAAAACAAACGGTCGCAATGTCGCCGTTACCTCTGTGGGGTTTTTTTGTCGCCCCTCTCCTTTCTCTCTTCTCTTCTCTCTTCTTCTTAGCAAACAACCGCTCCCTCTCTTCAATTTCCTTTCTCCCTTCCTCTCTGTAGCACGGCCTTCCTTCGCCATGGCAGGCAGCAGGACGGCACACCACTTAAGGAATCACTTCTCCTCCATTCGTCTGCATTCGACTTTGCTGATCAGCACATTCCTCTTCCTCATCAACACCCTTTCCTCGGTCTATGCCCAGCCATACCAGCCCGCTCCAATGTGGGGCATGTCTTCCGTCTTTGTCGACGGCCGCGCGTTATATGTTCACGGCGGTCGAATCCTTCAACAGAGCTCCTCTCCAGCCATGATCTCGACAAGCATCACCTTCTCCCTTGACCTCTCCACAGCCTGGGAGGCCAGTCAGCCCAACTTCACCTTAATGACGACCGAGGGCCCCACGGACTACCTCTTTACCTCGACGCTGATTTTGAACGACAATGCCTGGATCATGATCAGTAACGCGACAGGGAGTCTTCTCCGCCTCGACAGAACTGTAGATATCTGGTCCGAGGTGACGTTTGGCGCCAACATTGTCAGCAAGGACAAGGGACTCGCTGCAGCCACGGATCCTATCACGGGCTCGATCTATATTATCAACGGTGGACTTGAAAACAGCGTCAAGAAGTTGTTTACGTATAACAATGTCTTGAACCAGTACAAGGAGATTGGGCAGACTGTGCCAATGGAGAGTGGGTTTGCAGCGTCCTGGTCGGTCGAACGCAAGCGCATGTATATTCATGGAGGAGTCCAAGGGAATGTACTCCAGTCAGTGCTCTACGAATTCCTTCCCAGCAATGACGCCCCCCTCATCCAGTCCGTCACAACTTCCGGAGACGCTCCGACAGCGCGACAAGGTCACTGCATGGTCTCTGCGTACGGAGGGGCCAAGATGGTTGTCTTTGGTGGCTTCGGGAACGGAAACACACCATTGGGCGACATCTATTTCCTCGAGAGCAACAGTACTGGTACCAAATGGACCAAAGGAACCAACGGGGACGCTTCGGTAGCGCGCGCTCACACTGCCTGTGCAGTCACGAACGACCTTTTTGTGGCCTGGGGCGGAACCCAGGACGGAGTGAACACCGTTACAAGCAACATCACAATCGTCTACAACCTCAAGACTAACCAATGGCAGACCAATTATTCGCCACTTCCCTATGTCGCACCCCCAACAGCGACAACGCCAGGAACAGGATCTGGAACAGGAGCAGGAGCAGGAGCAGGACTCAAACCCACCGACGCTGGTGGAGCTACTGACTCGGCATCAGGCGGATCCAGCACTGGAGCTATTATCGGAGGAGTTGTTGGAGGATTGGCTGTCATTGGAATCGTAGTGGGATTGTTCATCTATCGAAAGCGACAGGCCAAGAACATAACCGACAACGCCGACACCGCTGCGTCCAAACCTCGGTCAGTTCACAAGGAAAACATCAACCTTGTCGATAACAACGGTCATTTTGACGAGGTCCCCGTCACTGTTGCTCCTCCAAAGTACAACATTTTCCAACCCTTGTCAACAACGTCGAGCGCAGCCGCCGGACCTAGCTACCAATTGGCTTACATAGATCATTACCGACAACAGGAGCAACAGCAGCAACAGCAATATCGCTACCCCCAGGACCGACAACAGCTGGAAGAAGCGCACCTCAGTACATCACAAACGGCTCCCTTTGCAGCCTCGTCGCCTGTCAATTCTGCCTACACTAGCACGGTCAACTCAAGTCCACGCCCGGCAATCATGCACAACATCAAGCCAAGGATAAACACGAACGATACCGAGTTGTTGTACCTGCCCGAGACCCGACACCCTCATACCCTCGGTGATGGAGAGATCTTTATGGACATCCACACCCCAAACAGACACCCCCACACCCAACCACAGTAGACAACTCACACCCACCAACATAATAATTTCCCTCCTTTTCCTCTTATTCAAAACAGTGACAAAGATGACAGTTGCTATTACTGTAACAGTCAATTGACGTCTCTTGTGCTGTGCAATGGTCCTCTACACCACTTTCACTCCATACTTACAACCAACCTTAACCCACCAACTACTACCCCTACAACTGCGTCGGAGCACAGAAAGCAAGAAAGCAAAGCAAAGCAAACAACAAAAAAACGAGAGAAGCGTTCAGACAAAAGCCCATACCCTGGGTCTCCTATCATCACCGACTCCACCGGTCGGTCTATTCGCATGTCAGTCAATTTCTGGGATTTATCATGCCGGAAGGACATTGAGCACTATTAGTCATTTTATTTTTGCTTCTTTTCGCACGTTTTCGGTATAGATGTGGTTCGGAGATGAGGATGGGAAAGGAAGGAGGGATGGCTATCCTTCCGATCGATGGACGTGGGTAGGGTTTGTAGGTCGGGAGCTTGAGCTTAGTGGTGGTGTTCGTGTTCTTAGTGAATTCGGGGCCTGAGAAGCACGGAAAAAAAAAAAGATTGATTTGAAAAGGCACAAAAAAAAAAGGGAGATGGGAGAATATGTCCCGAAGGTTGGAATCCTTGTATTGGTCCCTTTTACTACCTTTTCCTGCTTTTGTTCCTTCCTTCTTTCGCCGTTGAAAGAGCCAAACTCACTCCACTTTGACAGTGTTGGATGCGAGCAGATCCATCCACCTCGCTCACGATTTTGCAAAAAATGAAGAGATGGCAGTCCGATCGTCTGACTATCTCTGCCAACTTAAAATCCTCTTCATTCCACGTTTTTGCGAACGAGTTGCGAGAGTGTACTTCTTCTACTATCGCTTTCTTGTAGCCAAATGGACCTCTGAGCCATGGAGTGTACACCATTATAGTCTTGTGGATTGCTTCGAACCAAAAGACATTAGTAGACAAGGCAGACAAGTGGGGCAATTGACAGTGCAAGGCAGCTTGTGGTAAAAAAAGATTTTTTGTTGTGCACCGCCCTCTTCCTCGTCCTTCTACAAATAAAAAATCGAAGCAGACAAGAAAAACAGATCGTTCAAGAACAACATGACACGCATATCCCTCCTTCTGCTTTTTTCCTTCTTGGACAAAGAGTGCACCAAGAGAGGATCGAGAGCACAGATTCTCATGGGCGAAGATCATTACAATTGCCACTACCATTGATCCCCTTCATTTTTCTCTTTCTTTTATCCAGTTTGCCTCCCTCGATCAACCATTCCCTGTTCGCTCGCCTCTTCTCTCATCCCCCTTTCCCGCACTCTCTCCCCTGCAGCACTAACTTGGCGCTGTCGGTCTCACCACCATTCACTTTACACTACTTAATTTTTTCTTGATCATACACCATGGTACCTCTTCTACTCTTACTACCTTCCTTCTTCCTCTTTCTCACCGCAACAACGCTCGCACAACCAGACTACATACCCACACCCTACTTCTTCCTCCAATCCGTCTTCCTCGATAGCAACGCCCTCTTCATCCACGGCGGCCTCGAATCCTTCTCTTCCTCTGGCCAAACATCCCCTCAAACATTCTTCCTCAACCTCTCAACTTCCTGGAACACTTCCTCCCCCGTCTTCCAAAAACTTCCTGACGGTGTTACGGGACAATGGGGTTCTGCATCCACACTCCTGAACGACAAACGGACCTGGATCCTCTTCGATAACCAGACAACTATTTCGCAGTTCGACATCGGTGTCAGGAATCAGCGTTGGGTGACGACCGCAAGCGATGAAACTCGACAGTTGGAGGAAGGGTTTGGGTTTCCGTCGATAGCGGCGTTGACGGACCCCCGGACGGATCAGGTCTTTGTGGTCGATGGGTGGAATTCGACAGGGTTGTTGAGGTACTTTCCTGCGAACCAGTCGGTGGATGAGGTGGGTCCACGGGCGCCAGTGACGGAGGGGTATGCGGCTGTTTGGAGTACTGTCCGAGGGGCGATGTTGGTCCATGGTGGGACTGTCAGCACCTCGACGGGAAAGTTCTTCCCTCGGTCTTTGTTCCAGTTCTACCCTACCAACAATGACTACAACGTGACGGGTCCACCCATTTATGCGCCTCTGACTGATACGGGGGACGTTCCTCCGCCGCGAATGGGGCATTGTATGGTCGAGGCCAAAAATGGAACCAAGATTGTGATCTTTGGAGGTTTTGATGAGGATGGTGTGGAGTTGGGAGATGTTTATGTGCTGGATGTAGCGACGCTTGAATGGACTGCAGGAGGCCGAGGGGGGGGAGATATGAATGTGAGCGCGACTGTTGCGCGTGGCTATGCAGCCTGTGGAATGAGCAACAGCCTCTTTGTCGCCTGGGGCGGCGCTCGTCGAGACCCTCGGTCGCCCGGATCCCTAATCCCTGTCTCCGAGAATATCACCGCGGTTTATAACCTCACCAGTCAGATGTGGCAAACCACATTTGCATTCAAAGCTGGCGAAGATGAAGACGGCAACGTTCCTGCGATATTCAGAACGACAGACATCAGCCCTACAGCAACCGCTACAGCCACCCCCGATCCAAGTCCCACCCTTATGCCACCATCGCCGATGGGAGCGATTGTAGGGGTATCGGTTGTCGGAGGACTCGCATTTATCGCAGCCACAGGAGTGGGTCTCTTCTTTTTTCGCCGCAGAAAACTGCAATCAAACCAAGTTCAGCCAGCATTGTCATCATCGTTGAAGCAGAAGTGGAGTGACATCTCTGGTCACAGTCTCTGGCGAAATAATCGTGGTGTTGGCAGTGGCGAAGGGTTGGAGGATTCGGGACACTCGTTATTGCGTCTCGAGTCTGCGAATGGGTCCAGTGCTGAGTCTGTGTATGTCTTGGGCGAGGTTCCTACTCCACCATCACTCGTACACGGACAACATCAGCAACAACAACCGACAGAGATGGTAGAAGCAAGAGGAGGAAGGTCGAACAACGAGGAGATTTTGCCACTGAAAAGGAAGGACCCTCAGCTGGTGACGATAGGAAGAGCATTCACATACAGAGACACGCCCATAGACTCAACAACCACATCCACCACTTTGCATCCTTAACACAAACAAAGATAAAGATATATATAATCCTCGGTGGATTTACCTAATGTTGTTCCTGAGTCGAATTCTGCAGAGGGACGGAAATGGCACTGCAAAACCCAAACACACACACACACACACACACCTAAAAAAACTTTAAAACAACAAAGGAAAGATGCACTGCCCCCTTCATGTTACTAACGCCAACATGCTGTCACTATGAAGGAAGAGCAAGTAAGACTTACGAATGCTTACAGTGAGTGCGAAAAGGGGACCAAGTCGGATTCACCCGCAAACCCCCTGGATCCGACGATGCAACAAGAGCTTAGATGATCCTTTCGCATGGCTGTTTGTAAGCAATTGGTTCGTGCGAATGCCATGGTCTTACAAAGAGTAACAAAATCGAGAGCAACGGCGCAATACGTTTGTTCTTTTTTGTGTACGTTCTGAACGCCGAGGGCTCGCTTTTCTTTTCGATTGGTGACAACATTCTGTTTGTTGTTGTTTTTTTTTGGTTCACTGGGATGCCAGAAATAGGCCATTGAACCTGTTCGCTCTATCCTTTTAGCCCGCTGGCACAATCGTTTGTGTTGATCTCTCTTGTCGTTACTTTACCTGACCTTTTGCTCGTACCTTTTACCTTTTACCTTTGGGCGAAGGTCGGACATGTCACCTTCTGAGGGCAGTGCGAGAAGTCAAGTAGAGAGAAGAGAAGGGAAGGGAAGAGAAGAGTAAAGCGGTATCCTTTATCAACCAACTCACTTTGCCCGAGGATCAAGAAAAATTCACTCGATAAAAAATCCATTCATCCCTTCCCACCAACACCACCATAATCATCATCGACAACGTTGCGACCGCTGTCATCGCCACTACTGTCACCACAGTCTACTACCACCAACTTACCATCGCCACCCTCTTTTTTTCATAATCGCTTTTGTACTTTTTTTGTTTAGTCTTCAACAACAAAGCAGGCAACGCCTCTTTCTCTCTCTTCCTTTCTCCTATTTCCTCTTTCCACTTTCCTTTCCGTCATGCGGGGGGCATGGCATTTCATTCTTGCATCCGCACTCTTGTTTACTTCCCACAACCCTTCCAAAACATACACCCTTGCACAACCATCCCCACCCCCATCATCACCAACATCAACACAAGCACCAACAACACCACCACCAGTGCCATACACACCCAGATCCTACTATTACTCCCACTCAGTCTTTATCGAACACCAAGCACTATATATCCATGGCGGGATCGTCAACATCAACTCTATCCCCTCCTCCCAAGCATTCTACATCGACCTCTCCCAAAACTGGACCACCGCCCAACCAGCCTTTGTCCAACTCCCTGATGGGTACCCCGTTATGGGCGCCCTCAGCGGTCTGGCATACAACAACACCAAATGGTTGGGTGTCTACAACTCGACCATCTATACCTTTGATCTCCAACCCCGAATCTGGACCAGCTTGGGATCCTCGGAGTTTGTGACCCCCCGTGTCGATCTCCCTGCCGTGGTCAATCCGGACGATAACCAGTTCTTTATACTGAATGGATGGGTGGATAACAGGACTGTCATGGGGACATTGCAGTTTGATACTGCCCAACAGCGTATCTTTAGTCAACCCTTGGTCACGCCTCTGGACGGGTCTTTTACGTCTGTTTGGAGTACGTTGAGGAAGGCGGCATTTGTGTTTGGAGGGTATACACTTGACAGCTCTACTTCTTCGGTCGCCCAACGAACCCTGTTCATCTACCAGCCCAATGTTTCGGCGGGGAATAGTACCCCAACCCTCAGGAATGCTCTGGACTCTGGCACCATCCCGTCTGCGCGATATGGGCATTGTATGGTCGAGGCCTATAACGGGACCAAGATGATCCTCTTTGGGGGGTTCGACCAAGTCGGTAGAGCCCTTGGAGATATGTACATCCTTGACGTCGCCACCCTCAAATGGACCAGGGGCACTGACGGAGGTGCGACTGCAGCACGCGCGTACACAACCTGTGCTGTCACCAACGACCTATTCGTTGCCTGGGGTGGAGCCGTGCCTAACCAACAGACCAAATTTGCGTCAGCAGTGAGTCAGAACATTACAATCGTCTATAACCTCAAGACACAGCAATGGCAGACGATGTACCATCCAGAGCCCTATACATCTCCTCCTTTGGTCACTGCGACACCCACAGCGTCGCCGACGCCGACGAGCACTGGAACTGGAGGACGACTTAGCCCGACCGCGGTAACGCTTATTTCCGTTGCGGGAGGGATCTTGTTGGGTTTGTCGCTGATTGCTATTGGATTCGGGGTCAGTTGGTGCCGACACCGGCGGAAGGCTACAGCTGCCACTACTGCTGCCACGACGACGACAGCGATGCCGACGATGGATCGATCTTTCAAGGGTGGTGGAGGGGTAGGACACAAAACCAGCATCCACGGTGACCAAGCTGACGGATTAGCAGTTGGTGGTAGTAGTCTGTACAGCGACAGCGGGTTCGGCGTGGGCTCTGTGCCTCACACATTCCATCGAGCCGAACACTCCAATACCCCTGCTTCCTTCTCCTCGAACGCAGCACCACCGGCATCCCTATATATGATGCGACCAATTCCGAACCCTCGTCCACAACTCCCTCCACCTCTTCCCCAACCTCTTCCCTCCACCGTCTCAGGATACACCTTCTACGCTCCTCGTCCAACCCTCCCTGCACGTTTCTCCGTCGCCTCCACCGCGTCTGTGGCAGTGGCGCATATGCCACTAGATGGCCACGACCTAAGCGACGAATTCGAAGAAGACGATCAAAGAGAAGCAGACGATGTGATCACCCCTGTCGACTCCCTCCCCGGCCGAACAATCAGTTCTGGCTCTCGAGTCACGTCCTCAATTGCCAACGCGGTCGCAGGCTCGAACGCGTCCAACACCCACGAGATTGATTGGGCGTCGTCGACATTTTCGAATGACCTTGGCAGTGGTGGTTTATCTGTCGGGGCAGGAGGGAGAAATGGAGGAGGGGATGGGGGAGATAAAGTTCAGTCAGGAACGCTACCGCCTTCGTCGACAGAGGTGGATTTGCAGGAGTACCTCAATTATGTCCAGTTTATTCAGCAGCAACAGCAGAAGGAAAAGGAACAGCAGGAACAGGGACAAGTGCAAGGACAACAACAACTCGATGCTCACTAAAAATAACATAATAACCGTACCAGCAACCAACAAATAACAAACAAGTCCAAAAAAAGAACGAGAAGAGGAGTTTACTGTTTTTTCGGAGGATGAGCGTGTTTGTTTGCCTGAACTGGTAAGGCGGCTGTGTTGGTAGGATTGCTCAACATCTCTGTCTTGCCCCTTTTTCCAAACCGAGAAAGGAGTAGCGAAAATTAATCATGAAAGGAAAAAAAAGAAAGGGGGAGAAAGACGAGGGGTGTTGGCGACAAAGCCTCGACGGGGAATGGGTAGATGGCGGTTCTCTCGCTACTGCGCTCGTTTCTTTTGATGCATATGAGTTAGTCCTGCCTGCTTATGCTTTTGTGGCTGTAGATATGCGCCTGGTTAAACTTCCTTCCAAGGATTCGTTCCCTCGCGACACATGCCGCGACCATAAGCCCAAGCATTTGATTTTTTCATTCCTATGGATTGTCCCTTCTAACCCGGCGGTGTCTAGTTATTTTCTTTTTGCATGACAGTATGTCCCGCGGATTGATCTTCCCTTATATCTCATTCCTTTGTTGTTGGTTGGCCTGGCTGTGCCTGCAGTTGAGAACCCACGGACGTATCGACCCCATTGCCACTGGTAATCCTGTCGAGAGACACACCCAAAGGGCGTTGCTGCCGGTGACGAGTAATGGACAGAGTGTTCTTCAAACTCTTTCTTTTCGCTTTTCTTCCTTCTCGTTTTTAGTTTCATCTTCGCCCTTCTGCACCATCAAACCTCTTCTTGTACCACTCCCCAACGCATACAATATTCAAACCATGCGGTGGAGCCAAGCACTCTGTATACCCTGCCTTTCTCACTCACTCATACCCCTCACCTTGTTCCACATCCTTCTATCCACCCCAATACAAGCCCAACAAGCATTCACCCCGATCCCATACTTCTTTAGTCACTCCAACTTCATTGAAAAAGTAGCCCTCTATGTTCACGGCGGGAAACCCAACACAAATGCGAACAGTTCCGACCAAACCTTCTACCTAGACCTCTCCCGACCTTGGTCAACCTCCTCCCCTGTCTTCATCTCCATCGCCAGCAAGTTTCCTTCCCAGGGGACTACCAGCACACTTATCAACAATAACTCGGAATGGCTCATGATCTTTAACAGGACTGTGTACACGTACACGTTCAGGAACGCCCAGTGGAGTGAACCGACAGTTGACCCGAATCTGAATTTGAACCCGAATATGCCCATGGTCTTTGACCCAACCCAGAAGCAGGTCTATATCATTAATGGGTATGTCAACGTCAAGGGTGGTGGAGTCCTTGGTACTATGCAGTACGACCCTTCGGTGCCGACGGTCATGAAACCAATGCGCGAGTCCACGCGCCTGCTGCTCGATGGCGGATATGCCGCAGTCTGGAGTACGGCTTTGAACATTGTCGTTGCCTATGGAGGGTTCGTCCGGTCCACCCCACCAACTTACTCGGAGACGCTGTATGAGTTCAACCCACAGAACCCGAAATTCCTCAGCATGGGCGGGACCAACTCCCCGGCGGCGCGGTATGGACATTGTATGGTCGAGGCCTACAATGGGTCACAGATCATTTTGTTTGGAGGAGTCGACCAGAACTATGCACCGTTGTCGGACCTGCATATCCTGGACGTTGCGACCTTGACCTGGACTCGACAGGAAGTGGCCAGTCCACCACTTGGTCGAGCCTACCCCTGCTGTGCGGTGACGGATGATATGTTTGTGGCATGGAGTGGAGCGCAGTGGGACAAGGATGTTGAGGAGTTCAAGGTTATTGACAAGGAGATCACCATCGTCTTTAACCTGAAGACGAAGCAGTGGCAGTCGACCTTCTCACCTGACCCTGTAGTCCTCCCCTCGGCGACATCGGATCATGGAAACACAACAACAGCAGCCGCAACAGGACACGCCGCAGCATCGGCGACCACGACTCCTGCGGAGCATGAAGTATCAATTGAGGCGGTTGTTGGAGGAGTAGTTGCAGGACTTGCGGTGGCACTAGTCGTTGCTGCAGTATTGCTTTATGTCTGTCGGATGAGAGCCAAGAAGAAAGGTTGGACATGGAAGCTATTGTCGGGAAAGGACGACTCGCTACCGCCATTGGACCAGAAAAATTCGACCAATGCAGCAGTCGCCCCAGTAGTCGCCCCAGCAGGAAGCAGCGTAGCAGAAGATGCGGCACTGAACAGACACAGTCATGGTGGAGGCGACAACGATGGTGACGACAACAACGACGACCACCACAGTCTTCACGGCGCCGGGACTAGGAGCGAAATGACAAGTCTTAAGAGCGAAGCCCTTTCTAGATATGGATTAAGGATCGGAAATCACAATTTTGTCAAACTCGAATCGGCCAACTCGTCTGAGATGGGACCTATCTTCCAAATGATCCAAATCCACAACCCAGCCGAAATTCTTTCATCCCCCTCATTGCCCATTTCCCAAGAAAAGCAACAGCAACAACAGGAAGAGCCGCCCATGAGCCCCTCGACGATCTGTCTGATACCCTACTCTCCAATCACCTCGCCTATCACACCCCACAGCAACGCCCCACCAAACACTAGCATCATGTCGGTCGCAGCGGCGTTCGCAACCTCATCTTCAACAGCACGTCCACAAGTCCCGAGCACACAAACAAGCGTGGAAGTCTCGACAGGGTCAGTCGGAGAAGTCCCGGTGGTGTCAAGTGAATTGGACGAGCAATGGACTGCAGCAGCGGTTGCATTAGCCAAGGAGGGCGAGACGAGGGTGGAAAAAGGCGAGAGGAGGAATCCACAAGTTCTTACCAAGAAGGCCGATTTTATTGATACATTAGACCTGACCGAATACGAGAAGTTGGTCATCCCCGCCAGAAACCCTCATGTCCTTGTTGACGTTGAAGAATAAAAAAACAGCCATGTAAATATTAGCAAAGCATGGAATGGACCGAGTTCGTCTGATAAGATTCACCCATGTTGCACCAACCATTGGTGCCACCAAGCAAAGAGAAAGACATGAAAGGAGTAGAAGATCATTCTGAAATCCTAATCCTAATCCTAATCCTAATTCTAATTCTAATTCTAATTCTTGAGAATTAGAAAGCCCCTTCTCTCTCGTTCTTCTCTCCTCTCTTTCTTGTCCCCTCTTCTTCCTCATTTTTGTCTCCTGGTTATGGGCTTGAGGCAATGCAAAGAGAGAGGTGCGATTAATCTGTCTTGACCTTTTGCATCGCCCAATGCGCCAAATCGAATTTGCATGATACTTCACCTCCTTTTTCCCTCTCCCCCTCACGAGCTCAATTTCCACCTCAGCTTAGCCCCTTCCCTCCCTGCACGTTTATTTTTACCCGGGCAAACGAAGGATAGCAACGACTTTTCTTTCCCTTCTCCTTGTGCGCTTTGCAACTCGTTCACCTCTGCCGTCTTCTCCTTTTCTTTATTTTTTGTTCAGTTTCGCTGTCCGCAAGCCAACGCCGTCCATGTCTGTCCTCGGCCATCAATTCATTGTAACCCGCGTCGTCACAGCCTGTGCCTTCTTGACCTGAATGATTCATGCAAGGTTTATCTTACTCTACCAATGCAAGGGAGGCGCGCCTCATATCCGCGCCTTGACGGCATTACAAATGCCAGCTCAACAAAGCAAGGAGGAGTGGTCATCTCCATTCTGGGTACTCTGTCTCATCCAAGAACGACCATGGGAGAGGATCAAAAGAAGGGAGAAACTCCAGATTTGTTTTTAAGCACAGCCACTCGCCAGGAGATAAATTTCGGGCTGTTTTCCTTTTTTTTTCCCGTCCGCCCTGGAAGTAGAGGAGACATTTTTTGGGGTGTGTGCGTGTGTTTCTCTAGTGGGCGAAGCGCATATGAGTAGAGGCAATGCATCACCTCCGAATAGACAGAACCATGACGGATCATAAAAAGAGCGAAAACAATAAAAATAGCCCAGCTCTCTTCTTCTTTTTAATGTTTTCAAGGCTGCGATCTACATTTTTTTTTAGTTCTTTTCTTCTTTCTTTTGCTGGGTTTCCATGGTATCCACCATTTAGTACCGTTGTCTTTTATTTTCTCACTTTTCTCACCTTTTCTCTTTTGGTCACTCCCTATTACATTGCTCTTCCACCTTCCTCTCATCATCTCTAGTATCACCACACCCAGTTCTTTCTCTGACACCATCAAGCTTCTCTTCAACCACAAAAACAAACACAGAAAGAGCAGACACTACCACCCCTTCTTCGCCTTCAATAATGCGGTCCATACGACATCTCCTCATCTTACTCACCCTTTTCATATCCTTGGCCACAATCACCACTCATGCCCTGCCAACAGAACTCATCCCTGTCCCCAAAGGAGCTTTATGGCCGTGGTCCTGGAACAACGGATCCCTCTTATGGATCTCCTACATCCATCTTGCAGCCGGTGCAGGAGGTGTGCTGCTATTGTTCATCATCATGGCGGCGTTCTTTTATTTCAGGAAGCGGCGGGAGGATAGGCGATATGAGATGTTGGTTGAGGAGGGTGGTGAGGAGGGGACGTTGAATGTTACCAGTCGTGGTGGGGTTGAGGCTGAAACTGGAACTGGAGCTGCGCGTAGTGGGGGTGGACATGGACATGTTGTCACATACTTGCACCATGAGCGATCACTCTCGCAGCATTCGTCACAACAACACACTGCAGCTTTTGTTGGGCAGGCTCAACCGCAGATGAGCGAGATTAGACATGGTACGGTCTACTACTCTGAGAAAGCACCCATCCAGATCCAGACACACGATCCCATCACCGGATACCCGTTTCCTCAAGGCAAAGTCCAGTTCTTTGAACTCTCCACCACCGCCGATGCTACTGCCACCACCACCGCCGCCAACACCGTTACCAGCTCCCCGACTACCGAAAGAAGCGAGATCGATTTCAAGGAAGGCTCCGGCAGCGAGGACGGCAAAAAGGAGGGAAAAAAGACGCCCATCTCTTTGAACCAACTCCCAGAAAGGCTCTATTCTCACCCCCCACCCGAACTCCACCACAAGTTGTCTTCTCTGTCGGTCACTTCTGCTGCGACATTGCCGGTTTCAACTCCTGCTCATGTGCACCCAAAGGGGGGAGGGAGTGAAGATGGCTTGAAGAACGGCAAAGCCGTCACCACCGCCGTCGTCACCCAGTCTCAGGCAAAGAAGGGTGTGCCGTCACCTCCAGCGGGGTCTAAGGATCCCAAGGCCATGCCAAAGGCTCAGCTGAAGAGGGGCGTTTCGGTGTCCAAGAGCTCTAAGACCAAGAAAGCTCCTTTAACCACAATCAAACCCAAACCATTTACATAAATATTCAGATATACACTATCAAATACATAAAAACTACTGTCTTTCCTCATCTCGTCAGGGCCAAGAGGAAGAAAAAGAAGAGATGTATGAAGAAAGAATGAGGTTGTAATTTCAAAGATTAAAAGAGCAAAAAACGCACTGGTGCACAATTAAAAAGAAAGAACAAAAGGTATTCTGACTGATCTGTTTCAAACAGTAGACAAAGGGCGAGGGGAATCATCCAGCTTTTCAACAGGGCGTCTCGCAGCATCCTCCAACTCCTGAATGTCACCCTGCTCAACAGTATCCCTATCATCGTCACTACCATCCATGGCAACCTTCTTGATTAAGAACGAGGCCAAAAACGCGATCCCCGAAAGCGCAGCCAACAAGATAAAAAACTTTTGAAGACCCTCCACAAACGCCTTCAATACCGGCTCTCTGAACTCAGGCGCCAGATCCGCAATACCCTTGATGTTCTGGGCATACTTGCTAGCGTTAGCGTTACTGAGGCTGCTCTGAACCAGAGTTCCACCGAGGGCGACTCCAAAGACACCACCAAATGTGCGGAGGAGGGTCCAGAGGGAGGTACTCAAGGCCATGTCGGCAGGGTTCGTGAGTTGAGCGTGCACTGCGAGGAGTTGTGTATTGACGACGGCGCCGAGGGAAACGCCTTGGACTAGGAGGACTCCGACCATTCGACCACGGCTTGTGTTTTCGTCAAAGAGGACCATGAGACCCGTGGAGAGGACACCGGCGAACCAGCCAAAGATGATGAACTCCTTGTAGGTGCCCCAACGACTCGTCAGTTGACCAACAACAATGGCAACCGCGGAGGACATGCAGACATAAGGGAGGAGCTCGACGCCAGACTCGATTGCTGACGCACCATGGACGGCTTGAGAGTACAACGGCAGGAAGAAGAGCAAACCCATGGAGACAAAACCGTCGACAAAGACTGGGAAGTATGTCATCCCCAACGACAGAGTGCCCAACAACCGGAGGGGAATAATCGGGTTGGCCGCAACCTTCCACTCGTTGACCAAGAAGGCGACCATGACCAGGACACCGATAATCAAAAGACACAAGATCACGGCTGAGTCCCATTCATACTTGGCATCCGCACCCCAGTTCAACCCCAAGAGGATCATAATAATCGCACCAATCAATAGCCCAATTCCCACATAGTCCAAAGACCGCATCGCCGTCCCCAGGGACAAGTTCTTTGGTCGGTTCATGTGCAGGAACACGACCAACAGAGTCATACCCACTGCACCGACAGGGAGATTGATATAAAACGCCCAGCGCCAGGTGACATTGTCGGCAAAAATTCCGCCGAGAAGGGGACCAAAGACGGAGGCGAGGGCATAGACAAAGGCAGTGAGGGACTGATACTTGCCGCGGTTGCGGAGGGGGACAATATCGGCGACGAGGATCAGGGAGAGAGTGAGGATGCCACTTCCGCCAATGCCTTGGACGGCGCGGCCCAGGATCAGCATGTTCATCGACTGGGCTGCTCCACAGAGAGCTGACCCAACAAAGAACACTGCATTTGCGAACATCCTATGACACAACAGCCACCAATGAATAAAAGGCCTGGTTAGTTCAATCCTACAATACCCACCAAAAAAATTCAAGCAAAAAATCTCACCCAACTCAACAATATAGCGCCAAAAAAAAACATACATAGTTCGCTTACGCCCGGCGAGGTCAGCAGCAATACCATAGAGCGGCTGGATGGCCGTCATGGTCAACAGAAACCCAGTGCCGACCCAAGAAATCTCAGAAAAGTTATTAAAGTCCTTGGAGATCGACGGCAAGGCAGTGGTGACGATCGACTGGTCCAGCGCAGCAAGGAACAATACCATGAGGATCCCCAGGAAGACGACCATCTGGCGGCTCTTGGACATGGGATTCTTGGGTCCGTAGTCTTGTCCCTGCTGTTGCGCAACTGGGGCAGTCTTCGTAGTTGTAGCTTCCGAGGGAGTAGTTGAGTCGCGAGCGACGGAGGCTCGGGGAAGAAAGCCGGGGGAAGCTGCAGAGGAGGTGGTGGGGTGGTCGTAGTGCTCTTTGCCGGCGGCGGTGAAGGAGGAAGAAGAGGAGAGGGATGAAGCCTGAGAAGAGTCGAAAGAAAGGGGGGTTGGGTGGGGAGTGCGAGTGTCACTGTTGGTCACTGAAGCCCTAGCAGACGCGTCAAAGGTCAACTGCGCAGTGTTGGAAACTTGTTCAACAGTACCTCTCTCGAGGGGGTGGGCCGAGTGCGGCGAGTCGTCGGCGAGGGTGGGAGAGCTGGTGTCCATCTTCTGGAGACGGTGGGGGTGAAAGGATGTGTGGTTGTGGACGAGGAAGACAAGAAGCTTTCCTTTTTTTTCTGGTGGAGTTGAGGGTGGTGAAAAAATTGTAAGAGAGAGGGATAGTCAAAGGATGCGCTTTATACTTTTCAGCGTTGGCCAGGCGTACGTGAATTGACGTCTGGCGTACTAAAAGTGAATCGGTTGACTGGAGGTAGGCGAATGAAGGCACACCGGCTCCCATCATCTACATTAGGCCTATAAATGGAAGAACAGCAGGTGAAAATAGGACAGATCAAGGTAGGATAACGGGGAAAATGGACCATGGTAAGGAAAAACAACAATTAAAGCTTCGGTACTAAAGCAGCAGAGTTTTATTTTTTGGGTTACGAGTTGAAGGTTATCATTGGTTCATTCGTCGCACAAAGGGTAGAATTGGGCGTTCTCCAGAGCACTTCATGGATTGCAGATGCTCGTCGTATGTTTAATAGAAGGGTAGGGAGCAGCCCTCTCGGTCTTCACACTGCGCAGCCCTGGGGTAAGGCGAAAGCACTCAATGGCTTGTTGTTTTCATTGCCCGAATGGTGCTCCACGATACTGCATCTTCGATCCCAACACCCACGAACCATTCACAATGAGTTCTCGGATGGAAAAAAATGTAGCCTTCTCGAAATATCCTTTTCTGAATGGGGGGAGGGGGTTACCCTAAGTGATGATGTTACCCAATATAAATGAAAGCCTGAAAAAGAGAGCCGGGATATGGCATCCTTTACAAAGATCGTCATTGAGAAGCCCAGCAGAGCGTGAGGCCCAGGTAACTTTGTCGCGTCAGGGAACAATGACTGCGCTGCGCACTTTGGTAAGGTGATCTGACCGTATATCACACAGAGCCCATCCACGAAAAAAATACAATCTAACCAAGCAAAGAAAAGAATCCTCGGGAAGTGTTTCCGAGGGGAAGCGAGGTCAAATAACTGACTTTCAGGTGTCATTGAAAGCAAGCGTAAATAAGCTGCTACTGGTGACACCAAAACAAAAAACTTTACTCCGCTTTGGCTTGCAACAAACAGGTTGTCTTGTCGCAGTCGCACGATGGACTCCACTGCGCATTTCACTCACCCTTCATCCCCCGAAACTTTTACACTCGTTTCTCGGTAACAAATGCTACAACATAATCTTACACAGCAAGTGCAACAAAAAATGTCTTGCAAAGAGGGTGGCCAGAGGGTAGAAGCGAGTGTGCAAAATAGGTGGCAATGGTAATGAGAGGTAGAAGGCGGGAGGAGGTTTGTTGCGTTTGCTTTTGTTTGATTAAAGCAGAAAATGGAGAGTAAAAGAGAAAAGAGAGAAAGAAGTGTATGTGTCTGTCTATGCGTGTATTACGCGAAAGGAAAACAAGAAAGAAACAAAAAAAAGAAAGCATGAAATTGTTTATCACGTATGAAGATAGACCCTTGGCGCAAGGATGATCGCCCTTTTTTTTTTACCTCGCCTCAGCGCCCCATGAAAACAAATACGTTTCATTTATCCATCAGTGAGACTAATAAAGTTGCCATCACTCTCAGCCACGAAAAAAACACGCGATGGTTATTTACTTCCTTTGGTTCATCTTGCCATCAGCCTTTTGGCGATATCGCCTCTGATCCCCCCTAGTCGTCATCTTCCTCCCCTATCCATACTCCTCTTTCCCCGCTACCCCCACGGCAAAGCTCTTAAAATCACGACCATACTGAACCACATCGTACGAACGCAAGCTGTGGCGATGAGTATGATAAAAAAAAATTATAGTCATACCGTCCACAACAGGAAAAGGACGACCCACGATATCTTAGACAAGAGTCTCTATATGGGTGGCTGTCAAGCGCCACATCCGCCCAATCCTTCCAGTGGTGGCGTATACGAGTACTGTAGATGTCGCCCGTGCTCCAGGCGGGAAACGTATCGCTGTAATCGGAGATGTCATTGCAGTTGATGGACAGCGGAACTGAACCAGTCCCTGACAGACAGTTCAAAGTCCTTGATGCTTACGAGAAGACTCTTGATGAGGGCGGTTGAGAACTCGAAGGGCACGCTCTCCAGATGAACCTTAATCGTGGTAGGCGAGGTATGGATGTAGATAGACTTGAAGATATCCTCTGTGAAATGGTTAGTCCGTTACTGGTGCGATAGGTGGTCGACCGTGAGGGAGCGTAACTTGTGGTAGGACTCAATTAACCGCAGCGCATTCTGAGACTGGTCAACATTCGACAGCCATGTATATTAATACCCCACCGGCTGCTTGGGGTTTTGACGGTAGTTAAACTCGACACAATGGAGTTCCCGTAGGTTGGTGTAGTAAGAAGATCCAAAGGCGTTATACAAGAACCAGCTCGCGTCAGCGATATAAATGGTAAAGTGACCGGATGAGTCCAGCGCTGTGGAGGACGGTCCGTGCCTGGTGGTTCGTGAGGTTAGAGAAGTGGACGTGGCGGAGGGCTTGTGAGGTGAAGTTTGCGCGTCAGGCATAGGAGACTTCGACACAGGCGAAGAGCTAGTCCTTTGAGATGTAATCGTAGATCAGGTCGAGGATATGAGGTATGTCGAAGATCGAAATCCTCGGGGTGTTGGACAGGGAGGTCATGAAGGCAGGGGGATAGAGTTTGAGAAATGAGTGTCTGAATAGTTGAGGAGGGAGGGCAGGAGGAAGAGGTCGAAGAGAAGTAAAGAGTAGGGAAAGGGGGCGCAAGTATACCTGTTGTTTTTGATGGGTGGCATGTGGTGGCGCAACATTTCATTGGCTGTGATAATGTTCGTTAGTGTTCTTGTTCTAATGCACTTCAATGTTCGAAAAAATGAAGGACGGTCCATAGACTGCGTGATGACCTGTATTGGCATCTATTTTTCGCTCACCCGCAACCATCTCTGTTTCTCACAGGCACATTCTTCAGGGTCATGAGCGACTCCAAAGAAAGGTGCATGCCATTGTTTTATTATTAATATTATTATTATTTGTACAGCGGCTCAACCGTCCCGGGATAACTTGGCAGCACGAACATATTCCGCCAAAAAGTCTGCCTTCCGGATCGTGTCCCAAGTTCTCGTAGCGTACCGCAGCCTATCAGAAATAAATAATAGAAAGCTTTAGAAATGCGAAACAAGCATACAAACACAATCCTTGTTGCCATAATCATCACATACCATTCTCGCTCAGACACCATTCCCGGCCGGTTGCGAGGTCCGAGAGCAGGCCCACCTTGCGGCCGCATCGATAGTGAAAGAATCTTGTTCCTGAGTCCTTTTGTCCAAACACTCCAGCGTTCCTGATCCTGTAACAGGGCTGCATAGACGTCATGGTCGGGGGTATTGGACGATCCGCCCAGAATGCCATGTCGATTCAAATTGACCGACAACGATGCCATGACTACATTAAGAGACGATACATGCTGTGTCGTTGATGCTGCCTGATTGATCTGCTGGTGATGGTTTGAAGGCGACTTTTTTGAGATGGATCCTGAACCTGGCCTGGACAGACTCTGAGGGACTAGTGCCGAATCCAATGGCAGCATTACAAAGTTGAGCTGTTGCCCTGCTCTCTTCTCATCCAAGACGATCTCCTGTGACCGCAGCGGCTGTCGCGGCTCCATATTAAGATCCTCTCCACTTGACTCTTCCTCAGATTCCGATCCCGACATAAACGCGGAATCATCCGACAGTTGCGAAAGCCGCTCCCTCCGCTGTATCGTCATGACAGCTGTAGTGTTGGGCGCCCGCTTGAATGAATCCTCAAACCGCGAAAAAGTTGTCGTCATGTTGATCGATCCGAACAGCTGCAAGTTGGAGTGCTGCCAGAGCTGTGCTTGTTTTGCTGCATTGTCGCGATAATGGTTGGGGCCAAACGCCATAGGAGAGACCTTGTTCGATATAAATACTATTCACGTAAAGAGACAGAGTCAGTGAACTATATATGAGGTTGGTAGTACTATAGTCCATACCATAAAGGCTATCATTTCTTACCAATGTCGGCGCACCAGTCGCCAAGGCCGTTACTGCCGTCCGGTGTTTGTCCCGACATGCCCGTTCCTTGACCTGGTACACCACCTTGTGTAGCTGATGAAGAAGCGGAGAGCGCCTTCATAAAGACTTCGACACGTTGCAAAAGTCGGAAGCTCCTGCTGCTCGATGGTTCATCGTCCTTGCCCAGAACCAAGACGACATTGCAGACCGAGATCAAGAATGTAGCCAGGACCAGTGCCTGCTGGTCCAGCCAAATGTCGATCGGGATCCCATCAGCCACCCGCTCGTTCCTGAGTGCATTTTCCAAATTTGAGAGACAAAATATTGGTTCGGTGTCGAGGAGAATCATCCTTTCAGGGGTAATGTACATGTCGATTCCTGAAGTCTGGTATCCTGCAACAGCTGCCATCTGTGGGGGTTGTTTCGGGAATGCTGCTGATGCCAAAGGTGTAGGACAGAATGACGAGAGGAGAGATGACTTTCCAACTCCTTGTGGTCCAAGAATCCCGACCACAAAGTGTCCTGGGTGCTCCGACATCCACTGTATTGAAGAGGTCAATGCGAGATATTAATAAGTATCCCCTTTTTCAATGTCTCTCCAAATAGTCTAGGGTAATGATGTGCAATCCATGATCACAATACCTGTTCTGCACCCTCCTGGATCTTTCCTTGTTCATTCATCAGCTTGACCGATTGAGCACCCATGGGAGGAGGCATGGGGACGACTTGTTGCGGTGGGAGCAATCGTCCTCCAGCAGACAGAGACCCTCCTGCAGAATGAGGGCCGCCACCCATCGAGCGATGGTCCCTTGTCCCTGGCATCGAGTATGGTCCTGCAGGACCTCGTGGTTGGAGGTGTGGAGGTAGCGCCTGAAGCTGTTGTTGGTGTTGATGCTGTTGATGCTGTTGTGTTTGTTGTTGCTGTTGTTGATTTGAATTGGTTCCTTGCCAAGAATACACAGTCCTGCCAGCAGGTGCCTGTCGCCGATTGTTACCCTTGTTCGCCTCCGACCCTCTGGCATCCTCGTCGTACAACTCCCCAGTTCCTCTCCCGCCTCCAATACCTCCATTGCTGTTTGGGTTAGGCTGCAGGATCTGTCTCTGGAAACTGTTGGGATCGACAATGACGCGATGGGGTGCCGGCTGTTGGTGTTGTTGCTGTTTTGAAGTTCCGTCGTTGCTGTTAGGGTTGCTGCTACTGTTGTTACTGCTGAAATGGTCATCTCTACCAGATCCCTGCTGCTGTCCTTTCTTATTTCGCCGTTGTCGATCCTTTCGCCTTGGTTTTACATCGCTGACATCCGATTCTGATTGTTGTGAGTGCTGTTGTTGCTGTTGTTGCTGCTGCTGTTGAAGTAGTGACGGTGACGAATGATTGCTGGCTTGGCTCATGATCGAGTTGGAGCGCTCTCGACGTCCTCCTCCACCGCCAGACACGGCAGCGGCTCCTCCTCTACCAGGCGGACCTCCCCCCATGACGCCTTTGTTCATCCCAACATTTCCTCCATCTATTCCGCCTAGTCCTGGAGGTGGCGACAGGAATGATGGCGGTGCCTGAGGTGGCGGCTGCGGCATATGTCTTGATATGGCCCCCCTGAGCTGTTGTTGCTGTTGAGGTGGTGGTGGAGGAGGAGGATTAGGATATGACGAATATTGTTGGTAAGGCTGGCCGTAATTAGGGTATCCTTGTTGCAGCTGTGTTTGCTGAGGTTGTAATGAGAGTCCGGGTGGAGGGGCCATGATGCCTGCCGGACCCATCCCTCCGCGAGGGATGATCTCTGCATCCTGAGGTGCGACACGGGTGAGCAGTTTGAATGGCGCCGCAGCAGGGTTCTGTCCGTGGGAATGACCTCCATTGTCTCTGTCTCTATCCCTAGCTCCTCCACGTCCGCCGCCCCGCCCGCCTCCGCTGCTATTGCCTCCTCCTCCTCCTCCTGCTCCAGAGTGCCGTGAAGAAGAGCCCCGCATGGTCAAAGGTGTCTGACTGATCCGATGTGGGGGGTAGAAGCAAATGGTTCAAGAAATTTGAATGGTCAGCAACAAGAGCGGGAAATGGGAGCACAGAGAAGGTCCAGGAAGTGGCTTTGCTCACCCAAGGTTTCAAAAGTCGGAAGAACAGTTGAAACGCAGCAGGGGTCTTGTTCTTTGGATAGATGTGGAGAGCTGACATGACCAAAGCCGCAGGGGGGGGAGGGGGAAGAACATGAGCACGAACGGTAAATGCGCGGCGAACACAAAAAGAGAAGAGAACACCAGACCGGCACTGAATAGTATGTCATTTACTCTCCACAAAAACACGTTGTTCACAAAAGATGCGTTAGCAACTAACGATGGTCCCCATTGAGCCCACCTTTCTCCCGCGTTTGTTCTCAACGATCCGAGAAAAATCTTTTCCAGGAAAGGGACTATCGAGATCTGGGTCAGAGAGGAACTGGTATCCATGGTGTCGAACTAGGACAATTGAGTATTCTGGATCCATCCTTTCCTTCCCCTTCTCTTACGCGCCAAGGACAATCCGAAAACGAAGTTGCCATTCCGTGTTCTAACCGCCACGTTACCTAACGATCCACAAACGATAGAGAGGGGCAGGATCCAACTGAGAGAAAATATTATGTGACAGAATCCCGTTTTGTTTCCGTTTTTTCTTCTGCGATCATCCGACGTCCAAAGGAATGGATTCCTTGTTGGCATTCGAACACAACAAGAAATGAAGGTACAAGGTAGTATAAAACAGCGACAGGTCCTTCTTTTTCTTTTTTTTTTCCATCGCTCTTCTCCCTCGTTCACCACTCTTTCCTTTGTTCGACAATCAGCAGGTCACTTCAGAAAATTTGAGCAAACCTATCTGCACAATTCAACACTCTTACTTTCTTTGCTTTTTTCAACTCGTTTTACTTCGCTGACAAAAGCGTACAAAAACAACCCTCGCACAAGGACATGTTGATGCTTAATATCAGTTCAGCGGCCAAGTTGGTCACTCTGGCCATGGCCACCTTCATGCTCGCCTCATCCACATCCGCGGCACCCGTACTCAATCTCCACGGCGGAGGAGAAGACTTCTTACCAGCCATCGACTGTGTCAAGATCCAGAGCGACATCACTCGTGAAAACGTATCCGTAGTCCAAGGTGAACAAATCCCGATCAAGATTGACGTTACTGGATGCGACCCTTCTTTGGTCGACATCGTACAGCCATGGATCGTCACTTTTGTCAATTGTGAGAACCATGACAATACCCTCAAGCTGGCCGACATTGTAAGTCATCCCACTCCTCCTTCTTTTGCTACGAGCAAGGAACGGTATAAACTTGAAAAACTGTCTACTAACTCGTTCATCAAATTCATCCCATAGATCGGGGGTGCAGATCAGAAAGAGTACACCCTTGATGTCAACACGCAACCCAACACTCTTGCAGCCCTCAACGCTGGTAGCATTCCATCGACAAAAACCGGCTCAACCAAGTATCACATCCAGGTCGATGCTATCTCCAGGGACGGAACCGAGCGTCTTACTGGAAGAACAGCATCTTTCAACATTGCAGCCACCTCTTTTTTCCAGAAGCGGGACGATGGTATTATTCCACCTGTCGATGGCGCTGCTATTCCCGAGATCGCTTCACCCGTCGATGGTGCATCTATCCCTGAGGTCGTTGGCGCGGACAAGGTTGAAGATCTTTCCCCTGCAGCCGCGGCACCACCACCAGCCACAGCCCCTACTGTCGCTGCCACTCCTTTCCCCTCACCCTCACCAGCACCAGCAGTGGTCCCCAACCCAACTTACCCCAACACTCCACCCGAGATCATCGACTTATCGACCGCCGTCACCCCTTCCGGTCCCAACCAAGCCGCCCCCGGTGACCCAGCAGCCCCAAAAGTGATCCAAGAACCCAAGAAGGGGCCAAGTTCTGCTGAAGTCTTTTTCAAGTATGCCGGTGCCGGGTCAGCAATCTTGAGCACTATTGGGTTGGGAGTAGGCGGTCTTGTAGGTGGTATTGTTGGTGGTACTGTTGGGTTGGTGATTGGTATCTCTGCGGCGCTTGTTAACTCGCTTTACTATGCTCCTAACGTCGCCTAAGGCGCAACTTTCGGGAGCTTGAAGGCAATGAGCCCCTTGCCTCTTACCCATGCGAGTAGCACACATATACACATATACCCCCTCTGCCTTTGTTTGATATTATCTAATATAATGAACCTGGATCCTGGTACTGGTACCCTCTTAAAGTAACCCTCTTTTCACGTGATTTAAGCCCAATAATTTGTGGAACTAAAAAGTTCCAGAACCCTTGACGGCCGAGGTTCACGCTTGGAGCTGGCCTACGCCAAAGCTCCAGACACGCGTTGTTCCACGTGATGTTGCAACCCATGCATCCAAGGCGTCACCATCTTTTTATTTTTTCAATCTTTACCCTTGCGCCCTCTTCCTCCTTCTCTCGTTACCTCCTTTTCGTTCCTTCTTTTCAAGAACAAACACCCAGACACACGCCCGTATCGTCAAGCAAGGAAAATAATAACAAGAACAACGACAAAACGAAACCATGGTCGACTTTGGAAGAGCACAACCTCCCAAATACTCGGTCTCGGCCTCCTCGGCTTCTATCAGACAACGGAACTCAACCGCCACCGCCTCCTCCATCACGCAGTCAGATCCGCCTTCGCCTCACTTCTCACAATTGGACACACCGCAACCCCTTGGGTCACCGCAACCCTTAGAGTCACCGCAACCCCTAGAGTCACCATCACCCTCGTACGAACAAGTAGGAGAAGGCGGGGAAGAAGGAGACGATGGAAGGGCGTCCTTCTCAACCCTGCTCGGCACCTATGTGATACGTCCGCCACTTCGCTTATTAGTCCAGGTGGTGGCCTTGTCTCTGCTCGCGATGTTCGTCTACTTCTTGCTCTCCAACACTTGCGAGTCTGAATTTAAAATTGTTGAGGACGTTGCTGGTCAGGACCAACCTCTGGATGCCACTTCCGAGGGATCGAGTTCCTTCTCGGGTTCTTCGTCGTCAAGCATTAGGTCAGATGTGCCCGATTTCGCCTATCTTGTCAACAGGCAGGCGGCCATGTTTGGAGCCTTTTCACAGTTCCTCTCCTCCCTCAACACGCCCATCATCCTCGACGACAAGAACAGCAACTCCTATCCGTATCGCGAGAACATCAGCAATGGCTACCACCCCGACGATACCGATCAAGTCGCGGAGCAAGACTCTTACGGCCTCGAAGCTCGCTCAGCAGCCTCCGGAAGAGAGGCCCTACCACTCTACATGTCCATGAAGATGTCAGAGCTCGCAGTGATCGATCTAAAGGTGGCCGCCAAGCATTCGCTCCTCCCAGCCCAGACTCGGACACTTCTGGTCGACCATCTGGGGTACTTTCAAATGGCAGCCAAGACCCACACGAGGAAGCTACAGTTCTTAGAGGCGAGGAACAAAGGGTGGGTCGACGGCGTGATTGCTCGCAATGTGTACTTGGGCGCAGAGCTGAAACGACTTGAAGGGATGTCAAGCGAGCAATATATTGTTCAGAATGATGTTTGGGCCCGTTTATGCAAGTTCTTTTGCACCTCTCCTCATCTTAATGACCATCGTCTTCATGGTAAGCATGTCCTTAGTTTCACACAAGCCTTGCGAAAATGGAATGATGCATGGAAAAATAACACTTTGATATTTCCTTTCTTCCATATCTATGTAGCCAGCAAGGTGGCGTCCGTCGAAAAGACACTTGATCGATTGTTCTTCAGTGCCTTGAAGGAAGACCGGAAACAGTTGCAGATGACAATTTTGCAGGTCCAGGAGTTGCAGCAGAGGCAAGTCGCACTTTATGGTGTTTGGAGCATGGTTCCACAGCATTATAGCATGAACGCAAAGGACTGACATTATGTGCATTATTTTTAGCCTTGAGGCCATGGACCAAACGCGCCAGACTATCCAGGATATATTGGGTCATGAACGCGGACAACAGGAACAACTCCAACGCGACATCATGGCGTACGTGTGGACACACCTGGGTGGCCACCAGTTCGAGCAAGAAACCTACCGCAATAACCTCGCACTGCTGAGGACCATGGACAAGCAACAGAAGCAGACAGGCGGACATCTTCAATGGATCCTCTTGGAGCTGACAGGGTTCGAGGCAGAGCTAGAGATGCTGTGGGAGCGGATGTCCGATGTAGGGGTCATTGAGCCTCAAGAGGGTACAGGAAAGGGCCAGAGCCAGGGACAGGGAAAAGGACAGGGTACAGCCAAGAGAGCAAACGGCAAAAAGAAGACGGCCATCTCACTACAGGATGAGATTAACCAAATCGAGACCATGACCAACAATCTGAAGGCGAGAAAAGTTCCGGCTTTCTAAGTCCTCCCATACCACCTGTCCACCAGTTCGCACTCCTATCGCCACCCAAGTGATACAAAGCAGCACTCAATCGAATAAAGAGCTTGCAACTGAATGCGTCAAGAAAAATTACATGCAAATGGAAAGAGGTTTAATCGAAATGGGAGAGGATGGACTTAATAACCAAAGCCAAGACCGACGCTCCTGCCCTTCTTCATCTGCTGCTTGATCTTGAGTCCATCCTTGAACTGCTTCTCCAAGTCCCGAGTCACTTGCCGTCCAACCATGCTGTCAATCGCAGAATCAGTATTGGTATGTGTTGATAACGATGGGGCAAGAGAACCCAATGATCCAAACAATCCACCCTTCTTGGCCGCCGGTGCTGTAGCTCCTCCATCATTATTCTTCTTGGCTCCGAGGAGGCGCAGGAACTTGTCGTTCTGCTTCTCGTTACCCAGATCTGCTTGACTCCAATCGTTCCATCGCTTCTCAACAGCTGGCGTTACTTGTGCTGCTGCTGCTGCTGGTGTGGGCTCGGGTGTCGACTCCTTCTTCTCTTTTTTCTCCTTCTTCTCCTTCTTCTCCTTCTTCTCCTTCTTCTCCTTCTTCTCCTTCTTCTCGACCTTCTCAGACTTCTCGGACTTGTCCTTCTTCTCCTTCTTCTCCTTCTTGTCAGGTTTGGCCTCCTTGTCCTTCTTCTCAGGCTTAGCCTCCTTGTCCTTCTTCTCCTTCTTCTCAGCCTTGGCCTCCTTCTCAGACTTCTCCTTCTTCTCAGACTTCTCCTTCTTGTCCTTCTTCTTCTCCTCCTTGACCTCCTCGGTATCGACATCCATGGGCACAGCTGCAGTCTCTTCCTTGGCAGTCTTCTTCTCCTTCTTTTCCTTCTTCTCGGCCTTATCCTTCTTCTCGGCCTTATCCTTCTTCTCCTTCTTCTCGACCTTGTCCTCTTTGTCCTTCTTCTCGGTCTTATCCTTGTTGTCCTTCTTCTCGACCTTATCCGTCTTGTCCTTCTTCTCCTTCTTTTCAGACTTGTCCTTCTTCTCCTTCTTCTCCTTCTTCTCCTTCTTGTCGACCTTCACCACCTGAGCAGGGGTATTCTCCATCTCTAGTTAATATAGACAACAATAATAGTAACCATGATTAGCTTGCCAGTTCCCTTGTCTTTTCCTTTTGTCAAGATCTGTCGATTTCCGCCCTCGTCGACCAAAGAGAGAGGGGTGGGATTGCGTCCTTGGTTATGTGTCACTCTGCTCTCTTGATCCTGTGAGAAAGAAAAACAGCCAACACGTCCGTCTTCCTCTTCCTCTTCTTCTTTTTTTTTTTTCTCTTTCAAATGCCACATTGTGTCGAGCCACGATTGACTCTCCAAGTGACAGCTGCTCACGCGTTGTTTTTTTTATCCTGCTTTTTTTCGTTCCCCTCCTTCTGTTTTGCCTATTTGTTCCTCAAAGCCATTTTATTTTTTCTTCTGCTTGTTGAGAAAAAATAATAATAAGTATGTCCGTTTTTTGGTCCTTTGCCCCTGCTCCTGAAGGAATAAAAGAAGATAAAAAAAATGCTGGTATAGTCTTACCCTCTGCAGTGCGCTTCTTTCCTGAGACGGCCATAGTTGATGTGCTGATGTGGTTGGGTGTTGGTCGAACGGGTGATGGTTGTTGAGAAAGAAAAAAGAATGAACGTTGGAACTCTTTAGCAAGGCAAAAAAAAAAGAAAAGAAATCAACCCGCCAAGCCACAATCCAAACAACCTTCTCATTAGCAGTGCAAGAGCCTGCATCTGCCCAACCATCCCTCAGAATTATCAATGGCATCCAGCGCGCAGTGTAGTTATGGTCAAGTTATGAGTATTTATTGAGAACTAAAAGAGGTGATCGAGGCTCGACTGGTCGGGCTCGGTGCTGGCAAGGAGGCGGTTGCGCAAGACACCGCATCGGCTCTCGAGGATCGAAAGGAACCGGTTCATCTGGTGCGCGTTCATCTGAGAGACCATATCCGAAAACTTGATCTCGTCCATAATCGCATTGCCAGACAGCTTCTGCGCAACAGTTCCAGCAGCTGCAGTTGCGACGACAGCGGGAGCAGGAACAGGGGAAAGGGCAAGAACGGGAGTGGGAATCTCCTGCTGCTGCTTGGGTGCTTCCTGGACTTCCTCCATCTCCTCCTCACTATCGCTCGAATGAACAGAAGGCGCTGGACAACCTTGGAGGGCCTGAGCCCTGCGGGTCATCTCCTGGATCAAAGAAGCTTCAATCGACGATGGCTCCTCGGAAGAGACAATACCGGTCACAATCGAAGCATTCTTGACCTCGGCGGCCTGAGCCTGGACCTTGGCCTGGACTTGAACGTGGACCATGGCCAATGCCTGGGCCTGAGCTTGAGCCTGCTGGGCAAGGTTGCCTCCCCAGTCACGGCGGCGGCGCGAGATCTTGGACTTGCGCATGGTGACAGGGCGGGAACGCTTATGCAGCTTGGCGTAGAGGCCGCAGGCGTTGCAGATGGGCTCACCAGCATCGTTCTTGCGCCAGAGGGGGGTCTGCGTCTGCGAGCAGTTGGCGCACTCGATACCTTGCTTGGCGGTCATCAGGGGTGGGGTAATCTTTTGCTCCGCTGGGCGAAGAAGGGCCTCCGAGTACATCTTGGTCAAGGCAGGCAGAGAGACAGCGTTGCTGCTACCCGAATCAGAATCGCTCTCGGACGACGCTGACGACTCGGCAGTCATTCCATGGCTGGAGGGACGGGCATAGGGCATGGCGCCCATGCGGACATCAGCCAAAACGGTTGGTAGCTTGTGGCGGACATTCAAGGGACGGTGGGCGCCATACTGCTTGTAGTACAATCCACAGGCGTTGCAGAGCGAGTGCCTGCGGTCGGGAGTCCTGCGCCACAGAGGGGTCTGGGTAACATTGCAGTTGAAGCAGACCAGTTTGCGCGAAGACTTGGGTGCCTTGGGCGTGTTGCTTTCCTGACAGGACGACTCGGGGCTGGGCGAACGCTCAACATGAGCCGACGTGGTCGAAGAAGGAGATGGAGGTGCACTGATGGTATCCGAAGCTGCATCGGCCTTGTCCATGTCCTCCTCCTGAGAAGCCGGCTCTTCCTTCTGCATCTGAGAGAGATAGCGTGCAAGATTCTGGGCGTCCGACTGTTGAGTCCTGACAACTTGCTCCTGCTCCTCGCGGCGCTTCGCCTCCTCCAGCTGCTGTTGTTGCTGAAGCTGGGCCTGTGCTTGAGTAGCGGTCTCCAACTGAGCCATGGCGGCAAAGTCCCATCGTTGGTGCTGGAGCTGCTGAGTATAGGCCAAGTTCTGGGCGGCAAGGTAGGCGTGGAGAAGGGCTGCTTGACGAGCCGTTTCATTGGCCGACGACTTGACAGTGGCGGCAATGGCCTGTTCCTGAAGGGCCTGTTCAAAGGGAGAAGAGGCAGCCGAGGGAGTGGTAAAGTCGTTGAAGCAGTAGGCGTCCAGGTTGGGGCTGTGCTGCTCTGAAGCCAAGGATTGGATAGAAAGGACGGGCGAGTTGGACCTGTCGGAGAAGGAAGAGTAGTCGAGGACATCCTGGGCGGAGAGCAGGGAGTGGCTGTTGACCCAGGAGTCAGTTGCGTCGTTGGCCTGGCCAGACGAGGCCGAGGCGGGGGAGTGAGTGGCAAACATGTGGGAAGAAAGGTAACGTGATCTCTCGGATGAGTAAGGGAGAGAAAAAATGATATTAAGGGTGTTTTTCACACTCGACTCGGGAGAGCAAAGAAAAAAAAAGGAGGGAAAGCGGATATTGAGATTGGAAAGCGGAGCGATAAGCGTCGTATGTGTGGTTGAAACGCTGGTTGTAGAGTAGGATGAAAGGGGGGCAGACGAAGGGATGGTGTGTTGTGTTGATTGTTTGTTTGTTAGGGTGGTGGCTATTGCTGATGCGGGTTCGGATATGTAAAAAGGTATAGTTTAAAGTGTGTTTTCTGCTGTGTACTCAGCGCTGGATCAATCGACCTCGCGGCCAACGTGGCCACCGGAGGTAAGGTAGAAGTATGCCATTGTGAATAAAAATAAAAATAAAAAAAAAAGAGTGAGGAATAAAAGGGATCAACTAGAGTGCCTGTCGGTTAGGGTCTAGTGAAAGGGTGTTGTTGTTGGTTGGTGAAATGAATAAAAAAAAGGGAGTAAAAAGAAGAGTTGTAAACAAGAGTGGTTTTATAAGATCGGGCCGTATAAAGAGAGAGTTCTCTGGTGCGCAGCGGTAGTTGGTGTTTCCCTTGGCGGTCTTTCTGTCGATAGAAATCCAAGAGGGAGGGAGAAGGGGAGGTGGTCTGCACCAAAGGGGGGAATCCTGGTGGGGAGGATGGGTGAGAGGGAGAAGATGAAGAAAAAGAAAAAGAAGAAAAGAAAAGAAGAAAAAGAAGAGGCAGAACGAGTCAGGTTCGACAAAAGAGAAATGGCGTAAGATGGGGTCAACGTACGGCCCTTTCTCACATTCACAAAATACGTACGAGAACGATTCATATTCTCTCACTATTCACCATTACACACAAGACCCACATGTCAACTTTGCCTTTTTCTTATCAAGGTTTAGCCAGAAAAAAAGAGGCGAAAAAAAGGGCAGAAAGATGATTTATTTCTCCCCACTATTCAATTGGTCGATTGGTGCGGGTCCCGGACAAGTTTGGCCTCTGCTAACGATCGAGCTCCGTGGAACCACACACTCATCTCATTCGGCACCTGTCCAGTCCTAGTCACCGTCCGATATCCCAGCGCATTGGCCGTCAAAATCGTCGATCGAGCATTCGACGCCGTCAAAAAGATCTTGGAGTGCAGCTCGTTCATATTGATATCCTTCCGCTTCATTCCTACTGTTGGAGATCCTGGCATGGTGGGTGGTGCCGACATGGACCAAGACGGGCTGCCAGGGTGAGATACCCCTTCCGTTTCCTCTTCGACTTCCAATTCGACCTCCTCTGTCGTCGTTTTTGTGTCTGTTGTAGCCTCCGAGATCTTGATAGTCTCAATGAAGGCCGTGTCAAGAATATCCTCAATGACTTCCACCCGAGGTGGACCGCTAGCAAATAAACCGTACTGCTGTGCCCAATCCGATCCTCGGATCCACCTCTCTCGAATCCTGATCTCATCTTCCTCACCTCCAATCTCTCCGTCCTCTCCCGGAACCGCCGTTGATGATGCAGAAGTCCTGGACGTTAACCGTGCTGCCTCACAAGGGTCATGGATCATCACGCGACCTCGCCACTTTTCCTCCGATCCGCCAATAACGCTCAGAATAGCCTTGAAACGCGTAGCTGCCGTTCGGGTCATCACCAACCTTTCCCGTCCCTCAAAGATCTTGGCGAACAGAGGCAACAATGGTTGATCGTGTTCCTGCTGCGCCTGGAGAACAAGAGGCGGTGATATAAAATGGGTCGGGTCCGGCCGAATCGTGTGACACAGAAAACTGCTGAGGGCCATCAGAGTAGTGATATCGAGATGCAACGTCTTTGAAAAGAGAACCATATCATCGACGGATTGCGGGATCGAAAAGGGCGCGAGTGTTTCATCCATGGGTGTTGTTGATGCCAAGGTTGTTGTCGCATCCGAATCGACGGGTCCAAAGTGGACGTTGACAGGAAATACCTCCACAACCCCGTCCTCGATCGATTGTGCGACGCTACCTGTGCGGACCGACTTTTGGATCATCTCCTCCAGTGGGATCGATTCTTCTGGAAGGATTCCCGCAAACTGAAGAGTCACTTGGGGGCGGTGCGTGTAATGGAGCCGATTTTGATCCGCCGCAAGCACCAGACTGCGGGTCAACAGAACCATGTCGGCATGAGTGTCCTTGCTCACACGGATAGGCTTGACCGCACGGCGACGGCCGCTGCTGTTGCCCTGTGTGGTCGATCCATAATGTCCGTCGTCGTCGGTATCATCGTCCTTGTCCTGACTCTCCTCGTTCTCACTGCTCTCCTCGCCCTCTTCCTCTTCATCATCACTATCATCCTCCATACCAGCGTACTCGTGCACAAGGGTCTTGACACTGCCAGCATTGATCCTAAGCCAGCTCTTCCCATGGTCCGCCACTAGATCGATCTTGACTTGAAAAGTCACCTCGTTCGTAAGATCCTTCGACAATGGCTCCGAGGTTGTGAGCTTCATGATATTTGGTCCTAGCTTTCCTGTCGATCCCTTGGAAGACGACTGCCCTTGTTTCCGATGATGTTTGCCCTGTGGGGTTGTTGGGGTTGTTGATAATGGGAGGGCCCTGAATTTTTCCGATGGCTCGATGACGGTGTAAGGGTCCAGTACATACTTGAACGTCCTGTTGACCGCGACAGGGTTCTTGCTGTTGACCAATGCCGCCACCAGCGATTTGAGATAGGGAACGTTTGACGCGCCCATCTGTGCCGGCTTGATCTCATCCGCTGGAGTCGACGCAACCTATTGTAAAATGTAGTAGAGCGCGATTAATATGAGTCAGCAACAATAAAGACGCATGAGAAAAGAAGGAATTCTCGTCAATTGGCTGTTGACGTGTCGTGTGTGCGGGTTATGTAGTAGTTGTCGTCTACTTCCAGAAAAGAGCATGGTTATGAGTTTCCTCCATGTACCTTGGTGAGGAACTTTTGTTCAGCGAGAATGACGGATGTCATTGCCTGGAGTCCGTCGACATCGATGGTTGGGTTTTGTTGTTTCCATTGGTCGAGGCTGGCTGCGATGTCGTTGCATTCCTGGAGCAGTGATTGTGCTCGTTGCAAGAGTTCCATTGTCGGCCGAGTTCAGGGGGTGTGTTGTGAGAGTGAGGAGAAAAATGAGGCAAGGAAATAAAAGGGTGAGCCGTGGGGATTCAGTGATCTTTAACAAGTGATATCACTGACTGATGGAACAACGCAGAAGGTATGATTTGCGACGCAGCCAACCTAGTCTCAGATCAAAAAAAAAAAAAAAAAAAAAAAAGTGGTGTGCGGAATGTGTCTTTTGGAGGCGTTTTTTTTTTATTCTTTCTTTTTTTTTACTTCATTACATGCCTTCTTCTCAAAGGGCCAAAGAGAAACAAAGACATGAAATGGAAACGCGAGAAGCAAAAAGGTGCAAAAAAAGGCAAGGTGGGTCAGGAGAAAGGGACATCATGATCCCCATCTCACTCTTCTTTCTATCAATTTCAAAATCTCTTTTTTTTACTGGGCTGGTGACAATGGTTTCCTGCCATAGACTGCATAGACAACCTGGTGCGAACGATACTCCTTTGTTTCCTTGTACATCGCCTGCACAACCTCCTGTACCACCGTCTCGCTACAGTTCGCTGCTTTGGCCAAATGGGGGCGCACCGTCTCCAGAAGCGCAAACATGTTCATCTGCCACAACTGTCCCACCTTGCCACCCCAGTCGCCAACAGGGATACAGTACTCCTTCACATGCACATCCGTGAATCCTGCAGCAACCATCAATCTATCCAGCGAACGGACAATCGACGGATCCACGCTCCGAGTAGCCATCGACATGCGCAAGTGCTCAAAGACAACGTTCGTCTGGGGTCCGCCATTCTGGATTGTAATGTCAGATTCAACACACTCGTAGTATCCACCGGGCTTGAGGATGCGGAAGGCCTCCTTCATGGCTTGTTGCCAGTTCTCAAACGTCAGGCCGCAGGTGACATTGCGCTGGTAGACCACGTCAAAGGAACCGTCAGGCTGAGAGACACCCTTGAGAAAATCCTCGTTGTAAAAGTTGCAGTTGCGTGGAAAGATCGCGGTAGGGTAGACTGCAGAAATGTCAACACCCACAAAGTTGATCGTCGACATTTCAGTAGCCATATCCTATTTGAGGGTCAGGGAATAGACCAAGGGATGATGAGGTTAGAAGCTGTGTGGGTGTGTTTCGTGTTTTTGCACATGTCATAGGCGAGAATAGCCGCTCTCATTCTCTCTCTCCTTCCTTGCACCTTGTGCGATCGTGGAGGACTAAAGAGAAAAACACTGCCTCGCGCTGAGCCCTCTCCAGTCTCCATTGACTGCGTGTGAAGTTGGGTCGCTGAGCGGAATGGCGCGTGCAGAACATGTTTCCCTCCATTTCGCATGAGACAGTGCAAGGAATAAAAAAAGAAGGCGAAAGGTGGCACCTTAGCCAAAGAGCAGGTGTTTATCGCTCGGGCCAAAACACAATTAGATATTAGGGATACGGCGGAAAGCCCTGTTCACTTGTTCATTTTAAAATGAAAGGCAACCATGCATGGCCACGCCATTGCACGCGCAAACCGAGTGAATCAGAGGAAAGTGAGGGAAGGGGGAAAGTGGCGTGAGCCAGATAACAGGAAAAAAAATGAGGGTGCTGAGGAAAAGCGTGAGTGGAGGGAGGCAAAGAGGAGTGAATTGCATTTCACCAGTGAATAAACGCCTCAAATTAGGGTTGTATTGTTTGAGGGTGCGTGTGTGGGTGTGTGTGGGTGCATGCGTGTTTTGACTGTTTAGCATTGGGCATGTGTGTTGTTGACAATCGGCTTAGTAACCGCATATTTTCCATACGCCAACCGGGTGATGCCCAAGAGGACTAGGTGTTGAGGTCAGCGGGACCCAAAGCATAGTCAACAAGAACTCTGGTAGGTTTGGATTATGGCCTTACTATCGTGATGATAGCACATGAAAGTGAAGAGGAGGAGAGAGAGTCGACCAGCCCTGAACAGGGACCTTTCTTTTTTTTCCGACAATTATCACCCTCCGCTCGAACACGCTGACAAGAGACAACAAACAAGCCATGCCTTGTTTTTTTGTGGGTGTAAATATCACCACCTCCCTTGTCCCGTAAGCTACAGGGACAGCCGGATGCCGAGTGGCAACAAGCCTTTTACACGTGTTCACACAGGTTATCTTCTCTTTTGGCACGGCCCACCTCTCTTCCACATTCAAATGCCACTTGCCCTTTCGCCACATCACATCAAAATGCCGCTTCGCTTTTGTTGTCTACAGCGTGTCTACATCTGGTCCAAGTGTACCGACAGACAAAAAAGAAATGGGCGCTCAGTCAACAATGCTCTGTGCTGCCCATCATGTAATAAAGGTACATATGTCCCTCCACGAATTCGCTTCAAGTAAGCCCGTTCAATGCCGCGTTAGTTTAGACGGTAACGTACCATTGTCCAAGTAGCGGGCCCACATCCAAACTCCATGACACGTCCGTTCGGGGGGATGGGAACGTGAATGTTCTTCTCCAATGCTGCCTTGAATATGTAATGCTGCGTGTGGAGTCTACATGAGTGAGCAGAGACGAAAGAACAAGAAGCGAGTGGTGAGTTGAATTGCGTTTTTTTTTGCGATCGACAGTGATTCATCGTTGGTGCAACGAAGTATGAGACGACATGACCAAGCATGAGACACACACGATGGAGTTGCCATCGCTTCCATCCATTACACACCAAATTTACTTGTGTGAATGTATACTTGTGTGTATGTATGTGTTTGCGAAAAGTGTTTGCTATTTTGGTGGTGTTGCTTGTCACTCTCACCCAACAGATTGTTGGCCCAATGCACAACAGAAAAAGAAAAACACTCTCAGAGACCACTTCATTCCCTGACCTTGCAATTTTTCGCAGTATTTATGAATAGGATTGTCGCCTTGGCACCAAACCATAATCTGTTTTCTCCACCAAGTTGCGGGCGCAAGAAAGTGGGGTGTTACGAAAACAAGGGCACAAACCAACATCCTGTACAGCGAACGAATAGAGAGTGAAGAAAGGGGAAAAAAACATTTTGTAGCGCCAGCTGATGCCATTTCACTGGCCACTGCCCCAAGAAAATCTCTTGCATCCATCGCCATCAATCGATCGCGGTTTTACTGTTTTATCCATGAAAATAAATCGGCAAACTCCCCTGCTCTATCCCTCATGCGTTTGAAATGTGGATGTGTCTGTGTTCAATCGCAAAAACGAAGGCCGTCCCGTTAGATATCCAATAAACCAGATGACATATCCAAAGTAAACGTTGAGAGACCCATCTTAATTTGCAGGCAAATGAACGAGCATATGGCAGCGCGCCCAAGACCATTTGATAACGCAATATAATGGTCCACCATTCAATGTCAACCCCATGAACACAAACAAAAACAAAGGTGGTAAAGGCCAAAGAATGCATGCCCATTTTTTTTGCTCGTGCGCGATTGAGTCGAGCATAGCACAAACTCAATAGAAAAATAGGGGCACAAAATAATGCATTGCATGGGATGTGTGTTTTGTGGGTCTCTTCCTTTTGACCCTTCTCCGTTTCTCCCGCGCTTGTGCATGCTTTGACCACCCACTTATTCAATCGATCATGTCGATTACATACTCCTTTGCTCACCCCACCCACTTCTCCCCAAAGCAATTGAGAATGGCATAGCCTACTCGATGGCCACTGCGATGTTGACAGGCAATAAACATTAACACGCGAAGCGAAACCCAGAACGGACACACCCGGCCAAGAAGAAAAGAGAAAAATTCTGGGATGATCGAATTTCTACCTAGACGATTTTTTCCTATTTTCTCTCACTCCCAATAAACAACACACCTCTGGTCCGAGTCCGGGAACGGGAGAAAAAATTGTCAAGAAGAGGCAGGGGTGGGTGGGTGAAGGCAGATGGAAGGAAAGGAAAGATGCCGGGAATCGGACGCGTTGTTTCATTTGTCCTCGTTGGTATTCCATTGATCAAGCTGCAGAAGAGGGAGAGAGGCAAGGAGCGAAAGATGGCATGGGGTGAGGTGAAAGGGGAAGGAATTGAGCGGGGAACGTGTGGCATAAAGAAAGAAGGGGAAGTGGAGGTAGGCGAAGGAAAGGTGTCTTGGTGTTGTTTGTTGCTGGTTTGTTTGTTTTGGTATGTACCTGTCTACTTCTTCAGAGTCGTTGGGGAGCATGTAGACGCTGGAGGTCTTGTGGTATCGACGTCCGTGGTAGTAGTTGTATTCGTCGTCGCCAGTGACTTCTTCCTCGGCATGGGGTGGCAAATGTTGAGTGGTACTGTGGATGCTATTATGGGAGGATGAACCTCTGCTTGCGGTTGTTTCAACTGTCCTGTTGGACGAGCGTCTTCTGTTCAAGGCTGTTTGTTGGATTGAGTGATGTTTTTAGGGGGGAATAGAAAGGGAAGGAGAGTAAGTAAAACCGGATTCGAATGGCTTCTTTCTGTCGATAAAGAAGATAAAGAAATATAAAAATAACGAGGCGCCAGGGGGTAGTGTTGAAGATCATACCGGACTGATTCGAGGTGTGAGATGTATGGTGAGGGCCAGAAGACGAGTCTCTGCCTGCTGTGCGGGAGGACGACTGAGTGGTTCCCATGGCAAACTTGTTGTTGGATAATAATGAAAGGGAATGTTGTGGGGTTGGAAGTAAGAGAGTGAAAAGGTGCGACGACGAATAAAAAGGGAAGAAAGGATAAGAAGGGTACAAAAACACTAAAGAAAATAAAACGTAATAAAAACTGAACGCAGCGAGTGTCAATGAGTGTAACAAGTGTATTAGTGCAAGTTGGGAAGATGAAGAGGAGAGTGTGATGAGGATGAGTTGATGGAGAACGCAAAAAAAGAGTGGGCAGCGAAGTGTCGGAGCGAAATAGAGAAAGAGGATGCGATGAGAATGCAATGAACTGAAAAAAAAAGCAAAAACACAAAGAGTCGGAGATGAGTGATGTATTTGGGTTGAGTGGTGTGGAGGGTGGAGGGTGGAGGAATGGGAAGAGAGCTTTGTGATGGTTAAAGAAGAAGGAGCTGGAAATAGGGAAGGGGGGAAGGGAAAAGGGTAAGGAAGGGGGAAAGGAGGTGAAGAAGGAGGACTGGAGGAGAAGAAGAGGAGGTGGAGGAGGAGAGAGAGTAGTAGAGAAGAGAGAGAGTGAGTGAGAGTGAGAGTGAGAGTGAGAGTGAGAGAGAGAAGAGAGAGAGAGCGATGAATTGAAATGGAGGGAAAAAAAACAAGGAAAGAAAGAAAGTAAGAAGGCGAGGGTAGGGCGTACAAAGGAACACAGGAAAAAGGGAGGGAGGGAAGATATGGTTCGTTATGGTTTGGTGGAAGAAGAAGAGGGAGAGGACGAAGAAGGATTGGTCGTAAGAGTTATTTGGGGAGGAGGAGATAGAAGTAGCTCGTTCTTTATTTCCCTGTCCGCCTGCAGACAAAAAGGAAAAATGAGAGTAAAGGAAATCTAAATATTATTATTTTTTGCTATGCAGCAAATGGGGAGAGACGGAAGGAGGAGGAGGACGAGGAGGAGGACGAGGAGGAGGACGAGGAAGAGGAGGAAGAAGTAGAAGGGAAGAAGGGAAGAAAAAGGAATGAAGAGGAAAAGGGAGGAAAGGAATAAAAAGAAACAAGAGAAAAGAAACAAGAGAAAAGAGAAAAGAAACAAGAGAAAAGAGAAAAGAGAAAAGAGAAACGAGAAACGAGAAAAGAGAGAAAGAGGAAGAAGAATAGAAAAAGAGAGCGATGGATCAAGGACAATTAAAGAAGGTCAAAAGGGTGGCAAGACTGTCATTCTTCCTTCTTCTCCCTACTTCTCCCTTCTCATCGCCTTTGTTTGCTACGGTACATCATGCCTTGTGTGGCTCGTAGTGCTGGGGGGGGGGATGTGGCTGTTTGAAGGAGGCGAATGGCATCCATCCCTGTTCACTTTGCCTTGCTTATTATTCAAAGACTCAATTCATTCCTCAAAATTGAATGGTTGAAGAATGGATGGGATGAGCGATGCTCTCGTGGATGCGTATATGTATATATACGATGATGATGATGATGATGATGTTGCCGAGTCAGTGTGGATACCATGGCCAGATGGCGGCTATTAAATGTTACAGAATATGCTG